ATGGAGCAGTCTAGCCCACCAAAATACTAATAAAAGCCGTTCTACCGCATAGCACCTTGATCTAGGTTTTCTGCTACCGTTTCGAGTGGGCTCCGGTAGCCAATATGCTGCGGCTTCGAATAGGTTCGGCACTAGTCAAGCCGCTTTACAACTAGAATACCATCTGACATGAAAACCATGAAATGTCAGGTGGGCGAAATCCAAGGGGCTGAGTGAGAGCATAGATCACTATTCCCAGTCCATATTGAGTTGTGTCAGTTTGGGTGATTACGACTCTTCTTACAACGCTTAGGAGCACAGTTAAAGCTAATCAGAGGCACTAATGAATATTCCAGTACTTCCAATTAAAGCTATGCCGGAAATGTTGACAGGATAATCCGAACTCAAGCTTACAATTAAACAGTCCACGACCTATGGAAATCTCGTAACAGAACAAAGTTAATATCTCCAGATTCTTGCTATCAGTTGGGTAGAGGATTGTAATGTATCCGGAACGATGACCGCTATATATGCCGGCACGCCGAAAGACCTATTTTACGATATTCTGGTGCAACATCAACGTTCCATAACATATTACTGATTCTAACTCATCAATCCCATCATGAAACTTAGCTAAGGCTCCATAATTGCTCATCCTGATACTGATTATTTAGCTCCGAGCCTCTCACGAGTACAGCACCGCCTTGCATTCCGAGGTACACGTCGATGAGCTCACCCTTGTCTTCCCCAGACTTCCCTCGGGCAGTATAGTGCACCGTGCTTATATTACAGGGACTTACCTAGTAGGGGGAGCAAGGGGTGGGATGCCTTTCTGAGATACGCCGATCATTTTCAAGGGTTGCGTACTCTGTTACTGGCCCACCAGCGCTATGCTACCCAAGTTCTTTTCGGCGATGGCTAGAAAAGGAAAAGACAGGTCGCGCTCAATTCCTTCTACAAATGAAGCCCATCTAGCCGTCCAATGATTGATTGGTGAATGGATGACTGCTAAATTGACCTTTCCTAGCCTAGCCATCCATCCTATGAGTTCGCTCATCCTATTCTCAACAAGGGCCGCCAAGCCCATGACGTCGCGCCGTTATTTAGTCCTGAGACAATAGACGGGCCATCGGGGGGCATAAATTACCCCTTAGTAACCGATTATTAAAGCGCGCTATTCCTAGCACAAGTCCCCTGATCACTGGGAAAATCCGGGCTGCTCCGGAAGCTAGAAATTCCAGGTTATCGGGCCATCGGGATAGAATTAGAATGGTGTACTTTCGGGTGTGTTGTACGGTATAATGTTCGACAGCACAGCTTTCGTCAGGCCACACGACACTGCCAATAGGCACATCAACCAATCACTCAAGTCACTTCTGGCAGGAATGGGTAGGTGGCAAGCTAACTTCAATCAGTCTGTCCCAAGTAGACATTACTTCGCCTATGCCTCAACCTCGAATTATCTACAATTGGAACGAGTTTTCTAGACCACCGAGGCCGAAAGACCGTGCCGCCCGTGTGGGAGACTCTGTCATCCTGCAGTTTAAAGTCGCACTTTTTGGACGACAACGCGAGCCGTTACCTGTCGTGTACGGAACCGGTGACCAACCGCTCCGCAGATTGGACCTTATGCAGTTAACCTTGAACCCTCCTGGGAGACTGCACTAAACTAATAATAATATCGGACCCGCCCAGTGGAATTCAGACTCCTGCAAGTCATGGGAGTTTTTTTCACCGATGTGCAGATCATATACTTTAACAATGCCCTACCCGCATGCCGCGTGCCTTGGGTAGAGATGGTATCAGGCAGTTCACCCCGTCATATCTTCGAGTGAACAACGGACATGGGAAGCAAAAAGCGTAGCATTGCAGCACTGCAAAGTGCATCGACTGTAGCATTTCCCACAATGAAATGTCGTCATAAGCTACCAATTGAGAATTGCTGCATCTATATGGATATTCTCTAGACAAATGCCCGAAGCAGAGTTGATTGCACCAAGCACGCTGGTGGATCATTACCCAACTTTTCTAGCTACAGATACGCAGTAGCCAGCGAAGAAGCTAGCTAAGTTATATACTCTAACCGGATATTCTTTAAACCTACCAACCACCGCTGTATAGACCAACCCATTACGACTAACCTGGACAGAGGCCTCCCAAGGAAGGCATATATCTGGTTTATACACAAGCTAGCCGTGGCGGAGCACTCATATACTAGACGAATTTGGCCCTTACATTTCTATATCGGCGTAGTTCATTCGCCACATTCGTCGTCTATATACAACTTGTCCAGGTATATGGCTCTGTCGCCTTTACACACCACTTTCGCAGTTCGAAGCAAGGGCCCGTATACTACGGTAGCGCAGTCCCATCTTTTCGTCCGCCGTATCACCAAGCTGATTTCTCAACCGCTCACATACCCGCGCCCACCCATTGCTACATGAACGCCGCGGACAACGTCGTATATCTCAAGCACATTATATAAAAACGTGCTTTAGGGTGCATTATCATAATGTCGTCAAGAGATTTCGCTTGTCTCGCATCTCCGTATGTATAAAAATATTACAAGTCGCCAAGCTCGGTATCCGCTTTCGACCCATCCCGTAGCAGAAAAAAAGATCGGAACCAAAAACCGGCAATCCGACCCCCATCCGCGCGCGGGTTAGTCGCAATGGGATCTATTTGTCGATACACCAGTTACGGGATTCCATTTCTAACAGGAAGGATGAAGCCGTTCTTAGGAATGGTTGAAAGACCCTGATTTTTGATCGACAGCACACTTACATAGATCCGTCACGCCTGCTGCTCTCTTCCCTCTCCGGTTACGTGCATTTGGGATCTCGGCCTTATACCCACGCACCCGCGCAACTAAGTAGAATTTCTTCCGATGATCATCGCGGCATCATCGCGGCAGCGGGTAGGAAACAAGTGGATGGCAACGGTTGAAGCCATCCCATAGTTCTACCTAGGTACCCGGGTATTGTGTAACAGCTGACTTGAGAGTACTAGTCCCATTGTAGTAGCTCCGCCATATCACACTTCCATCATATGGTTGATTGCCGATTCTTACACACCAAACGTAACAAGCAGAAACCTGTTAGTCGTATACTACTATTTTTGGTTTTTGTTTGTGTGACTTTAATGTTGTTATTAGTATTATGAAGTATATAAGCTCCTTGGTCTGACTTATTTTACATGGGTATAGTTTCAACACAACTAGGGAGATAGAACCACTTCAATCGTTTCAGAAAGACTAGAATAACAGTTGCCGTAGGATGTTAACATGCTGATATCGATCCCTTCCTTTCCTAGTTTTGCGTCTTGTCGCCGCCGTATGCAGATCGCTCCCCCCGTTCCACCGGCTAACGACCACGCAAGCAGCTCGGCCCGCATCGGGGCGAGCTATTGCGAACGAAACAGCCCACGCGTCCTCTAGCGTGACAAGAATAATGGCCTAATACTAACAAAGACGGCGTCTTGGTCCGGCTCCTCGCAAGTAGCGAATTAACTCCGACCTTGGAAACCCGGTCTCGCCACCGTCGCTTATGATCTCTCAGCCGTTCCTTCAGGAGAAACATTCTAGAAAAACATTTATCTAACACGCGACACTACGGTGAATCTAGAGCGCGAAGACCGTTATAGTTTTAACTAAAGAGACAATCATTGTCGGATTGGTTTATTTAATCTTCACCGCTGGGCTGAACTTACTATTAGCTCGCTTCCGGCTCTCCAGACTTCGTTGAATAATGCTTAATGCCGAGAAAAACTCGGGTGAGAAGTCAGGCAACAAATCGGCGATGGCCTAGCTACAGTTTACTGGGCAGAACCCTACAGCGCGTCTAGACCATTAGGTATCAGTGTGCTATAACTCCGGTATTGAATAGCATGTCTTAGGCGCAAGGCAGAGGATGCACACCGGCATCCCGTCTAAGACATCTTAGCATTCCAATATTCCTAATACAGCTTCTCTGAGTGGATAATCTGTAATCACGAGACCCTCATCCTCAGCCTCCCGCTCGTATGGAGCAATGATAGTCTAGTTACCACTTAGGTACCCTTGAGTCTATAGGATAGATAAAATGTGCATGCCATAGGGCTGCTTACGGTGGCTGAAACTCGCATACCGATCTACTTCGGGCCCGATCGTGTCTCGGCTACCGCGGAGAGACTATTCCGGGGATCTTCGACGGATAAGGATCCCGGCTGAGCGCGTGTTCGTGACAAAGAACACCTAGGTAGAATAGTTTCTTTCAAGAAACATAACCTCTCCCTAAGACAAAGTATGTGCATGACACGCATGTTACAGCGTCGTCTCTGGAAACTCGTAACGGGATCTTAATCGCTACAACTGCTCATGTATTTACAGTAGTGGGAAGTGTATAGTGTCATTTACAGCTAATTAGACTGTACGTGACTTATCTCATTTATTAAGTATCTCGAGGTAACGACCCGTCTACCGGATGGACTTGCCATCCCTTACGTTACACAGCGTTTCAACTATGCCCTTACTGCCTCCCGATTGTGTAGAACAAGACAAACAAGTAAATACACATTAACTCAATCCACACGGTCTTATCATTAGCTACGATAGCCCGACCACATGTTTTCTAAAGACCATAACTCTATTCCAGGAGGAGTGGGCAACGAGGAGCGTGTAAGTAGCATACCTTATGTTTCACAATTGCAAGGACAGCAACGTACGTCAATACACGATGCTCATGAGTTCAATATGGCATACATAATCGCGTTGGCATATGGATTATCTGAGTCTATCATGGCCAGAAGCTCTAGCCTTTATCTACCTCTTAGCCCCTATCCCAACTGCCAAGTCACTGTACACTGCCAACTTTTTTGTGTATCGTTAATTAATCATGCAAGGCTAAATCATGGGATATCGCTGACGTCTTGTGTAATGTCGTAATAATATATAACCACCCTATCCCGCTATCAAAAATTACTGAGAAATTATTAGCGTCAAGCCAGAGAAGAACCCGGGGATTCGGGAGGACTTACCAATCTTTCTAGATCGGAACATGCTTATCTTCGGTTACACATCCCAAAATACCATCGTTAGGATGGCGAATCTCCCAAGGGTTCAACGGGACCCTCTTCCTCCTCTGGCTGCGTCGTCCAGCGTCGGCCTCGAGCTTCAGCAGCTTCCCATCGCAGCAGTCCCAGTAACAGGTCTGGATCCAAAGTTCGAATTCGCGAAGGGTTACGTTGCCCTTCTTGAGGAAGTCGGCGCCGAGCTTGGTTTCCCCATCCGACGCTGCAATTTGATCATTGTGAGATCTTAACTCGCCTGTGTCAAGTTTGTTAGTAAGCTCTGGTCAGGTATATAGACTATCTACTTGGGTAGCACTTACCAGGATGGTATTGGCAACTGGTATGGAGACAAATCTTCTCCAGCTTCTTGCAGTTGCATGTTGCTGGTGTTACACGAAACTTCTCGAAACAGTTGGTGCAGGTCTTGAAGTTCGGCCTGAGGTCTTGGGGTAGGTTGTTGGTAATAGAAAGTTTGGCGATACACGCCACGATGTTCTCCTCGGCTATGTGTTTCTGGTGCTGGGCCACGGAGATCAAGGCCTTCGTTACGAGCGACTGGGCGACGTCTTCATCCGGGCCTTTGACAACCTTCTGGATGTAGCACATGTGGTCGTATAGGCTCATCTTGTCAAAATCGTGGATCGCTAATTTGTAACACTCCTCAGCGGTTCGAAGCATCGTGCGGAGACTGACGCCGGGAGGACCTGGCCGCTTTTTGGAGTAGGCGGGTAGATCCCAGTCTTTTCCTTTCGTTGAACGGCGGCGAACAACGGTTTTCTCCTGGCTGCTCTCGGTTTCGGACAAGTCAAAATCTTCTTGCCCGCTTGCTCCAGGGACACGGAGGTTGTATTTGTCGAGGACGCATTTTCTCATTAGACGGCTCTTTGCCTTCGTGTCGCGACGGCGAGTGGCCATCGCCTTGGCTTCCTTGCGGGATTTTGCGACGCGTGTCTCAACCATTATGTCTGGGTGGAAGTGGTTAGACGAAGTCTGCCTTGATCCATTTCCACTGAAAGATGCGAAAATACTACTTACGGTTGGTAAATGAGAACCGCGAGGTAGTTTATATTTTTGTGGGATTCTTAGACGCGTAGTCACTCCTTAATAGATGACGATAGGAGCGAGAGGATGTGCTGATTATAGAATAGGTACAATAATGTCAGTAGATGAGGATGAAAATTAAAGATGGAGATGGGAGGTGGGAGGGTGAAGAGTTGCCGAGAGGAAAGAGAAAATAATCTGAGAGGTGGTAGATTTAAATAGGTAGGAATTGGAAAGTAGAATCACTTCGTCGTCCAAGTAACTACGCGTGAAGCACTGTGTAGTGACTCATGGAACTGTTGCTAAAGCGTGTATCAACCATTGCGAGCAGTGGCCTATGTACTATTTGCCAGTTGCCATCACTCGTTGCATATATGGGTGACCATCCATGTCACTCATTATAGTCGATTCATACGTCCCATGCTTCTATTGAAATGTACTTAGCCCTAGCTATACCGCTTCTTAGACTATGTGTTAGAAATAGGGCCGGCCCATAGAGGTAGTGGCTGCCTATACTGGACAGTGTACGGGGCCCCTCCTCGACCTTGAAATATATTTTTTATTATCTACACGCGTTCATAGGATAAGATAACGGTTATCTTGCCGGTAATTGCAGTTTTTAAAATGCGCTGAGCTTGAATCTGCGTGATTTTACAACTGAGGAAACAGAGGGATAATGTCATAATGTCCGCATGTGACAGAGTAGTAAACTTCTGTTTACTGATAATGAATGCGCGGCAATGATTGTTCTATCTAAAAAAGTAATTCAACGTTGGACCGATGCTGGCTAGAAAATATGCTGTGATTGGAATAGAGGTAAAGTAGAGATAATGCTTCAGATGCCTAGGAAGAAACACGGGTTCAAGAAACAGAATCCAAGAGGATCACTTCCCATGTGGTGTGTACAAATGTACGGATGACACGATTCAGATTCAGTCTGCAATCATTGCAATTAGTAAGTTATATAGGGAGTCAAGTTGGTAATCATCCGATCACACTGCTACTATTCTGCTAGAGGGGCTATACATCACGATGAAATCTTATTCATCTGTTCGTGGAGAAAATAGTATTAACCCACTTAACCAAGTCTTCGAAATAACGGCTTAATGGTTAACTGAAGCTCTCGTGATGCTTCTACCTTACCTGTTAGTGTTTGTTTTCCTCTACTAATCGGAATTATGCTAGGTCGACGGCAGGCTTCTCATCAGTCTCATCAGATAGTTTTTAATCCATAATTTTCGCAAGTATACAATCTCGAGTCTATTGGTATCTTAATGTCCTAACCAGTATAAAGTTACACAAGCTACACTTGTTTTGACCCAATAAAACAATGGCGCAAGTCCATGATATCAACCTTCCAAATAAAACGATAAGTTGCAATATGCTAATGGTTCCGTTTTCCCCCATTAGACCTTGAGACGCTAATGCTAGACGATATTTGATGATTTTGTATGCATCTTAGGTAGCATGGCCGGTATTTAGTCTACCTGCATCAACAGGAGAAGAGATTCAATGCACCAAGCCATCCACTCGAAGATGCCCTGAATGAACCACGCAATGCCAATAATGAGCTCGACCAAAAGAATCAATCCCTTGACCCCCACGCCAACGGTGAAGTCGAGTCACGATATTTTGCCAGCACGCCCCTTGGCAACCTTGACCTTGCCACTAACAATGTCCGCTTGGTTGCTGACGTGGGTTAGCATCTCGTTCTGCTCCTCGACCTCGCGGTTGATCGATTCGGCCATTTCGCGCTGCCGTCGGATGATCTTCGCCAACCCTTCGACATCCTCATCTTGCTCCTTCATCATTTGCCTCTGCAATTGCACCACACCCTGGTTATCCAATTCTCGGGTTCGCTCGGTTTCCGGTAACGGGGCGCCTAACACTCTTCCACGTCCTTTCGCTCCATTGCCAATCAGCGCCGCCTTATCGGCCGCTGAAGGCATGGCTCTTTGAGACGCTTTGGCAGCGGCGGATATCGTCGAACTCAGCTTGTCCAGGTCCTCCCTTTCGACCCGAGCAGCAGCCAGTAGATCCTTCCGCCGCCTTATCTCGCCCTCGCCTAGTCTTTTCGCATCTTGTATCGTTCGTAGACCGTCCCCGAGTACCGTCAGCAGGCCTCCAGCTTTAACCAGAGCCTTTTTGGCCGCCGAGCCGGCTTCGAGAGCCGCAGAGTTATCGGTCGCGCTATCCCTTTTCGCTAGACACCGTCGCGCCTCCTGGAAGTCCCGCTTCATCTCGCCATGTAGATCCAGCCATGTACCCGGGTCCTGCGACGCAGCTTGGTTCGCAGCATCTCTGTTGGGAATACCATAACCGGCTCTCACGCTAGCCGCGCTATTACCGGTGCTGCCTACGCCAGGGAGATTGAGGAAGGTGCGCCATGCCGGTGTGTCGCGCCATCGTCGATCGGGAGTTTCTGCGATGGCTCGGAGGTAGGATTCGAGGCCGCGACGGCGGTCTTCGGTAAGTTCGGGCGAGTTGACGGTTGACTTGAACCACGATTTCCCTGGCAAGGGAGCAGGGGGTGGTGAACCGACTAAGGAGGTCAGGGTTTGATGTAATGTAGCGAAATCGGAGTATCGCTTTTGTACGACGAATGTTCGTAGAGGGAGACGGAGGGTTATGTTATAGAGCGTATACGGTTTCGAGTTATCGGTTGACGGCTGTAGTGACGTCGTCGGGATGGTGATCTCGGCGGGCGGTGCCATACCCTTGGAATTGAAGGACTTTACGGTACGGTTTCGGGAGTCTAGAAAACACGGATCGTATTTGGGAGTAAGAACTTATTGATACTCGTCAAATACGATTTAGAATTAAGGAAATGAAATCGCTAGAATGGTGTATCTCTATTGCTGTTGTTGTTGAAGGAATGGCAAATAGGCAACTTCGGTTTGAAGCACGAGACACGCTTCAGTGCATGAGACCTGATCTTACTGGGTCAGGCGGGTGGGGCTACGCTACTTGGGACACCGAGTGTTGCATATATGCATATATGATTATATACACACAAACACTTACCTTCCAAGGTTGAGACTCGAGACTCGCCTTATTTCAGCCTCAAGACTTGAAATAAAATAATTGAAGTAGAATTATTATTCTGTTCCTATGTTGAATATTATCCCATCGGCATTATATACACATTTTGATAACGAGCGTGGTTGCGGTTACCTTTTTGATCACCCTTCCCGAGCGTACAATATCTTTGTTAGTAATCCACTTACTCTCGATGGTAATTCAAAAATGTTGTATAAATTTCAAGACCTCACTAAGCAGAATCTATTCATCCGTTGAAGTCTGGTAGTGGATTCGGTATCATCGACGTACGTTATACAGAAGTAATTATGTTAGATGTTGTTTGATTGAGAAAGAAGTAAGGTAAATTTAGCAGGAAGTTGGGATATATCTGAATTGCCTTTCAGACTAATCTTGTTAGCACCTCGGTGAACAATAACAAAAGGGAGTTATTCAGGCGTCAATTAAGGCACCCGAGTTAACCGAAGACAATGAAGCTAGATCGAAAGCAAAGTCGGAGCTGATCCACAGACGGGGTTTTCTAGTACGGGTGGATGTCTCCGGGACTCCCAATTCGGGTAATTCCAAACAAAATACACCGAAGCAGCTACAGCATCAAACTCCGAGAGGGATCGGCACCGTTAGAAGACCAATAGTATAGGCTGAGTGAGAATAGTTCCTATCGTATTACAGCAGCCCTAGCAGCTTGGATCATCTTATGGCCCATCTAAAACCGATTCCTCTGACAATATCACGTTGATTTGCTAACAAGGATACCGAAAAAAGTGATGTCATTGCCATCATTGATGCTAATGAACCGACGAGTTAGGCTCCGACTAGGACTTTGAGGCTGAAGCAGATATAGTTTTCTAGGCAAGGAACCATGACGTTGATCCGAGTAGTATGATATCGCGGGTTGTTCGGTGCAATTGTTTGTTCGCTCAACAAAGATCTCAAATTTTCATTTCCCCGAGACTAGAAACGAAGTCAGCTGAAATCTGGACGATTCAGGCAAATCTACCAGTTACTATAGCCTTAGCTAAGTGTTTGTGTAATGATCCATTCTTCTTCTCTTGTGTTAGATTCTCCGGTATCATACGCTGTCAATCAGTAAAGCGGTTCCAAGTTGGATACCTAAGTAGGACTTAGGTTGTAGTAACGTTACTGTCGTATATCGTTAACCTGCGCCGCCTCAATACCGATAGATAATAGCCCAATCGTTGAGTCCGAAAACACTCCAGCTCGGCCAGTTGAGAAGTACGAACAAGACGGTGAATAAAGCCCTTACTCGTACAAAGTTTAACGGGCCGTGACTTTCCAGAGTGCCGGTACGATAGGGCGCATTAGCGAGGACCAAAAATAGCCCCATCTGCCAGCAACACGAAGGTACGAAATGCCGCGTCTGCCGAACACAGTAGATCCACTTTATAAAAGCTATAGATGTTACTACTGGCCAATAGGATAGAACATGAGGACCCTTGATGATCCACTAGAACTTCGGCAATATGGTAGCTTCTTTTCCTTTTCCAGCCTCTTCTAGCACTACGACTCGCTACCAGTTGTACAGCCCCCTCAGTGGAATACGAGATCTTGGCGGCCTAATACAGTCCAAGATCGCCCTCCGACGTCACTCTTTATCCGCTTTCGCTTCTAGAACCCATCACCAGATGCTGCTTCACAACGAGACGAGCTGCCCACGATATAAAATCAATAGTTTATATAAATGCGAACAGTTTCCTTGAGGTTAATAAGAAAGAATTTGGGTAGATCATCAGACAACATATATATAAATTTACATATAATTACATTGGTTAATTACTTCTAATCAACTACAATCATAACTTAGACAACTCCCTTTATATCATCGACATATAAAATGCGCGGCTTCTTCTCAACCATCGCCACCCTCCTGCCTCTAGCAGTTGCGGTACCTTTAAATCTTCAATCCCGCGATAGCAACCCGGGATGTCAAGCCGCCTCTTTCGGTAACTTCTCATGGACGGTTGAGAACTTCGATTATCACGCTTCTTACATTTTCACAACGCCAGCGCACCAAAACTCATGGGGTTATGTCAACTTCAACTTAACAAACCCTGCGCTAGAGTATAAGGCAATCTGTAGTGCGACCAGCAACCAATTGCAAGATTTCTTCTACGGTACCTTTGCGTACAACTGCACTGTTCCGGATGGATCTACAACAAAGACAACGTTCGATTTCAGCCGTCCGAGTGGAGTATTAAATGTCAACCAAACTTGGTCCTGCAGCGACACCGACCCACAATACCCGTAAGTTACCAATTTCTAGAAGCAATATCAATAAATATGCTAACAATATATATAGTACCACCATCAATGCTTATGGAACCGCCAATCTGACATTGGACTGCACTGACAACACATGGATTAACCCGAACTGGACCATGGGACAGATCTATTCCGATCGGACTGTTACATGCGCGCCTGTTACACTACCGCTGCCGCCTTACAAGATGACTGCTGTCGCGTAAGGCATTTTCTTCATTGGGGTTTCAGCGTCTTGGTCGTGAGAAAGGGGATGGGGATACTGCATTTAGGAAAGGGGATATGATTATGACGATATGATATTTACGATATCATAGATATATACTGGCATCATGCCGCTGATACATAAAAGTAATTGTAATAGGAAACAAAAATCATAATGAATAACTGTATGTTCTACGGTGCCAACACTGTGTGTCTCGGTTGACAAAAAACGGTACTGATAGGCGCTGCAGGATACCACAACTACAGTACTAGGGAGCCTAGAAATATGGTCAACATTAACAAACAAAATAATACGAATAAATGTTAGATTTAAACTATAGATAATTAGTTAATCTTACCTACCTATCCAATATACTTTACCCTTTAACTTCATGTATAACGTGGCTTAGGCCATACATAGATATGTCTTAAGATACGAACTTCCACCCTTAAGTTTTAAGCTTGATTCTAAGAGGGGTAAATCTTGAGGCTATTCAATGGATTTAATACTACAAAGGAACAATAATGACATTGATATCACATCAAAGAAAGAAAAAATAGGTGCTTTTAAGCATATAGATTTATTAATCAGGTGGCTACCTAGGTATGTTTGGACAAGTAGCCCATGCGTGGCGTAGGACTTATTACTTAAGATCCTATTCCCACTTGGAGATTGTTCTCCTTCTAGTTAGACAAGCAGATGATACGATGATCACATACCCCATAGGGATTACTATTGCTATTATACCCACGTTGTACAACATATCCTTCTCGCTCATCGAGAAGACCTTATCGACCCAACAGACTAATACGTTATTTAAACATCTCAGCGTTCTCTGTGAGCGTTCTCCTCGAGTGTTCGGAGGCACTGCAAGAGTTTGACCTTGTCGCGAGAGTCTTGCTGCAGCTGATTGAGTCGCCTTGCTACAGCGTCTATCTGCTTACCGCCTGCCATGAATTCTCTTACCAACTCAAATAGGAGGGTACGGTCTTCGGCATACTCCTGAGGAGTATCAGGCTCAAATGGGTCCTCGACATCCTGCGGATTGACTTGAAAGGAGAAGGGCTCGATGCAGTACTCGTAGTACAACCGAAGGCGGGCCTGGGTTAATGGACTCATTTCCTCAAAATTGCGAAGAGTGATATCGAGTGGGAAGTGCAGGTAAATCACGTAATTTGGCGTGATGAGGATATCCCTAGAGTTTGGGCGTCGAATGTTTAGATTCGGAGGTTTCTCATCCTTAGGCATCTGGTACATGGTGTTAGGATCGACGTCTACAAAGAATGTATGGTGAATCCGTTGTCGTATCCGGAATTGCATGAGCGGGCTAAACTCCTGGAAGCGCTTCAGGATCTCGATAAACGGCATGTCCAAGGCAGCTTGAAGCGAACCCTCGGGAACTCGTTGCCATCCTTCGGGAGGCAACTGGCTGGAATAAAATTGATCTCTGTGCATTTGGTCCGACATTGTTACTTGGCTTTCTTGGAAGATGCCAAACTTGAGTCGCCAACAATGTCTTTGGTACTTGATTTGTCCTTTAGACGATAGGGCGAAGTAAGTAAATTTGAAGTTGACTAAGATCAGGTATGTGAATCGAAGTCAAAGGAGATGGTTGTGAATATGGAAGAGCTGGAAATTATTACTCAGGAAATTTATCAGCTATATATATCCGATATTCACAGCGCAAGCCATCACTGTCTACGACCAAATGCGATTCTTGGGAACAAACATTATGTTCCTCCACAGAATATACAAAATGATTATTTGGAAACAATCTTAGATAGGAGCGCTGTTAGCTACGTAAAGTATACGATCTGTTAATGACGGGGACTATTGGGGTTGAGGGAGGGTGAGGGATGGGTTCCTCTTGGATGGCATGAGTGGACATCCCTATCGCAGACTTGACTAACCTTCACCCCATAGGGACCGTCGGATATTGCTAATCGAAGCTGCCGACTAGCCGTGCTTGATCCCACGTAACCGCTTTAACATCATCACAACTCAGGGCGGTTGGCAAACCGCGGACGATGTTAGGCTCCTCATCCAGCGCCGACCCCGACCAACCGGTATTTCGATGCTTTATTTCCGCCTATGGAACCCAGCCAATTTCTTCAATCGGCCACCGAATCCACAGCCGATATCCATCGTCCAGCACGGAGTATATCCTTGAGACTAAGTGAACTCCCCAGCCCTCAATCCACCATGTATAATCCAGGCGCTGAAGCAAGACGCAAAAGAAGGCGAGCACGCATAGTGCCTCGTTATCGCGCTCCTTGAGGAGGTTCACGAAATTATCGCGAAGCTTGAATAGCCACATGAAAGCGGCTCTTAACCGTTGGTCGTCGTTGTAATTGCCACCGTAGAAGAATGCAAAGCTTCGCTTCAACGACTCTATCCCACGAGAGAGTTCATCTAGTTTGTGAGGGTCTTTGACGTAGAACCTGACGGTACTCTCGAGTTCTTTCAACCCCTCATGTTCCGGCGGGACATTCGCTTCCCAAATTTCGTTCATCTGCCTCCCTGTGTTGAATATGAAGCCTAAGGATATGATGGAGTGTATGGCTACGCTGTTGATCTCTATCACGCTGCGCATACCCCTGAAAAGGAATAACCATTCAGGCATGACTCCATCAGAGATAACTAGGAGATTATCGGATTCCTTTGGACTAGCAAACCCGATGTAGGTTGTTAGCATGCTAAAAAAGAACATAGGTACCGAATCATTGGCGGTAAGATCGTTTAGTACGGGTAACGCCAATGACGAGGATGCATTATGATGAACCATCGCTTGTTCAATGAGTACATCCCTTCGTTGGGGCTTGAAGCGGGCGAGGTGGAGCGCAGCCAGTGAGAGGATGGCCTTAAGAACATAGTGATAAGAAAATCCGATCCTTGGAACATTGACACGCCAAAAGTTGCGAACCATCGGTTCGGCCGAAAATGTGAAGCATGTTGAAGTAGTAAAGTGATGGAGTAGCTCAAGATCGAGAATGCTGAACCAACCGATTGGCGTAGGCTGGTGGCTAATAGATGTATCTATGGGAGATGTAGTGTCGCTCTGAGTAGGCGTTTGTCCGACGCCATTATGGACAGCCCGAGGACTCGAATCTGTACGCTGAGCCGAGACATTGAAATCGCAAGTGACCCCGCGCCTATGATTTTTATCAGCTAGCTGACGGGCTTTAGGGCTCTTAGATGGTAAATATATAGGGCTTACCTGGTACAATTGCGGCAAGACGGTCGCGTCTCGTCACACTATGGCAATCAGAATTTGCGGAAGCGAGAGCACGTCATTGGCGTTAGGAGCTAACCCACCTTTACTTTTCTGGATTTACATACTCGGCACCCTGTACGAGTCTTCGCATGTGGTCTTCGGGTAGCCTTCGGTGACGGCGACGCCATCCTTAAGGGAGACGCAAATCTTTGCACGACATACAGTTATCTAAGGTGGATTGATTATGGTAAAAGGAGGGCTCGGAGTAAATTCTCGGAAAATCGTGGCGATTACGAGTCATGTAGGCGGGTTGTTGGAGATTTAACAAGTTACGAATACGACGCCTCTGGTGGATTCTGCCTTGGTACACACCCCAGTCTCGTATTTGATGCTAGGTCCGACGATTATACGAAGTCCGAACTACACCAAATCCACCTACGTAATCGCAACAGCCACAGTTGTTTTATGTAGATGGTTAATTTTCACATTGTTCATTGCAAATGGAATGATACAATACGAATAGGATGCGTAGCGCCCTCAGAAGGACAGCAGTTGTTATGAAGAATTGCTACCAGAAGTAAAAGTAATAATTCTGAAATCGGCTACGGTGCTACCTCAATAACGTACCTACATCCTGAAGGTACCTATGTACCCGACAAATACGAATCTGATCTCGGCTAAGATTGTAGCTGCTGGGGGTCATTCGAGGAGTACGAGATCCGAATCCGATGTGCGAAGTGAATACTTATGAACTTGTACATTCAAGCGGGGTAGATTGCCTAGGAAACATTCACCCCTGACTCTAACTGCTGTAGATCTCTTCTACATAAACTGCCAAGACTATATGGAAGAGATTTTATAATAACATTGACTTTTTTAAAGGCATTTTCTAGCCTTATTCCCGAAATGCACAGCCCTATGTTAGATAATCCGTCTCTCCTTAGTCGTGGGCGAGTCTACCTATGTAGACACCTAGGCAACCGCAAATGGTACGAGCTATGTACGAGGAGCTACGATTACGCGTATATCTCAGGCCAGACTGAAACATGTAAGGTGAAGATATCTTCATATCTGTGTATAATAGTAGAAGTTTATAAGCTATGTCTGCACCAAGGTATTACTCGAGTTGCTCCTCTTTGATCATTGTTGCTTGCTGTGTGACTCGACTTGAAATCCCCAAAATATCAAGGCTGGCAGATCACAACGGCGAAAACTAGAAGTCATCGAAAATGGAACTCACAACATACTTCGACAGTCGCTTTAAATTCCGGGTTCATATGGTTCAATTATCAATGATCGCTTTGGTCATTATCCTATCTATCGCCCGTATTGCTATGAGAGATCCACCACCACAACGGGCACATACTATGGGAATTGCCATCGTAAGTTGCTCTACTTACTGGCGATAAAAGGATACCTAAGCTGACTTGGACGCTATCACTTAGGGTTTAAAATCCATTGTTTTCATTCTTTATCAAGTTCTCACGGAACATACCTTCAAATTCCAGAAATGGGCCAATAAAAAGACGAACTTCATTCTCAACTGTGTAGACATACCCTTCTGGGCAGTAATGATGGGTCTTTTGCTATCGACGAATGCGCAGGCTTGCGTTGGTGGCTCATGTGCAGTGAGCTGGATCTTAGCATTGCTGGCAATCGCCCTATTGTAAGTCCGATGCCCTATCAGTAGACCCCCCGCACGTATAGTCCCTAACAAGTATGTGTTCTAGATTTCTCACGTTCTGGGCGGCTATTGCGTCTTACTTCGAGTATCGATACTTTGGTATAAAGAGGGCACAAGATACCACATACGTATGATACAACGAGTGGAAATATGGTGTTGTGGATTGGGTATAGAATATGTATGAAGTACTATGTTGATAGATGGGAGGGGTATGTACCTGGGTATGATAAAGCGGCGGGGTTTCGATTATATACACTCATATAGAGTACTTTCTGGTCTTGTATGTTCAATAGAGAGGTATCAAACTCGTAAAACTCATGCCTTTCGTTCTCTCAAAAAGACCTTAAGGGGAGGCTTCTCCCATAGGCTGTAGATCTTCTGATCTTCCCATTTCCCGATACTTTGATCGAGTGTCAGGTCAAAATTCCATAATACTCTGGCTAGGATTAGGCGCATCTCATGGTAGCTGAAGAATTAGTGAACAAGTGTTACACGGCTGCTTTTAGCTGATGTTGTGAAACTTACGCTAAATTTCGCCCAATACAGTCTCGCGGTCCAAAAGAAAATGGGCGATGAACATCGCGGCGATCGCCATAGAAAGGCGAAGCTGGATTCGAGGTGGATTCGTGTAGCCATCGTTCTGGGATGAATTCCCGTGCTCTGTGGAAGTTAAGCTCAGAGTGGTAAGCTGCAAGGTGGTGGACGCCGACAACAGTCTGGGGAACGTTAGAAATCTAGAACGTAGAAATGATTATTGGTGAGCATTCTACCTTTTCAGGAACCGTTAACCCGGCAATTTGCACAGGAGGACCGCGCGGCACTGCACGGGCGAGACGTAGTGGAACGGGAGGGAAAAGTCGCAAAGCTTCGTCGAGGCAGGCTATCATGTACGGCAGTTTAGAGCTCGCATCTTTAAAAGTAATTTCGTCCTCGGATTGGAATGCGGTGCGGACTTCCTCTGTTACTCTTTTGAGCGCATATGGGGTTCTCAGTAACCAATATGTTGCGCCACTCAAAAGTGTCGCCGTCGTCTCCGATCCAGCCACCACAAGCAAATCACTATTAGCGATCAACTCAGGATCCGTCAATTCGTGCGCCTGGCCACGGGAGCGCATTATGTAATCCATGAAATCGCCCCGGTCGGCTTGCTTCCTATGATAGATACGATCGTTGACAAGCTTAGCAACGAGAGCATGATGAGCAGCTTGAGAATTGCGGGCTTTGGAACCAGCAACGAGCTTCAAAATCAGGCCCAGCATAGGGGTGAAACCGATTAAAACCAGCATAGGCATGTACCTCATCAATTTGGCAATGTTTTCGAGCCAGGCATTCGATTTTCCCTCCGCCAAACCTTGCAAAGGAGTACCAAATGCCAAATCGGCAATTAAATCGAAGGTTGTGAAGTTATACCACCGAACCATGTCGGTTGATTGGCCTGTTCGGGCTACTTCACGTAGTCGCTCGACTAATAAGTCGACGTACACTTTGATAAGCGGTTCCTGTTGTCCAAGAGCTTTGTCAGAAAAGGCAGGCAACATCGCCCGTCGAAAGCGGAAGTGGTCCGAAGAATTCGCTGAGATGATTTTCTTCGTGTCCATATTAATTCCCTTTGGATAACTTTTCGGGAACTCTGCATGGCCATGGCCATATATATCCTTCCATGCTTGGGGGTTAATGAAGGAAAGTTGGTCTGGAGAAACGCGAATAGCTTCACCATATTTATCATGGGCTTCACGCATTTGAAACTCGGCCTTTCCCTGCACCATGCCGACAATTCTCGTAATGGGGAATGCGATCCATAGTGGCGGTCCTGGAATATGTCGAAGTGGATGAAAATATAGATTATATATAGCCTTAAGGCATTGGTGAGAGATGCCGAGTAAAATAACGATAAAAACTAGACGTAAAATATCATACGCGTTGAGCGTAGCTCCAATTTGTTGTAAAAACCCCGCCATTGCGAAAAGCTCGAGGATTCAAGATCACGATGCAAGATTGATAAGGAGGTTGTCGTATTTTATTTATACTCGGACTTCAAGTTATGCAAACGGCTTATGCATTTTATGGTTAGTTTTAATGACTCAACCAATCGCAGCCCTTGTGATGTGATTTCACTGTTGATCGTTGGTTGCTACTTAAGGTGTTAGGGAATCCTAGGGATCCTCTTATTAGCTCTTGGCCTATGGCACGGGGACGAGCAAAACCGCAGGCATCGTGGCTGGAATCTTGATTTTTTGTCCATAGTTGGGATTCGATACTTTATATAGGTAATATGAATTTCGAAAGTGAATGGATAGATGCTAATGTATAAAACTGCGATAAATGGCAAAGTTAATTCGTGGCTCTTTGCAATGTGAGATCAGGACATAAGAATACATACAGGGTAAGGTGCGAGTTGTGGATAGAGCTTTCGTATTCTCTCGCATTCGCTTAATAGACCAATCCACAGTTTTAAGGCTGAGGTGGGGGTTAGCTAAATACAAACTGGGTACGATCTCTTCCGAATCCACAGCCAGGGATGTCACGAACCAAAATTTTGGAATCATAAATGTGTGGGTATTGGTTTCTCTAGAACTACTCGGAAACTAAGATTTCACCAAGAAATCCTGTGAGAAGGTGGTCTAGTTGTGTTGTGCGTACCTAGATGGATGCTAAATAGATACTTAGTAGAATGGTATGGGTAATGGGTACGCACATAGAACAGCACTGCCCCATACCTAGGTAGTCAGTCATAAGAGACCTGACGATTTGATTATGTATATCGAATTCATCAGATTGCCATATATGGCTAATGGATTTGGTTGAAAAGCAACGCCATGCAAATTCCTGGCTAAGCCTAGCCAACGAGATTGTACTCCGATAAGTTTCCATCCTCTTAAATTCCCCTCCCTAGGCGCCCGTTGTAGAAGCAAATATAGATAGGTAACACGAACGGATTTCGGCGATAATGCGGGTCCGCCCGCGCGATCGAGTTAACTTGTTGGCCCCATCTCCCCGATCCCGATCCCATTCTATCTTCCCATCATCTACCAGTAATCGCATCTCGCATGCTTTGCCACTCGCGAATCGCTGCCGCCGACACGTGCTTCGAATCGACCTAAATGCCACGAATTAGCTCATGTATCTGCGCGATGGGATACGTTGGGGGATATAGGTAAAACATACCCAAGAGCTAGGCCAGCCGATTCCTGTTCGCGGATCAAGACCTTCCCATTCAACTAGGTAAACAAGGCGACCATCTCGGTTTTGTGCTTCGGTGATGATCGATCGAACGCGATACCAACCCTTACGAGATGTAGGGATTCCTTGAGTGTCAGCCTTCGCTGCTAATTCGTCATCATCACTTTCTTCGCGCTCGTCGCCATCGATATCCTCTCCGCCGCCGCCGTCGTCGTAGTTACCATCCTCATCGCCACTGTCGTCTTCCTTGAATCGACCGAGCTTACCCCCATCCTGATGTCCACGCTTCCGAAGCACGCTCTGTCTACCACTTCGTCTCAATTGGGTAGTCGAGGGCGATGATGTTGTAGTGGGAGCCTTAGTCGATGATGTAGATGACGAAGGTGTGGCGGGTGTCAGTGGTACAAAAGTTTGCAAAGACGGTGTCGTAGGGGTTGAAATGGTACTCGGTGTGGTCTTAGATGATACCGACGACAGTGTTGACGATGGAGTAGAAGGAGGTGTGTTTAAAGTGGGAATAGAAGAGACATCGTGCAAGCTCTCTTTTAGTACTTGGCGTAATGATCTACGTTGCGGGCTGATATTCTTGGGCGATATCGGGGTGGATGGGGATGAAAGCTGCTGTAGAGTAGGGGGAGGAGTAGTGTTAGTCTTAGCGGCCGTTGAGTCTCGTAGACTCTCTTGGATTGCTCTACGTAGAGAGCTTCGTTGAGGTTGAGTGTATTTGTGTGAAGCTCGATTTTGCTTAATGACGGATCTAAGAATGTCCGGCTTCTTTGTTGCAGTGCCTTTCGTGGCTTTAGACTTTTCGGTGGGTGCCATAGCGGCAGCAATACTAGAGGTAATGTCACAATTCGTGCATTATAGAATAGTGAGTGTACTAATGCTAGGGTCGAAAGGGGATGTAGAGTAGAAGAGATGGGGTTGCTGCAATGGCCTCAACTCGAGGGTGCACGTGAGCTGGCAGGGAAGAGTAATGCTTGAAAGATGCGACTGGAGAAGAATTGTGAGAGGAAAAGACAAATTGGTACATAATGGCCTAGTGAAGGAATTCACGGGAGATGTTCTTTCCTTGGAAATCTTAATTGTGAAGCACCCGCACATTTTGAGATTGGCCGAAGTATGCAGCTAGGTAACCTTATTCGCAGGAAGGGGAAAGTAATAACGCAGAATCTCTAAAAATAAGGGAAAGCACCCGCGAACAAAGTAATCAAATAAGGCGAGTGTATACCACGTTAGAAAAACAAAAACAATGCCCTTGTTGATATCTATCGTCAAACTCTAAGGTATCAGGCCCTCAAATCGAGGGGGGAAATTCGGGGTCGAGAGAGTATATAGAGACGATAATAACATCTGGTATCAAGGCTTCGGCCTCTTCTCTGGCAGTGCAACTTGGATAAAGGCCGAGATTTTGAGGATATTACCTCCTGATGCGCCTCTTCCCCAGCATCCGTATCATCCTATCCCTATTTTTTTTCTGGCTCATCATACAATAACTACTCCGGTATTAATTCATGGCCATCTCCTAACCTCTCTTTGTGGTAGTTCATTACTTCGTCGACCATTACCAGAAGGTATCCTAGAACGTCTCTTGGTCATCCAGTGTCTCTCCCTCGGCAGGGATCTCGAAACCCTCCTCAGTCGAATACAGTATTGTCTGGATTTGTTTGATGAGACCGTCTTCCTGCTTCTCGAGTTCGGGGTCCTCTTCGACAGCCTGTTGAATCAAGAGTTCTATATCTCGCAACTTGCTGAAGTAGAAGTCTCGCTCGCGCTCGAGGCCAACAACTGTCTCCTTCAAGGTCGCATTCTCTTGCATCAGTGCGGCCGACGCAGCCCCTCCACCGCCAGCCTTGGCTACACGGGGGCCAGTGGTGGGAGTCGTACCACCTCTTCGTGCCGCAGCTGATCCAGCGCCTCCGGTGGCTCGCGCCGCGGCACCACCTGAAGCAGGAAGAGGAGCACCTTTTCTTCGGCTGACAGCATCGTAGTCTCCGCCTGGGTAGTATTGATCCCAGAATCGCTTGGTCCACTGCAAGAATTCGAGATTATCCTGCATCTTGCATTTGGTAAGGGCTTCGACGGGGATGGGCTTGTCGACACTATGCTTGGCAAAGGTGTCTAGAGATGAATAATAATTAGTATGGATTGATCTTTGATTTGATGAAACATGGTGCCGGTAAATAATCATGATATGGATGGTAGGGGGCGGAGGGAACTGACTTTGTAACACCTTGAAGTTCTGAATGTACGCATATTCGGTGTTCACGTTGAACTTGACTCGCGACATAGGTACATCGAGGAAAATGCTGTCGAAGACTTGGCAAAGGGCGGCACTGTAAATATCGAAGAGATATAAGGTTAGCTCAGATCTGGCAGCTAGAATATCGATGGTATCGTGACAGGGTTGTCGCTAGTTGTTCATCTCTCCTATACGGCAACTTGGGATACTGTTTGGCGGGGGAGGGGTAAATAATAAAATCGCAAGGATATTCCTACCCGGTACCGCATTGCTCGACCTTCGTGATGTTTAGCTGTAGCAGGCTGTTAAGCCATGCTACTAACTCTTGACTGCAGATGAGGAATGAGATGTTAGTCGTGGATTCTTTATCGGTAGTGGAGTTAAACAGTGGAAATGAGGTCATTCGCACTCACCGAGATTCACCCATGTCTGCTGCTTTGTGTAGATAGGATTGATTCGGGATGAAAGAGGTGAAAAGAATCACTTGAAGGAAAGTAAAACGATATCGGTCGGCTACTCGATTACGAAGTGGACGAGACGATGGTGTTGGGTAGGAAAGCAATAGATTAGAATAAAATGGGTCGTCTGTTTTTCAAAGGCTATGTTTTATTTACCTAAGTAGGCCGAAGAAGAAAATGGAAATTGATGTCGCCGTTGGCCGCGATGCTCCAGGGATTACTCAATCAGCTAGCAGTCAATCAAAAATCACGAATCGGCGTCACCCAATCAACGAGCTTACTTAAGCATATCAGGGGTAATTATTGCCGAAGATCAACCTTTTGGCAGGTACCTATGTACTCGCAGCTGCCAAAAGTTAAAGATATCCCGAGTTGCGAGTTACGTAAGCAGCACGGGTAGTTGCTCTGTTTTCCCCCAATTTCAGTCCACCATTAAGCTTCAAGAAATATCATCACCGTAAATCGTACTTCCCCAGTTACACTGCCTTGATAAGAAATAGCTATCTCTCACCAATATTTATTTCCGAGTTTATTAGCAATTCCGCGCTTCATATATCCGAGGCGATACTTTCGGGGCCTAGCTGGTCGTCCGAAGATCGAAAGATAAATCCTAATCGAGGCGCGTCGATGAATAAAAGTATAACCGTCATATGTCTCTCGGACCACCAACAATTCTAATAAGACATGTACGAATATGTTGAGTGGCTCAATTCAACAGTTTTATATTCCAGCATAATATTATATTTAAAATAAGAATTGTGGTCTACTTATTTAGACATTTGTCTAATAAGCAATCTTGTTATCTTGACCAAAGAAATTCAAATGAAGGCTATTATATACCATGGTACAGTAGAAATGCCGCAGAGAACTAACCTATACATAGGAGACAAGTTTACTGACTCAAAAACCCCATCTCTTTCCAACTTTTAATAAACTGTCTAGTCACCTTTTCACTAACCGGACCCGCGTTCGCCAAGGTCTTCGAGTGCTCTCTGACCTTGATGGTATCGAGTAGAAGGCCGCCACAAGACATACGAATAAAGTTGTCATCGAGGAAATCGATCAACAAGAACGCCGGGTTTTCTCCCTCGGGCCCTTCAACTTGTCTAGGATGATCCCGGACGCGTCGCACCCAGTCCCGAAAAGGAATGATATCCTGGTGTGGAATATTCAATGCGTCAGCTAGGATGGGAGTCATCTCTTTCCATGGCTGACGAATAGGGTTATCTACGTGGTAGATAGGGTAGTGCGTCTTGTCCTCAGGTAGGAAAACGAGATCAACGAGCGTGCTGGCGACTTCGTCAACCGGCGTCCAAGAGAGAAGCCCATCGAAATCTGGCAACGCCTTCAAAGTTTGAGAAGATTTTATCAAAAAGGAAAGATGCTCCATAGGGTTCCAGTAACCGCTTGTGCTGGAGCCCGCAATTTGTCCGGGGCGGACGACCATGGTGCGAAAACGGTCTGGGTGCTTGTGTAGAGTCTCGTCAAGCATAAGCTCACAGATGTACTTGGCGTCGCCATATCCCGTAGGCAGGACAGATTCAATAGTCATCCGTTCCTCCGGGACTATTGGCTCGCCTGACCAAATCGGCCGGTGACCGACGGTAGCGATGGACGAAATGAATTGAAAGGTCACCTTGTTGCCTAGGGCGGATCGAAGCGAAATTTCACGAGACAGATTAAGGAGATTTTTCATGATTTGGAATTGGGTTTCGAAATTGCGAAGAGGCCATTTTGCGTTCATGAGCCACGCATTATGTACGATGTCTGTGACGTTATCGACAAGGTCTTCGTAGTCCTCGACCGGCAAGCCGAGGTTGGGTTTCGACATATCGGTTTCAAAGACACTCAACTTATCGGTAGCCTTTTTCGATAAGGCAATACCTTTCTTAATGAGAGCTTGTTTCTGACGCTCTTGGGGATCGGATCGACTTCGTCGATTGAGGCAGACAACGCGGGCAACGTCTGGTGATTCGGCGAATTGGGCGATGAGGTGCGATCCTAGACTACCGGTGGCCCCTGTGACCAGGACAGTCTTTCCGTCAGATATCGGCCTAGGATGGCGAGGCTCTGATACGTTCCCTAGTTCGGCCGAGAAACCCTCAGTCAAGTTTTTAACGTATCTATCGACGACTGTTTGTCGCGCCACAAGGTCAGCTGATAGACTCTTAATAGGTAGAGAGGAGGAGGGAGTTGGGAGCCGTTCGCACCTCTCACCCGAGGCCATCGCGATGATGAGCTTCTCGCATCTATTCTCCGGCAAGGCACCATCTGTCCAGTCAACGTGCCCGTAGCCGACCGCCTGCAATTCCTTCTCCCATCTGAGCTCGTGTGTGACGGCGTGAGTGCGTCCATCGTCGAAGAACCACCAACCCTCAAATAATCCGAAAATCATATCAACCCAGTACAATGTGCCAGTCATCTCAAGGAGCATGAGGAACCCATCAGGGCGTAATGCCTTTCGGATATTCATGCCGGATGTACGCAGGGAGTGGGTGGCGTGGACGGCGTTGCTAGCGACAATGATGTGTTGCGTGCCGATTAAGTCGTCGGCTGGGACTTTCTCAATGTCGTGTGCCCTAAATTTCATGAATGGGTACTGCTTGAATCTCTTGCGCGCTGCAGCTACGAACGACGGTGCGAGGTCCGTGAAGGTATACTCGACCGGTACGTTCAAAGAGGCCAGAAGGGGAACAAGCCACTTAGTAGTGCCTCCGGTTCCAGCACCCATTTCGAGGATCTTCAGTGGACCCTCACTCATATCGAGTTTTGAACAGAGTCTCTCGAGGAAGTCCTCCATTTGCTTGTAGAATATCCGATTTAGTGGCCATTCCGCATACAACCCGGAGACAAGATCACGACCTTCGGGAGTACCAAAGATCAACTTGATTCCGTCTGTTTTTCCTCTGAGCACCTCAGCCAGGTTTGATCCAGTGTAGAAGGTAAGCTTATCAGCGGTCGTCTGGTCTGGGAAACGCGCTAGTAAGTCTTGAAGAATCTCCTTACTAGACCTTGTCGGGGCCGCTACGGCAGTCCGGGTGATAGTGTCGCCGTTGACGTTAATGATGTGAGACTCCTTCTCCAGCATCTGGTATAGGTAGTCTACCAGGCGGCTATGCTCCTTTGGATGTGAAATCCGAGTAAACTTGTCTCCCGGTTTTGCATCGCGCAGCTGATGTCCAAGTTGGTCAAATGCTTCAAGTGTGAGCGCAATGCACAAGTCTGTCTGCAATGGCATGATTGTGTCGAAATAATTAGTTTGACCATACTCAGCAATCTTGTCATCTGTGAGCGCTTTCGTTTCGTTGAATGCTTCCATAATGGTGGAGAAAGGAAGCTTCATTTCCTCATCGCAAGTGCTTAGGGTGTCGTACGGGTCTTTCTCGTAGTCAACCGCTGGCGTGGTCAAACCAGTTGGGTTACCCGACGAATCGCTGGCACTAGTTGACCTGTCGTCACTGTCGCTTGACGCGTCATCCTCGCTCTGCTCACTAACATCTTCGCTGCCGCCAGCGTCTTCGCCCACCGCTTTTCGCACGCACACCATCAGACTAGGCATATCGACAATCTCCATGAGTTCACTTTCAGGAAGAGTGATCTTGAAAGCTGCCTCGATCTCATGAGCCATCTCCATGCCCATTAGGGAGTCAATACCGAGGTCGACAAGCATACTATCATCCTTCACCTCATCCATCTCGAGACCCGATAGCTCAACTAAAATCTCCTTGACCTTAGTGACTACGTTTGATTTGGGTTGCTTTTTGGCCTTGGGAGGTTTAGACGCCTTGGGCGATTTCGGGGCCTTTGGTGTTTTGATGTGGGGTGGCTGTGGCAGAACAATCTCAGTAGGAGCTGCTTCGAACATAGTGACCTTAGTGGGCTCAGAGGGCGAAGCGACTGCGGCACCTCCAACAGTGAGGCGCGAGAGTAGCCTGCTCATAGAAGCCTTGGGGATCCTGACGTAACTAATTCCAAGAATCGCTTCTAACAATACGCCAGTCTTCGGATGGAAAATGAAGACGTCCGTCAGGTATTGTTTATCCGAAGGGTGATGAGATGCAAGTACATGGAAGCTATCTGGCCGAGCATCGCCAGGACGGAGCTTGGGGGAGCGGATCCACTGCTCAATGCCGTTGGCAATGTACATGTCAGAAGATGGACGATCAGTCATGCAATTGACGAAAACGCCACCGACCTGGCAGAAACTATCAGCCAAGTGGGCATCGAGCCAGGTCTCGGGATTGTATTTCTTCTCGACACGACCAGCAGACTGGTTTCCGCAGCCTACCAATTTCTGAAGGCCCCGGTAATCTTCACCATAATCGACGATTTCAGCAAATATCCGATATATGTTTCTATTCGAGAGAACCTCGTCAATGTCGCCACTTTGCAGTAATTCAACACAACGCGCGTGGCTAACGAGACGCTCGAGGCGCGCAAACTCAAGCTTTAGTGTCAAGTCTTCGGTCGAACAGAAGACAACTTTACCCGTCGTGTGTAGAGTCTGGGTGGTTCCTTGAGGCATGTCGGTGCTGAATACCTTGAATTTCCAAGAAGGGTTTCCGCCTGTAGACTCTTCTTCGACTTCAATCCAAACGCCCCGCGCCGGATTAACGCAAATAGGAGACTGGTTTTCTACAACGTGAACTTGCGGCTCAAGCTTAGCACTTTCCAGGTCCGGTCGGAGACCTCGAAGAGCTTCGATAACGAGATCAAGCTGGACGGTGGCTGGGCAGATAGATGCAGTTTGGGCAATTATATGGCCCACGATCAGCCTCTCATACTTAGGGATCATAGTGTTGATCCTAAATTTGGCAATACGCTTCTTGCTATCTTGGTAGCCGTCGAATGTCAAAAGACCCTCTGGCAGTTTCTCTTCCTGCTCGGTCTTTTGCGGCGGGGGAAGCTCGGAGACTTTAGGAGGGACCTTGAAGTCGACCCAGTGGCTCGCTTGTTCGAATTGATAGGGTGGTAATAGAAGGGGAGAATGTTCTCTGGTTTGAGCGGCTTGATGGGCCCAGTGCTGTACAGGAATACCAGCCTTCCACAAGTTTAATGTCGCGTCGACAAGGTTATCCCATGCCTTGTCGCTGTTTGTGATGTTGATAGCTTGGAAGTGAGAGCTGCTAGGGTTACCGAGTGCACGGCCTGCCATAGAGGTAATCGTGGAGTTGGAGCCAGCTTCCAAGAACACAGCCGATGGGAACTGCTTAGCAAGTCGTTGTATGGCGTGGTTGAAGTAGACGGGATAGCGCATGTGATCGGCAACGAATTTCGCCGTGTGCTTTTCTTGGATGGGGAACTCCGACGCTCTCTCCACTGGAATCATTGGCCTGCGGAAAGTGAGAGTCTTTCCGACTTGCTCCAACGCCTCGACAATTGGATCAACAAGAGCACAATGGAATGAATTCGTCACGTTCAACCTCTTCGATCTCAACGATGAAGGAATGGTAGCAGCAACTGCATCGATTGCGGCAGTAGAGCCTGCAAGGGTAAAACTACGAGGTCCGTTGTAACAGGCGATGCTCGCAGGCTTCTCGTTTGGGACTTTCTGGTTTGACTCAGCCAATAATTTCTCGACGTCGGCCAAGTCAGCTTCTATGGCCATCATGGCGCCTTTCTCGCTACCCCATGAATCGCGGACAATGGCGGCGCGATTCGCCACCATTTTCATAGCATCTTCCAATGAGAGCACTTGAGAAATGGCGAGCGCGGTGAGCTCGCCGAAGCTGTGACCAACGACTGCGGCTGGCTTAATGCCAGAGTCAATCCAACTACGCGCGCAGGCGTATTGAATGGCAAATAGCATTGTCTGTAACTGGACTGTGTCTTGAACTGGGGTGGTCTCAAAAATGCCGGGGAAAATACTTCCAGCACCAAGCGAACGAACAACTGCATCAACACTGTTCAGGTGTTTTCGTAGCACGGCTGTTCTTTGGTATAGATTTTGGTCTAGGCCCACGGAGGTGGATACTTGGCCACCGAAACAGAATACCACAGGCTTGTTTTCGGGGCGTGCGATGGATGCTACGCTGGTATCACCTTTCTCGATAGAAGCTAACTTTTGGTCGAGCTCCTCTATTGATCGCACACTGAATAGAATCGCCTTTTCAAGGGAACGATTACTCTGGCGTGCTAGGTTGAAAGATACATTAGGCAAGGAGAGTTCCATAGCGGAATAGCTCTTGTTATTGAGGAACTTGCGGAAGACCTTGGCGTATCGTCGGAGACTCTGGTCGTCGAGACCGGCAACCCAGAATGGATACTTGGAACCAGCAAGCGCCCCAGTGATCTCTTTCGCAGTGCTGGTACTAGCAAAAGGCGATTGTGTGAGTACCATTGAAGCGTTGGAACCAGATGCACCATAATTATTAATCAATGCAGCCCGGAACTCAGCATTCCATGTCTTGAGGCTTAAGGGTATTATCATCTTATCAGCTGGAGTCGCACCAATAGCCGGATTGATAGAAGTGTGGCTTGGTTGAGGTGGGATCATTCCCTTTTGGATCATGAGCATAATTTTCACCAATGAGACTACACCCGAAGTGGCTTCAGTGTGACCGATAAGACCTTTGACAGATCCGAGGAGGAGATTCTCATCCCGCCCGGAAGCAGGTCCGCCAAGTACTTGCCGTATTCCGTCGTACTCAGCTGGGTCACCAACACCAGTACCAGTGCCATGAGCCTCAACAACCGAAATTTGGGAAGGCTTAAGTCGAGCCTGCTTAGTGACGCCGCGAAATAAGTCAGATAAGGACGGGGCATTAGGGACGAAGATAGGAGTACAATTCTCATTTTGCTGCACGCCTGTTCCTGCAACGACACCAAGAATCTGATCGCCATCTGCCACCGCAGCTGAAAGCTTTTTCAGAAACACTGCAGCCACTCCTTCACCTCTGCAATAGCCATCGGCTTTCGCGTCGAATGGTTTGCACTGCCCTGTCGTGCTTAGGAACGAAGCACCGGCTAGGTTCTGGAACCATAAAGGATTCGTCACCACGTTTGTGCCTCCAGCTAGGGCTCCGATGCACTCGCCAGTAACTATCGCACGACAAGCCTGATGGATAGCGACGGCGGATGAAGAACAGGCCGTATCTATAGTTAAACCAGGCCCAGTCCAGCCGAAGTAGTGACTAACTTTCCCAGAGATGAAACTCTGCAAGTTGCCAGTAGCGGAGAAGGCGTTGGGAGCGTGGCAGGCAATGTTACAATCATAATCACGAGAACATACGCCGACAAAGCAACCAATACGACTATCACGCTCAGCTAAGTGGAAATAGCCAGACTGCTCCACGGCCTGGTAAGCACACTGAAGAAAGTGGCGTTGTTGAGGGTCCATGGTAGAGCTCTCACGAGGGCTTTTCTTGAAGAATTTGTGGTCGAACTTATCGTGGTTCTCAATGAAGTTTCCATACCACTTGCGCTTGGGGTCGACATCACGGAAGGCAGTCTCAAAAGAGAATCGTTCCTTAGGAACTTCCTTATGCTGCGACTTCGCGGAGACTAGGAGGTCCCAGAAGTCGTCTAAGGTCTCGGCGCCGGCAACCTTAATAGACATACCAACAACAGCGACATCATTGTCAGAGAATGTCCGAAGATCCTTCTGAGAGAAGGCCTCAAAGTGGGATGATGTGCTGTCCAAGTCGGCGACATGGAATACCTGTGGGTTGAGACTGCGTAATAGTGACGGCGGCACAGTCCGTTCTGGACCGAAAGAGACTATGCAAGAATCTTTGTTCTTGAGAGTCGAGTCACGCAATGCAGAGACTGTCTGGAACCATTGCGGCGGCTCAGTCAGGATGGACTGAAGGGCGTGATGGTGCAGTGGACCTTGTGTGATTAAATCGCCGCCACGGTTTGAGCGGGTGGGTATCGCCAATCCAGACGAACCATCCGGAAATTGAAATTCTACATGCGCATCGACGAATTTAAGGAGCGACTTGAGCACCTCAGCATTGACATTGGCATGGAATCGTCCGTAGAGGCCGACCTCTGAGGCGATAAGGCCCCCGTCCCTTAATTGTTGTTGTAGGTTGGATACGGCAGCAGCCTTTGTTGTGACAGTAGCTCGATTCTCGTCATAGTTGACGGAAATGTACGTCTGTGGGAATAAGTTAGTTTTCCATGCAATAATCCTACGAAAAAAGGTAACGGGAAAGGGGATAGATGTAACTTACCCCAGGAATGCTCCTCACGATACGCTGCAGTTCTTCTGCGCCCTCCGATGAGTTCCATGCGGCGCTGAGAGACTTCGACGGCTCCGTAGCCGCGTCCTGAGCGTCGACAACTGTGCCGACCAACATAGCCAGCCGTACGGCGACGGCAGCATACTTCTTAAACTGCTCGCGGTCGCTCGTGCTCGATATAGCAAAGGCACTCAGAAGCCCGGTGCAAAGACCGAGAGTCTCCTTATCCGACTTGGATGTGCTAAAGGGGTCGGTTTGTTGCCCTTCTGTGCTGTCACGCAAGAACGTGGCGTACTGGGTGAGATGGGAGACAATAACTAGTGGAATCAAAAGTTTATTTGGGAGGGGGAAGGGAGTCTCGAGTGGCCGTCCCGTTCGGAAAGCGTCGCTTAGGTCTTCTAGTTGCTCCAAACCCGTCGGTATCTTGAGGCTGGGGTTGGAAGCCGTGAGTGACTTCCATATCTGCGGGAATTCGGCAATGGTCCCTAAAACCCAGTTCGAGTCTTCATTATCGACGACAGCCTTGCGGACTTGAGCGAAGGCCACCTCATCAAAAGCTAAGGCAAGCGAACCAAATAGAAGGACGGTGGGTCCGGGTAATGGGCCCCTAAGACGTTCTCCCACATCGATCATGGTGAGTGATCGTAGGTAATGTTGAAAGGGAAAGTTGAGTGGAGTCTAACGAATCAAATGTTGAAAATGAGTTTCAACTGAGCGGTGTCTAATGCAGCCGTGTCCATAGCACGCCTGGATATACAAGCAGGACCTATCCCGGAGTTCGATAAGACTTGCTTTTTGATAAAGGTAGTACACTGATGTGCTACGGCCTTCAGATGCTGTCGCCAGATTTCGATGGGAACCAAAAAAGTACTATTGCGGTCGATCCTTTGTCTATGATAATGGGGAAAGCAAGAAGAGGCTGCTCAACGGTTGATGTTTCCCAGATGCTCAGGTCAAGGCAAGGTCTGGCAATACATATAATAGCCAGCTACCCACATAGGTAGGTAAGGTAAGGTGGTGAGCTGCCGAAGATATGGCTGATAGACGCAACAAAGCGGAACTTCAGGATTCGATTTGTTGGTAACTACCCTGCTTCGGCCCTGGAGAAAGGTGAAATGGCTGCATCTCCATTCAAGCTTATTATCATCACTAGCACTGTGTTTCACGAGGAGACTGTACGTGCAAACGGGTGGCAAGTAAAGGCGCGTTATCGCGCCGAAGAACCTATTAGGATCACGTAAGAAGAAGAAGGGGATGAAGGTTGCCGAACTCCCAGCCAACCAAGCTCTCCATCCTTTTACCCATCAACCTGGAACTTCGCGAAGGGTACGAGATAAGAGAAAACACGTGTGGAAGTTGCACCGAAGGGATCCCAAGAAAGCCACATGGTCACAGAACCAGCCGCGATGGGGCCCAGAGCATGCTTGTAATGCAGGCTCCATCAGCGGTCAACAGATACTGGAACCCAATGAGGTGCTTGATAAAAACTCCGTTGAGCTGTAAGCAATAATCGCTATGCTCATATTCCATCACCACCAATCCCGCCTAAACGTATCGATAGGTAGAGAAGGATCGCGGGGCAAAGTCCGCGCGAACTTATGACGTTCATACTGTATTTCATCTATCGTGGGGGCATTTTGCCAGATTTGAAACGTTGATGTCTTATACATGTCATCGGCCCCCTTCGTTAGACAATGCCGATCGAAAAAGGAAAAAAAAACGGAATGTAGAAGTTGATTTAATGTGCGGCGCTCGCGGCACCGTAATCCCCCCCAGTACAAACATTAGTGTGATTATATAAGATGCTTAGCTACTTAATGCCGTGTACCCAGGCATATTACGAAGGGGGCATACTCGGGTACCTAGGTAGGTAGGTATACGGAGTTGTTGATTAGGGGTGTATCTAATCCCATATTCGGATCTTGGAGATCTAGTGGCGCTCAGCCGCACACCTTGCAATCAAGCCCTGTTCCTTAACGGGTTATGATTCACGGACCAGATTCTGACGCCGTGGCTGACGGGCGGATGCATGGCTCGGTGAAGTAGAATCACCGGGTGCGAGTTACTCCGGTGCATAGTATCCTAATGTAAGCCAAGTACTGTTAGCGAAAGATTCATCCTCTCAGATTGATACTCGGCTTCCAGTAGCGTTACGGCTTGCGATTACGCTAAGACAGAATCCCTAAAGTTAGTATCTAACGTATCACACAACCTTAGTTTCATTTATAGCCCAGTTTTACCTAAGTAGTTTATGGTGTATGAACCGTGATCCTCACGGGGAGACGGGCCATCCAAGTCAGTGTAAAGTATCTTGTAGACGAATAGACGTCCCTTTCCTGTCCCGTTCTTATGGACAATCTACACCGTCAAATCCCCAGGCCCGTGGTAGCACAGCATTGGCATTTATCTCAGCATCACCGCTACCATCTAAGGCATCGTCATACTTTCCTGAGTCATCCGTATTTTGCGAAACTAATCCGCTATGCCTGGCGTTATAGAAGATAACACAATTGAGATCGCCATTGTTGGTGGCGGGATCATTGGATTATGCCTCGCTGCCGGTCTCGCCAAACAGGATGTGACTGTTAAGGTGTACGAGCAGGCCAGAGGCTTCCGAGAGATCGGCGCCGGGATGGCGTTTACAGCCAACGCCATACGATGCATGGGCTTGATAAATCCGGAGATTGCCATCGCTCTGAGGTCCGGTGGTTCTGTAGCTACGTCCTTAGATAAGGACGACCCAAACGATTACTTACGCTGGATCGACGGATATAACCAGCGTCGGGAGGACGATCCATATTACCAGAAACTAATGTTCAAGGCGAATGCCGGACCCAGTGGCTTTGAGGGAACAAGACGCGACCAGTTCTTGGAAGCGCTGGCGAAGGTTATACCCGGAGATATTGTGGAGTTCAGGAAGCGTTTGGATACCATCGACGAGAAAGATGACGGAAAGCTCCAGCTTAATTTCGAGGATGGGACGTCAGCAGAAGCTAATGCCGGTAAGAATTGCGTCTTTCTATCATAAATATGTTTCAAGCTCATCCTTGGCACTAATACGATGGTATAATAAAGTTATCGGATGCGATGGAATCAAATCGCGAGTGAGGGAACTCCTCTTCGGCGCCAATGACCCAGCCTCGTATCCTCACTATACCCACAAGGTAGCCTATCGTGCGCTAGTTCCAATGGATAAAGCCATCGAAGTGCTTGGAGAATACAAAGCCCAAAATCAACACACCCACGTTGGGCCGCATGCTCATATCATCCACTACCCTGTCGCGAACCAGACCTTAATCAACGTTACTGCCTTTGTGTCTGACCCCAACGAGTGGCCTGACGATAAAATCACAGTCGTGCCAGGTTTCCGCAAAGATCTTGAAACTGTGTTCGCCGGTTGGAATCCCTGCCTCACGGCTCTCATCAAGCACTTCCCTGAACAGCCCGAGAAGTGGGCCGTCTTCGACACGTGGGACTACCCGGCGCCGTACTATAATAAAGGCACTATTTGCCTAGCTGGCGACGCCGCACACGCGTCTAGTCCACATCATGGGGCAGGAGCTTGTTGCGGTATCGAAGACGCCCTATGCCTTTTCACATTGATTAAAAAGGTTAAGACAACACTGCAAAAAGGTATAGCAACGAAGAAAGAAGCGCTGACTTCGGCCTTCGAGGTGTACGATGGGATGCGACGGACGCGCAGTCAATGGCTTGTCAACAGCAGTCGGCGCGTATGCGATCTATTCCACCAGCCCGAATGGGGCGACGAGCGCAAGTGGATTAAGGCAGAGACGTGTTTTGAAGAAATCGGTGACCGGTCCTACAAGATCTGGTATTTTAATCACAATGATATGGTGGAGAAGACCGTTCAAGCGTATGATAAGAAGTATCCTACGAAAGACGGTGCGCATGAGAATGATGGTGTAACCGAGACGAAGAGCACTGCTACCACTGTTTCTGTCGCTGTTGCGGTGAACTAGGGCTGTATAAATGCTTACATTCTACCTTTCTACCCTAGAATGTTTGTTATAGTAACAGCCAACATCCCAACGCATTCTTCGCTGTAATCCAGAACCCTGTTTATCACGTCACGATCGTTATTCCCTAACGCAATTCCCAACGTCAATTACTCGGTGTGTTATCGGGGCCGTTGTAAGCTCCGCGGGTTTGTCGTTTTGATTTCCTGATTTCAAAATAACGGAGTATTCGGAGGAGCTTGGCATGTACGTATATATCGAATCATAAGCTTGGAATCGTTATCGCATCAGACGTTCAAAACAAATAAGTTCGCTTATAGCACATTAAATGGGATCGTCAAACAACTGTATATATCCGTACTGTGCAATTCTTACACGCAAGTACTTGGGTTTTTGAAAGGCGAAGATTGATACAATGTGAGAGAATACACATATCCTTTGTCTTACCACCCCGGAAGGAATCTCCTACGGCCCTAACTTGCTTTGATCCTAGATAGATCACCCCACGGGGTATTGACTGCTTAGAAAGAAGGTAGGTGCCTACGCCTTAAACCAGATACACTCGCGAAAAAAAACAGGAAATACACTAAGTACCGTACCCAATCGAAAATCAGATACTAAAGTGCCGGAGGAACCGGAATGAAGCTGACTGGTACTTACCTAGGTATCTTAGTACAAGCCATGGCTTACGACATACTGTAGCCACACTCCGGCAGAACATTGCCGCGAGGTGTTCTTCAATTACGTGTCGGAAGGATGACACGGATTGCGGCCAACTTTTTATCACTCTCTACCTATGTCGTGGGATTTGCGATGATATCTTATCGACTGGTTGGTTGTCTTGTTAATGGTTGTTGAAGAATGATCATGTGTGGTTACACAACGCGCTGCTGACTTGCCTGGTAGGTACATGGGGTGTGTGGTATACACTATTGGAAAGAGATCAGTCATATCTACCATAGCTAAAACTCATTCGCTTAAGAGCTGAAATCATTAGCTACGAGGATTCTATGATCCTTGGTAGATCGGGGCCCTAGGAAGTACTGTGCACCTGTCTCTTATTCCTAGTCATGATCTATGCAGATCGTAGTTCTAGAATCTGACAATAAGAGCGTTTAATCCACTTTGGGAGGAACGAATAGCTTCGTCAGATTTTCTCCGCCTAGCTATAATGAGGCGTTTTCCCCCTTAGATCCCATCAACATATAGAAGGATTCAACGGAAGTATCGCGTAACAACCTCGGATCCGAGGTGTTGCAGCCGATATATCGCGCTAAATACTCCGAGGAGGGTCGGAATAGGACATTGTCAGCATGCATCCTAGCTACTAATTTGAGGCTGGCTATTTGTTCTATGCGACAAGCTGCAAGCTCGCTACCAGCTGAGCCGGCTGGCACGCTGTACGAGATACGCCCGGCGATACCCCCCCCCAAAAAAAGGTTTGCTTACATAGTAACTTCCAAGGTCGTCAACTGCCTGCAACAATCTTCGGCTATTTTACTAGGAATTTAGGTGTTCTCACTCTAGTTCAGGATCCAGATGAACTCTTGGTGATTTTGTTTAGGAAAACAATGTGGAGAGGCTGGGGTACGCTGAACAAAAAGCCCTATGATGGATCCGGAATCGCGCGATAGCGTTGTGTGTTTAAGACAGCTTTTCGGTCGGCAACGTTCCTATATTGGTATCCGCACAGGTAATAGTAACAGCGCCACCGTAGGCCTTAATCTCGTTAAGTAAGGAACACCACAAAGTTACTCCGCTGCCTGCCCCAGATGTCTGTCGCCCTTATTATTGCAGATAAATCTAAGTAATGTGTTTATTCGGCGGGTGAGATGGATGCCGCTTGTGGCGGCCGCATAGACAGGGGTCAATATGCCGTGTGCAACAGACACCATTGTTCATGAACCACTAAAGCCTCGAGCGTAGGGCTCAAGACGCTTTGTTCCTAGCCTAGTGACGCCCTAAGTGACACAATTGATCTGCTGGGGAGCCGCAAGAGAGGGGGACATCATGGAGTTGACATCACTATATATATCTGCCAAGCCGCTCTTAAACTTGAGAACAATGGTGAACCAAGCTAGATCTTCACCTCTAGCCGAAGCCGACTACACTTCTTCAACATTTTAGTCAGTGTCACGTTGAATATTCTTTGCGACGATGTCTCCTATGCTATGCAGTAGCTTCGTCTTTGCCATCTTGGCATTCGCCCGATCTTTAAGTGCTGAGGTGATAACCCGCGATGTTGCCATCATCGGTGGTGGCGCCACGGGAACCTACGCAGCCATAAGTCTAAAAGATCAAGGAAAATCGATCGTCATTGTTGAGCGAAAGGGGGTGCTCGGTGGTCATACAGCTACTTATCACGACCCCGCTACTGGGACGCCTATCAACTACGGCCTCCAAGTGTATTACGACGATGACCAATCCCGCGCCTTCTTTGCCCGTCTCAATATCACCCCCGGGCAAGGGACGTTTCCTAATAACAAAACACCGCTGTACATTGACTTCAATGATGGCGCTCCTATTCTCGGCTATAGCGTCCCTACAATTGGAGATGACTATATCCGGGAACTTCACAAATATCCCTATATCGAGAATGGTATCGAACTACCGGACCCCGTGCCTGAAGACCTACTTCTATCCTGGGAGAAATACTTGGAGAAGTTCAATCTCTCTGATGAAGCCATAGCTACATACTCGCGACCTGCAGTAGCTGGTGACTTGACTAAGATGCTTGCTCTTTATGTCTTCAACAATCTTAACACTGTTCAACTCGAGGAAGAGCTCAATGGCAAGGCTATTGCTAATGCGAATGGCGACTTTGCTGAACTCTATCGGAATGCTCTAAAAGAACTTGGATCCGATGTGCTCCTCAATTCTACTGTAGTCAGCGGCGAGCGCGGTAGCAAGCCCTCTGAGGGCGTCAAGCTCTGCGTCAAGACCCCGGAGGGTGAAAAGCAGATCGTGGCTAAGCAATTGATCTTTGCAGCACCACCGGTACTTGACAATTTGGATGTCCTCGGTTTAGATAAGCGGGAGTCGGATCTCTTCTCCAAATTCTCAGGCGGCTTCTATTATACAGGAGTCGTGACTAATCTGGGGCTGCCAACAGACCACAGCTATGTCAACCGCGCGCAACACACCCCATGGCACGTAGCTACCCTTCCAGGCACTGTCATGTTCAATCCGACATCTGTTGAGGGTACATACTACTATTGGTATACATCGCTAGAGGGGATGTCCCAGCAGCAGGTTGAGAGCTCGACGCGCGACACGCTCAAACTTCTACAGAGATCTGTGAACGGGTCGAACATTAATGCAGAGCCCAATTTCGTGGCTTATAATAGCCACACCCCACTCCACCCTACTGCAGATGCAGATTCGATCCGAGCCGGCGTATACCGTGATTATTACGGTATCCAAGGCTACCGCAACACCTGGTACACGGGCTCTCTGCTGGTAACTGGTTCTCCACAGCTGTGGAACATTACCAGCCAGCTTCTACCCAAGATCATCGCCGCTTCTGAGCAGTAGATGATACACCTGTCCGTTTGCTGAACTTATGGAGTTTTCCTCTGCGTATGGCTAGGTACTTGAGTGCATATATAGTCGTTTATGTATATATCAGTGATACATAAACCAATACCTAATACACCATGTAGCAATCATGCCTCTTTCTTTTATTATGAGCATGCGGATCATATCGAACGCCCGTGCGTTGTGCCAAGAAGAGCTTAACGAATAAAAAACATAGCAACAATATTTACCATGTGCATGATCGTGCCCCCACGATTTTCTCCGATTAGGTATTTGGGGTAACATCTACCCGACTTGGGTCCTCTTTCGATCAGCTTAGATCTAGCTCTCCTGTGATAGGCATTATGCATAAGTACGGCGTAGCATACACATGCGCGTAAGAGTCTAGGTTGTGTGAGACAGCCCCCGTAAAATTACGTACTCAAATATCCAACTAGGTACCCACGGATAAGTATTTAAGGTGATTTATACTTCATCTGAATCAAGATGTGTAGGTACTTTTGTAAGTGAGACTAGACCGGTCAAGGAACGCCACATACATTACTTACGAAACTTGTCACATCCTTAACGGCACCAATGGTTGAAAGTGTTTGCATCTCTTTCCCGTCTTCAATCACGGGCTTCAAGCGGGGCTTGGGAAGCAGGCCTAAAGGTTGCCTATATTGCTTATATCCTCTTCTGCCGTGCGATTCGTAAAAATATATGGACTCATCACGGATGTCGGCCTCTTGTAAGGCATTAGTCATGAATATTGGCATAAATATATAATTTGGTGTAACCAACGCGCCTCCTCAATGTCCTCAACAAGACCACCCTCGGCAAAGTACATAGGTAGCCTGTTGGGTAGATAAGACAGGCAGATAATATGACCCGAAATGACGGTGAATGAGTAACTGATGAATACCTAGCAAGGTCTTCAACCTACCAATCGGCAACCGGAGCCGCTGACATATCCGACCTCCGTCCCCGGATTTGACTGATCAAATTTCCACAACGCACGTATCCTAGTCCTATCAAGTAAAGTCACGTCGTACAACATTCATCTTTTACTCCTCTTCCTTCGAGCCGTGTTGTGATGTTCGTGTCATCCGTTCGTAAGAAAGAGCATTAGGATACCGAGAGTTAGGGGTGTATAAGCAGGAAGCCGCTACCTTGGCAGGAAACGATGTAGCTGTCAGTGCATTGACGTAAATCAGGGCTAGGTACATTGGTACAAGATCTACTGAATAGTTCATATTAAACTATAGTTCTAACGCCCCGAACCTAGACGGTCAGTTCCGCAACCTTAAGGACGACAGTACCTAGGTATCGGTATCGCTTGTGTGACGCTAGTAGCGCCCACGTTATATCAACTATCTGCGGAAATGCAACAAACTGTCCCTAGCTCGATTCGTGTATCGATGCACCACCACCGGCGGAGAACCCGCCGATTGTATTCTCTCCGATGCGGGGCATATCACACCCATAGGTACTACTTGCTGATCTTATACCTAAAGGTTTTGTGAGGTTAAGTGCGTAGGCTTACCCACACGTATGACAACAGATAATTTTCCTATCATGACTCGCCACTCTGCTGTGTCATTGAAGGAAGCAGCGCGTAGGAATTGAGGTATTTTTTGTCCCTCGCGCACTTATGCCTTAATCTAAATAAGTAATAAGTAAAATAGGCAGGCTACCTTCGTAAATAATTGCCATCAGAGGAACCAAACATAGCGAGAGGAAGTTGGAAAGGAATATGGGAAAGGAACGACCTGATGCCGATCTGAGACAATAGCCAATGCTTAGACAATTAGGCCTGGTAACACAATTGGGTGGGTGACGTTCCTGGCAGTGCTTTTATGTAGACCTACGGTACCTTGATAGCCACCGTACCTACATACGCAGAATTCCAGGAATGTGCACAATAGCTATCCGATAATAAACAGATCAGCAAATAATAAACAAATTAATCAGTTCAGACATATGATTCAGAAATTACTAAGAGCATATAAGGATTCTAAATAATTTTAGATGAATATCCCGACATATCATGGTAAATGACCGTCAATTATCATGAATGAGATCTACGCGGCTCCACATACGGGAAAAGTCCCTAGGGCACTTAGAATGTAACCCCAAACCAACAACTGTTTTTTTTCCCTTACCTTTTAGAGGAATTGGGGGAAGAGCTTAATGTGACCTCTCGTTGACAAGGTTCTTTCGTTCAAATAGGTAACAGTTAAGATCAAAAGCACCCGAGCTGGGTTTAATAACATTAAATTCAGATACTTAACAAGTCAAAAGGGCGATGATCCTATGCTAAAGTTTGGATGAGACAACAGAACATCTGCATGGTTTCTTATTATTATTCTTGTGTTTCGGGACTTGTTTACTCTAAAATAATATTTACTTGGTAGGTAGTGATGATTACTAGGTATCTAGGTAAGGCTGTACGGTCATTGTCCAAGTCATAATTTGTAGCGGTAATATCCGTCCGCTTAGGTACCCTGTCCCCTGTCTTGTCCTGTCATTCCCAAAACGCCTTCCCCAACCTCAACTAGTGAGACAAAATAAATGCCATACGTTTGAGCAAACCAACATTAGTGGCTGATGCCGTTGTTGAAGTTGATCATCTCAAACGTACGTAGCTAATTTTTGATAGCGAGCGATGGGGAATAAAACTAAAAAAAAGAATGACCTTCCTTCCTAGTGTTCAAACGGCCAATGAACCCCCCAAAAACCAATGAGGCAACCCGTAATCAATAATACAATCCAACCGACGTAGGCGGGGGTTGGTGTCGATCGCTCCTTTTCTACAAACCTATCTCGAATAAGCCCCGAGACCCAGTCCAAGATTGCTGAAACTCATTAGACCATGCATGGCTTCAGTAATGTCCTGCAGTTGCTTGCTGTAGGTGTCACCTAGCTCATGGTAAGAGACAAAAAATTCTGTGCATAACGATAATGGGATTGGGGTGAGAGGATGGACCTAATTAAAATATTGTTAGTGCATGATTGGTGTGGTCGGAGGTGTGGTGGATTATCATACCTTGAATGAATTTAATTGCGACAACTTGTTAGTTAAGCTTACGATCTCCTTAGCAGCAACTGTGGATTGTCTCGTGTAATCTGATAAGACCGATCTCTTTTCGTCGGTGGGGTGCACGATGGTTTTTAAGAGCTGATACATGTAGAGTACGGTTGTCCGCCACATCATGCTAATGAAAAGGAGCATGGGATCGGCTTCCTGCGCCGAGAGAGGGTAGTTTAAAGAGAACACTTCCATCCGCTGTATAAGAAGAGCGTTAATCCATTCGTGCCGTTCCCAAAAATCCCGCGTTTCGTTGAGATACAAATTGTCGATCATGGATTGCTGCCGATGTGATAGCGCACGGCCAATGACGGTCGCGACGACGATGGACTCCGTGAACGTTGACAGGGAAATAGCATCCCTCGTCGATACAGCATCCAAAAGAAATCCGGTTAAAGTAGGTTGCTCGTTTTGGAATTCCGTTTCCGGTGCCGGCAGCCGAATCGTGTTCTGGTTCGGGGGGTTTATCAAGTCAGCACTAAGTTAAACATATGACGATCCGGCACCTGGGGAAGGATCATGTACCTGTTCGCTAAAGGTCGTCGGCGAATTATTCCGAACGCTGACGAACCGATCCAAGCAGTAAGCTAACCAAAATGTCCTCCTTTTTTGCTCCATGTCTACCCAATCCGTCCGTGTGAGGTTTCCGTCGGGACCATCCGAATATTCGAGCCAATTCAGTTGGATTAGTCGGAATGCACGGCCGGCGCTCACCCATCCTCTCTTAAAATCGACGCACATGAACTCATGGATAGCTAGGAGGAGCCAGGCCTGTATTTGCTCCATCTCGGTCGTCGCAATCCTCATGCACTTTGAATCGAGGCCTTCGAGAGCCCGACGGGTGTAGCGGTATAAAGCGTCGCCGATGTTTTGATAATGTGCCGAGACCGATGCCGCTAGAGTCCACATAGCGTAGCGTAGACAAGATTGAGCTTCCGTCTTAGCCATACTGCGCGCCCAGGCGAAGTACCGTCGTTGATGTATGACGGGCGCAAAGGTGTGCACCCTATCGAAGTAGAGTTGATCTCTGCCTATGGTTAAGCCCGAGTGACATGAGAGGAACAAAATTGAAAACACCACTTACAGGTCTGCCTGCATTAAATTTGATATGTTGATCCCGTCCAGCCCGTCCAACGGCTCCGACATCTTCCGTCCTAGCAATGCTTCTTGAAGGCCCACTCCATCGCTTGGGGTCTCAAATCCTTGTATAGGTGATGTTGAGGCGTGTACTGAACCGCCATCTAACGACGATCCACCCGATGCCGTCCCTGGTGCAGTTCCCTGGCATAGATCGCGAAGTGTTGTGTCTCCGTCTGTCGTGATCGGAAAGTCCCATGTTAACGGTGCTTGCTCGGTAAATGTAATGCTCTCAATTGAGTTTTCTTCGGGAGATATAGTTATCGTATGATTATTACTGTTCTGGCGTTGCTGCTGCTGCTGTTGTTGTTGCTGTTGCTGGAGTAGGGTTCCTTCAAGGGTAGCTAGGATGAGGGGTAGTGTCAGCATTAAATCCAGGTCGGGTTACATCGAAGCTATTCATATTTCCTCCCTTGGTTTGGTGGGGTAAATCGTAAAGTGATTAGATCTAGACTAAAACATACCGATTCGAGCTTGTAACGCTTTTAGATATCCTCGCTTCGGTCCACGAGGAGGACGAGGTGTTGTGACTTGGCATTGTACGCCAGAGGATGAGCAGAGGCCACACGCGGGTTGTTGCCTATCACAACGTACTTTACGACGACGACATTCTTCGCAAGCTATTTAATTGGCGTGTCAGCGATGCGTGAAGCTAAAGTCTTGGGAGCGGTGATAATTCACTCACCTGTTGAGAGGCGTACGGTTATGTCGGTTGGTCATCCTCAGGTATCACTTGTACGTCTAATCGTACATGCAATCTCTGAGGAGACCCGACAATTCCGCACGTGAATTGTTAGCTTGGTTTGCCCCGTGGTTTATGAAAGGCCACCGATTGGCATAACGTACCTGCGCCTGGATTCTGTCGCGCCGGCGGCGATGATGTTTTGACGTTTAAATCGACCGATTGGGGCATCTTCCCAGAGCTTTGGTTGGTTGGTTGGATATGTTTCGTTAACTGGACTTAACCAATACTAGCTATGATCCTAGGGCGGGGGAGCTTATATAAATTTCCTTAGCTTACGATTGCCTAGGCGAAGAAGGAGGAAAGAACCGTAGCTGTGGGAGCCTGGTATATATCTAGGATATGACGGCGGTACTAGGAGATGCCGCCGAACGATCCAGAAAAGATATTTGTGACCGCAATCGCTGTTCACGGAGCTGCGAGGCGTCTTTCGTGGATGGGGTACATACTCACCTACATAAGTCCTACGAGTGTATACTCTTACTTGACGAATTTCTGTTTTATGCTGATTGGATTGGGCTGAACATGTGGTTTCAGGGGAGGTTTGCTGACCCAAGGGGTACGACTAGGGGCATGGCTGACAGTTTAAACTTAGTAGGATTAAAATCCTTACCTTCATTGCGTATCCGCCACTAGACAAGAAAGATCGCCGAGGGATTCGCGATGAAATTCTTACTAGCTACCTCCTATGTATGAAATCGCAGTATGTATTAAATACCTAGGATTAGCAGGGTTCGATGTTAGACGCAGGGCACCTTTGAGCACCAAAGATCCCCAACATTAAAGGTCCATCCTATGCTACATTACCATGTGTCACCCACGAGAGCAAATAAAACGAGTTCAGGTTATGATATGCCTATGCGAAAGATCACGTGGTGACTGGCCTCTGTAGGTGGTTGACAAAAGAGATGCTGCCAATCGGATCATCTAGATAGGCATACAATAAGACGGCTTATTTCGCCCCGTCTTAGAAGCATGCCTCAAACGAGTCAGCGCGGATACCTAGTTGGATAGATGTTAGGATCAAAATCTATTGTCCATAAATGTTAAGTATACAATACTAAGAATTATACAGGGTAGATGATGTATAGGGTCACCCACATACATCCACTATGATCTCCGTAAGCATTGGCGTAGAGCGTTGGATGGAGAGAACTTAGCAATCCCATAACTCGATAGCGGAGATTTCTTACCCCAGTCATACCCATTGTTTCATGCTTTCGCGTGGGGCCCAATTGCAGAGAGATCTGAGGCTCTTTGGTCATAATTATCCCTAAACTATTGCGTCTTCCTTCGCTCACGATGCGTGATAAGGTGGGCAGGACAATGCACATCTTTGGCATTTTTGGGTTCATGAATCGTGGCGAATCATCTTCGAGGATCTAATTGCGGGTTTCGATATCAAAAATGTTACGCACCCATCGTCAATAAGCCGTATTCATTAGCGTTATAAGGTAGGCTGAGTTTGTAGGGCGATGATGATCTGTAGCACAAAAAAACATGCAGCTCTCGGCGACTGAAGAGATAGGATATGCACATGGGTAGTAGCAATGGAAACAGGCGACGGCGATAAGGGGAATGCAAGGTCAGACGACCTTATCAAATTCTCCCCCAATGCAATATAGTGACTACCTAGGTAGGTAGAAACTCAAGTTTAGAGAAATACCTACCTAGGTATTATTGACCGTTGTTGTTGTCTTAGGGTCAAGCAATTGTTACGTTTGACGTTAGCAAACGTCGGTGTTGGAACTTTTGTCAGATGTCGTAGCCACTAACTACTCGCCACTCTGACATCGGGTTGAGACACCGAGGCCTACAAATTCGCCTTAGCTTCCACCTTCGTATTTCAAGGAAAGCTATACACAAGAGGGCCTTAGCGTATACTTAGCGTATGACTAAATTAGTAGTCGGTCAATAAAAATGTTTCGCGGCTCAACATTCTACATCCGTTATAAACATGGGAGGTTGGCTTGGCACCTAGCACCTAAAGCCCACGTAAGGAAGTATTCTATATGTAAGAATAGTTCTTCCCGTAGGAGCCGACCTAGTAGATTGAGCATCTAGGCTAAAGGAGGAGAGAGAGAAAAGAGGCTCCCCGGCCTTTGGGTGTTTTAGGTTATTTACATCCATTGTGTTTCGGCGTACCCTTTCTTCTCATCTATAAACGATGCTAATCTTAATTGTGAGTGGTTATGTTTTAGTTACCAAAAGGTTCTTATTAAGCTGATAATATTTGGAACACCGCCTTTTGCTATAATTAAGTTGTTTCATGCCTGGGAGAAACAACGACGAAGTTAAAAGAATAGCATATACAATGTTACTATCAAGTAGGTGTTATAGGGTGAAGCCGGGTAAGTTCGGTCCCGGTCGCGCCCCGCGATTACCCACCCGGACCGGGGCTAAATATCCAGGGATGGATTCAATCAGCCCTGCACCATGCTATGATCTTGGAAAATGCTTGGCAATTTGGTACTTGGCTGAGAGATTTCGAAAAGGCTTGATGAATGCTTCAACGTTTCAATCGAGATTGCCCCCACGCATTTCTACCAGGTAAGTAAGAAAACACGTTTGAACCGTAACATTAAATGGAGAAGGCCGTATAAGTGAAGAGTCTGATTGGCTAGGAGTTATCTAAATAATATCTAAATAATATTTTTGTCCAATTGACAATCCCTTGTTGGGGATATGGTGATATCGTCTGTCTAAGAGTGTTCGGATGAGTAGACTTCCATTTTGTTATGTCGCCAAGTGATGATTAAAAGATATTATGCGCCTGCAACCTAACTACGCTAAGTCCCTTGTTGGTCAAGGCCTCATGATGAACTCTACCTAGGTACTCTCAATAGCATGGTTAGACCCCCGGCTTGTTTCAAATGCTTCATGTAGTGAATTACAAGGCTGAAGGTGAACCCTTAGCAATATTCCCTGCAAACATGTGCTCAAGCACATGGCTCTGCGTTCGGTTTGGAGTTACCTAGGTATAGTCTCTTCCAGATCTAGACCCATGCTGCGGGTTAATCTGGAAGGGCCCTTTGTTTACAGGGGATAGAAATAAGTACATAAAGTGAAGGACAACCGGCAGTAAAGTTGCCCGACCTGCGAATATCTCGCGCATATCGCGGCCGTTTTATCCCACGAAGCGTTACTAAAGGTGAATAATATGCAATGTTAAGCATTAGTTGTAATGATTCTAAATCGTTCTCGTTCATTGATCAAATAGATTTATAATTAGCATTTCGCAATGATCTGATCTGATCACATTTATTATGGCGAGAATAATATGTCGGCCGTATCACGTCTTATCGACGATATAAAATCCTTGACGACGCGTAAAAGTACATAGATAGCCTTTTCTGTGCTACAAATAAGCACGGTGACGTCGAAGGCTTTTATGCAGCTTTACACCTCCAGCGGGGGAGGGGAAGGAATAAGGGAAAGACGCCGGCTTGTAGATACCTTAACACTTCACCCCGTGGTACTAAATAATAAGCTTATGTTATAGTGTGACCGATCCGGTAGATAGCGAGAGCATGATTGGTTGCTAAGAGCTCGGGGTTCCGAAAGCTTATTTCTTTAAACCTTCGGATTTTGTGATTTGCACTTTGCCATCTGTTTAGAGTGTTGGAAACGGTAGGCTGGATGAGATAGCTCGCAACGGTAATAAATACCCCCCCAGGGGTAGTGATAAGGGTAAGGATAGGTAGTAGCGCAAGGACAGGGACAAAGAACCCTAACGTTTAGCTTCCGTGTTTTCTGCAAGCGACCCCGTCCATCCATCCATCCACCTCTTGGGCTACCTCACCCCACACTTTTCTCCTACTTTCAGAACAACGTCCACCAATCGATTCGCCCAAGGATATCAAGCCATGCTGAGCTGATATTTAGAAAGTTCGATACAGATCCTGGGGGCCGAAATACAATAGGACTAGGATGCTTGGGTATATATGCCTGCTGAATCCCACATACATCTCGGTTCTGACAACTCGGTTTCCGCTCATGCGGCGAGCTCGGATGTCAATGAAGAAATGGAGTTACGAACCTGTCTTGGAACTTTGAAGTTTCTGTCAGCAGCAGAAGAGAAATCACCAATAAGCTAGAGGATGTGACATTATCGGACGGTTTCCACCTCCTCCTTCCATATCCATGCCTCTGGTTCTTACTCCGCTCACCCGAGTCGCCCACAGGTGCAGGAAAAGGCGCACAGACAGATTCGATAGATTGTCGTGTCTCGGTATCCTGTTGCGTAACCCATAATATTGAACTTCTCCGGTTACACCCAGGTGCGTTTGACCCACAACGTGACTTAACAAGTCAGCCACAAATAGAGACTCGTCATTTCACCGCTATACCCCGATCACTCTAGCCCAGTGCTCTATATCGCTCGTGTATTCTGTGTAATGAGCTCTGTGTTCTAGATTTGGATAAAGCATTAATATGATTGAGTACCTACCGTTGGCGGACCTAATTCTTGTGTAACCGCAAAGTTGTGGGTCTGCCTTTGTCCTACCAAGGTAATCAACACCGGTACCTAATTTCTATGCGGGATACTGGATGCTTTCGAACTCTCCAGCACTTATACGTATGGACTGGTAGGAAAGTATCCGCGATCTTGGAAGATGCATCCATGTCGTGGTACAGGTAGTCTCAAGCCATGTGGATGGATACAAGGACCCCCCGCCCCCCAAGAGAAAAGGATGTGAACGCCGCATTGGGACAAATGTTGCTCAAGCTAGCCCAAATTATGACGAGAAGTTGGCTGCGGCTAAGCCCTCTGAGAACTCTTGAAGGAATCTGTCTTCTTGTACGTTAAGCTTATTCTATCTTCGGCAAGGGAATACCATCCCTTACATGAAGGGTATGACGTGTTGGTGTTTAGAAAGCTTAGTCGAGGTCTGGGTGAAGCTCCATGTTTCTGGTGGGGCCGTATTACCTGTATAGGTCTCCAGGTGAGAAATCTCACCACCGAATGTCCTGATCAATGCGTTGCTAGACGATCGCGGAGAATTATCGTGATCGCTCGGTATCTATGGAATTATTAAGTTACACAACATGTCAGGTCATCGAGTGCTGCATGTAAGATGGGCAAGCCTACGATATGCTGAGGGGATATGAGAAGACACGGGGATAGGGTACTGGATTCTTATTTTTCTACATAATGGATTTTTGTGATAGCCAGATTTTGACTCAAATCTAGCGACTAACATTATCCTCCGAATGCATTCTATGGCAGATGCCTAGCTAAGAAGTGTCTGGGACGAAGCTATATAGGGATCCCCTTGCATATTTAGCAGTGAATCTGTCTCATCTCACACGGGTATACCTCAAATTCACAGGGTAACAACCAACTTGGTAGCCGAAACACCCTTGTTGATACGGTCCACGGCCTCCTGAATCTTGTCTACACCCTTGCCAACAATGGTGGGTTCGGGTGCCGGTATGTAAGTACCCGCCTTCAAGGCCGGGCCCAGGAAGTCGTTGTAGATGGCCTTTCCAACGAAGTTGTCCTTAAGAGTTGTGCCAAATATAGAGTACATCTGAACACCCGCGGGTGGCTCGGGCCAACCACGCTTGGTACAGGCGATGCCCTTATCCCCCTCAGTCTTAGATAGGACCTGCTGTAGGATGCCCTGCGGAGCGCCACCGATGCATTCTAGAGCGCCAGCAGTAGTCTTGCCTTTCAAAGCAGTGATAAGATCCTGCTCTATGGTAGGGCTCTTGTAGTCAAAGACCTGGCTAGCACCAAGCTTCTTCACGTAGTCGAAGTTCTTCGGAGAGGCAGTAGTGATGACTTCATAACCAGAGTTCTTGACGAGTTGGATAGCATTGCTGCCGACGGCCGAAGCACCACCCCAGACGATGAAAGTCTTACCTGTGGGCTTCTGAGGGGGGACGGTAGGAAGTTGAAGTTTAAGGCTACTATCTTGGTAGAGACCACAGGCGGCAGTAGACAGGGCTAGCGGGAAAACGGCAGCCTTCTCGAATGGAATGTGGTCGGGGATGTGAGTAGCCATGTTGGTCTGAATGATGGTGTACTCTTGGAAGGCGTTGTCCTGGTTACGCTTGGTAGCCATGCCGACGGCGTGACCGAAGACGCGATCGCCAACCTTGAAGTCGGTGACACCAGGGCCGACAGCAGCGACAACACCGGCAGCGTCTTGACCTAACATGGTAGGGTAGTTAAGGGGCCACCAACCACCAACCTGGAGAGAACCATCGACGGGATTGATAGCAATAGCATGGTTCTTGAGAAGAATCTCATTGGCTTCGGGGGTCCATACTGGGGCAGGTTCAACCACAAAAGGGTGGCTCTTGGCCGCTTTAATCCACGCCGCGCTGTTGCTAGCCATTTTGATTCTCTCCTGCGAAAAATGTCTGGGTCGCTGGCTTGTGGAGCTCGTAAGGGTTGGGAGATGATATTTAGATGTAGTTGTGGTGGAGTGGTTGTTAGAAATGGGTGAGGATAATGAGAGAAATCTAATTCTAATCTGGCGGCTGATGCCAAGTCTTAAGAATGTTTGCGAGAGTTGTGCACTCGGAGGGGGAGTACTGAAAGCCATGTGTGAATCATGTATGTTTAAGGCGTTTCCCTGATTTCCTTGCTTCAAGGCTCTTTCTTCTAGACAGAAATGCTGGGGATTGGACGTATGTACGAGCCTGCTTGTCGGAAGAAAGAAAGGATATGAATGGTGAGGTAGTACCTCCGCCGCCGAAGCTAGAATCACGTATGGGCCGGGTGGGGATCTTAGGCCGATACCTACGACTCCTCCGGCTCGTAGTTAGACCCCTGCATTAAGGCTGGATATCTGCCTGATTTGCATGCTAGAATTGTGAACTATTACGAAATCATTAGGTCGAAGGATCCTAACTAGTATCAAAAATAAAACCAAATCAGTGGCTAACTTTCCGCGTGAGAATTGTGGTAGGGCATAGGAAAATGCATGCAGAGACAGCTGTGATGAATATCTTATGTCCGAGGCACCGGAGTTAACTGGCGCCCCTGTCCTGTCCCCACACCTCGGATTTCGGAGATTCGTACACCTCGGAATAAACCTGAATTTGTTTATGGTACCCAATCAACAGCAATCTACAGGGGTACCTATGCTACACTAGCTCACGCACGCAAATAAGGTTGTATCCTCCTGCAGACGAAAGTTAGTTCGATGGTCCACTGTATAAAGCTCTATTCGCGTGGGGAACTTCCTACTAGCTTCCTTACGTAAACCAACAATCCTTAAATTCCTTGTCTCCTTCATACAAATCCGAGCTACGGCTCGGACTTTCCATCTTACTAACTTCATCAATTTTGATCAGGAGATACCTTTGAAATGGAGATTTTTATACGACAAAGAGTAAGGAGCAAGCAGACAACTTTGTACCTGCCTTAGCAGAACAGCGAAGAGGATTCCGGACCAGTCCTATTATTAAACAAATCCTTCCATTGCGTATAGTAATTACCAAGTCCGCGGCAGCTGGGACAAAAAGATCACATTGAAATGCATCTTCTACCCATATAGATAAGTGAACCACGCATGGAAAGTGTGAAAACGTAGAAAGATCCTTGATCCACTACCTAAAAACGACCCTACTATTCTTACCACATCTGCGTCCGAAGGCATTGATGATTGGCTTAGTTTAACAGTACATCCGTTCCGTTGGATTCTCAAGCATCGCGACTATATTCAAACTTCTTCAGCACCACTAATGAAACTCCATTGAAGGCCCACCACACCCTCTCGAGTCCTAGAAGAACTCCCTGCGAATAAGTTACTGCAATAAAAAATACGTGTCGCTTGTCATCATCCGGATCAATAAAAATTCGTACTATCATCTCGCCAAGGGGAAATTTTTCAAGACAGAGATTAGACATCTTCGTCTGCTCGGAACTATTTCCGAAACTCCGAGGACGTTTGCCATAGCAACCTCCACAGCTCGTACGTACCTTACCTAGTATCTAAGGCGACACAAATTCGACTGTTTTCCTCTCCTTCCCTCCAGTTGTCGTATCCTCCACAAGCGTCTCCACGACCCTAGCCCTATTGTCTACCGACCATCACTACAGCCTTCGCCATCGCAATGGCTCACGAAACGAGCGCGCACCAATCGCCCGTAAGCGACTCTGAAGATATTACCATATCTAATAGCAGCTTCGTCGCTTCAAATGAGAAGACCGAGGTCGCAGACGAAAGAAATGGGAATGTCCAGCCGAGCGAGCTCGAGAATGCCGAACCGAAAGAACCCCCTCGGACCGGCCCGCCGCCACCGCCCAACGGAGGCTTCATCGCATGGCTCCATGTAGTCGGCGGCTTCATGCTTTTTTTCAATACCTGGGGCATTCTAAATGCCTTCGGGGTCTTCCAAACCTACTACGAATCCGGCCAACTCTTCGAAAGGTCTTCATCCGACATCTCATGGATCGGATCGATTCAGTCGTTTATGGTGCTGCTCGGCGGTGTCTTCGCCGGTCCCATCTACGATAGAGGTTACCTTACACATCTGCTTATCGTCGGTAGCTTTGGTATCGTGTTCGGACACATGATGCTGAGTCTTTGCAAGCAATATTGGGAGGTCGTCCTTGCCCAAGGTCTTTGCGTCGGATTAGGAGCGGGCATGTTGTTCGTGCCTTGCGTGTCCCTTATCCCTCAATATTTCAGCACAAAGCTCGGCCTTGCTGTTGGTCTAGCATCTTCGGGTTCTTCTGTTGGCGGTATCATCTACCCCATCGTCCTATACCAGCTCGTCGATAGAATTGGGTTCGCATGGTCAGTCCGTGTCATGGGTTTCATCGCTCTCGGAACACTACTTATCCCAATCTCGATCATGAGAATGCGATTCAAAGCTCCTAAGGCCAGATCAATGGTCGACTGGACTGCATTCCGCGATATCCCATACATGGCTTTCACGCTAAGTACATTCATCGGCTTCATGGGACTCAGCATTCTCATTTTCTACATCTCATACTATCCCCAAGAGCAAGGGCTTACCGACGAGGCACTCTCCTTCTACATGGTCCCTATCTTCAACGCCGCTTCTTGCTTCGGCCGAGTCGTTCCCAACGCCGTATCGGATAAAGTTGGCCCATTCAACGTCATCGCGCCGTGTTCGGTTATCACTGGTATCCTGATGCTCTGCATGATGGCGGCTCACACTAGGGGTGCGGTGATCGCCATTGCGGTCCTTGCTGGTTTCTTCAGTGGCGTGTTCATTGCCATGCCCCCTGTCTGCTTTTTCCCTTTGACCAAGGATAAGTCAAAGCTAGGGACCAGAGTAGGTATGGGCTTTGGTATTATTGCCTTGGGTCTGCTAGTCGGCAGTCCAGTGGCTGGTGCTATCCTCGGCGAGACCAAGCCATTAGACTGGCGAGGCTTATGGGGGTTTGGTGGAGCTACCGCTACCTTAGCTGGATTGCTGTACGGTGCCTTGAGAGTCTATCGCTCTGGGTTCAAGCTCAATATCAAGGCGTAAACCATCTTCTCCTCCACGACATACAAACTACCCCTTATAAAATACTCTCAATCCCCACGGCAATCCGCAAAGCTGCATTATGTAGAGCATATGGTGCAATCGGGAGCGGCATGAATATTGCGTAGATTTAGAATTCACATGGAAATACCAGGCTTTAAGTTCTGAATTAAGGCATCGTAAAGGTTTGGAGGGTTTCCCCAGCGTACAGAATGAGATTAATGGCATCAGATTGGCAATGATCATGAGTCAGATAAAAGTTCCCTTCTCTAAATATTCATTGCGGCATACTAGACTTCACCAGGCCAATAGGCCACCTAATCTAAATCTCCCATAACACTTGTATATAGTCCACGTCCTCATTCACTAACTAACAACCTAGCGTTAACGGGAGATATAAGGAACAGTACACATACATCTCAATGGAATTACGTGGCTTATCTTTCGTTCCCTGATAATATGTTTCAATTTACCCAGGTAATTAATACATGAATCCCAAGCCAGAACGTTGCTGCTTGTCGAAAATAAACCGTATTCAACCTCCCTCTTCCCACCACTCTCCTATACAAGCAAGAACCTTGGAAATACAAAAAGTATATTTTCGACCAAATTGCTTTAGAACAATTCCAGATATCTCAAAGGGGCTTGCGGACGGCACATTTGAATGGAGTTATGACGACATTATCGAGATCCCATACGCCAAGTTTGGCATAGACGTCATCATCAACCAAAGAACGGACTTCATCTTCTAAGTTCGCTCGCACGAGCCATACACTGCCATTGATATCGAGACCCTTATCAGGAGGCTTAGGGTGTGTGGTCAAGGTTGGGCCAGACATGACAATAGTGCCCGCCTCGACTAGACCCTTCATTCTTGCCAAATGTGCTTGTACATTTTCAGTGCGGGTTGCTAGCACGCCAGGCTTGTCGTGTATTTGGACAATAAAGTCATTCAGTTGCGACATAATGGTAGTGAAGTGAAAAGTTGTCAAGTGGAGGATGAATAGTTCCCTAATTTCGGTTGGGCATTGATCTCGTAGCAGCTGCTACCTAGGTACTGTATTGGTATGTGTGTCTGTCTACTACTATATTGCTAGAAAACCGCGATATTAAACCCTCCTTCAGGTAGCTCCTCCAGTGCCGCTATTTCTCCAACCGGCTCTATAGAAAATCGTTTCGTGCGCATCGTTATCACCATACTCCGCAGTGAACTAGGTCTCAGCCAAGGGCCCAGCGTCAACACTACGTCAAATCCTTCATCCGTAGCCCTCGGCCCGAGTCGCGTCAACTATTTTAATGGGTGTGGAACATTAAAAAAAAAATACTCAATAAAAATGACGATCAAGGCGGAAGAAGCCAGCAAATAAAACACAACCATCCTTATCTCCTTGTTTTCGCAGATACATGGCTTACCTCCTTTTCCAGTCTTCGCCGAATATACCCATTCAGGTTTAATTCCGGCGCCACATTCCTGCAATATGATGAATTTGGCTACTTTCGGTGTAGGATATGCGACCGGATATAATACTTCTGTCAGTGTGGAGGAGGTTTTGCTTTTGGTACGACACGCAGCTCGGACGCGGAGTTTCTTATAATTTGATGGCTGAAGTTCTAGATTAATTTGTAGCAATAATGCGCATCATCGCGGCCCTACACGGTCATGTCCACGGAGTAACAAGTTCCTTGCTTACGGGATACTTTCAAATCCACTCGACTATGCTAATGCGTATGGTGTTGCACAAAGATATAGGCGAGGCCGGCCGGCTTGGAGTTTCTGGGACACTATGAAGGATGAGAATACCGTCTTACGACTGAGACGCACTGTATCTGGAGTTTCTCTTGCAACGTGTTGAACCACTGTGCTAGTCTCCGTTGTATCTGGAGATAGCGTTCTTCCCATCGGGTGAAGCTCAACTTAGTCAGCAGAGCAATAGAGTAATAAAAATGGATCAAAACGTCTTCAAAAAGAGCTATTATCGTAATACGTTGCAAATAGTGTCTTGAAAAAGCAGTAGCGACCTCGAATCTTCGGTGACGATAACTGTGTAACAGTATATAGAGAAAACATATTAAATCAGCCAAAATAGGGAACAAAATGGGTAGTATCGAGAAAATCGCCGAAACGGCACCTGAAGCCATCCCTACTGTGGATATCAGTCCCTTTACGGACCCGAATGCTTCCGAGGCGGCCAAGCAAGGTGTCGTAGACGCCGTGCGTCACGCTTGCACTACCTACGGTTTCTTTTACCTCGCCGGCCATGGCGTTAGTAAAGAGAAGCGTGATGGTATTCTTGACTGTGCTAAGAAGTTCTTTGATCTCCCCCAGGAGGATCGCATGGAGGTCTGGATTGGAAAGTGTATGGGAAAATCGTTCCGTGGCTATGAACCTCCTGGAATTCAGACCCACCAAAAGGGGCTTCTTCCTGATATTAAGGAGGTACGTAATATTTTCCCCAGATTACCTTACAGAATTAATACTAACGCAAATACGGTTTTTATTAGTGCTATGTCATCGGCCATGAAGTTCCTGCCGACGACCCTGATGCCGGTACCTTCTCAACTGGTCCTAACCTATGGCCTAAAGCCCTTAAGGATGAGGAGTTCCGAACCCCCGCTATGGAGTACCAGGCTACCATGCTTGCGCTCTCCAAGGTGCTTCTGAAGCTCCTAGCCCGCGGTCTCCCTAAGAGTTGGGGACAACCCCCCGACGTTATGGACGAGTTCGCTGTCAATCCCTCTATGCCTATGAGATTTTTACACTACGCCCCCCAAGAAGTACTTGATGGGCGACAATTCGGCGGTATGTATTCATGCGCCTCCTTTCTATCTTGTATGTATTAACGAAGAGCAGTGGGAGACCACACCGACTTTGGCGGCGTCACTATTCTATTGCAAGAGATGAACACGAAGGGGCTTGAAGTATGGTATCCTCCAACGGAGACATGGATCCCAGTACCCCCAAAGGAGGGTACATACGTGATCAACATGGGTGATATGATGCAGAAATGGACCGCGGGGTACTACCGCAGCGCCCGTCACCGGGTCATAACCTCCGGTTCTAATCATCGTTACTCCGTTCCATGGTTCCTCAACGGCCAACTCAAGCTCAAGTGCGAGACACTTGATGGCTCTGGCGTTGAGACCATCGTTGGTGAACATATCCGTCAGCGCCTTATCGCGACCATGCCTGAGGCCGGGAAAGCCCTTAGATAGATTCATTAGCATAAGGTGGCGTAGAGTCCGAACGGTTTCGGGGAGATCTTCAAAGTACTCTGGTATTCACACCGTGTAGGTGGAATTATCTGTAGATTGTTACGCTAAGAATTGTGCTTGGATTGACATTTGGTACATTCTTTCAATATACTTAAGAAAACCCATTTACCTACCTTGAACTTACCACGAGGGCCTTAAATAATCAATTATCGTCTATGTGCAGGTATTTCTTGATATGCGGGGTCAGTTGTTTGCGACTATTGTTGGACCCGAAAGACGTAACCGTAGACTCCAAGGAGTAGTCGGATACTTCGGAGCTTTTTCAAGGAAGAAAAAAAGACTGGCGAGTATCCTTGATGGATTTCAGTGTTGGTATCGTTATAATAAGATTTAGAATTAGGTTATCTTGTCTGTGAAGGTATAGTAACCTGTTGGCTACCTACCTAGTTAGGTAAGTACTTACCTGAGTTCAATACCCCTTAACTCTTTAGTCTTCCTATTGCCTCCTCGGATAGCGCCGTTATAGCACATACTAACTGGCTAGCATAACCAATGATATTGACCTACCTAGCCTAATCATGCTTAATTGGACTACCTCGCGGAGTTAACTGCGCTAGTGTTGGAAGTAGGCGTCAGATCGGTTAGCATTGCTTGAGACATCTTTCTTACATCCGCTAGGTAGATCCGTGTCCTTATTTACCAATGAGGAATGACTTGCATTATCTCGAACTTACCTAGGTAAAAAGTGAACCTATGGGTTGGAGATAATAAAATATCTGTTATTACATAAGGCCGAGGAGTGTCTGTTGCCTCGGTTCGCGCATCCCTTCACCGAGTCATGGAGACATCGTAAGTCCGACCAGCTCGTTTCATAAAATGCACCGTCCTTTCACTCCCTGCAGTAGCAAATGACATATTTTAGCTCCTCGGCTTATAACAGAAGATTACGAGGCTTTCCCAGAAATCACCCTTTGAAGTGTGGCACACTTAAACTACACACACGTACTCCTGGCCAGAGCACATCTTGTCAGCCACCCGAGACATACGTAGAATACTAAGAGGACGTACATGTTTCGTAAATCGGTGAAGGCTTCGGACTCGGGAGTTCTTATTAAACTGTGGCTGGCTGTAGTTGGAAAAAGCTTAAAACTGAGGCTCTTGTCGTGGAGTGCTACACTCACCAGTCTAACATTACCCACCTACAACTGTCCCAACATTCGTCAGCATACGCCGATCTACTCATGGTGCGTTAGATCTGATCTACATGCAGCTAGACTTAGACTTACTATATCGTTGCTGCAGTTAAGTGCCGCGACAATAAGCCGCTCCCGCATATGCAGGCCCTGGAGCCCCTGGGGTTTACTGGCCAGGGGTAGGGGGTATCATTATACGCGTATACCTTCTATATATCCACTACCCTCGTGATTATAACAGTATCTCCGTGTATACCCATGTGTAATCCACGTTTATTGCGAGATACATGGGTTCGGGTATGTATGTGTAGCAAGCATACGGATCTTGCATACATCTTGCACACACCCAGATGGGAGGAAACATAGATCGCCTGAAGCACGTGGCAGCAAGGTGCGAGTCTCACGGAGTAATCTTGCTGGTACTTCCAACTTGCTTACCAAATTTGATATTTAAAATCCTAGTTTTCTCCATGTTTGATCCTGGGGACGTCCGTCTTCTTTCCCCCTTTTAGGTACATAATCCATATACAGAAAACGCAAGGGCGGAAATACATAGCTACGTGCCCAGGTAGGAAGAGAGGTATGGCCTGTAACTAATAAGGGCAGCTTTTTACCCTATATCTTAGGTCTAGAACTCCCTCTATGGCGATAGGGAAGTCTCTCGGCACCTTTTATGATGCCACGCTCTATAGAGCTAGGCTGGGTACTGGCACTGCGCGATGTCTCCGAAAGTCCGGCCTCCCCTTCTTCAACTCCACTTTCATCAGCATTCGCGCTCGCTAAAGCACATAAGCAGACGATTATCTTTATCTCTATCTTCAAGTGTAGTTGAGTCTAGCATATTACATCAAGAACTCACATCAATAGTTCGTAGTTCGAGTAGACATATGTACAAGTACAGGTTCTGTGTACCCCTTACCCTTTACCCTTTACTCCCGAGCCAGACCTAATTCGGTCTTAATGAACCCCTAGAAGCCTTGCATTTATACACGACAAATCACTTCCCAATCTCCTCCAAACACCTCTTCACAATACCCACCGCCTCATCCACGACCTCGTCCCCGCGGCGCCACGTATACAGCGCTACGCCGTGGCGGTCCAACACCTCTTGTGCGCGCTGCAGCCGGTGGCGCCATAAGTCCAGTTTCTTATTCACTAGCGGCGGGGGTGTTCCGCCTCCACTTCCACTACCGCTTCCATAACCGTTGCCATAGCGGTTATTACTACTACCGTACATACCACCCGCAGCAGATGGGGGTAGGGCCTCAAAATCAGAGGGTGTATCCGAATCCGTGGAACGCCAACGATTCAAACTAGTATCGCTATGGCTAGTGGTATTGTTCCTAGTGCTACTATCCCTAGCACCTGTGAGGCGGGGACTCGACCTCGTCGTCGACACCGTATTACTAGATGGCGTATTTCGCCGTCTCGGGGGAGGTGGTGGTGGTGGCAAGATAGTTAATGAGCGAGCAGAGGTAGAAGGGCCGGGTGTGGAGCCGTTATTCTGCGTCTTTGTTAACGGGATTTGATCGCCGCTGTTGTTTTTACCCGTTTGATCGGCTAATCTCTGCATCTGCGCCAATGGGCTCGGAGTCACAGCCTTATTGTTATTACTTGGTTGGCTGGCTTGGCTCGCCTTGCGCGGCTGTGGGGGTGTCGGGGCCGGTGGCTTCTTAGTAAATCCGGTGTCATCCGTGGTAAGCACTGGCGCGGCTGGTGTGCTCTGCAGGGCGCTCGGCTTTGCGGGCTTTGGTGGTGGTGGCTTACGGGCTAGTAGATCTATTGGTTTCGTAGGTTTCTCCAATGCCTTCGATTCTGACTCGACTCTGCGGAGAGGCTCCACATCCTCCGAGAGGTCGATAAGATCACCCATGACGGGACCTTCGCTCGGTTTAGGAGCAGAAGCTATGCGGGGTGGCAATGTAGGTCTCCTGGATGGAGTGTCATTCCTATTGGCACTACTACTTCTGGAGGACCCTTGGTCGTGTTGAAGACTAGCGTTAGTCTTGGGAGTACGTGTACCATTGCTGCGCACGTCGAACCCGGAGTCGAAATAACCGGTCTGCTCGGGCGTTGTGACATCGCGAATGAAAATCGCTACTATCCTGCCAGGATTGGCGACCGCCAACTCTGTATACACCTCAAGATCTGCCTCGCCGCTGTCGCCGACCAAAAGAAACTTCCGTTCGGGAAAATCACTCATGATCTTCTCAAGCGTACCTTTCTTCCTTTCGGCGACGGGTTCAAATATGCCCTGAAGCATGCCTGTGTATTGCTTTAGATGTAACGAACCTGGAGGTAAGCCCGCCATCTTGAAGTACGTGGCTAGGACGGGGTATAATTGCCACGGGCTATTGGAACAATAATGTATAGATACGCCGAGGCCATGGAGAGTATTATACCAATCCTTAACGCCATCGACGGTGAGGTCGTGTAGCTCACGAATAAAAGTATTGCGGAATATCTCCTTAGCGCCGAGTGCGATATTAGAACGCTTGATGGTATCGTCGATGTCGCTAATCAGGCTAACCCCTCTCGGCTCAATGATCTGCACTGGTTCTGTGCAGGAGAGATCCTCATTCGCAAGCACGCGTACGTGAGTCGGAATAAAATCGAGCGCCGCCCTGATCATGAAGTGTCCCGAATCATTTGTTGTTACGGTGCGAGACTGAGATTGATCCTCATTATAGAAGAACAGCGTTATGGGTATTTGAACTAGCGGTGTTGTCATGAATGGCGCGATACGAGCCATCAGGTTCGCGTTCGCAACCGCCAACTCCGCTTCTGTAAGTTCGGTGACTCCCGTGGTAACTGTGCGCCCGCGAAGAGTAGGTGATGAAGGCGCAGATGGCGGTGATCGGCTACCACTTTGCGGATGACTTGGACGTCGTCGTATATTCCCTTCACCCTCGGAATCTTCGTCCCTGGGGCGTTCGCTGTAACCCCCTTTCTCCGCAGCTTCCTCCTCTGCCCGACCTCTACGCTCGATCTCCTTAGCTTCGCGAGCGATTCTTTCCCGTTCGCGCTCCTCCTCGTGTTGTTGATGTATCCTCGCTAATGAAGGCTCCGCGGTTGGTGATGAGTCAGCTTGTTGCGGCCTCGGAGCAGGAATACCACTCAGTTGCCTTGCTAATCCGATCAATATTCGGTTGCGACGCGTCATCGGCCCTCTATGTGGGTTGTATATCCAGCCTCGGATATCCACATCTACAATAGCCTTCTCGTCCTCGTGTCGCGACCATTCATTCCTCCAATAGGCCGGCTCGTTCATGCCTATAGTCGAAGTATGAGGTGGTCCTCCCGGGTTTTCGAATTGCCTTAGTTGTCCTTTAACGTGCCTTTTCGCATAAGATGGAAACAGGACCATTTGTTCGTTGCCCTTCGTCACTATGGCCACATCGGGGAATGAACCTGGTATGGTGATCTTAGAAACCTCGGGCGTGTCAATCTCCCGTGACCTTGTTTGATTGTATGATTCTCTGATTTCATTGACAGCTGTAGCGCCGGCTCTGTACATACTCCCAGCCATAGCTGCAAGCTTCCTTCTTCTCGCGCCTCTTTCGCGTCCACCGTCGGCACCATAATTCCCACTCCCCACCCCGTATTCAGGCATGGTCGTCATCTTGCCAGCATTGGTCCTCGCCCCATACCTTATACCCTTATTCTTTGGAGCTGGTAGGCCGACCAGTAGCCGTCGCGCGTGATCGACGAGTCGCGACTGCTCACGGCGACGGCGCTGGCGGTCAAGGATGAAGCGGTAGATGCGACTCTGAATTCGGTGTTTGTAATAAGGGAATGTGTCGAGGTGGAAACCAATGAGGCGTTCGCGGTAACGGTCGCGTAAACTTCGTGGGAACAGGTACTGGAGGAGAGTCCCCCTATGATGGGGGTGCGGACGCGGTGGTAGGAATCGACGGGGAGGAGCCACGTTGGAGAATTATGGAAAATCGAGAAATTAGGGCGCGTCTTCTCTCGTCGGAAACTATTATATATACACGCGAAGCCGTATATACATGGATAGGGCTGTAGCCTTGCCCTTAATGATAGGCGCAATGTGACAAATTATATGCCCAGGTGGTTTATGTCTTTAGATGGCGATTCGGAAGGCAGAATCAAACAACGACCAATGAAATCAACACATGGCAAATTAAGTTCAGGGGGTGTGGTACTGTAGCAAGGCTATTGCGAACAGATAATGTTGTATCGTCGTAGTATCAGATGACTTCGTTGAGGATTGTAAAGGTTGCAAAGGTTGTTAGAAAAGTAAAAGTTGGAGCTTGTGCCGTTGAGTCTCACCGGACAGGAAACGATTCTGGTGGGGGTCCCGGTCCGCGCACTGGTGACATCAGTTTTCAGTTTTTTTTCCAATCTTGATCTAGAACCATGCCCATCCCTGTATGTAATGCTGTGTGTAACTTTGAATGAAGCAATATAACTTGCATATAATTATGTACATGTTTATGTACATGTATATGCGAAAGTGCATCATATATGTTGTGTAACTCTCTTATATCGCTCGCTACGCCTATTCGTGGCCCCGTTGAGTATACTTCCGACAAATCTCTTCTACCATCCTCTCATTTTTCCCATCGCAAGTCACAGAATGTTATGTTGCCATCGTGTGGTTAACTTAGAGAATTTCTAGAAGGCTAGAAGTTTTGTGTCAATATTATTATGCGTTACCTCGTCTATCTTCTCTTTGGTTTCCCAGCATTCCGAGGCTTCTTTTTCTTATCGTTCTTAAAATTCAGAACAGCACCTTTACCCGCCCTCTCAGCTGAGCTCTTCTTCCACATACCTTCCGTTCTTACTGATTTCGCATCTAGTTTTTTCTTGTCCTTGTTGCTCAGTTTTCCATTCCCCTTCTTTTTTAATGATTCCTTCAATCCATTCAGCTCTGCCCTACCGGCATCCTTGGCCTTCTTCTTGTCATGTTGCGTTTCGAACCAAGTCCGCTTAGGTCGTGACTTAATCTCGTCTTCATGAACAACCATATTTTCTCCCTTCTTGATTTGCATCTCGACTTGTGCCAATTGTTTCTCTTCTTTCTCCTCCCGGGCAATGGCCTCGATCTCATCCGCCATCTCATCAATCTTATTTTGCCATTGATCCGCCTCGGAGGGATCGATAATGAGACTGCTAATCTTGGCTCCCTGTGCTTTGCCTGCCTTGACTGCTGCTTTGACCACTTTGCGATCAGGTTCTGCAGCAAGCGTAATCGCCACACCTGAACGCCCAGCTCGCGCGGTTCGACCCACACGATGTACGTAGATCTCAAGGGTTTGTGGACCTTCGTAATTGATAACCGTATCGACTCCCTTGATATCGAGACCTCGAGAAGCTAAGTCGGTGGCAAGTAAAAATGAAACTTTGCCATCTCTAAAAGACTCAACGCTCGATATACGCTGCACCTAGTTAGAAATAATGTTTTTGACAACATTAAAGAGATACTTACTTGAGCTTGATTCATGCTTCCGTGCAGTTCGGCGCAAGAAAGGTTGAATAGAGCGAAAATGATACGAGCACGGTGCGCCTCCTTCTTCTGCCTAAAGAATATGATAACTCGCTCGGTATGCATCGTTTTACAGATGTAGATGAGATATCCCATTCTCTTTTCTTCTCGGCCTGGTCTTAACCTGACGAACTTCTGTTCTAGCTTGTCGACGGTTTTCCTTTGGGAATCCACCATCAGTCGCACCGGTTTATTAAGGCCCGCCCGAATAAGTCGGTCCACAGAAGAAGTCATAGTAGCAGAGAAAAGCATGGTTTGTCGTGATTTAGGCAATGTGGTGAGAATTTCGTTCAATTCGTCGGCGAAACCATCCTCAAGCATTCGGTCGGCCTCATCGAGAACCAGAATTTCCACCGTGTCGGTTGAGAAGCTTGCCGAATTTCGCATATGATCAATAAATCGGCCGGGCGTTGCAATGATAACATCCGGCCTAAGACGTAATTCCGCCTCCTGAACTTTCAAGCTCAATCCTCCTACAGCCAAACAGAATTTTATATCTGTATGGCTAGCAAGCTTCGTCGCGACTGCGTGGCACTGGATGGCAAGTTCTCGTGTAGGTGTTAAGATGACAACACGGCTCGTGGGGATTTTGTTAGGTCGATATAGAAGACGCTCAAGAATAGGAACAACAAAAGCAGCAGTTTTTCCAGATCCAGTCACGGCACCGCCGACGAGATCCTTGCCTTCCAACGCGAAAGGTATTGTTTTCGCTTGAATCGGGGTGGGCTCATTGAAGCCAACAGAATTGAGTCCACGCAGAATCGGTCGTGACAAAGACATATTTTGAAAAGAAGCCTTCCCATTTTGTTTGCCTGTTGGCTTCTTTTCCTCGGGCGCAAAGAAAGCTTCTCTCTTGGCAGCTTCTTCTGGGTCCTCTTCTTCGTCGCTATCATTGGATTCCGATGCGTCGTCGGGGTGATCGACGGGAGTTGCGACGGAGTCGTTGTCGGAACCATCGTTTTCAGCCAATTCCTCTTGATCTGACTCGTCCTCTGACACATTATTTTCTCCAGATTCTTCGTCCGATGCGGCACCCATCCCAAAACCATCTTCGGCTAGAACTTCGTCATCTTCATCGTCGAGTTCGATATCTTCGGCTTCTTCGCTAACATTGTCGGCGTTCACCTGCCCCTTCCCATTCGCCTGAGACTCAGCAGCGTCATCTCCCCCATGTGTACCCCTCCTCCTTCGTACGATTTCATCGACGTCGACAACTCTCCTTGTGGCCCCGTTCACACCCTTTTTCGCGCCGTCGAAACCCCAACCTTCGAAGTCTTCCGCCCTGAAGTCTGTGGTATTGTCTTCTGCGAACTCAAAGTCCGAATCCATAGCCCCATCATCTTCATCTTTCTTACCCCAAACGCCATTCTCTTCGTCTTCGTCTACTCGAGCAGATTTCTTATTCTTCTTTGCTTTTTTCTTCGGCGGATTCGGTTCGGGGATCTCTTCCTCTTCGTTAGGGAGTTCTTCGTTATCGGATAAGGTATAGATAAAATCATCGACTTTGCGTTTAGAAGCCATATTGAGCCCGAGAAAAATAGAGCTCCGACGAGGCTCAATACGTCAACGGATATATCTCGTTATGTATTATGGATAATCAAAAGAGCGACCAAAAAATGCTAAGAAGAAAGGTCCAAAGGTAAATTTATTTTTTTGCCGGGCGGTGTACAGCAAAGACCCACTAAATACATTAACTCCCCACTATGCAGCCGCCCACACTGCTCCAATACAGCCAATAAGACTGTGGCTCAGCGGAAATGTTCCGCTTCGCACATGATAAAGATCATTGCTATTGGTCAGAAGCTTCACTCTTCAACTATCTAGGTATATATACCTAGGTACCTAGGTCATATTACACCCTTCTTCATCATTTCTTAATAAAAATTATTAAAGGTTACGTATATACTTCATTTACAATATACACACACTACTAATAGCTATTTAAGTTCCCAAAATAAAACTTGCACTGTACTTTACGGTCCCCCTAGGTTCTCGGTAACATTTGGCGCAACGTATTCGAGGCCAATAGGTTCTACACCCACAGCGGTCGAATCAGGGCCCAAAAGACCAGCATTTTCTAAAGTGGCGTCTAGATTAGGATCCGCTCTGTCGATAACCATGGGCATCGGTCCCCACGGTTTAGCCCAAGAGACGTCCAATTCGGTGTAAAATCCGTTACGCTTCCTACCCCTCGTATACTCTCGAATACGATCATGTGCGGTAGGTAGCAGATATCCAGCAACCCATGCCATATCTTGTACCGCGTTTCCTTTGTTGCCGATTGAGTCGACTTGAGCATTCTCTTGATTTTGCCACTCGAATTCTCGAAGTATACGCATCAACTCAGACGAATACAACTGTCCCCCATTCCCTGGAATAGCATTGACATGGTCAAGCCGCCGGCTATCTGGACGGTGGTCCCATCGAAGCGATTCGTCCTTGATCTGGTTTGGTATTACGTTGTTGGGATTATGTTCATCGTCCATAGGGAATCTAACGTGAGTCATGCATAAGCTACGCAAGATGCGCCCGAGTTGGTACACGTCTTCCCAAGCATTCGGTATCGGTTCGTTTGGGAATTTTCCTGGTCGGAGATGATGTGCATTATCCAGAATCGAAGCAGAATCACTGAAATCTGCTAGCCTTACCTCCGGAAAAGCATTTGGCTTATAGCCGGCGGCAGCTAGCTGACCTCTTCGGGGTCGGAAATGAAGTAAGATGTTACTCATATCCAGATCTCTATGATAGCACGGTCTCCAGCCATCGGCTGGTCTTAATTGTTCCCAGCTAGGCCGGGCAAGATTTTGCATGTTTGTTGCTATACCGAAATGAAGATACGAAAGCGCCCACTGTAGCAATAAAAGTTAGTAATTGAAAGAAAAAGGTAAGTCGAATTGCCGTAGCCTCTCCATTAATTCGTCAGGGGTGTCCAAACTTGTGAGAGGAAAGCTACTTACACATAGTTCAGCCATAACATGCCAAATAAAATGCTCTGGGACTCTCCATCCCTTTTGATAGTATTGATCTCTGAATGACTCAAGCGTCCCTCCATTGCAGTACCTATAAATCAAAAAACGTCAGTCAGCCAGCCCTTGCAATCATACATAAATAAGTAGTAGACTTACTCGAAATAAAGTGCCCAATGTTCATTGTTGTTTTGGTAGGTCCTTAACCTGGTGAATTGTGGAGGGTCGGACGGTAACTGGAGAACAGTCGCAGCCTCAGCAGTTGAGATCCTAAACTCTGGCGGTTCATCGTACATAAACTCACCAGGCTGAATGCCGTGGATACCTGGACGGTTGACCCTGTGCACTAGTTTCACGAATAGAAGTTCATTGGTGTTACGGGTTTGGACGAGGAAAACGTTCCTCTTAATGATTCTGACAAGCACAAATCCACCGCTCAAAAAGAAATTAGGCTGGACACCAGGCGCGGGGACAGTCGGGAGTAGCGTGCGAATGAGTACCCCTTCATGGGCATAACGTCTTGGTGCCATGGTTGCTTAGGTATGTGGTAAAAAGAAAATGTCGAATATTCTTCTTGGTCTGTATCAATATAATCAAACTTGAACGAACAACTTTCTAATTCCAACAAATTCACCTCTTACTTAAATATACCTTCAAGTTTCCTATTGAGGCAAAACGACTGGTCTTTTGAAGGACAACAGCATAGAATTTACTTCTTTGTCCACATCTCATACAATACGCATTCAACTATTGCTGTCTGCTTTCCTAGCTGTAGCTTTCGCAAAGGCCATGAGATATTAAGAGAAGGCCAGGTTCGGACTTTTTACAGCTAGTACTGTTAACAGAAAGAAGCGGTTTCCTCACTATCAACTTACTGTTGTTCATAAAGACCAATAGCGATAGCCATTGTGACTCGTAAGTTGCTTGCTGCATTGAATAGAGGTGTTTTAACTGACTTGAGAGTTTATTGCCTTACCAAACAGAGTATTGTGCACTTATGCTCAAGTGGCTTTTTGTATAGATCTATCCATAAGAGCTAGGGTTAAAGTATCAGGTATTGCTAAGGCCAACATCATAGGACATAAACGTTCCCCTAGGTAGTTGAAATGCCGTGTATTGAGAGACGAATAGATAAGTGGAATATTCGGTAGCAGTGATATCACTTACACCCGGTAGTTTCATTCACTACATCATTACAAACAATCTTATTATGTATCGTATACATACCGTTTTATCCGAAGAGCTCCTTTGTTCTCACGTCGGCGATAAGGGGTCCCGATACTTCCCATGATGTATCAGCTAGGCTACTGACAGGAATCTACCTAAGCTTGTTGAAAGATTGAGGTTGCTGATTTTGTAAGATATTTCATGGATTGACTTAGAATGTAACAGAGCATGTATGGCCGGTGCGCTCTTGGGCCCTCAAATTATTCTTGTCGCCAAAGAATTTGCGCGATTTTCAACTCAATGCCGTACTTGCAAATTTTAAGCACAAATATAGCTAGGTAATTATGTGACAAACACGCCGTACTGTGGCCAGCGCGGTGTCACATATGATAGGATTTTCAAGTGGATGAGTTACAAAACAAATGTACTTCGTTCTGGACCCATACCCGTGCTAATTCTTTTTTACTTCGCCGATCAATATCGGCCGTGACTCTGCATCTCGGACTCGTAAGGGAAATACGGCGGAAGGCAGATGCCGGCTGCATCCTGCTAATCCTAACGAAATGCGAACATCTCGTTCTCGTTAACTCCTTCCGTGGCTTAGAGACCCCGAAAGCAAATCATCCAGCCTCAATTAGAAACTGTGCTATGCGGACCAAGGCGAGCAGCACCTTGAACATGTGAAATTTGGAGATGGCAATAGTGTAGGCAGAGCTACGTTCTACCAGCCCCCAATTTGAAGCCCAAGTTTCTTGGCCAATTGTTGAATGGGTTGCGCGTTTAAGAGGCAGGGATTGACGTAACGCTGACTTTTTTCTGAAGTTGTTATCCTAGAGAAAATGCGCATTTAGTTTCAAGTTAGGGATGGCACAATTAAACAAAGCATACGTCGCATGGATCGTATCGCTCGCAATTCAACTCGAAAAAGGGAGTTTGGAGTTGGTTTGATTGAAGAGGTTTGTATGACCAACGATTTAATTCAATGCTACCCAGCACCACCACTAGCAGGAGGAGTTACAGGTGTCTTCCAATACACCCGTAAGTTGCAGATTCGATCATATCCATTCAGAAAGTCCAAAGCTACCTAATATTTAATTTACACTGCGTTCGGGTAGCTACGGCATTGGGATGCTTCACTTTGGTGTTGGTCGATTTTCTTCGTATATAGAGGCTGCGGTGTCCCGCCAACCTACGAAATCTTGTTTACGTCCGTAGAAAGATTTCAAAAAGGCGGGAAGGATCTTATTACCTATTAATAGAGATATGACAGAAGATATGATGACTGCAGTTTGATTTCACGGTTATGGAAAGATCGACAATAAGCTCTCTTTGTGCGACAATCGCTGCATCAGCTTCATAGGTGCCTAGATAGGCACCATGATGCTCTCCGAATTTCTAATAGTAGAAAAAGTTGCCAGAGTCCTACATTAAGTACCTATGTACTATTTATAGATTGCTTAAAAGAGTTTCACTATGTTTTTCGTTGAATTGAATTCGCCTGTTACCAACCAATCCCACCTCAGCCCTATGTCGTACATTTCCTGATTTGGTAATTTCTAAAGCCACATGCGGGGTAGTTCGTGTAACATGAATTAACCAGTGCACCAATTAGATATTAACATTAAGAGCATCACAACTTGTGTCTTATAGTTTTAGCAATCATCATATAGATACAATCGGCTTATTTAATAAGAACCAAAAGTCATTTATTTCCGCCTCCCTTTTCTCCTAACATTGCTTAAAATCGAGTATTGGCGCGAGTTTGCCGCATAATACACCAACATAGGTTAGGTTTCCGCATGATAATGATGCAAACGCTCGAAACTTGTCACATAGCTAGATTGTTGGTAATATAAAGATAGTTCCACCGGTTACACAACACAGCCCCCAAAACAATTGATCGCCTACCTAGCTGCCTGGGTATGAACCTTGGAAGAGGAACGAAGATGTGATGTGGCGGTGAAATGTCAATAAACGAATAGTACATACACTGCCCGTTTCTGTGACATCTTTCATATGTCGGTACACAATGGTTGGGATATCTCCCTTGATGCATCGCGGGGCCAAAAACACCAAAAAGTTGGTCCTGAGATTCTAACGTAAGACGAAAGTTTCATCGGGAATCCTCATAGCTACCTTCACACAGCATTGTTATGCAAAGTAAGCTTGAATCTGCAGATCAACAAGTAAATCGGCCAACAAGATAGTACTTGACGGTGTACATGAATTGCTCGTGTCTTCGGGCTTCGTTAACTTTAGGGTAGAGGTAGTTATCGGACTTAATGGTTTAATATTTTCAGCTTTAGTTTCGCTTTTAATTGCATATGAATTTACTCAGATTAACTATTGAGTGTTGTTGTTAATATACAGTTATTTCATTGATATTGACTTGCAAGATACTAATTGAGCTTACTGCTTACTTCCCTTACATAGCATATGGTGTCATTCTGCAATGCCCTTAGCAAGCAGGCTCTCAACGTTTTGTGACCAACAGAGATGCGGCGCAGCACTCGCGGATCGCGTCAAAAAACGGACACTATCTCCGATTGGTCAATTCCTTCGTAACCAATGTACCTGTTCTACGTACCCTAAATCCATACGTAAGTCCTAGATACCCTCACCACTATCTGAGAGATATGTCTATTTAAGCTTTCAAGATCGTAAGCTCTGTCAGAAGTCAAAAGGTCAGTATCATCATCATCAAGCTTCTTCACTTCATTTCAAGTTATTTCAAGTCCTTCTACAACTACTCTTCCATCCAACAAACATGTCTATCCAGCAGTTCCAGACGACCAAAGTAGGTGGCCCGTTCGCCCTTGTGACGGTGCCCACCCCCAAGCCCGGCTCCGGTGAGGTCTCCATCCGACCCAAGGCCTTGGCACTCAACGGCATTGACTGGAAGAATCTCAAGTTCGGCGCCGTAGTTCAGTCTTGGCCCGCCGTTCTTGGCGAAGATGCCGCTGGTATCATCGAGGAAGTCGGCGAAGGTGTCACTGCCTACAAGCCCGGTGATGAAGTCTTCGGCTTCGCGCTAGGTTTCCTTGGCAAGGGTACCTTCCAAGATGTCTTCGTCACGACACAAGAATCCGTTGCCAAGAGACCAGCCAACCTAACCCGCGAAGAGGCTGCTTCGCTGCCGTGAGTATACCGACTCCTTAGATGCAAATGCGACATGAACTAACTCCTTTTCAGTACCATCTTCCTCACTGCCACCGCCACCCTCACTGCAGGTCTTCAAATACACGTCCCTGGCCTCACCAAGGAGAACAAATACTCCGCCAGCAACCCGCTACAGTCTATCCTCATCCTAGGTGCCGGCTCTGGTGTCGGTTCCGTTGCCATCCAGCTTCTACGCATCGCACTACCATCAGTCAACATCATCACGACCAGCTCAGCCCACCACCACGCCCACCTAAAGGCCCTAGGCGCCAACACGACCTTGGACCGATCCGCTCAAAGCGACATCGCCGCCATCAAGGCCGCCACCCCCGGCGGAGCTGGTGTTGACGCCATCCTCGACCCCGTCGGCGCTGCTGACTACGAGCCCACAGTATTGGGCGCCATCAGAGCCGATGGCCCCAAGCTATTCTCCAGAGTCGTCACTGGTGCTAACTCGAACGTGCCCGAAGGATTCACTGGAAAGGCTTGCGGTGCCTACCACGCCGAACCCACTGCCGTCGCCTACATGGCCGAGCTAGCGGGATCGGCCAACTTCAAGCTACCTCTTAAGCTTGAGGTTGTTGGCCAGGGCTATGGTGTCATAGAGAAGAACTTGGACAGATTCCCCAACATCAGCGGTACCAAGCTTATCGTTAACCTATAAACGCGGAAGTGTGATGCGACCGCAGTTCGTTCGGATGGCCAGGCATAAAAGGTAGAAATTAGAATCTTGTCTAGAATAAAATATGAAGCGCAATTTTGGTTTATCAAGTTAAAATCTTGGTCTCGAGCCTATCCATTGATATGTGTTTAATTAAGTCTGTGTGCTCGTGAAATACATTGTTGTCCAACGCGTACCTAGGTAGGTAATTTGAATCTAGAGTCGGAAATAATTTTGAAAAGTGATAAAGTGATAATTCTCTCCGTGCTCATGTGCTGACCCCCACTTCCCCGCCCCCTTAGTATTCAGTCATCATAACACTGTCGCCCCGAGTTGTCTAGCTGCCAGATACCTCGAAGGATGGTGAGATACGCACTGTAAGAGCTTGTGTACCCCCCACCATGCAGGCTCCCGGATTTCACCTAACTCACGGTCGCAACTCAATTTGTAGGGCGTCATAGCTTTTTCTTTTTAACATCTATTTAAGCCTTCTCTAATTACTCGTACACATCACGATAAATAACTCAAGATATCCTAAATTTTAACGCCAGAGCAAGGACTCAAGCGCCGCATTGTACCTGCCACCCTGGATTTTGAATGATGCAAGAATATTGTCAAGTTCTGCCTTGTCCGTTGGTGAAAGTTGAACATTCTTCGTGTTTTCTTCAACACGAGTAGGCGATGTGGCACCCGGGATAGGAATAATGGTACCGGCTTGCGCTGAGTTGGCTGTTGCACGGATCCAAGCTAGAGCGAGTTGAGCTGGAGTAACACCCGTCTTCTCAGCGAAAGACTTCAGTTTATCCACGAGCTCAAGATTTTTGTTGAAATTCTGATAAAAATTGTTAGAATATAGCTGACAGATAAAACTAAGGGAAAGTCTTACCTCAGGCTGGAAACGGTCAAATCGCTTACGAATATCTCCTTCGGGAATATCGTCGGCGGATTTGATCTGGCCTGTTAAAAAACCACGACCCAAGGGCGAGTAAGCGGCGAGAGGAACATCAAGCCTCTTTGCCGTAGCCGCTACGCCGTTCGATAGTATGTCAGGAGTCCATAGTGAAAACTCGACTTCAACCAAACTGAGCGGATAGATGGAATTGGCCTTCTCCATTGTCTGCGCACCAATTTCGCTCATTCCTACCCCGCCAATCTTGCCAGCATCTACGAGTTCCCGAAACGCGCCCAAGGTTTCTTCAAGAGGTACGTCGTGATCCGCACGGGCAGGGCCTAAGATGTCAATCTTCTTAGCCCCGCCTATATGCTTAAAGCAAGCCTCAGCACTTGCGAAAACTTCGTCACGTCGATTTGTTGGCCTCAAGGTTCCAAATTCGACACAACACTTAATGAAGAGTGTGACTTTATCCGCATCCTCAGGGTAGGTTTTGAAATATCGGCCTATGAGTGCCAAGCCTGCCGATGGTTCAGGCATGCCGTAGTAGTCGGCGCTCGACCAAAACGTAGCACCCTCGGCAATGGCCTTCTTCATGGTTGCGAAGGCCTGTTCATCGGGTGTGTGCTTGGGGCGCCATGTCATGCCCATAAGGCCGAAGCCGGTGGCGTTCCTAGGCTTGAAGACAGCACGGGAAGATGAAGACATAATGCCGAAACGTTGAATTGTGTAAAAAGCTGACTTAATAGGAATCGCGCTGGTAATATTTGTAAATGGAGAGCGAGACCGGACTGTCGTCGAGACCATCGCAGTATCATATTTGCCCTTTAAACCCTCCCACCCTAGTCATTTTCAACAGAGGCATCGGTCATGGAAATAACGAAGCGCAACAAGCGACCTAGCTATACTTGATTCGTCGTTAGATCCTTCGGATTTTAATAGAAGAAATGAAAGACAAATCCGATCTCAATAAATCGTAAGATTCGCGCGGGCTTTAAGGAATGCGAACGCGAGAAAACGTAGCGGTTTTGGCACAAATCGGAATGCCTAAAATCCGTGATATTATTCCGATATGGATCGCCTTCAATCCGCACCTATCTCCTGAGGCATCAAGACTCCACAACAATTCCATTACTAGAGCATAGCCAATCAGAGTACGACCAAGTACTTACCACATACTCTTTATGGAAAGTACTAAAAATTACTCAAGTCAACAAGGTCGCGCGCATAGTCGATGCAGACAATCAATCAATAGGGCCATAAAGGGTTTCAAGTAATTGAAGTTATGAAGTTAAAGAGGGTAATAGTAGATTTAATTGATTAACTAGATGTCTGAAATACGATTATGAATAGTCTTAGTAGAGGTCTTGAATTTTAAAAGTTGGTTATATTAGAAGTTACAGGAGGTAACTTGGTGTAACACTTGGAATGTCAACTCAAGTTATGACATGAGCCCCACATAAACTAGACTCCCGGGACCGTACCTACATAACACGCTTCTAAGATTCCTCGAGATATTACATATTAGAAAAGCTCAGCGAGGTCGAGAAGCAGTGACCTAGAAACCTGTTTAAGATGGTGAGACATCTCATTCCTCACATTATATCGAAATTAAACTCTAAATTACCTTCGAAGTGACACCAACCATATAGAATCGAAGTCTCCTGTCCTCAACGCGAGCACCCCTTATCCATATAGAATCCAAACCCCACGAACTCAATTGTTTAGGTAGATCAGCTTCGTGTATAACTTAAGACTCGAGGTGGCTCGCACAACTACGGTTAAAGTGACACTAATGGTATAAAAATCATTTGGTTTCCTATTGGTCTCATCCACTCTAGATATTTTACAGCCTGTATCACTTAAATATATTGTTACACAGACTTATCCCAGAGCCACAAGTAGTCTTTCAAAGACAATCCTCACAATACCCCACAATATCCAAACCAGAAATAGACACTATAACTTCGTCATCTAAGTTCAAATTTCCTCACGAACAAGCTCAGTATATTCTCAATCACGCCTCCACATTAGGTATGGAACCCCTATTTCCATAAGAAAGGGCCTGGATTTAAGGCATGAGGGCGAAGGGACTATTGCTTTTGTATATGAAAGCCTCCGTAGAAGTTATTTATATGCTTGTCGCGCAACAATAGAGTTACGAATTCCCTGTTATAGTTGATCTCGTGGTAAAGCGAATTGCTAAACCCTATCCCAACAGAAATAAATGAGCAACCCTAAGATTATTTGAACCGAAGATGCATATAGAACTTCCTGTCGAGTCTAACGAATAAAGAGTGAATATTATGACTTGAGCGAAGTTTTTGTCTTGGATAAATGGGCTACACTGGAACTTTACTACGCGAGGACCATAGAGACATCAATATTATGTACTACTGGTCTAGCTATCAAAGGGGAAGGGGATGTAGTTCCGCCGTTGCACAAATATTGCGTACCTTACATGCATCAGTAACTCCTATATCATGATAGCTTATTTGTTCTCATGCTCTGGGACTAGGTCCTCTCTTACGACGACACGTAGTAGATTTTGGGGGAATCATACCTCAACTACATATTTTTTCGAGTTCAAGTCCAAATGAAATTATAGCCTTGGGATTAGACGACATCCTCGAAGGTACTTTCACGAGAAGCGTTTTCTAATATGGTCTGGTTTACCTGCCAAGAAATGGACGTAAATGCTTATTTGTCCATTATCCAACTAAGCTTCATGTCACGAGATCGACCACGAAATGAAATGGCAACAATACCGTTACGTGAAGGTTTGCAAAGGGCTACCACGATATTTTAGTCATACATTCAAATACATCACGTATGTATGGTGTGACATCAAAGCAGTGGCTTTATGATTTTGCACCCAAGATCCACATCATACGAGGTATTAGAACCCGTTGTACCACTCTGAAGAATATGTCGGGGATACTGGATAAACTTCAGGAAGAGACGGAGAGGGGGCCAAGTAAGCATCAAACTGCGTGGAAAACTATCAAGAAGACCCTAAGTTTACTTCTAACATTGATGCCTGATTTGCTGTACAGTGTATTGTAGCTGTTCCAAAGTTGGCTATTGTCATGGTACCCTTAACTTTGACCCTTGCTATGAATACGATGGTTACATTTTTGCAAACCAATCCTCTGATGAAAACAACCAGTACACACTGATCGTGACGATCTTATGATTAGTGAATTATCTAGTTAGGTTACAGATATCGGATTGATTCATACCTAAACGTGTCTGGGACATCCGTAGGGTCATTTCATACAGTTCAATCAGGGCGTAACGTATCAATTACGAAAAGCCAAACAATTCATCTATTAACTTATCATAAACATCATATTAACTATTTCAGCCACTACTTGATTAGAGGCTTGTTTGCGCGATTATTGAAGGAGAGGTCTAGACTGCACCTGGGCAATGTCCCGAATACTTTTCATATGTAGGGGCTCCGGCGATTTCGAACCCGTTGTTCGACACCGAACTAGATGCTTCGGTCACGATTTCTATAGCGAAGGAAATTTAAATCAGGAGATGAGCTGAAGATACCGATCTGGCCTGTCTGACACTTGCCTTTCTTTACAAGAAAGCCGATCGTTTTCTTGATGACGGCGGCCCCCGTCGACAATCGTACGATCTAGCCTCTTGTTTAATGGCACGTGTACTTGCGGATTTGAACTAGATAATGTCTAGAATTATTCAGCTCGTTGCGAGTTCACAATTATTAGCGCTTATACTAGGCTAGCCCTTGCGGTAACGATTTATTATGCTCATTTGGTTTCCACATCTGCGGGATTATCATAGGTTCTAGATGGATATCCCCTTTTTCCTACTTCTGCCGATTCTCCGCAATATGCACGACCAAGGGAAAACCGACTCTATGTTTGCGACCGAGTACAGGCCAGTGAGACAGTAATCATTGTTTAAAGAAGGATCTCCAAATTGCTGCTAGTACGACCATCTCCAAGACACAAACGGGTTTGTGTCACCTCTTGCTAGAAAAATAGTCAAAGGCGGAGAAAAGCGCAATACGGGGTGAATGGAAATTAAAGAATTCGATTGACGTGACGAAACAATAGCATCATCATTCCCGTGTATATGTGTGGCGCTGGCTGATTGGGCTTGTTCGTTAAGCGCTGGGATATCTCTGTCACACAACAGACACCTTTTATTTAGTATGGTTGTTCATTTGATAGATGATTTATATTAAGACAGCCCTCAAGTTTGGAGGTGTGGTTGGAATCACTAAGACAGTGTTCCACACGCTGTTATAATAATAACAGTCATCGAATCAAGACCGGGAAGCATAGGTGCCCAATCGTAAGTGCGCGTGACCCCCCATGGGGATCTTGATCTTCGATCTTGGCTAGATGACTGGCTGATCGAAAATTGACGACTCAGCAACAACAAGTAGATGAATTCCCATTAGCTAATCCTAAATTTGGGTAAGTTGTCTCCATTAAGGCTTGTCCTATTGAGGCTTGAACTATCCCAGTGGTCTGGATGAAGTGAGCCAAGTATTATGGCAAGGAGGTTCATATTGTATCGAGGTATATTCAAGCTATTAAGGGGGAGACAAACTCTTGCGATTCATGGTACCCCTCAAAGCTGGTACTACGTTAGACCGGCAGTACGAATACGGGGAAGAGATACATATAATAAACGTGGTTATACGTATCATCTTAAATACTGTAGGTAGGTACCCATATATGTCCAACTGCAGCAAGACGCTGCAAGGCGACCTTTTAAAACTGTCAGTCCGGTCACATTCGCTTGGTGATTTTGGCTGGACGGACATGGGTCTGATTGGTAGAAGGTCAATGGAAGCGAAAATGGAAGCATTCCCCTTTTAGACAGCTGGGGTAGACAGCCATTCAGATTCTTTGTATTTTCTTTCCCCTTCTCTCTTTTTCTTTTCGTGTTCCCTTTTCCGACCGCGTGACCTTTGAAATTTTACTCCGTTAGAAGTGATGCTGATGGTCAAAAAGCCGACGATTGGCTCCTTCAGGATGAACCCGGCGATATTTCATCAATTGGGCTACGGCCTGTACGGTTAGATATTAACTAATTGCATTAAGAAGCGTGTTCGCATTTAACTGGCATGTACCAAAACAGTATAGCTATATGCCTGCTAAGTGAGATGAATGATGCGAGAAAGCCGCTCACTTCTTCTGGTTAATATGAAATCGTACGTAAGCGGATGAGGATGTAATTAATGCGAGGTAGTCAATTACATCTGGCCATCGTCTGGGTAGAGACCTGGTGGTTGAAATAATATACAGTAATTTGGAAAATGTACTGTACTTCGCATTACCAACCGTGTAGTATTGAGCGTCCCCGCTCCTTGCTTTTTTCAGCGGTGATCACCGCCCCAGATCTAGCCCACTGCAACTTAGGGACATCGTGGTCGCTACCGTATAGACTATTTTCGCAGGGTGCAACCGTCAGACTGACTAGACAATGCTAGAGTGTGATAGACTTCTCTACGTAGAAGTAGGGATGCTAATCTTTTCACCTTCCTATGTCTATTTAGTTCCTAACTAGTTCGTTTCTAGCCGTCTTTTTGTAAGGAGATACTACCTACCCGTACGGAGTCTTATGCAGAGGCCCCTTGCTTTCCAAGCAGACGGGAATAACTACTTATCCTGGCGGCTGCCATTCGGAGGCACAGCATTACACGGGCTGACATCCGTCGTTTTCCTAAGCCGAGGAGATGCCTACTACGTTATCACACCGTAACCTCGTGTCTTCGCGAAGTCGAGGATTAATGAAGTAGGATGTGGGGAAATGGAAAAAAACGAGGGCTGGTTGGTAGGCATAGGAAAATTTGTGCCAACCTGCAGCACAATTCTCACGGACTCCGGGGCATCGCTGTTCTTTTTCAAGCTCAGTCTGGGGTGACTGGGTGTTGTACATATCACAATGAGGGGAAAACCGAATTGCTGTGTTGTTATTGGTCCCAATTGGGGCCAAAAAAGAAAAAAGAATATGCTTGTCAGGGGGGATTCGTTGGCTAGCATCACTACCCGTCCTTGCAGGGAATTAGATGCGATTGGATTCGGTGAATCTAGTACTAATTCGTTGACCGTCATGCTTTCCGTATGGTTGTATAGTAATAGAATGGGCGCATTAAGAAACAGATGCGATGAAATTTTTTTGCAGGCATCATTTGGCCGGTTTCGTTAGTTCTCAGCTCTGAATTTTTTTCTCTCGTCTTTTCTCTGCACACATAGGACTCAATTTGACAAGGATTTCTAGGGACCGGCCGAGGAATGGCTGCAGTCAAACAGTACTTCGGCTCTGCGGAGTCGTCTCTTAAAACTGCACGTATTGTACAGTACATACTTCAGTTTGACGGATGCTACCTTGCAACTGACCTACTGTACCTATTTTATTTCAAGACCCTGCATATGGATCACTCCGTTTGCCACACCTACTGAAGGAAGAATTTCCGACTTGTTCGCGAGAGTAAGGAAATAGGGAAAGTGAAAAGAAAAGACGTGTCACCAATAGCCATGGAACGTCCGGGGTTGTCTATGTCAATTCGCCCATTTAGCAATTCATTGATAATTGAACACACGAAAAACCGACATTACCCCCGATCGTATGATCGCGGTTCTTGCATTGCCTATTTTGCGATTGATCCCTGGTTCACTTTCTTCCTTATTTCAGCTGCTCATGTTACGTTCCCAAGGCTTCATCCACATGATTCGACATTCATGTGTATGATGCGCAAGAGGAGGCTCTCTCCGGCAGACCAACTAACCCCTACACCTGCTTAAGTGTGTCTATGTATATTCCTAACCCTACCTTGTTTTTGTTAGCTTTGCCAATAGTCAAACCTCCTCAACTCCGAACGACCATCAGCCGCTCTCCCACCGGACGAGGGAACCCCTCGGTACCAGCCAAAAAATCATCTGACCGCCATCATCATATACCTAACCCATCGTTCGCTGACGCTGACGACGACTTCGGTCCTTCTCCATCGCCAATCTACTTAAGGACGTAATGTGAGTTACACAGCTTGGGCGTCTCTCCCATTGAAAAGTTCGGGTGAGGGCTGACGAGCGGACTTAATTGTCTAAGAGGTAACAATACCTACCTACCCACATAGTTACCATTCTCGCTCAAACCCATGCGGGATCTGCGCCTCGTGCTACCTGCAGCATGCCCCAGCAATGACCTAGGAGGGTAGCCTAGGATAGGTAGGTACTTCGTAGCCCTGCCCTGGGATACCTAAACTAGCCTAACTAGCCTACTGAACTAGCCTGATGCGTAGGTAGCATTCGTAGCTTGAAGCCAGCAAGAAAAAAAAAGACACGAGTGACGAGAGAGTGACAGGCCATACATAATAGGAAGAAAAAAGAGAGCAAGAGAAAAAGAGGGAAAGGCAGGCAAGAGTGGACACAGTACCAGCGGTCGGGATCGTCCCGCCCCCGAAAATATCCACCAACATTATTTACTGGGATTCCCTTCCCCGGGTTTAACGTAGAGCACGACGATCTTTCTACTTCATGGTTTCCTGTTCCTTCTTATTAAGCCGCCTGAACCAATCTCGCTGCTTCGGGGCATTCTCCTCCCTATCTCACTCTGGTTAACGACCTACATACAACATCCCATATAAATGATTTCATACCATTGTTAGGAAGAAATTCCAGAATTGACGTCGAAATTATCGTGAGGTGTAAAAGCCTTACTAATCCTTGCGTTCGTTCGTTCGATATTCCGCGCATAGGAAAAAAAAACTCGTGTTTCCGTGTTGACGTTTCCGTACAAACCGGACGGTGTTTCGACTTTGATGAAGCATCTCAATTTTACATCCCGGAGCTTTCCAACTCATAACGGTTATACGCTAATCATACCTCAACGCGGTGGTCTTAAATCGGCCACGGTGGATCAATCCGCGAAATACTCTAGGACGCTATCTTGTATGAGGTAGCAACGGAGGAAATAGGAAAGCCAAGTAGCTACGCGATCATGACACACTTCCCGACCTAAGCTACATCTTTCCTCCTTTCATCGAATATAAGAAAACAATTGCCCCCTCCTCGCCTACGGTAACAGAGGGGGGTTAGTCATCGGCATCGACCATACATATAGGGTTACTATGGTCGTCAAGCTAGATGCACCCCAGACTTCGCTGGACCCATTTGGATTACCTTGGTCCTCCTGTCATGCGCGCCATCCAGACGAGGGCCCGGGTCGGGGCAACAGCAGCAGATCGCGCTACTTCAGGATCAGCGCATCAGCGCCTGCTTCGCCGCCAAGCGTTTTCCAAGTCCTGAAGTCCGGTAGTGGCGGTAGTACCAGTGGCGCTAGCAACAGCAGCAGCAATGGCCATAACCACACAAGCCGCAGAATCGCTGGCTCTGCCCCTCGTCTTACCAAGATCCAAATCGAGCTCCAGCCGTGCCGGCCACGGGGTTCAGCTTTGCTGTCCTCGCCACCACCACTGTCGTCAATGTCTACCAATCGGCCAAGACCAAAGAAGGCGAACTCGGCACCTGTGGTTCTGCAATCTCAGACAGGCGCTGAAAGTAAGGGGACGGAAGAGCGTAGTAACGCGCCGTCCCCGATCAGAGCTGGCGGCGCGCCTTCGGCTCGTCCCTTAACTGCAAAGAAATCGAATGCGCTAGTGCGATTCGAAGGAGAGAAAAAAACACCAGTCTTTTGCTTTCCTCGTGAGGCGTTTCCCCCTCCATCAACCCTTGCTATCCGGCCCCAAAAGCGGGGACGGGCTTTGAATGACGTCGACGGACCTGGAACTGGTGGACTGTCGTGCAAGAAACGGAGGCTGCGACTACGACTCGTAACAAGTCGATTGTCGCAGCCATACTCATGGCCGGCGACGCACATCCTAAACCGCGAGAGCGGCGACGATGATGCGCCGGTGTTGAGTCGATTTCTGAAGTTCGCGGCTCTCCGGTCTCTAAAAAAGGCCGGCCACCAGAATGCGCTCGTCCGTAAGGCGGCCATTCTTAACCGAGTTCGGATAGGTGTGCGACAAGCTGCTGTGCTACGAGGCCACACAGTAATCGCAGGGATGGCGGCTAGGGGAAACTCGCTAAGCCATGGGCTGCAGTTGGTGACGACATCGAATAGCGCCACGGGAGCGCTGTTTCCTGGTGTTTCGCCTAATCCGTCTGATCATCCGATGCCACCGGCCTGGCGGGCGCACACGACGACCTTCCACACATCGCCTCCCAGGTTAAGTCCCCCATATCGAAATGATCCTAGAAGCAGCATGGGTGGTTCGGAGAGCGTGGCTCGTAGCCCAACCCCACCACGACGATCATCTCCGTCTCCTAGGTCGAGTGGACCGGCAAAGTTCACATATCCACCGCCGCCAGTAGAAGAGGACGATGGAGTCGCATTCCCTTCAGCGGACCTTGAGACCCGATATGCGGATCTCTCTGACGACGACATGGACGATGTATACGCGGATTTCGGAGTATTATTCGGCCCCGGGGCACATTCGCCTGAGCATAATAGCTCGAGCGGCGAGACTGATGGGGAGCACTTTTATGAGGAATACCTTGATGAACTGGATGGGATACGATGGATAGCGTAAGGGACATGCAAAAAACTAAGTTGTTATCATTCATTGGCGTATACTTTGTTTATTCTCATGACGATTAGGCGTTCTTGAAGTTGTATGGGAACGGTAAAATCACCGGCGCTAAGGTATTGAGCGATGCGAATGAAATTGTGATGGAAAACGAGTATATCAAATGTGTCGTCTATGGGAACAGAAATTCGCTGCGGCCTCACGGCAATACGAAAAAGGATATGCTTCAATGGATACATATGAAGGGCATCTAGCTATTTGCTATTTTCTTGATGACGAGGGATTAGTAGATATTTGGTGTTATTCATATTTTTGGAGTGAACTATGTCACCTTAGTAGACATAACTTCGCATACTCCTCCTGTCTGTGCGTAGGAATATATGGTAAAGGTGTGACCATTTTCGCCTACTGAACCAGCTACGGGCTAGAAATCGATATGAGCTGCTCCCCTTTGAATAAAACACGTACCTAGAGGTAGACGTATCTAAGGGTATAAGTGGAAATCTAGTTTCAGCTTGTAGGCTGCAATTTATTCGCACGGTCAAGAGCGATATCAACCATCGCCTAGTCAGAAGGGCAAACCCAAACTCGTCAGCACGGAAGGGCATTCTGCCTCTACTTAAACACGTCTTGCTAGGTAAACCTGGACCTACCTGGATAGCTTCTTGCTCCTCAGCATGTATGTCACCACGATCGATACGTTCTCGCATATTTTGCATCACAACTGCTCGGCTTCGGCCGTTCACGAACACCACGTACCGCAGTCCTGGAAACCGAGCCTCGTATTCCTCGTTTAGCGCTTTAAGCTTTGAGGCTTCCTCTTCTTTCTCGCCGGAGCCATCCGACGTATTCAGATGTGCCTGCTCGGCTCGGCTCTGGGCGCTGTCAACTTTCTTTTCGCCTAATCGTGGGTGCGACCCAAGGATCCCATGAAGCTTCTTCCGCGCGTCTGGGGTTGATGAATTTGACAGTTGGAACATTAAAGACCCGACATGCTCAATCAAGGACGCGTATGATGCCGAGGGAGGACCATCTTGAATCGTCGGAATTGCTAAGGCGTGGAGATCTTCGGTCGGCTCGAAAAGCGTGTCAAGTACCGACTTAAGGGTCTCGTGATCAACTGTCGGGAGCGAGGAGATAGGTGGTAGAGTCGTGGAAGAGACCATTCTGCATGGATCTATTGTGTGCCAATGATTGAGGGTAGAGAGGGAGGAGGTTGAGGTGAAGATTTTAAGTAAGGTAAAGTTAGTTGGTCATAAATAAATTGTCTTTTGCTTAGGTAAATTACTTGATAGCTCCTCCCTTATCTTGACGAGATTCTTTTGGTCATCACGGACGAAGGCGCGGACTTGTCAAGTGTAGCTATAGTGGGTCCACATCTTTAAGGTGGGGTTGGATTCGTCACTATCTTAGATATTGAGACGGAGAAATGACGGTCCGCTATTTGCATTGCTCTGGCGTGGGTAAACTCCGGCATAAATAATTTCAAAGCCAATCAATTCCAAGCTATCGCTACGCGTACTACCGCGAAGCTTTGAAGCTTGTACTTGTGCAAGGCCAGCCTTGGAAATTTTATTGACTTATCTAACCTATAGCAACCTCACTGGCAACTAGATGCTATCATCACCATATTAGCATCATTCGCAATGTTGTGCGCTCGTAAGTTACCAGCTTATAATTATTTATGGCCAATCTTTTAAATCTAACAGATCACAGTTTCCGGTGAAGCTCCCCAAGAGCCTGTCGTTTCCAAGTTATCAGGTATGCTACAATCCAATAACGATAGTCGCATTGCATTTATGTTAACACTACTTCATAGGCGCGCTTTTTGAGAAGCGATTAATCTTAAAATACATCGAGGAGAATGGAAAAGACCCGGTGAGCGGAGAAGATCTTACTGCCGACGACCTCCTCCCCATCCAATCTTCTCGCGTTGTACGACCCCGACCACCTACTCTTACATCCATACCCGCCCTTCTCTCTACCTTCCAGAATGAATGGGACGCTCTTGCGCTAGAAACCTACAACCTAAGGGAGCAATTATCGCGAACACGAGAAGAACTCGCAACGGCCCTGTACCAACACGATGCTGCTGTTCGAGTCATTGCGAGATTGACGAAGGAGCGCGATGAAGCTAGGGATGCTTTATCCAAGGTGACCGTGTCGGCGGGCGGCGCGAGTAATGGTGATGCTATGGCTGTTGATGCGGAAGCGTTGCCTGAAGAACTCGCAGCTAAAGTGGATGAGGCACAAGCAAAGTTCGTACCAAAGTCCTCATTTCTTTTACCATGATGTAGCTGACATTATTACAGGCTATCCAAAAGCCGAAAGAAGCGACCTGTTCCCGAAGGATGGGCAACAACCGAAGACATTGCTTCATTTGCCGTCGATACCACGAATTCGTTACCCGTCCCTCAAGCTACAACAGTCACTGTCGAGGAAGGCTACGCTGCTATTGGCGGATTACAAGGCGACGTTGCGATCTATTCGGTTGATTCGCACAAGGTCGAACGTTCTTTACAAGTCAATGAACCCGTAACCGATTCGATATGGCATGGTTCCAGGGTCTTCTTCTCTACCTCTAAAGGTTCCGTGAAGGTCTTTGAAAATGGTAGTGAGATTGCCTCGTTTACAGATCATGCTGGCCCTGCTACTGGTCTTGCGATTCACCCAAGCAAAGAGATATTGGCGTCTATTGGTTCTGACAAGAGCTTCGTCTTCTATGATCTGGCCAATTTGCGCCGAGCCACACGAGTGTACACCAATTCTGGTAAGCTTGCAACCCGAAATCCAAATATCAGCTTGGGAGATGTTGCTAACTCTGTCATAGCTCTAACTGCTTGCGCATTCCATCCTGATGGCCACCTCTTTGCCGCTGGGACTAGTTCTGGAGAGATCAAGCTCTTTATGACTAAGACTGGGGAGGAAGCAGCTGCTTTCTCTCTAGGAGCACCCGTACAGGCTATTACTTTCTCCGAAAACGGCTTCTGGTTCGCTGCCACAGCAAAAGGGCAGACTACGGTGACCATATTCGACTTGCGTAAGGAAGGTGAGGCTGCACAAGCCAAAGTATTAGACATTGGTAGTGCGGTACAGAGTTTGGCATGGGATTATTCGCAACAATTCCTTGCAACCGCTGGCCCGGCTGGAGTAACAGTGCAACAGTACAGTAAAGGTTCTAAATCTTGGTCCGAACCGTTACGAGCAGCGGTTAGTGCAGTCGATATTAAATGGGCCGCCAACGGAAGCAAGCTAGTGGCTGTCAATGGTGATGGTGTAATCAGTGTTCTTACCACCAAAGAGTCATGATTTAGGCCAATGGTGTCGTTTAGGCAACAAAACTCGTTACACATGTGATCGGAATCGGCAGAGAAAAGGTTTATAGTCAGCCAAAATAGGGCCAGGGAGTAACTCAAGCTTCATCTTTGTACATTAGGAAAGCAAGTGGTGAATAATTATGATACCTTTTCATATGAATTTGAAGTCGGCAGCTTCTGATACGCCGTATATGCAGTTGGCGTATTAATACTATATTCGGTTGCATGAATTCCGAGCACTTATGTGTAGCTGAAGGTGAAATTCAAGCTTGTTTACTTGACTGCACATGTGTACGATGACATCCATGGATGTATCGAAAGTACTTTACTGGGGATCTATTATGGGTAGGTACACCTAAATAAAGTCTGCGCGGGTACCTGCTAATACAACTGGGCCTTCTACAGTTGTGGGGCGGAAATATTTTATCAGGCCCCGGAGTTTAGATGAGTACGGTACTCAAGAAAATAAAGCGTCACCGCTACCAAAATATATACATAATATGTAGCCAAGTACTCCGTACATAGGTACCTTTTGCGCCCATTGAAGGTAAGAACGTTGGCGAGGCTCGCGCTATGTGAATTTCGCCATCCATCAAATAATACATCCGGAGCTACCTTTAACCTTCTTTAACCTTCTACCTTCTACCTGCCACTTTCCACCTCATTCTTCAATAAACAAACTCAACTCACTTCTCTTTTTTTCTCTTTCTTATTTTCCACCAACTTCTAATCTTCTAAACTTCAACCCTCCACAATTCCACATCACCACCCCTCCCGTTCGCAGCTATCTTCGTGCGCACCACACCAATTTGATAACAATCGACTATCCTTCATCCTGACTGTCAAGAAGACAAGGGTCATGTTAGCACATGCCCTTTAAGATGATAACAGTACAGTGTTGATTGACAAAAGGGTCAGTAAACCTAGTCTTCTATGCCTAGGTTGGCATAAGTAGGCGAATTTCTTTGCGCAATCGCAATTCACAGGTTCGTGCACTTCATGGCTCAATCCTAGCCGCTTGCCCACCGTGCCTGTGCGCATCCAGTAGTACCTATTCGTTTCCACACGCACACACTGACCACTTTGCCTTGACCAATCTAGACTTGCCTTGATATGGCAACAGAAATCCTAAATTCTGATTCACCTGATCCTTTAATCATAACCTCTCCAGCAATTGCGAGAACCGTCACCACTGCCTCAACTCCCAGCACCGTCAGCGACACAGACTCTTCGCCGTCTGTACCTCTTTCACGTCATCGATCCCATCCTCGATACAGTCGGGAACAAGAACGGCAACACAATAGTAACTTCCAACGCGCTATCGAAACTAGCTTCACATCCTTTGTCAATCAGATGTCCCGCGACCCCGATGAAGTCTTGCAGTTACTCGACCGGCTCGTGCCGCGCGAAGAATACGACCTGTTTATAGACGACGACGATTACTACCCTTTTGGTGCTGAATCCGTCAACGATAATTCGTCCGATGACCACGACCACGAATACGACTCAGTATCGGACTCAGAAAGTCTTTTTGTTGACGACCGTCAGGAAGAAGACGTAGACGAAGACGAGGACGACGACATAAACCTAATCGGCGCCCGACATATCCAAAGGCCGTCTCAAAATCGACCTTGGCCTAATAGTTCTGCAAGCCCGGACCTTCTACCAAGCGACGATCTTTTTGACGGTTTTACTTTCACCGGCAGGATGGACCGAAACTTGCGCAATAATCGAAGGGACGAGTTAGTGGACGTAGAAATCGAGAGCACCAATCCCCAACGAAACCAGCGGGGAAGCAGGCAACGACAGCCCCGTGCACAACCCGAAGTTATTGACTTAACGGGTGAGAATGACAATGTCACTCAGCTTGCACCAGCCGTGCCTCGAAACCGGTCCCAGAACACACGGAGACAACGCTCTCAACAACAAGGAACGCCTCCCCAACTTAACCGTACCGACACGGGCTATATGGAGCTGCCGACCGTCATCGACCTTATCTCTGATTCGGATGAGGAACCTAATAGGATGCCCCCACCGAGGAGCAATTCTCCCGGCCGCAACCAACAAGAAGTACCTCGCGGACAACCTCGCCGCTCAGCACAACCTCCGGAACCAGGTCACAACACCTTACAACATCGTCTACATCGCCTAATCAATGGTATTCCTCTCCCCTTAATCCATCTTCTCAATAACCATCCACCCATGGCAGACAACGAACCCATCGACGACCTTGAGATTGTCATGCTTGGTCAACGTAACCTCGACGCGATGGTAGCACCCAATGTACCCACAGGCTTCGACTACAATGCAGTCGCTTTTGGAAATGGAGCGCCGGCACCTGGTGGTCTTAATACGAAGCCCGCGCATGAACCTCCGAAAGAGACGAGAGAGGGTTTCACGAGGGATACGGGTGAAGATGTAGTTGCTATCTGCCCTAGTTGCGACGAGGAACTGGCCTATGATCCAGATGACGATGGTAGCTCGGGCCCTCCAGCTAAGAAGGCTCGCACCAAGAAAGACAAGGCCGAGCATCATTTTTGGGCTGTCAAGGCTTGCGGTCACGTAAGTATTCCGTTCTATATTTTTGTTTCGTGTTGGTTCCGTTCTAACATTCTCCTAGGTCTATTGCCGCAAGTGCTACGAGAATCGCCGACCCGTAGGCAAGAAACCCATCCCCGTGGGATTCACCCAAGATAACAGCGGAACCAAGCACAAGATTATTTGCGCCGTCGAGGACTGCAACTCGGATGTGACGGCGAAGAATTCTTGGGTCGGTATTTTCCTATGACACGAACACCATTTCAGCTACGATTTCCTAAGACAACCCCAATTCACTTCGGCGATACTGGATACCCAAGGATACCCGATACGAGATTTCCTTACTACGCATATTCCGTTATTCACAACTGCATGGAAGGGCGTTGCATTCGGACGGGGTTAGGAACAAGGACATCCACGGATGAGGGCTAGGGGGGATTGCGGGCGAGGGCGCTATTTTCATTTTCATTTTCTGTTTTCCACATTTCATACTTGTTGTCGCCAGCTCAGCATAATCGTCCTAGACGAAGAAGGGAACCGGGCACATCCGATGCTCCTCAAGGTCACCCAACAAACTATTTGCTAGCTCGTAGCGGCACGTTGCATCCTAGTCTGATGTGGGATCCTAGAAGTCTCCCCATTTATATAGACAGGCAATGAACCCACGGCAGTGTGTCAAAGCCAGGAGCATCGCAGTCGCAATTTATGAATCAATGCAGACCCAACACGTATATATTGATATTTTGGTGACATGCTAATATTACATCATCACCCTTGCAGAGGGATAACGGTTACCTAGGTACCTCCGTAGGCGTCTACGTCGTCGGATACAGATAGTCTGGTGTTGCGTAGGACAAACCAATAAACTCCGTCCTAATCTAATTGTCTTCATTCAGCCCTCCCTAAATATCCATTCACATGGCCAGGGATACCCTCGGGAGTAATGTACCATCTCTTCTCACTTCGTAGCACTAATTCACACCAAATTTTGAGATAAGGTTATGTTTAAGTATAAGCCTTCCTCACTGTAATTATTAGGTATTATTATGTGATAGATACCTAGGCACCTAAGAAAAAATTAGGGAAGCAGGATGGCCTCGGTGTGCACAAGTGATCAAGGGTATTGGCATTGTAGATCTGTAATAAGTGATAGAGATGAGATCGAAGTATTGCAGGACCCGACCGGACGGGAATAGTTTTGATTGGCTCGGCTTCTAAGGTGCCCCCTAACTCTATTTACCTAGGGTGTCCGGTACAGTAATGAATCTCGAGTGAGACAGTGCCAAGTGCCTAACTTGATTCTACCTAGGCACCTAATCCCACCCAACCCACCAAAAGTGAGCTAATCTCAGGCACTAATCCCACTGAAGATCTTCAACAATTAGCGGCAAATCCACTGCACAACTCATTAATCCTAACCCATACTGTGCGCGTAAAGTGGGATAGCACCCGCCCCCAATTAACTCGGTTGCTGCGGCGCGACGCGAATGGCGGCTTAACTCTAAATAACAATCAATTGACTTTTCGACATTCCCCGCCAATTTCTATCCACCATTTTTCTCTACTATAACGACCGAAACGGATTTCGATGTAAACATAATTCGACCTATCGTTAATATGATGTCAATAAGAAGCGATCTCGCGGGTTACGGATAGGTGTAACCGGTCGGCTATATATAAACGATGGCTCCTGGTCAAAATACCTTCTCCATCATCCCAAACGCGCCATGTGCTATCAATGGCAACTCGGACGCTTCCGCATCCCGCTCTACCATACGGCCTATGACCACTAAGCAAGCCAAGAAAGCCTACAGCACAGCAAATAAGGGACCGAAGTTATCCAAAGCCGAACGACGTCGTCAGGAACTTTTCGAGCAAGACCGTATACGAAAAGAGTTCGAGAAAGAGAAGAATCAGGCTCGGGCGAAAGCTGCACGGGATAAAAAAAAGGAGAAGGAAGAGAAAGAACGCGCGGAGAAGAAAAAGAAGGGGTTACCTTTGGTTGATGTTCATCCATCGCAAGACACAATCTCCTGGTTTGTTCGTGGTGATCGGAAAAAGAAACAAGGAAGTCCAGCGGTAAGCCTGTCGGCTGTCAATAGGGATGATAGCGATAGTAGTTGTGCCCTATCAGCTAGGGGTGATTCCGAACCACCCCTCAAAAAGCAAAAGACAGCATCTCCAGAGCCGAAATGTAGTCCAAGTCCCCCAAACGCGATTGACGATTCGACGGTGACAGCTCCGGATTTCAACGTCGGAGAAGCTTCTCCAGAAGTCGACGGACCTATACCTCTTGAGCAAAACGCAACACCGGACCGCCCCAGCGCCCATCAAGATGACCCCGACATGACTGAGTCACTTCACGACGATGACATTTTGAATGAGTTGATTGAGGTTGCGAGTAGCCCACTTGTTAATACGACCACTGCGGTAGATATGAAATGTTCCCGTCTGAAAGACGAGGCGATTCCTAGCACACAACTACCGTTAAAACCATCCGATTGTCCTTCCCATCTACCTACATCAACTAAGAAGCTATCACAAAAACAGAAAGCAGAGGATAGTGCATCGCCGCCTTCTGTTCAGTGTCCACTTCAACCCCTAAATACAAGCCGTATCAACTCGAGACTAAATAATCCGCCTAAGGAACCAATTCCTGATCAAGCGAAACCGCCAGCTCCTGTACATACTTCGATGGTGGATTCTCCAAAGCAATCAGAGGTACTCCAACAATCCGTCTCAACATCTCGGGCTTTCCGACATCCTATAACTCCGATGGGGCCACCTCCAGTTCCGCCGAAATTCAGACCTCGTAACCATGTATCGACCAAGGGCCTCAAAACACCACCTTTCCTACACAAACAGACACCGAAATCTAACGTCAACCATGCGGCTCAAGAGACACCAGAAGAGCAGTTGCCAACAAGTACCCAATTGTTTATGCTCGGTCACTTAGATGACTTCTTTCCCAGTCCTTCTCAGGAAGTCCGAGAACTTTTTGGTGAATCGAAGCCCGGCACTGGGGCGAATAGCGAAGGGCCAAAGCCAAAGAATCCGCACTCGATTCGCTTGCCTCCGAATAGGCGCCTTCCCACTAAGTCAATATTAACTGCGTCGAACACCAGTCCTCTAGCCCCAGCTATAAAAGAAAGCAAGTTGAGAAAGGGCCCAAGTCCGAAGGAAAAGCCGTGTATCCAGATGAGGGAATTACCTTCGCCTACGGTCGCAAATCCCCAGTCATCGGATCAGTCAGACGCATTCGATATGCCATTCTTCTCGACACAGGATTTCTTCCTCTCATCACAAGATATGAAAGATATTGAAGAAGAGACGACATCCCCGACGGGTCTAAAGTGGGGGCGCATTAACCCTCAATACAAAGAATTGCCTCCAGAGCATGGCTTTTCTTCCCTTCAAGCGACCAGAAACATCACCAGTACCGAGTCAACCACATTAACGTCTAAATCAGCCCCGAGACAGGTCAAAGGACCAGAATCCATTGTTCGATCGAGACTCACCAACGACAAGGACTTGTCGACTCATTCTCAATTACCTAGTAAGCCTACGGAGCGTTTTGAGAGCTCTACCCCAGCATCCGCGCAACTAAGGGGAAACCACTCGCGAAAGTATGATCTCGGAATTGAACACAGGCCTCCGGAGAAACTTGGGAACGGAAAATCTACGACGAATCAAGGCCCTCAGAACAAGGCCCTCAGAACATCACAAGCCAAGGACTCGGTAATACCACAGCGTAATTCCCCTAAATCCTTCTTCGCGGCGAGCGGCAAAGAGGCCCATTACAAATACGCTATCGAAAGAAGGAAGACAATTGCATGGGAAAGCGTTTCGACCCGACAAAAAGTTCGGGATGAGTTAGAGGACATCCAGAAATCCGAGGACGAACGTTTAGATAAGTTACTGCTTGAGGCCGAAGCAGAAATTGTGCATACGCGGATGGGCGACACCCGCATATCCAGCTCAAGTCCGAAAGCAAACGAAGCAGGCTCTCAGCGATGTAATCAATCGCAGCCACGGTCTATCAACCAGCTGTCGAATTCAGCAGAGAAGAATGCGCAGAGCCAAAGGATAAGCCCGCCGAACGAGGAACGCCAACGCCCGAAACAAACTCGTAGTTCATACGAAATGATGTTGAAAATGTTAGGGTCAGATGAGCAAAAGAAAAATCAGAACCAGAAGCAGGAACAACATGCAATACCTGCATCTCAGGAGACTGACTACGGGGAAATCGGATTGGATGACTTTCTTTCCGAAATGTTATAGCATCCTGGTTTTTATTCAACAACAATGGATAAATAAGTTAAATTGGGTGTTGCTGCTCAGCTACGAGCTAAAATTTGCATGTCTGTTAGATACGGATGGAAGAGCTAGGATAGACTAAAAGGAGGCGCCAGCCACAAGAAGTAGGTAGTATACCAAATGATGAAGCCTATGGATTAAGAACTTACCGTATCAAGTCAGGTAGACCGCCTGTGACTACCTATTACTAATATGCCTAACCCCTAGGTGCCTTGAAGCGAGAAGATCCCTTTTTAGAAGCACCTCTGGGGCTCTAGCTACCTAAATAGGTAGTTGCTACCCACATATATATGCCGTTCCTGCCCCGTGTCTGCCCCGTGTCTGCCCTGAGTCTGCTCCGGGTCGGTCCGGCTCCCGCCGACGACAGTGCCGGCTCCTGCTCCGGTCCGTAACCTTATGTCCACATACACTCCCCGGCCAAGGAACTCACAAACCACCCACTGTATATTGTACCCTCGATAGAATCAATTGGGACAGGATGTACTCGGTGAATAAGATTGGTCTCACTACCTAATTAATAGGGGAATGGCCCACGCACATCGCTGAACGACTCGAGTGAATATCTTGATCTTGGTCGCCGACTTCAAATTTTCAGTGAGTTAAATACCTAGGTACTCCCAATGCGCAGCGTTTCTTAAAACATGCTTACCTACCAGGATAGGTACCACTTAGCTACTACATACGTACCTGGTCTACAGCGGTTTAGAGTTCACCCATGCGGGGCGACGATAGGGTTGACGATGTCATAACAAATTCACCACACAAATTTCTTGCTTTGGTTCTCGCATTAAAAAAGGAGCAGGACCACCCAGGGAGATACAAAAGTCATTTCCTAGAAAATAAACGAGAACAAACAACAGTCCTTCTCAAAGATAGTTTTGATCATCACACACCCGCATTTCCGCATCATCACGCATTCAGTCTCGTTTCGTTAGTCAAATTCTTCAAAACCCAAGTTCAAACTCACATCATTCTGAATTAATTATTCTATCTACGACAATGGCAAACACGGCAGTAGACACAACAGACTTTGTGTCCATCGACAGAGCCCCAGAGCTTCCCGTCCAAGTTTTAGCAGGACGATCTCTCGACCTCGAAACATTCGAGTATGTACAATCTAAGCAACGCAAGGATCTCCGAGACCTGGGAACCCAATTCTATAACTTCGGTGTTGCCATTGTCCATATCACCGAGCGCCATCTTAACCCCCATGCCAATTTTCAATTCCTCTCATTCATTGATACCATCACGCGTTACGGCCTCATGGTGACCACTCTTGCCGACAACCTAGCCGGACACGACTGCGAGTACCGCTTCATCCACCTGAGCGACATGCAGAAAACCATCGAGAACATTTGCCGCGCTTCCCGCCTCCTTGTCGAAGGCGCCTGGCGCACTATCCGCATCTCCGACCTGTTAACCATTCGCGACTTCGTCCATTCATCCGTGTTCATGATTGTCGACGGCACTCAAGTCAACTTCGGCCCTTTCGCCGCTGAGGACCAGGAGATCCCGCTCGCAATCATCGTTCACGTGCTTAAGGAGGAAATGGAGCAAATCGCGCCGATTTGCACCGAGGCTGACGGATTTTTTATCGAAATGCCCTTTGTGCGAGAGATGCGGGAAGCACGCGAAGCTGACGAAGAAGTCTATCTCGACGATGGGCAGCAGGGGGAGGAAGTCGATGAATCTGACGAAAGCTTCTTTTAAGAAGAACGGCGGGAACTGCGCCAAGTGGAGGAACGAGAAGGAATGGGCGGGTGGCATGCTCTCGGAAGTTGGAATCGGGTCCTGTACTCTTCCTGCCTAAATGGCACGGACCTGAGGTCTATACCCAGGTATTTTAATAGGGAACCCCATCAATTCGGTGCTAAATGTGGAATCTCCGCATCTCCGGACCCATGGTTTGCTATGTGCTATACTACTAGCATCACAAAGTGACAGCTACAATAGTGAGAACCCTTGCATGACCAAAATACCTTGATGAACACCTTGTGAGCAACCCCAATGTTTTCAATTTTATATATAATGTTCGCATCCCCCCCCTTTAAGTCTGACTTCGTCTCCCTACGCTACATTACTCCCAGCGAACCCTTGCTCTAACAAGTTACCCGTATAAACTAATAATTATATTCCATGATCGTTTTCTTGAGTTATCTACTTCAGGGAACGATAACAGATCGAAATCTAACGGTTCCATTCAACATGGCATCTATCAAGCATCATTCATGTTAGCTGGGTTCCAAACCACTTTGAAATAACACCGAGAGGGATTGGGGAGATAGTGGGGCACAGAAACATACCAAAAGCAGCTTGTGCCTGATCTAGGGGGAATTTCTGGACCATACAGTCGATACTCTGGAGTTCGGTGAATGCGATCGTTTCTTCAGCATCCCTAGCGTGGCCGCATGGCCAAATCTGTACCGACACACCGTACTTGAGCATGACACCGGTATTGACAGTCAAATCTCCAGGGACACTTAATACCAGCAACTTGCCCAGGACACCAAGACCCTTGAGAAGCGGGGTCATGGAATCAGCTGTTGGCGCTGTAGTCACCACTAAACTGGCACTCCCGAGAGCTTTTAACGCGTCGCCTACATCCTCACTCTTGCTTGCGTCGATGTATTCGTGTGCGCCTAGCTCTCTTGCGAATTTCTCTTTATCAGCGCCCCGTGATATGGCAATTACGCGGTACCCCATACGTGCTGCGTATTGAATCGCGAGGTGGCCCAATCCACCTAGGCCTTGTACAGCGATGGTCTCGCCAACAGGGATGTTCATGTGCCGCATGGAGTTGTAGACTGTCATACCAGCACACAGAATCGGTGCGTACTTGACGGCATCTACGTGCTCAGGGACACGGACTGTGGATTCTGGGCGGAGGATGCAGTATTCAGCGTCTGATTGCTTTGTTAGCACAATTTCCGCCTCCTCCTAAATTTGGCTTCGAGTTCCCCGATACCGCTTTATAACGATCGGATACATCCGGGGGGTAAAAGAGAACGAAAAAAAAAAAAAAAACTCACATCCACCATTTTTAGTCACGCCATTGACTACCTGGTTATCACACATCTGATACCACCCTTTCCTGCAAGCAGTACAGGTACCATCATGACCACCATGCCAGCCAGCACCAACCCGATCGCCAACTTTCCAGGCCTTAACGCCTCCGCCCACTGCTGCTACCTTTCCGATGATCTCGTGGCCAGGGCATAAGGGAAAACCGCCGCCCATGATGTTGTGTTGGGGGAATACGTCGCTGTAACACACACCACATGCCTCCACCTTGACCAGAATCTCCTCATCCCCTGGCAGAACCAAAGGGGTCTCTTCAACCACAAGGGGTTGGCCCTTGGTGATGAAAACCGCCCTCTTATAAGTTTTAGGGAGAGACATATTTTTGCTAATCGTGGATTTTTCAAAGGGGAAAGCCGGAGTTCACCTGTATGATCGATAATCAAATGATAATTGAATACTTTCAACAATGATATGCGGTTATTATCCATCATCCACCGTAACAAAACAGGAAACGTTATATAGCATACTTGTATCGGAGTTAATGCCATGGGTCTAGTTTAGGGAAGTCTTATCTCCCCAGGTCCGCAACTCCAGGTCACCATAGCCGGGGGACTGGCTTAATCTCCAGAATCGATCGATTTTTTAGATCCAAAGACATTATGTTCTTTAGCCTCCTTTTTTACCTTAACATCTTGCGTTGTCAATGGTCGTGCCTACCATGTACCTAGCGGATTGCCCAAAGGAGTTCCGGAGTTATGCATGCAGAACGCTTATTGGCTCCACACCATCACAGGTCTATGTTTGAAGCGGAATTATACTAAAGTCCGTGAAAATCCGCAACATAACTCTTTCATGGTTTTATTTTTCCTCTCTCTTCCCTTTGAAGTTGTTTCGAGACGTAAGTCTAGCATAACGACAGATTACAGTAATGGAGGGTGCACTTTGTATGACATGCCGGGGCCAAGAAGGTATCAAAAAGGGCTCTTCACATAGTTTTGCAGAGGGAAATTGCGAGATAGCAAGATTCCGAAGATGAGAGTAGTATGGTAAGTAGGTAAGTAAAGGGAGACACTGGAATGAACCATATCACAATACATTAATCGCTCAAATTTATTAAAAATTTATATTATATATATGCTACCAGTCTATTATTTTAATCCAGTCTCAGTTCTTTTGAGTATGATTGTATTTTTACCCCCTCCCCAGTCCTGTATCGCCATGAATACACTTCTAACGAATCCTCCTACAAGCCACCATATCAATTGCTTGTACCCATCTACTCGTTGATGTGAAGACTCAGAATATCATCATCGCAGGCGCTGCTTCTCCCTCGTCTCTTCCTTTCGCCTTCACAAACCTATCCCCTGTCAAAAACAGGGAACATACAGTATGCAACGCGCCCGCCACAATAACTAGAATCCATACCGTATCAATTGCATGGATAATCACATCCATAGCCGCATCCCGCACCTCCGGCGACGCGTTCATTAAGACCTCGCTTCGCGCGCCCGCAATCGCTGCTTGGATATCTGCGTCGGAGTAATTGTCGGAGCTGAGTAACTCCCGAATACCACTAAAGGCTTCGCCCTGGAACACGGCGCTGGCAATTGCTAAACCGATTAATTGGGAAGAACCTTGCGAGATGTTGATGTACTGAATGACATCGGCTGCTCTCGCGGGTTCCACGAGTAAATTGCCGATCGCATATGCGGCTTGAGAGGTTGTCATGCCTGTACCAAGGAGGATTGTGTAACCAACGATATTTGCGTTCGGGGTATTCCGATCCACAGTGTACATCGCAGCAGCACCAGCCGTCAGCAATAACCCCGAAATCAGAAACCACACGCGATGATACCCAACTCGACCCATGAATGCCCCACAAGACAGCACGCAAGCAACATAGAAGCATATATATGGCAATAAGCTGATAGCAGCACCAGTCCCAGAGTCCCCGCGGGCGAATAGGTAGTACAACGGGATGTAGTACACGCAGACGAAAATGCTAGCACCACCGCTGCAGGCCATCAGGATGTACATAAGCACCAACTGCGGATCGCGCAGAAAACTGCACGGGAACAAACGATTGACTTTATCGGTCAAAAGGCAGAACTTCTGGGTAGTCGCAAAGGCGATGAGAAACACGCCAAATAGCACGATGAGAGCAATAGTAGGCCCATCACTCCACTTCCAGAGCACGCCGCCGAAGAGGAATGCTACTGTAAAGCAACAGTACATACCGGAATTGAGCAGGATGCCGAGCCAATCGATTAACTTGAGTTTGTCGATGAATTTTGTGTCTGGGCGGCGCGGGGTGGATGGGATAAGGAAGAGGTAGATGGGCGCCATGACGGCGAATATGACGAGATTTAGGTAGAAACCCTACGTTTTCGTGTCAGCAAAATTCAGAGTAGGATCGATCCCTTAGAAAAATATTAACCAAGAAGCTGGAAGTAAAACCTACCCATCGCCACGTCGCCGGACTATCAGCAAGCAACCCTCCAACGACCGGCCCAAGAATCGCACCCCCTCCATAAACGAATCCAATCATCGCAACATACAACGGTTGCTCCTTGGGTAGCACCAACGCTGTCAATAAGTTCAACGTACCGAGGTACATCCCCGCCCCTCCGAACCCAGCCCAAACTCTTCCGACAATCATAGCATTCATATTCGGTGCGGCACCACACAGTGCGCTTGCGGCGGCAAAGTTCGTCAGGCACGAGATGAAAACCCATTTATTATCAAAAATCCCATACGCCTTTCCTAAGGGCAGAATACCTGCAGCGGAACCCAAAGCAAAACCGACGCCGAGCCACCCAAGCTGTCCCGTGTTGTTATAGGTCTCGGATACGGCCCCCTGGATGTCGGCTGCGATGGTGTTGTCGAGTCCGAAGAGCAGGTTCGCGGAGAAGATCGATACGCAGACTAGGAGCCAACGGATTCCCGTGATAGATCGCTGTTCTGGGTTGTTTTCCTTTTCATTGTCGCTGGTAAGTTCACCCGGTGGCGTGGTGTTCTGGGGCTGGGGTTGGTTTTGTTGAGCCTCGCTCATGGTGGCAGAATCGTAATTTGGCACAGAGTCAGACTTGGACTCGTCGATGTCGACTTCCATGATAATAGGATTGCAAAGGACTCTTCTTAGAATGTTCAGTGATTGGTAGGCGCACACAATTCGTAGGAAAGAGTTGAGTCTTATAGATATCCCGACGCAGACATGGAAGTGTAAGTAAATCGTCCTCATACTTTGTCGGTTTCTTATACCTGGCCCCACGAAAGGAATCCAATGCTTGGTGACTTAAGTCTTCCATACTACACTTTACGCCATTTTCGAATGCTTAACAGCAACCTGTAGCGATCCCGCCTGCCAAGCTTCTAACTTCTGGCGTTTAGCATACGGATATAGGACATATATCCTTTCAACAAATAAATTGCTTCCTATCGCCGTGTACATTCTCATTTTAGAAGGTCCCACCGATGAGTCAATATAAAATGAACATGTCTTCCTTATAACATCTCAAGGTTAGTTGGCCATGAATATTGGAGCTTATCTCGATACTCCGGAACTCCTCGCGAAAGGGGTGCTCAGGGACCCAATTAAAGGGATCCATATTGTGGGTGGATACAAAGGAGTAGCTCCTATTGGTGGATTTATGAAGAATTCTGCTTCATTAAGATCTCGCACTCTATATCAATTTGTACCATATATCAGAGGTTATAATTAATTTGATTCGTCGAACGGCGAGTAAGTTAACCATTGGCTGCGGTAAATACCACCTTGTTAGAAGAAATTTTCATCAAACATGCGCAAAGGCTGGACTTACAACACCTCTATTTCTCAGATGTTAAGTTGTCTCTCCAGACTTATCGACGTAGAGATCTACTTCAATTGAGAGAAAAGTAGACGGCGATAAGGTAGCTTCAGCTTATACCATGTTGAATAGTTCTATATCTATTTCTATACCACTTTTAGTTGGATGCTATGGAAGCTCGCATTTGAGATGAAGATGAGTTATGTGGAATTAGTAAGAACATGAGTGTCTCAGGTCTACTTACTTCCCAGCATTTACTCCGTAGGGCCTGCACCTGGCCATAGAATATTCGTATGGTGATAACCGTCAATCGTGAAAGCCAAGTCCATCGAACCGGCGAGAATCTCCTGCATCGCGGCGACAGTCTCGTCGTCAAAATCGGGTATTCCCGGTACCTGTTGCTCGCCCTGGGGCATCATTGCCATCGTAGACTCATCACCGTGGGGCATGAGAGGCTGATGGCCTTCATTAATATGTTGCTGCAATACAGCGCCTCCCGCCTGTTCTGTTGCGATAATATGATCCACCATTGAGCCAAGTTTCCGTACTACATTAGCCGCGCTCGTAGCCACAGCAAAGCTCTTCCCGAATAGACAAAAGACATCAATTGAAAAGTTGATAGCGTCCCGTGCAACTTGTGTGAGCTCACTCTGTGGATACTCGAGTATAAAGCCCACCAACGTAATGGCGCAGTTCCATTGCCATTGGAATGATTCGTGCCAACCGGTCAATAAATCGGTGGTTGATAATACCTGCCTCATAATATGCGTCAATGCCATAGCATGCTTAGCGCAATTGTGTGCACATGAATCTACGAGTGATTCTGGCGAGGATGACGATGGTGGCGGTGGCGGTAATGAGATTGGTTTTAGCCAGATAAACGGTCGATACAAATTCGTACAGAGATTGTGATATAGTAACTCCAAAAGTAGACGTTGGCGCTGCAGCCAAGGCGGGGCGAATTGCTCGATATCCAGCGACGAGCAGTCTGTTGACAGAGGGGTACCGTGGTTTTGGCGCTGTATTTTCAGCGCAGTGGGCACTTCAGCCACCCAGCCATCCAGCGCCTTCATGTGTGTATTAAAGATGTCGGCATGTGTTTCCAACGTCGCAAGTGCGGGTTTATCGTCGTTATCGAACAGGCCCGGATATTTTTCATAAAAGGCGGTATAAATATTGCGAGCAGCAAAAACGAGCTTCGCATCGTGAAAACCAAAGCTGAGCCAGGTAGTATTATCGTCCAAGGGCGCAAAGTCCGAACCCGACATAGCCGTACCCTCAAGGCTATCGTCGGGTAGCCCACGGGCTGCATATGTGACCTGCGGAATCAAGAATAGTCGGCCAAGCTTCATGCTGGTTTTACTCTCGCAGACATAAATAGACCACCATATCCATCTTCGTAATTCTTTCTCGCGTTGTGGCATATCCGGTGGTGGTGGCAGATGAAGGCCTAGTGTTTGGGCCAATCTTATTGTGATGGCTAAGGTGCTATCGGCCATGTTCTGGAAGGATGCAATACATAGCCAAACCACGGCTAGAATGTTGCATTGAATTGTTTGGATAGTAGGGCTTTCCGATTCGCTTGCTAGAAGAGACTGGCACCGACAAAAATGCCAGCGACCTGCGAGGGTTGCATCATCGGTGTCGATGTCAGCGCTTCGAAGAGCCGAATTATTACTAGCCCGCGCCCGTGCTACACCATACTGCATGCATAATGCGAGTACGATATCGACGAGGGCCGATGGCTTGCGGGTTTTTCTTGAACCAGCCCATAGAGATTTATAATGTTGCTTAAAATCATCTTCGTAGAAGACAATGAGTGAAGTGTGGAAGGATTGCCAATAGAAGTCCAAGAAATATTCCTCTTGAGTAGGACTCAAGTACTCTTTGGTCTTGCTAGGGTCATCCAATGGCCCCCGATCCCGACCGCCTGTCGGTGTTTCGTGATCGGAAGGGCTGGTAGGTCCGTCAAGTAACCTACTAGCTGAATTAGGTTGCATGTAATTGTCGGGAAGATGCTGTTGTAACTTCGAAGCCAAACATGTATTCAAACGGCTGATAAAAAAGAGCAAAGACGACGGACCGTACCAAGTCTTCGCGGGTGATCTAGCTGTGCTGGTATAAATGCCTTCCCAATACTTCATAGAAGGCCCCCCATTATCTAGAGAGGGTCCCGAAGGAATTGCGATGGTACTAGCTGACGAAGCCCACGGGATGCTTGGTGGCGTTGGTAGCTGAGAGTTAGGTGCGTTAGCCGGGGGTGCGGATGCGACCTGATTCCTATTACGACAACGTTCCTCTTCGATCTCTTTTTGGAGCTCCTCATTACGCTGCTTGAGCCGCTCTATCTCACGAAAGGCGTGCGGCAAGGTGCGAATTTGACCTGTCCTATCATTGCTACATTGGCCTCCTCTATTATAGCAATTGAGGCATGGATGATTGTTGTCACACCTGATTCTGTGCACACGACACCAATCACTCGTCGGAAGTTAGCAGGCTAATTCATTGGCATTACTTATGTAATACGAATGATTATGGATGAACTAACCAAGCTCGCGCTACTTGACTCCGTTTTTGTCGGAGCCGTGGGGGTGGTAGACGATCCGGAGACGTGGAGTTTGGTACGGTTTCATCAGACCTTGGACCAGATGAAGTAGCGGTAGTCGAGCCCAAGAATGCGTACATAGTCGATAGTTACTCAAAGACCATTCAAATTATACTGCTAAGAGATGGATAATCGCTATAATGTACCACATCACGATAGATGGGCAATGATGGACGGCGGCCCGACTATCAAGATTATGAAATACTGAGTTGGTATGTTGGTTGATGTCTGTCTTTAAAAATGTTATAGAATTAAATAGGTACCCAGGTACAAAATAAGGCGTTAGGTGTTAGTGGTGCTATAAGCGCCAAGCCCCCATAACCAACAGGTATAAACTACCTGGGTATAGTGGAGTAGTAATCCTTCAGCATCCATCAGCTGCCTCAGCTCTCCATACTAATCGCGATTCATGATACCGTTCTTGTATACCAAGATGACTAAAATAGGAGATACATAGAAACAAAGAGAAAAGAGGAATATAGGATAAAGTCACTATATATTAAGTAATAAAAAGAAAAATATCAAAACGTACAACACCGAGGATTCCCTGGTCGTCACCGACCCAGGTACTGATTCGGCGATATCCGACTTGTCTATGGGAGAGCGGACGGGATCCCGAATTTTCCAGATTCTATGGTCGTACGTGATAGTTACCTTGAATGTCAAGCATTATATTCTATTCATCGTGAGGATTATCGGCGAAAATTGCGGCGTAATAATCGCCCTAAGTCGAACGAAACACCACAAGACCCACTCTGGCCCAGTTATCTTTATTAGGTGGCGGCCAGATCGCGATGAATGGATATTTGAGAAAACTACCTAGGTATCTATGAAGCACTGGGCAGTTGTAACAGCCATAAAAATTCCCATCAGCTGCCACCCAAATGATGACGTGGATGGCGTTTTTGCTTTAACTCTCAGCCATCTTTTCACGTCTTTTCTTCCCTTTGTCCTTTCAATCTAAAAAGCTGATAATCTTATCCATCTATTCCTGTTCCGCGTCGCCGCAGAGATCTTCATCGCGAGCTAAAATAGTACATCAATGCTATGATGAATTGGGGGCCAATTTCCTGCGTTATTCCCTGCCCTCGTACCCACAAAGGCCACTAGTACGGCGGCATATGTCGCGGTAGAAGAATTCGTTTTGACATTCGAAGCATTGAGCTTAAAGAGTGCGAAGAGCTGAACGAATGCTGAAACGGTGATTAAGCTCTTTAGGGCTAATGGCCGAATATCCATGACGATCACAGTTGCTATATGGGATAAATCGCCTGTAATTACTACGATGAGACGTACGGACCGATCGTCAAATTTATATAGTTTCCGCTGGCGCCGTCACTCACGAACCACGCCAATTGACAAAATATTCCTACCATTGAAAAAATCGTTGAAAGAGGACCTTTCGCCCGATACTTCATCTCTCCAAAGGATGTCTTCTCTGAATCGGTCTTATATCCAAACATTTCAAGAAGTTGACAGCCGAGTTCCTTGAGGGACAGCCAATTTCTTACCGATATGCTTTCATAGGGTCAGACCCCGATAATAGATCATCTTCACAGAGACCATTTACCGCGGCATCTAAGCAAGCAGCGTTGGCGTGGAGACAGTGATGTCCATCTCCGAGCCTATTTAACATCAAGGACTTAATTTGGCCAATTTTTCGCAATAATATGTGGCTAGAAGTGGGAACTAACGCCGCCAGATCAATATTTTTACTCCCAAAACTTGGGACAACATGCCACAATGAACACCTGCGGAAACAGATGAAACTATCTTGACACCATTGACACCAAAGGCTTAAGTGGAAAAACTAGCATCCATCAAGGTGAGATGGCATTGACAGCTTTGGCCTTCTCTTGTCAGTCTACTGACGTTGAACCTAACCCGTCATCGTAAGAGCTGCGATACCTCCACTGATAGAAAAGGGGAATAGAAGATGCGGTCCGATTCCGCACGCTGAGCGGCATCTAGATCTACTGCAGGTACTAGTTTGAGGTGAAAAAGAACCGACCGTATTGAAATAAGCAGTGGCTTGTGGGAACTTCAAGTTTCTTAGAGGGGAGCTTGTAACCGTCCGTCCTCACAAGCTTTTCAGCACCAAGTTATGAAAAGTTCCATTATACCTCAGTTTTACTCGGCAAACGAAGAACATTCTATGTGAAGCAGAACTATGCTTGTAGTTATCCCACATAGCATAGTAGGCGTCGCTATTGCGGCGCCCCTATCATACATGAAGAGCCTCTGCTAAGTGTGGTCCTTCTAATGTATCACACATAAGAAGTAGGGTGCAGAAATAATGCAAGGGCTGAAAACCGAGGATAAAATTCGCAGGGCCAATATCGTACGTAAATTCGCCTCTAAGTTGACTTCCATTGGTCCTAGTTCCATGATTGCCGGAGTAGCACGCGAGTTGAACTCCACATAGTTCATACGCCTACCGGTCCCGCCCCGAGCATACCCCTAGCTGACCACGTTCTAATATTCCTCTTTCGTCTAGCGTCCCATGCTCCCGAAGATCTATGTTTTGCAGCAGAATGAACGGGTATGAACCATCGTAGGTGGCAATGGGAATCCATCTATGCATCTTAAGATCTCATAGTGCTAGTCTCGTAGTTGAGTAACATCTAACGATTCCAGATCCAAATCTTGTTAGGTCCAGAGGTCCAGAGCCGGTAGATAACCCCATTGGCACCTAGACTTTCCGAACTACCTACTGTAATTTCAGCTGGACTCGAATACGACTCACCCAAATATCCAGGTGCACAGATAGCAGACCCAACTCATCCACTCTTCCAGGGGTCACCAAAATTCCCCGGAATACTGCCTAGACAATAATAACACCCCTTCCCCAGTAATGTGAGAATTGATAGATATCGAAGATCTCCTCCATTCCTTTGCATCCGTTGGCCTGTTCTTGCTCCAGGTTACGGTGACAGATTTTACGTTACCGCCCCCATCGAGCAGATAAGACAAGCACCACACTCAACTTCGACACCATGGCGGGCGACGACAAAATCGATATTCAGGTCTCGTCCCTGGCGGCCGGCTTTTCCATTGGCTTTGGAATTTGGACAGTATGGGAGGCTTGGAAGCAGACCCGTCGAAATCGCAATCCCCTTCGCAGTCCATATGTAAGTCATGTCACGACCACTCGTTGCCGTCAAACCGAGAAAAATTGTGCTCACATAGACTGTGTTAGATTTACATGTTGTGGGGCGAAATCGTAGCGAATCTTGGTATCTGGATTCTCGCATACCTCTGGATCGATGGCGTCTTTGGAGCCAAGCCAACGTAAGTGATAAACACTTCGTCTACACCGATGCGACTGCTATCAAAACGAGGATGGCAATGAGGTCTCCAAACCCTCACCTTTGAACGGATGGCCTTTCTACATTTCAATGGCTTCTATTACCTTAGGTGTCTGCTAACAAATATTCAATCAGTGTACCTCTATTATTCTTCATCCTACTCTTCTGGGTGTTCCAAATTCAGTTCTTGATGCAAATTATTATCAACCGTATTGCCGTTATTTCCGAAAGTCCCATAACAGTTCGACGACTCAAATGGGGAACGGCCGCTATCATCACGGCGATTAACATTGCAGTCTTTTGCATCTTCATTCCAGCGCACTTAGATCCTCCCGTCAGCGAGACGTAAGTATTGGTTGGGACTTTTTACAGACGGAATCGCTAACATGATTTTCAGGTATGTCTTGATCAACAAGTACTGGGATAGGACTTCGAAATGTCTCATCTGCGTTGTCGACGCCGTCCTTAACTTATACTTCTCGCGAACCGTCAGGAAGCGACTGGTCGAGCAGCATGGCCTGACCAAATACAAACCGCTGGCTAGCTTCAACGACAGACTTATGGTCATCTCAATCCTCATGGATGTACGTAGCAAGCCAACGGTCCCTTTCTCGTTCACAGGCCCACTAACAAGCAACGAACACAGGTCATGCTCATCTGTTTGATGTCTCTTCCCAACCCAATCGTGTTCACTCAATTCCACCCTGTTGCCTACCTGGTCAAGCTCAATATTGAAATGTCTATGGCATCCTTAATTGTTCACGTCGCGCGCGATTCCGGTCTCGACGACGAAGAGTATAGTAGCAACCACATCTCCACAGCATACTCCAAGAACCACAGCCAAGCACACGCCGATGCCCGCAGCGCTCACCACAACGGTGACAACACCGTTCCGATGAAGACGTTCCACTCGACTACTATCGGCGCCGGTGGGTCGGAGGAGGACTTCGAAGTGCTTAAGGATCACGTCAACGGTATCCACCGAAGAGTCGACGTTCGAATAGAAAGCACGGCGAATTCGGAGACGGGATCGACGGCGTACAAGGGGACGTCATTCGAGAGGGTAGACGACGAGATATCGCTAACGAATAATGCGGGCCACCCAAGAGGCGAAGCTCGCTAGACCGGATGGGATATTGTGAGCGAGCTATTAATGTGTGATATACGCGAGACTTCGTTTCGAAACTCGCATAGCAAGCGAAAATGATGAAGATTAGATTGATACCACCTTATTTGCATCATGAGATCGGATACGTTCGACGAGAGGGCCGCGGGATCCGGTTCGATTATTATATGCCTCATATAGACCGATCATATCAGAACATAGCGTAGAGAATCATTTTGCATTTCACAATGTATTTATGATGATTGTAATGTCTAAAGATAAATAATATAGCATGTACGAACGTACCAATTACTTAACATTACTATTCAGATCAACACCGCTAAGAAACAATCTACAGCGAGCAAGTCGTTCTGAATTGGGGGCCGTATGCTTCGATAACGATAGGCGTAACGACAGCGACTTACAAGATGGCTCGTGCATAACCAACCACTCCCATTTTGCTTTTTTACAGTGGAAGTGGGAGAGTATCGTTGAGCTTGCCCATGCCATATCATCGACAATTTTGCCATATCAGCGGATTTTAAAAAGTTGAACATCTGTGTATTCATTCCCAATTATTATGTAGGTATGTTCCTAACTATTCAATACAGCGACAGCGACAAAGGAAATCGGATATACAAAAAAAAGCAGGACGACAGGTATCATCACCATTAAAAATCAGGTGCCAACCTAACGACTGTTTCAAGTGAAGCCATTCTCGATCCTGGGGTATCTCAGGGTATAACCATCATTGAATCTCATGACTTCCTTCTCTTTTTCCTCCCCCATAGCCTTTTTCTTGTTTTGTCTTATTGCTAGCGGCAAATGAGACGTATCCAAAAAATCACCTTTTGCACATGTTACGCCCTCTAGATCGTTACAGTGTTGGTGGCGGGTGCAATGGGTGCCGTGGTAGTGAATTTTCCGTTTACGGCCTTACCATTGGTATAATTGCCGTTGATATAATTGCCGTTGGTGTAGTTGCCATTGGTGTGGCTCCCGTTTGTAGTGTTGGTACTGACAGCATGAGGTTTGCGAGTAACTTGCGGAGCAGCGGGAATGTTAGTGCTCTTGGAGGCAGCACCAATAGAGAAGACAGGGCTCTCCCACTGTTCGCCCTTTCGAGCCAATTCCCTGTACTCGGTAGCCTTGGAGCTGATGCCACCAGGAAGATGGATGCTAGGGAAGATGCTATCTTCCTTTGTAACAGCCATATTGACCTTCTTGTCCGCCGCAACGTCTTCGGCCTTCTTCTTGCCCTGGAGGAATTGCTTCTGGGCGGCATTGACGTATCGGTTGTAAATGTTTGGTGTATTTTCAGGGTCAGCCTGGGCTTCATCAAGTGCACGGTCAGCCTCCTGCTTAATCTGGTACAGCAATTGGTCGAACTGGTTGAACTGATCCTTGAGCTGCTTCTCTGCAGTCTTCTGAATCACTGGGCGGAGAACCTTAAGCATGACGGGCTTGAAGAGACCGAACAAGATCTTGTGGTTGGACTTGACAAGCTTGATCTGCAGGTTCTTGACATCGACATCAACCTTGTCGATCTTGAAGAAGTGTTGGCTGTCCTTGTCATCCGCCGTGGATAGCTTCAAGCGGAAGCAGAACCCATCGCCGGCCATTCGGATATTAGCGACACCGGTGTCGGTTATAGAGGGGAAGCCCTGCTTGCGCTTGACATAGAAGCTAACGTCACGCAAATCCATCTGAACTCCCGTCACCTTGACGTCGATCGAGTTCTTGTTGGTGCTTGCGATCTTCTTACGGCCCCAGCGGAAGTAGTTGTCGCTGGCGACCTCAAGCACGTTTGGCATAAAATTGTCACTCTCTAGGACGAGGTTCTCCACCACGGCGTCGACCTCGGAGTCAGAGTACTCAATACGCGGGATAGGTATGTAGGCGACCCTCTCGAAAGCAGCCGGGATGATGATCTCCGTCAAGTCCTTGATGAGGTGAGGCTTGAAAGCTGCCTTGCCGTTCTCATCGTTGCCGAGGTCCAGGAAGAGCTTCTGCACGGCGTTGGCAAAAGCCTTGTTCTGCGGGTCCTGGTCGAATTGGTCGGCCAAAAACTTGACTTCGTCGACAATACGGTCAGTGTGGCTCCTGTACTTTTCACGGAGGAGGTAGTTGCCGTGATCGTATAGACGGTGCCACTCCTCGTTGGAAGCTTCGTCCATGATGTAACCCTGCTGCTGAAGGCACTTGCGAATGTACGAATCGACAGACTTGAACCAGTTCTTGAGTTCGGGGTCCCTATCCGCATCTTCATAGATAGTGTTGATAGAGGACCAGAGATCATCGCTGGAGGTTCCGTTGGCGAATCGCTCAATCAAAGTCTACTCAAGGTTAGCTTCAGCCTATTGTGACAAAGGGGATAATACACACCTTGAGATCGGCTTCGGCAGCGGCCAGGTGGGTTCGGGTCTCTTTAACCGTGTTGGTGCCGCCGGTAGCGAGAGATCTACCATGGGAGCCATATTGCTCGGCCAAATTGAGCAATGTAGTAACAGCCTGTTGGTAATCGGGGTGCTGCTGGCATTCAACCACCATCTTCTTCAAGCGCCAGATGGTCTGATCACGGCGCTCCTCTGGCATCTTTTTAGATAGATACTGTCTGGTACGGGCGCGGTACTCCTGGGCAGTTTGTTTTGTGGATTCTTTAGTCTCAGGATCGACATTGCCCTTCACCTGTTCTGCCGCTTTGCTCGTGGCACTCTGGGCAGCGTTGATACGGTCACCTGCTGAACCATCCGACTGACGAACAGCCTGGGCTCCGGAGGCCGCGACACCCTTAGCGTCCTGTGCTGGGTCGCTCTTGTAAACGCTACGCAACTGAGACTTTACATTATCCTTGGAGAAATCTGGAGTCTCGTGCCAAGTGTTGTCCTCGGCAGGGTGGTCGATTTGGGCGAGGTCTTCACCCGTAGGTCGCACCTTGCCCGCAGCATTGCTAGCAGCATCGCCAGCGATGTCGCGTAGGAGTATGGTGGCATCGTTTACTAGTAAAATGTAAGTTACTATGTCCTGGTCCTCTTAGATAGTTAGGAGTCAACTTACGAAGCTTACGGAACTGGCCATTGGTGATAATTAAAGTTCCTAAAGTCCGAAGCCCCTCAAGAGCTTGGTCGCCATGTTGTTTCGCAGTCGCCTTGTCGATGGGAGCATCCGGTGCGCTCACAGCGTTGGGGTCAAATTGTTGGGTCTGCCAGATGAAGTCTTGTAGTAGGTTTCCTTCATTCTTGGATAATAATAGCTTCTTCGCCTGGGTCACGACCTCTTTAAAATCTGCTACTAGCTCTCGGCCCTCGGATGAGAGTTTCTTGGAAGGGTTCGCTAGTGCTCTCGATTCGAGGAAGCTGTTTAGGGCGACATCGATTTGCTCATTCTATTTGCCCTAGTTAGTCTCGAGTCGCATCACCACTAACCGTACAACCTTAAGAGAATGGATATTACTTACAGATGGCACTTTGCCGATCTGGAATGCATTGATAATGCCGTAAATCTGAAGCTTGCGATTCACGTCGGCCTCCTTCTGTTTAATGTCGGTCGGTCTGTTAACGCTCGCCATAGTTGTGCCAAATCCAATCGGTGTATCTCGATATTAATATGCTTTTTTGGTGTTGTTATATCGTAGGTATTTGACTGGTGGCGCAATGTATAGAGGAGAGCGAGGTTGGGGTATCACAAGAGATGGGTATATTAGGTTAATTGGGTATAAGTCTTATTAGATCGTGAGTCTACGATGTAGAGTCTTATTCTTAGGTTAAAAGTTAAGGAAGAAAAGAGTTCAGACAGACATTCTGGGGGGTCTGGGGGAGGACAAAGGTGTTTATTATACTGTTTACGTAGTTGAGATGTAGCTATGATCTAATGAATCTAACTTGAATGAAAGAATGATGTCGATTTGGGGGAATGAGTGAATGCAGTTGGCCGGAAGTTTACTACAAGCCGTTACTGGGAAATTTCATGGTAGTCATGAATGAAAGGGGTACTTGATTAACTCACCGTTCATTGCTGCTAGTTGTAAGTATCTTTCCAGATATACATGATACATGTATTTCCTAATGCGGTAACTATCTATCTGCGCGTCGTACCTACTCGAGTTTCTGTCTGCTCTTAGTTGGTTAAGCGGTAATGACGTGAAGCTTGGAGCTGGCAATCTAGTACGTCATAGCTGTCGGCCAAGGGCACCGATTCCCTCTTTCATACCTTGCATTAGCTAATAACTGTGGAACATTATTTTATTTATGGTCCAAGCTTCTTAAATAACGTGGAAATCAAATTTAGAAAAGCTGAAGTTCCTACTATTTAGCAAGTTGACTAACTTCTTAGTTTCTTCCTCATTCTACAATGATCGATAGAAGATAATCTAAGGCTTCGTCATCCTCGAACGAGCAAGAAAACAAATCAAGTCAAACAAGCATGGAAACCCAAGGATAACCAATTCTAACGATACTCGAGGTTATTCTCGTCCTGCCGTGCCCGCGAAACCGGACAGACAAGGGTTACGTATTCATACTCTTCTCAGTTGGTATCTCCATGCCAATCTGCGGGTCTCATGTACCACGGCACCATATCCGTGACAATCACAACGCGCTGTTTCACATGCGCGCAACAACCTCGTTAAAAGACGAGAAAGATTGCATTTCCGTTAGGAATGTGGATGACTTACACCAAGGTCCCCCTGTATTCCAGATCTAAGTCTGCGGGAATCTATAATCTACCTTACCCATGGTGTTGGGGTTAAGGCAAGGGACAAAAGCTTTCAAGCTCTGAAAAGCTATGACGCGATACCGAGATACTTTATTTACATTAACCACATGGAAATCTTCGAGTTCTTGATAAGACAATTACCATCTGCTGAGACACGAGTCGCCCTACCAGGCCTTGGGAGTGGAACATGTAGAAAAAACTAGTCACCTAGGTACGGATAGAGGAAAACTCCAATTTCCGCATCCCGCCGTCTATGACGTAAAGTTGTACACATAGAACAACCTGAACAACGCCGTCGAAGCACCATATTCGTTCTAATCTATGCATGTCTATGCCAGTAACCTCCTTAGTCATGTGGGACGAACTAAACAAGACATCAGTAGGCAACTATGAGACAATTCGAGGACGATAATCTATCAAGGCTCGTCTAAAAAGGGTAGCTACTGGTGGACCCGAATCTCGATTCAGGTCTAGGGGGAACCCCAGCTTTTTCTTGAAATACCCTACATACATACAACTTTGCAAGGTTTAAGAAATCCAATAAGTTGGTAGTTAAGAAAGAAAGAAAAAGCTTATACGGATATCATATGCCGAATTGGAAGAGTTCACCGGAGCATCGTCTCCACCGTTCGTCGTCTTGCTGTTGTGGTCGTCGATATCCTTGGTAAGGTAGGATGGCATTGCAGATTGCCTCACGACAAGCTTCTACAATCATGATGCAAAACTTCGCAATCCGACCCGATCGATCTGCGTTGGGGTATTTTCAATCTTATTTCATCGACTTCAACTGGTTGAATTTTCATGAATTCGATGGCAATTTCAAGCAAGTTTCAAATTTACACGTGGTAATGTGTAAGTTGCTCAAGAGATTAATTGCTTTTTGACATATAGGTACTTTTTAATTGAGGTATTTTGTTCGTTTAGGTCGAGTACATTCTAATACTATAGGCTTGAATAGGCTAAGCTCCAATCAGATTCAGCGTACGAGCTACCTAGGTACACATATAGGCGCATCAGCGTTGGGAAAAGTACTTAATACAATGAACTGATTTCACTGTCAGTTTATTGGGCGATAAACACTATTTGCCAGATCATATACCCTATCCGGCGACATCTGTAGTGCCGATATAGAGAGCATTCTCGAAACTTACTCAACACCATCGATGAATAGGCCAACTACTCGGGATTCTAGAAATATCTCGGGGCTTCACGATCAAAACCCGACTCATGATATCTAAAAATTAGTTCCTTTTAGCGAGACCAACTCGGGAAAAACGGCAGGCTATGAACAAAACCCAGAGGGAGGGTAGAAGCCAGACCCATCACCCTCCAAGCGGCGCAGCGAGCCAAGCACCATATTGCGGCACCGACACCAACACCAACAATATTAATCATGTTGGAACTAGACATCTTCCATGCAAGCTGTTATCTCCGGTATTTATTAATAGAGGAGGCTCAACCAGGGATATCTACCAGTGACCCACTCCCTCCCTTGACAGCGACGACTCCGAGAATCACATAGCAAAACCAGCAGAACATAGGGATAACGAAGACAACGAAATCGATTTTGTAATGCCCTCGAGGGCCAGGTAATAGAATATTAAGCTAACACAGTAAAAACCCCAACGCCATGATCAATGCGAGTGCTTTTTCTCTAAGCACGCTTTTCGTCTTTATCATCCCTCCGCATCTAACCGCCTAACCACTCCCTCACCTCAGCTTATCTTAGATTATCTCAAATCTCCAGCACAAACTGCGGTCCCATATACTCCGTCTCAGCCAACCGTGGCGCAACAAGCGTCTGATACGGCACCGTCGCAACCGGCGTAGGATTCAACGCGCCAGAATCCGCACACCTCTTCAGCGCAAGCAAACCCACATCACCGCCCTGATTCGCGACGAAAGCCAAGCTCTGCTTCTCATCTTTGCTCAAGCTAAACATACGTGGTCGCAAACCACCTGTCGATACGAATTCCGCGTAATCGAGACTCGCGCTGCTGTTGGAATTGGAGTTGAATACGAAATGCGCAATACTATCAGTCTCGTTCCCGCTGATTCGGTTCGATACGTATACGTCCTTTCCGTTCGCAGCGACGATTAATTCGCCCGCGGCCGCGGAGCTGGAGTTGGCGGGTGGGTCGGTGCCGTATGTGCTTTGGACTTGGAGTTGTTTGAAATCGATTGTGTCGCCTGGGTACGCGAGTTCGAAGAGGAATAGTTCGCTCGTTAATTCGGAGGCGAGGGCGTAGTATGTGGTTTTGCCGCTTGTGATGAACCCACCGTGGCGTGGGCCGGTACCTGTCGGCAACTTAACAGTGCCCACGATTTCCCATTTATCAGATTCGCCGTCGACAATGAGAATGCTGTCGCCGCCTAGATTAGGCACGACGAAGAAGCGTCCGGTAGGGTCGAGGAGCGCTTGGTGCGGGTGATGCGCGCCTTCTGCGGGGTTGGGTTCGCCGGGTATAACGATGGTTTTTAGAAGCTTGAGACTGCCGTCGGGCGCGGATACGTCCCATATATCGATGCGACCGCTACCATATGCTGCGCCGACTATTCGCGTCTTATCGGCATTGAATTCGAGGAATACGACGCCGGAGGAGCCACTGGCTGCAGATGAGAGCGTCAAGTCGGAAGCGTTCGCGGAGCCAAGCGTGAAGAGACTAGTGTCGTTCGCATTCTCGTTTACGGCGTATAGACGGTTTGGTGCGTTGTAGAGTAACCAACTCGGCGCGGTTCCGACGGCGGTGTGATTACCGGTTATGGAGAATTGAGATCCATCGAAGTCGGCGGTGAGGATCTGAAATGGAGCGCCGATAATGAGTTTGCGCGACTCGGTGGTGGAGTTATTTTGGCGGGCCATGAGGGATGATGGCAATGCGCAGGCCGAGCCAAAGGTAAGTAGTGTTGTGAGTTTTCGTAACATTGTGGATTCAACAGAAGAAATTAAACCAAAAAAGGTGTTTCCAAGTTTGCCAAAGTGGCGCTTGCTTGCTACTAATGCGAGGTAGGTACTACTTCAAACGAAGCAGCCACAATGGTTAAAGCGATAGTATTATTTCTTGTTGGGTATCATAAAACAAAATGACTTTCTGAAAGCCAGCTTCAAGTCAATGAAAGAATCAACAATAGGATTTAATAATGATTTTCCCAGGGGTCAAAAAATTCAGGAGTCTGGCGTCAGCACTACCTAAAGGATGTTGATAACGATATGATCAAGTCTCTTTGGAATGAGACAAAAAGAGTCAAAATAACAATGAATGTTTCTAGTTGGCTTATTATTAGATCTACATAGAAAGTAAGACATAGACGGGCTGGTTGTTACTTACATAGTAGTCTCAAAGAATGAATCAAATCACTTGGTAATAGCTTCAGAGATAGAACACCCGGAAAGCATGAGCGAAGGAAGAGAAACTACTAGGTTCTTATATAACTTCAGGATCGATGAAGGTTCTTCTCGGTCTTACTTATTCTCATTCAAGCAGGTCACCAACGAAATATGGCGTTTCGCTATCCCTTTTTCTTGGCTTGGCTACCGAATCTGCTAACCTACCTATTTTAATTCATCTTTCACCAGCCGTTCTGCATGTAGGCTATGTTACCTTAGGCCGGGGGGGCTGAAGGCATCCCTAAGATCAGCCCTACATGTGCTGTATTTGCGGGGAGGTTGGCAAGCTATTCAGCTTATTCTCAGGGGTTACTTGACTAAAAAGTCTCTTAAATATCGTAATTGATTGGCTGTAAGTTATACGTACAAAGGTTCGCCGCATGTGATAAGCCCCCGAGGTCCATCGCCCCCTGCAGTAGACCGCTATAAGGATGGTAAAGATCTTCATAATTGGCCGGCCTGGCGTAGTTTAGGGCATACAGCGGCTCTACCATCCAATCGTCCCGCTTATATCGTCGATTCTCTCGACGGAAGCCAAGAGTGAAGGATTCCGACAACACGGAACAAACAAGCCTTGAAACATTTCATCTCATCTACATAAAAAAGTGTCTATGAGAGCTGAAGAGTTGAAACAGTTTGTAAATGACGCCATCAAATTGAGAATTATGGATTCGATTTACGCATTCGAAAAGAAAATATTGCTCCTTAAATTGCCTATATCCCGACTAACTCCCGCTCACATCAGCGTAACGATAGGTACTCCGCACAGCGACCTTGTTGTTCCTCTCCTCCTCAGCCTACCGGCCCGGTAAGTTCCCGAAAGCACCGCCGAGGTGTCATCGTGCGGAGTGACCTATCCTGCAGCAAGCTCTTTCTTAAGGTCTAGGATCCCATGACCCAGCGCCTTTTTATTTGCTACGCCCAACTCGTTGTTTCGAGGCAGAACGAGGAAATCCCAAATTGCCTTCTTGAAGTCAACAGCATAAAAAGCAAGCATGTCCACTTCAGCACTAGATCCACGAGTGACAATACAATAAATTGACACGAGGCTATATGATAAGGCGTATTGGAGCAGCACATTAAAGCTATACTGCTCCGTAGGTGCTTGTTTCTGCATGCTGTCATTGCTTCGTACCATGTTATGGTGCTTTCGGCGCCGAGAACCACATAGCATTAGGGATAATATTTAGTCTCGGTGTAACACTCAACGGACCTTAAGAATTCAAGTATCGATGAGATTTCCACGCCGAATGCACCTATGTGTATCAATCGGACCGTGCGTATCAAATAGAGCTAGGGCTACTAGGGATTGCCGTCAACATATCCCTAAAGATTGCCAGTTTAATAGTCTCGAAGACGGACATTATGGCTGCCGAACAAGCTAATGATGCATCGCACAGGCCATGAGCCGAGCATGGTGGCGGAATAAACTAGTATTGACATGTCCGTAGACTAAAATAGAGGAATGTCTTAGAGCTCGTTACGTAGACACAGGGTTCAATGCTAAAGTATAACCAAATATGATTTTAGTAGAAGGGTAGACATATTTCGATTCTTAACCTGTAATACCATTCAAGTCACAAGCAGCGTTGATCTCAGTGTAGGGCCAATTCATTAATTTCAGTTCTGACTTCCTATCATCACCTATGTACAGGCTGCATCGGGGCATCCTATCCCTTAAGCCCTATGAAGAGCATGTTGCCCCTCGGCAACGTTATGACACCGGAATTGCGTCAATGCGCGAATTCCGTGACCGGAAAGGAGTGGACAGCATCACGCCATTACCTCCTCATGTCATTAGTGCGCAGCATCCTCGGGCCTCATAGAACATGCCATTAAACCAAATACGCCCGAGGAAACGGAGTCATCCACCGGTCTTCATGCATAAACAAACTGGAAATGTCCTTAATTAAACCCCGTATTTCATACAGAGGATAGGACTTAATTCGCTCTTCCACCTAGCTTATAGCCAGAGCATGCCTGCTACGGCAATGAAAGCTGCGAAAGCACTAGCACCGAGAACACGTTCTTGCCGTACACCTTCGTTTGAGTTGGTGCCCTCAGAACCACAGACTTGTTGGAAACTAGCGGTGCAAGCTGCACTAGGGGCACTGCCAGCATTACTAGCACCGTTCGAACCGCTGGTATCACCTCCGGCAGCCTGACCATTGGTACCGGGGCCACCACCGTTCAATCCGGGGATAACTTGTTGGCTACTTGACGATGCGCTTGACGATGAAGATGGGTAGTCCTTATCCATGTCCAAACCCGTGCCCAGAAGCGACTTGAGGACCGTATTGGCGTCACCATCCTCAACAGTGTTATTGGTAGCCTTCGCATCCTTGTAAACATAGCTCTTGCCAGAGTTGGTGCCGGGGGCGCTATCGGTCTGGTAGCATTCGATGGTTACTTCGCCGATGGTAGCATAGTAGTATCCGTCCTTCTGGATGTCGTTGCTGTTCCAGTCGATCGGGCCGCCTGCCCAGTCGACGGTGCCCTTGGCGTTCTTGTCAGAGCCACCGGGCCAGATAGAAAGTTGGACACGGGCCGGCGTCTGTGGGAAGTCCCACTGGTTCGACGTAGCGTTCCACGTTTTTGACTTCTCTTGCGTTCGGCCAAGCTTGCCATCCACATACCACTCAATTTTGTCAGGGGTCCACCTAATCTCATACTCGTGCCAATTCGCATTGGTGTCGGAAAGGCTGGTAATATTGGAAGAGTGGGTGTCTAATTCAAATTAGTGGCGAGCTCACAAAAAGCATGTAGAGAATGTGCAAATATCTTACAGTCGGGAATGCCTTGGAAATAGTAGTTGGTCTGGGCAATATCCAATTCGGTACCAACGAACTCGAAGTCGATCTCATCTTTGACGTCACTGAGCAGAATGAAGGCAGTAACAACACCGGCATCACGTCCCGTCTTGATCTTTGCCTTCACATTTCCATACCACATATATACCGTAGAAGCGAGAACAGTTCCGACAGAGTCAGCAGGCATGGTCAGAAGGGTGTTGCCGCTGTGAGCAAGAGGTGTGCCCTGGGCAACCCAATCGGCCTTGGTGGCGTCGCCAAGGTACTTCGATACGTCGACGATACGGTCGGTGTTGTCCATAGCCATCGTTCTGCTTGCGCAAACAGGCTCAGGGACACAAGCGTCGAGAGAGAAAGACATGCGGGGATCACATCCACCGAGACAGTATGCGCCAACACCACATTGGCCATACTCTATTCAATATCCAAGTTAGACTATGCGCCACATAAAATTTTTGATATAACCCCTCTCCATGAAACTTACGGGAACAGCAGGGAGTCTCCTCAGGGCACTTCTGAGTTAAAGAACACTGAGGCGCATCGTCAGCGAAGACGGTAGATGCACCCAATAGGGCCAAGGCCAGAGTCGGTATAGTCCGCAGCATGGTGATGAATTTGCTACTTGCTCAAGTAGACGAAACCTGACTAAAATTAATGTATTATTATATCGGTAATATATGTACCGTAGTAGAAATCGGTTTGGCGATGGAGTCGCGTGCACCTTTGTATATATGTACGGTGGTTAAATGTTCGAGATGTACTAAGCGAATGTTCGGGAAATAATTATATACAGTCGAAATTGCGAGGTTAATTAGATGTCAGTCACCGTCGGTTCCTTCTTCGTGTGGTCAAGCAAACGAGGCCAGGTAATGGTCACCGTATCGATGTGGCGTATGCGTGTATATAAACCCCAACACAAAGAGGGAGTAACAAATACGGGTATGAACGAGTCCGATGACTTATATACAAGCAACGACAAACGGCGATGTCTAGTACCTTAGCATAGACCACTTTCAAGTAATCACAACTAAAGTAACCGTGCTTTATCGGGTGTTTCAAGCGAGAGTAATGGCGGAAGCGATCGAAGCGGAACCCTTCTTTCGGAGGCTCAAAATAACGACTGCAATTATTATAATATAGACAAAGACGAGGCTATAAGAATCAATGAGCAAACAAGCATCAAAGATTCACACAGCCACCACCCGCTAGCAAAAACGCGTATAACGGAAAAAGCGAAAGGAATTACCAAAGATTGGTAAAGCGAGCCGAAAACACCTACAGGCAATTGGAGGGTTGGATGATGATGAAAAAGGGAGGAGGGAACACAGACAGTGAAGATAAAAAAGAAATCGAGTTTCAGCCCCGAATCTTCGAGAGCCAAGACCCTGGGGGGGTGACCTTGCACTTGCCCCCAACTAACCTGCCTGCCTGCCTTGCTTGCTGGCATCATGCCTAAATAGGGGAAGAAGAAGTTACATTTTGATAGGTACAATTCAAGATACATAGGTACGTACCTATAGAATATCGTATAAAATGGTGCTCGCTTGGGAATAGTAGGATAAACGTTGTGGGTCAATGCGAATTGAGTTCCACTTCAGTTGTACCAGTTCCTGCCAAAAAAGCATCAGATTGACAGGCCGTCTAAGCCGTTGGAGGCATGGAGTATTAGTGGAACTTAATTACGCTCGTCCCATTGGATCATACTATACAAGCATAAAGTTATACAGTGCTTATTATGAAGATATACATTGAATGCACAGTATCCCACCAAGTAAAAAATCTCGTATTTTTTCTCTCTCTCGACCGAACACCCTCCAACTCTAGAATAAGACATTCAGGGACCAATGACATACGAGGCGCTTTTTGTAACCTCCCTTATTTAGTTGAAATCTTCAGATCCAGGATTACTGTACTGTGTACGACAGGTACAGTTGTGCATCTCGATCGCAACTCTGTACAACTACATTACGATGTAGTAGTTTCATGTCTGTAGTTAAACACAATGTATTGTCAATCTCACTATTCTGTAACTGCTAGTCCATATGTAAGTCTAAGAACAGAGCCTAGCTCAATAGGCTAACATAAGCAGCTAAATCAACAAACATTGCCGTCAACCGAATTCCTTGACCGCACCTCTAAGCCGCAGGAGAGAAATAAAAAATTGATAACCAAAGAAAGAGTCTGACTGCATATAAAGGATGACACTTTCGGTCGAAACTACATGAGAAACCGCAAGTCCGAGCAAAGCGGAAAACACGGAAAATCTTAGAGGAAGAAGTAAGCCCAATAAAAGCCAATCATATCGAGATGTGTCGTGTCACTGCATGATTCCTTTAGCGCTCACTTTAAGAAGCCGACATATTCTACGGACGGAACCGAGACATCTTCGCATTTGGGATTTACTAGACGGAATCTCTTATCCTCTTCCTATTCCTCCTGGGCAAGTCGCGGGACAGCCGAAGCCGAGCGAAAGAGGAATGTCAAGGGTGACGCCGCCCCTGTGCAGTATATCATGCACCCCGGATTTATTTTACGGAAGGATCCGATCTGTTTGCTAGTTGAAGGCAAAATGGTGTCGACTTAGTCTTCCGATGGGATGGAAGCGAATTTACTAAACAATCCGTTAATAAAGCCGACTACGACTAAGTCAGAGATCCGGTGGGACGATCTCGAGTACCTTGCGTTGTACAAATGGGTCTCACACTAAAAGTGACACCGGAGATATTGAAGATCGTCATACACTACGTACGAGATCATACTAAAAACAGGACTGGTATCTATCTTCAACTCAATGTAGAGTGCAGTTTCATGTTTAGAGGGCCGTCTTTCAGTATCTAATCTAATAATAGGCATCTAATCATTAGACAACATAGAAACAATCATGAATACCTCCAAGTATACATGGTCAGCTTATGCCATTCAGTCGTCGTAATATGGGGAACTATTCCCGAGGCCGATGTCTCGCCTTACATCATATCCATATCATCATCGCTTGTATATGCCGTATCTATCCCGAACCTTTCCGACCTTCTCAACCCCTCCTCTATATAGGTATCTCAATACTTCCTTTCTATATTGCTCTCTTAAAACAAATACTCCCCCGCAAACGCCAGCCCTTGATGGACGACCGTCCTTAGCTCCTCAGGCATACGCAACGCCTCGGCACGACTGAAACTCGCCCATACCAACTCGTCGTGCTCCCGTGATCGTATCACTAGATCCTCATGGTTCTGCACCTATTCAACAATTATTAACTTCTACGAACATTGATACGGCATATAAGCAGAAGAGGGAATTTACCAAAACTGCATAATTCAACTGCAGACACTCCCTCCTCAACACGAGATGTGGATTATGTATCGGCGATCTCCTCGAAACCGTACTCGCTCTGCTCCCGCTTCCGCTTCTACTCCCACCACCCGAAGAATTCGTCAACGTAGCGCCATCCAGCACCGACATATTCGCACCACTTCCATCATCTTCGCCGTTTAAGAAGATCCCCACGCCATCCTCATCCCAGTCCAAGATCCTCACTTCACTAACCCGACGCACATCTTGTAGTGCACCTAGAACCCGAACGACACGGAGTCCCGTCTGCTCCGCTACGCGCCGAGCCACCGCCGCCGAAATACAAAAATCCCCTTCGCGGACCTTTCCCCCGGGAAGTTCCCATATACCAGCAACTCCCCCCGTTTCCTCTCCCCCTACTTTCCCATTTCTTTCCGCATCCCTTCCCGTCTCTCTTCGACTACCACCACCATTCCCATTCCCATTACTCAAGTGTTTATGTTGTTTATCACGAAGTCCAATCCCCCACATCGACTTCGACGTCGTTATCGAATTTGTATTTGTGTTCGTACTGGCAGTACTAAGCGTCTTAGCATTATTCCCGGCACCGTTTTCGTTCCCGTTACTAGCGCTGCCACCCGGACTCCCGGATCGCCTTAGCAGCAGCACGGACGGCCGGGAGCTGTGCGCATCCATGCGGAAGATGCACACACCGACATATAGCTTGTCAGCGGGCCGCGTAGCACTGATAGCATCAAGGTACTGCGCCCGCGACATAGCAAGTACCGTCTTCTGCGCATGCGACAGCGTCGTCTTGCGAAACGACGTCGTGGCCGTGGACATTGTTAGTTAGTCTCCGATTCCGTCCACCACCTTCGCCTATACTTGTAGCATTCTGGCAGGAAAAAAAAAATCGCGAAAATATCCTGTTTGGTCGGAGAAGTTAAGTATGGGGCGTATACCGTAGAACGCGCGTGTCAGCCCTATCTCTCGACTAGGCTCTGATCTTACCGGGAATGCACATGCAAAGTAGGATCGAGAGTATAACGGTGGTAAGTTTTAGAGAGCGGGAGACCAACGTCAGTCAAATCATGTTTGCGCGTGCGTATCCGTCTGTTCGCACGTGTTTCCCCTTTTATATCATACACGATCGATTAGTAAATCCCTCTATTCTCCCCCTCTCACCTGAGGTATATCTATGAATGGTAAGAGGATAAAAGAAGGGGGTATGACATATACACGTTCGGGAACTCTATCCCATCTTTCCCTCTTTTCCCAACTTCCCTAATAATAAGGAAGCGGCCTCATCTTTATACGACCCCCCCTCGATCTCGTTGGAAACGAAATAACGTTTCAAGCTAGGCTGAAGAGGGGTCTTGCGTGGCTACATATAGGTATTAGTTTTATTTACTCTTTCGGGAAACCCGTAAAGTTAACTTTTGAGTTATAACAACGTTGTTCTACCGTTCATGCGTGGCAAATAGAGTTTGTTCCCTCCACTAATGAAGCCAATCCAAGGTGTCGGGTTTCTAGTAGAATCGGGGAACATAATACCTAATATACGCAAGACGGGCACCAAAGCATTCTAGTATAGAGTACATGTAACAACAAACTTGATGCAGTATCACCTCTTTCGCCCCTTGACATATCACAAGGAAAGGTCGAGATAGTACAAACACAGAATCCAACGCAATACAAAACCATACAAAACCATACAAGTAAATGGTATCATCGACGCCCACAAATATGAAACTCATTACGCGGGACCTGAGGTACACAAAGCTTAGGAGACAAATTGGATATAGGTATCACATCCTAAATAAAAACGTGAACTATTGGAAATGCGACACTCCTGTAGTCTTGCGTAAAATTTAGACTGGCATGCTCTAGCATCACTGGTAAAACATTGTATCATATAAATGCACAGCACAAGATTATTGACCTGACGTATTTAGCTTTAGAAATGTCCATTGCAATAGCTATCAAGTAGTATACAGTAGCGGTTAGAATAGCTTATTTTTTGGGGCAGTAAAGAATTATCAAACCACAGAAGTGTATCCGATGAAATGACTCGATAAAGCATTAATGCCATGTTTCGCAGGACGTCTTTTTACAAATCAGAACCCTTTTGCCCTTCTTTCCACACTATGCCTTTCGCACGATAATCCTCCGAATTTGCATGTCCGAAGTCTGTAGACTCCCCTAAAATCCGATAATCTGACAATCCTGCCATTCTCCCGCGGGGGAAAATGTGCTGTGAAAGAAAAGAAATACCCTATCCTCGCCGAAACAGATATACCGAAAGACCAAACGTGAAAAGATCGGGACTAGGACGATAACGGCGGGCCGTCTTTCGTCTCCATATATCCCATGTCGTTGAGGGAACTAGACGAGTTCGAGTTGTGATTACGATGCCTTCTTCGCCCAGTGAGATCGCCAGATGCGACCTCTAGGAACCTATTGGAACCTGTATTCTCTTACAAAACCTAACAAGAATGAGCAGATCGAAGCATAAGAGGGTGGTACCGATGCCAGAGATAGGACACTCAAGGACAAGATGTATCAACAAGCACCTGGAGTTGCTTAACGTGCCTTTGGCGTGGAGAACAGTTCAGGGAAATGTTCTTTAGCATATTGTTCGCATGCCTATGGCAGTATGAGTTAATAAAGACGGCCTTATGTATATATTAAATTGAGACAAGACATAGTAACTAACCTTAGCGGGTTTGCCAACTTTCTGACCAATGGTCTTCCACTTATTGTTCTCGTAATCCTTTATGGCACTGAGAAGCGCCTGGCTCTCGTCCTCGGCAAATTCGGCATAGTGCATATCCTAGATGATTATTAGCAATGGATATGAGAAGGGGCTCCAGATCGTGGGGTCATACCTTATACCAATGCTTCTTCACACTGCCTTCGGTTCTCGTGGGGAAGGTCTGTTATTACAGTCAAGTTAGTTAAAACCTCATCAAAGAATTTTTGTGAGTCTAACCTTGGCAATCTCTGCCCAACTGCTGCCCTGGTCTCTCATAGCCTTGAGTCGGAGCTCCTCGGCAGGAGTCCAGGGGGTATTTGTTCGGCTCTTCTTAGCTGGGGGCGGGGCGGAAGGGGTGCTGGTCTCTTCCTTAGTCGGCACAGCAGGTGGGACCACCGGGGTGACCTGCATCGGAGCGGTAGCCGGCGCGGACACTGGGGTCACAGCCGGGGCAGGAGCGGGTGTGGTCGCGGTAGGGGCCGCGGCGGACGTGGCAACTGGGGCAGGAGGCGCCGGGTTAGTAGCAGGTGCATGCGACTGCTGATGAACCTGCTGGTGTGCCTGCTGTTGGTGCGGCGCAGCTCTCTTGCGGCCACGGGGAGGAGCAGGAGCCGGAGTTGGAGTTGGGGTAGATTGCTGAGACGGTGCTACTGCCGGCTGCGGGATGGTCATCGGAGGCGGAACCGGCGTAGCATGATGCGGTTGCGTCTGGTGAGATGACTGATGATGCGCGTGCTGAGGGTGGGAACCGTGGGGCTGCTGGTGGGCCTGGTTCTGATGTTGTTGATGCTGAGAAATCTGCTGATGATGTTGCTGGCCATGGGACGGATGAGGTTGGGCACCGGGGTTCGGAGGTTGCTGCGTATAACCAGCGAATTCATTCCGACGTGACATCTCGGCTTGGTACGGGTGATTAGAGCTGTATCACAGAACAAATATTAGCTTGCCCATACGGCTTGGTGTTGCTGAGAAAGACAACAGCGAGACGCGATATGATCATGGCTGCACAGCATTGGGCGTTCCTAAATTCAACAAACGGTAGGGAGCTGGCTAGACCAGAATGGCACGCCGTTGACTTAAGGTGAGTTGAGATAAAATAAAAGAACGAGGGAACAAGGGTGTGTCGAAAGCAGGCGAGCTGCAGGGAAGTAATAATAATAAATGTGGGCTAGGTAGACTCGTGTAGTGTAGAAGACCAGGTGAAGCTATCACCAGGGGTCCCACCACTCGCGGTGGAGCAGGGACAAAAACAGCCTGGTTGAATGTTTGCGGGACAGGTCCATGATTGAGACAGCAGATATACTTTTGGTACATATATGACCATGTCTACTATACAGACAAGGCTGGTGGTATGTATATGTGTACGAGCTGTCTGGGGTAGTAGGAGGTAGACGAGGGAGGGGGGCGGAAGGAGGAAATGGGGGAGAGGGAAAACGTGTATGTGTGTATGTATGTGTGTGTATAGGCGTATGTACGTATGAATGGATGTAGGTATGTACGTAGGTATTCGGAAGGACGAACTGGGTAGGTACAGTACCGTGGAAGTACATGGGGACAACCTTGGGACAACATGGGGACGACAAGTATAGAGAGAAAAAGGGAATGTACTTACTGCATGCCATCACTCGCGTGCTGAGTGGAGTTGGGGGCATAAAGGTACTCCGGCACGGGGCCGACCTGCCACTGCTGCATGATCTGAAAAAGGGAAAACTAGCGTCAGCTATAATTACAATAAAAATGAAAATAATACCAATGCCTCTTGTTCCTGATACAACTGATAGAGTCAAAGTGCATGGACAAAAGCTAGAGCATCGGAAGGAGGGGGGAAATAAATAAACGGGACTGAGTCAAAATTGGGGGAACAAGAGAAAAGAAAAAAAAATCAAACGGATTGTATGTATGTATGTAGGTTGTATGGATGAATCAACGATTGATTTGGTCGAATGAACAGAATGCTAAGGGTAAGGCCGAGGTACAAGAAGCTGCGATTGCGCCTCGCAAAGAGACAGGGAGGCGAAGTAAGGAGCCAGAGAAAGAGATTGGGATTCGTGAGTTGACTCGATGGTGGCGGTAGACAATAAAAAATTATCACTGGCTTATGAAAATTTTGGACAAATGAGATGTTGCGACAAAGAAGCGCGATAATATGAAATGGGGTGGTAAGAGTGGTAGATAGGCCGTAATGGTGGTGGTTGTGATAACAGCGGTAACAAGTTATGTGTAGGTAGCAATGATGATGAAATGGGAGGGCGACGTATCATAGGATATCATAGGAAGCGAGCCCATGTATCTGCATACGCGAGGTAGTCGGAAGGGGATTCGGTGCATTTTTTTTAATTAGTCGACAACGTGTAGTGAGCAAATGGCGGTTATAGGGTGTAGTAGTGGTGAGATGTTGATGATGTTGCTTGACCTAGAATCCTTCCCTAGCAATAGATACTGTACATTATCATCGCTGAAGGGTTGGTATAGCTAGGTAGGTGAGTGAACATCATTTTTTTTTTTTGCGACAGGCCTCCCCAATCGGGAAAGACGCGATTTGTCTTGAATAAGTTCGCGCAACTGAACCGAACACCTCTTTTTTTTTGTTTTTGCGCTGCTGCAGGCGGCCGTAGATGAATGATGTCTTGAGTGGGGAATCATAAAGGGAAATACGGGAATACAAATAATGGTAAAAAGTAGATGGTACTCAAGAGACTTACGGGCAATCAGAGGTTGAATTGGCTGTATGCAAAAATGCGAAATAATTAGTAGCGCATAGGAGTCGCGGTCGTTATGTGTCGAACTTTGTTTCTCTTGCTGTTGCGGAACCACAAAGTATACGCAATCAAGTCCGAGTTTGTTTTTCTTCACTCGGTCGCGTACCGGTTGGTTTGTTTCTTTCCTGATTTTTTATTTTATTTTATTTTTCCTTTTCGCTACGTTGAGCGAGGATAAGGAAAGCAGGACGGGGAAGACTCGAATTGAATTCGAATGCTTAATAGCTACGACGGACGAGACGCGTCTGCGGTTCCGGTACCCGTTACAGGTAGACAGAATTGAGCCCACGTCGCAAAAAGCTGGGATAAACACCGTTAGACGTTGCGCGCGCGGATGTAGTCTGACGAGAAAGGTTTAGTCAATTCGTATAGGCGTGTGTAGGCGCAAACACCGACGCCGATGAATCAAAAAGAGACCTCGAGGTATTATGAGGGTTGGGGTTGGGTTGAATATTGTTGTAACGACAGGGGAATGGATGGGAATTGAATGTATCGTGCTTCAAACCCGCCCAAGTACGAAGTACCTTGGTGTGAGAAAGAGAGAAGTAGAGGGAACAAACTGTGTGGATGGGGATGGGGGGAGGGGTGCAGATTGATGAACCGTGGGAAAGTTTAGGGAAAGTACAAAGTAGAGAGTAGAGGGAACAGAGGGAATTCCGTCCGAGGGTAGTAACGATGGCAAAACTTTGCTCTCTACTCCTGCGCACGGGCCCCACTTCTACACAGCCCCCCTAGTTGGCCTGTGCTAATGAGCTAATCCGTTCTGTCCGTTCTGTCCCGTCTCCTAGGGCTTGCTGTGTTATGAATGGCTAATTGCTAGCACGCTTGCGGCATAAACAAGTACAATGTAGAGGGCGGGGAATGTTTTTTTTCTCTTCTATTCCCCCAATCGAAGTACCTTGGTACTTTAGACTATTAAGAAAAATACCGGGATGTGGATGCGTCGCATATGCGCGGTAAATCGACTATAGTGTAATAACGTGAGGGTATTTAAAGTTGGAATGGTGTAAAAAAAAATACTAAAACGAAAAACGATCGTAGCGGTTTAATGTTTAATGTTGTGGTATAGGAATGTACAAATGTTTGCGTGGCGTTTGGTTCTGTGCTTTTTTTTCTTGTCGCCGTACTAGCCGGATCGACACGATAGAAGAAAATCGAAGGTCACGATACCTCTTAGGTTAAAAAGAGAAGGAAAAAAAAAGCGTGTTTTTTTTTTTTTTTTTTTTTTTTTTAAATTCTTCTCGTTCGGTTGGTCAAGACCGGCGGGCCTCCAGAATTGTCGCAAAATGAATCGCAATTGTCAATCTGCAAACTTGCAATGGTTTTCAATTGCCAAACAGGGATCCTCGACTAGTAGGAGAAGAATAAAAAAGTAGATGCGACAAAAAGTACATACATCTGCAATGGATAGAAAGGAAAAGTAACTTTGGATGTGTAGAATGTAGAGTAGAGATGGATCCTGATACTTGAATAATGCAGCAAAAAAACTCAACTAACCAGGACTCGGACGCGGTTAACCGTCTCTTGGGAGTACTTTTGATCAAAGTACTGGTATCTTAGGCTTAGACTGGTCGATGTTCTGGATTGGTGTCTAATCTTTTTCCCCCTTCTTGTGCGGCCCTGGGGGTGTGTGGGTTCGAACGACTGGCACCTCAAGAAGAAAAAGTGTGGAAAAGGTTAAGATTTCACGGTACGCCGTGGTCGAAGGTGGAAAGTACCTTTAATGTTCGAGCCAGCATGGCCCTTAAGAGGATTTCGACTCTTTTGATTCGTTAGATCAACTCCAGGTGGGGGTCTTTAAATCTCTTGGCTATCACTGTCCCGGTTTAACCCTTAACTCGGTTAATCATGGGTCAAGATTCGGAGCTACCCCTACCATACAAAAAAGTACCTCATAGGCGATTATCAATTCCCAATTTCCAATTTCCATCCATATCTACACCGAGGAATTTGTTAAGGCTCCAAGGTTCCAAGATTACTTGTCAGCTTATCTTTTAAGGTATGTTATTCACGTGATCTTTTTTCTATTGAGTCCAATTCTAAGCAAGAATCTTATTTCAAAATGTATATTTTCTCTTAGTTTAAAGTTCTGAGGATTCTAAGTCTTTTTTAGTTCCTTTTACGAAGCGCAAGTCGCATTACTTAGCTGTGTACATAGCAGTACTAATCTTTACCTTTTTCACATGGACCTAAAAGCTACATGTATTCCATGTTGTGTAGCAAATAAGTGATGTACTTGGATGGAACTTGGACATGACATTGGAGATGTCTTGTAAGTGTCTTTTCGTGTGAAGCATGTACCTACCCAACTACATGAAGACAGGATACTATTTCAAGTACTGTATATCAAGGCAAGCTATACAATATGTAGTAAGGAACAAAACTACCCCCCTTACCGTTACATACATGTAGCGTACATAATTATGAGATATATGTAGACAGGTACATCGAACGAAAGCAGAGCGGCCAGCGACATATAACATGCACTCACCTCGTACTATGATCCATGGTTATGAGGACGATGCAGCTATCCGCCCCGAGTCTTCAATTAGTATAGTACTCAAGTATACCAAGTGTAACGTTTTAACTAGGTATAAGCCCCTTCTTGAAGGATACCTTTATATATTTATCCATGTCATCCACGCAGGTTTCCCCAAAGTGTATGTAGTGTAGATACCCAGGTTATGTACCGTAGGACTTGATTCTTTACATAAAAAATGTACCCGGGTAAGTGGTTAGTTGTACGGGTGGACACATACCTACATTAGAAGTTGTGGCTAGTATCCATAATATGGACCTCTGCTACGTACTTATTTTCAAGGTTACTTGCCTAATGTAACCATTGGCTAGTAGTTTACGATGAGAGTTGACCCGCTTACTTATATACATGACCTCGACCAAAGATCAATTAGATAATTAGCAAATAACATTCTTTTCGTATAGACGTTTCGATATTGAGATGTCCAATAAGTTAAGTATATGTTTATTCATATTCTCAACTAAGATTCAAAGGCTGTTATTACAGCAATTTCAATGCAAGTTAGTATTGGGTTAAAAGACAATACCTATTAATATATGGATTTAGGTCATGATGCCAAGAACATGCAACGCAGGGTAGTACTCTCTAGTCAAGTACATACTGCTACTTCTCCCCGCAGTACGAGTACACGTACCCCTTCGCGATACTTCAACTCCCAGTCCCGCAAGTACCTATATGATCTAGGTACGAAGCATATATGCAATGCAGCCTCGCGGTCACCTTAAGATATGTCTATTAATGCTTGTCTATTCTAGTATTCGTACCGTCTACTTGCCACTTATTTCACCTTTACTGTTCTATTCTCGCTTTTAGACTAAGACGTCCGAACAACGCCAGGAGCAAACCGCTCCATCGTCTATCACATCAATAAGGGTCTCGTCGACTTCCTATAATCACGACCTTGGAACCAAAACACATCATCATGGCTTCTAATCCGTACCTCAAACAAAAGGTGAACTTGGACTTATGTCGTGCCCATATCCAGCGTGGTATTGGTTCATTTTCAGACATTGTATCCAGGTGTAACTTGCTACCCAGGTAACTTCTTATAAAACATCCTAGGTGCTTGTTTTCGTTTTGTCCTTATACAACAGGTGCAGTAGTCAGTTTGACAACGAAACAGTAGCACATGGGGCAGTCATACCGTCGCTCGCACTTTCAGAAACACGGCATTCGTCTTTGGAACGAATTAAAGGTGCATCGTCGGCATGAAGCATATGGAGTGCATCACTTGCTATTGTACGCAAGCGGAAAATCGTTACCACGCACCGGATATGCGCATACTCAGGGACGAACAGCTATCGTGTGTAATTTCTAGAGTCCGTTTTGCCGGAAGGTGCCACGAATTTTCGCCGTATAATGAGAATAGCCGTTTCTCCAATTATCCAGACCAAAGCAGTATAACTTTACGGCGATGAATTAAGAAACCAGTTGGATGTCCTTGATACTTGGATCGAGCCATTGTACTACAAGTTCGTACAACTTGGACACAACTATCTCCCTAGCCTCAGTAAGAGTGTAGGTTGTCTCTCGACGCCTATGTCTCTCTGAGGGTACTATAAAGAAAGTATGCAATTCGAGATATGAGGAAGGCCTCGCTAAGGCACATCCAGCAAGCTAGTCTCCTGAAAAATCGGCCTATACGACATATATAATGAATTGTTTTAGATTCTCACCTTTATAATCAATAGCGAGTTAGCCTAGAAGCCGACCTCGCCAAACCATTCGCCATCTGTTAGAAATGTTCTTGCGTTCTTCGCGTTATAATGATATTGGTGAGTGTTAGGTGACTTGAGGTTGCGCTACCTTAGGGTAGTTCGGTATTGAGGCTCTGCAATCTGGGTGTGCATTACATCTACGCCCCCAGGACGCGTGGAATACGGATTTAAGCGGCGTAGGTCTATGATGGTTTAAACTCGAAAGCCGAGGCTTGGGAATCGCGCGGGGGTAAGTGCTTCAATCCCCAATGAAGGAAGTAAGCACTGGCCAAATAGGTTTGACATTGCTTCATTGCAACGAGAAACGAAGGTAGGGCGCTGCTCGTTAGACGATGAGATTGGTAAAAATCTATGAGTGAACATATACCACGAAGACAACGTTGGTGCGTATACGAATAAGAGAAGATTTACCGGACCGCAGAGCCGAGATCTGCCACTATTGGGAAAGGCCGACAGTCGAGTCCCGGTAGATGATCATTTAGTTTTCATCATTCATCCCATCCCGTCATAATCCGTCTGCCTGTTGAAAATGCCTCGACTATTTTTCAATGCAAACAGTTGTCATCTGGTCTTTTTTAATGCTTGATCGACGGCTGGGCTAGGCCGAAATGGTCCACTTCTAACACGACATATTCATGTGTTCTCGAAAAATTAGAAGGATTGAAACTATGGAGGTAACAGACTGTCGGAATGCGGTTTGAGAATTGCGACTCTGACCACGATTATTACTAACAATCCAGGCACACAATAATGGCGTTAGAGCAGGGGTATGGTATGGGGACGAGATGATTCGTACCTAGCTTGATATGGGTAAGGGGAATAAATCGTCTTTTCCACCTAAGTAGGTACTTTTGTCTATTTTGCCCAAAATCCACACCTTCCATATATTGGTTATAGCGTTCGTCATTCAGGGCTGAAGCTGTATTAAAACTATACTAAATCCACGTTATGCGTACGTGGGTTCTAGGTAACGAATAAAAGAAAGTAAAATTATGGATTCGCTATGCTCTCGAATGATGAGGCAGATTAGATGCTCACTTGACTTGCAGACTAGACCGCTCAAACCACAATAGGGTCGACGTCCGGTAAGGTGTGAACTTGATAAGGGTAATAGATAGAGGCTATACCAAGTAGGATAAGTTAAAACAATGATTCTAGACGTAAATCGTATTATGAACCATGTATGCTACAAATCTGAATAAATCCTAGCAGGATATTAAATTGCTTTTGACTCTTCATATCGTTTTCAATATGATAGGATGGCATCGAAACTAGCCCTCGAGTTGGTGTTTATAGTAGTAGCTTGAGGGGTAGTTTCAATGTTCTTGCCTGTCGCTCTAATTAAGAAGTATTAGCCGTGGCGGTTAGGGCTGATATGCTTCTGATACTCGAATAGCATCGTCGCCTCTCGCGAAAAGAGGCCAAACTTGGGCATATGCAGCGGGTTGGCAATTGGGTCTGGCGCTTACACCCTGGTTTCCCATGAGAAAGCATTGTCGTTTTAGGTAACTCAGCCGCTCGTTTCTCTATTTCTATAACTTGATAAGATGCTTAGAGATAATATTTTGAACGCATCTTAGACAACTGTTACCCCGCTTGTATCTTGAGACTTTCGAAGTCATAAAGTTGAAATCCAAAATTATTCTAGTTCAGGGTCAATGTAGCGTGCCACTTTGGCGGAACCCTAGATGAAGCTTAACTGCGGTTCGGGGTGCATTAGTCTGTCTCTATTTAACCCATACGTAAAGTACATCATGTATGCTTAGGTACTAATGCATGTACGTACCTACGTATATGTAGGTATAATCAAAGGGGGGTTCGTTATGTGTCTTGTGCGTCTTCGGGTTTCGGATGGAATATTTACACGAGGTGTGTAGGTATCAAGAACCCGACGCTTAGCGTATATGGGGAAATCAATGTATCGAAATTAATGTCAATATCTAGGTATTTTAGCATCGCAATGTTTCGATTCATATGTAGATAATAAAGGTTCGGGGTGTTCTGGATTGCATACTAGTATTTGGACAGGGGCCGATGCTACATGTGTAGGTTCTTGGCAAGTTTCGACGGCGGTGAACTGTAGACAAGGATAGCCTAGGTACACTAACCGCTGAAGAACCGGCTACTCGGGCTACTACCTGCTTAGACTAGAGTATGAATTCATTAATACAGGACCTACAGTACATATAAGATACCATAGCTAAAGCATAAATTGCATTGTTTCGTTGCCAGTTAAGAGAAGAGCTTACTTGGTATTATTTGCTTGGTATTGGATAGAGATGAGAAATGGCGTTATGATACCTTTGTTTTATACAAATGAAACCAAACGAATTTATGACATCTAAGCTTGAATTTTTAGCCGGTTTCTTGTTATGAGATCTTGAGATCTGCTAGGCTTGGCAATTAAGCTAAGTAATCGGAGGGAGCCCGGACTCTTTTGTATATTCCGTAACAACTCTTTATTAACAGGTCATTATTATTTGCGGCTCTATCGGCCATTTGATCTTCTCCGGAAATCCAGTTGATCTTGACGCTTGGGACAACATATGTACCGGTGACATCTTATTACGTCATTAACTTTTTGTGGAAAAAGAATGTCTAGAACATCAAAGTCGGCATCTTCCATCTGTATCCATAAAGACGAATTTTATTTGTTTCGAATTGACGAAATCACCCCAAGATCTCTTTGGAACTTTTTGTCCTTGCGAAATCATTTACGATTCTTTCAGCCGATAATCGATACTACCATAACTATCGTAACCGCCATAATATGTAGATTTCTCGTATCTGATGTAGCAGAGCCGCGGACGGCTGAGCGAAAGAGGAATAGAAGGGTGTTTTAAGGTTCCATGCTAACCAGGGGTAAAGACAAACTACGTCGTAGCGGGGTTGAGATGACCAATCATAATCCCTACATATTGAGTAAGCGCGTGTCTGTAACACGGTGAAGCAACGTCCATACAAAACCCAACCGATGTCAAACCCTTCTCCCGACACAGACCCTTCTTCTTTTTTCCACCCCCCCGAAACCACACGAGACCACCACCGATACTACCAATATGATACCTCCGTGTCCCTGCGTCGAGTAGCTTCAATTCGAGTACCGATCGAGTCTACACTATACCCTCTATACCCCATTCAAACAATATTCTCAACTGCTAAACGTGCGCTGCTACTTAATTCTCCGACGTTCGTATATCACAATGGCCAAAAAACAGGTTAGTCGGCTGGCAACCTGAATATGACTTCCACTACCAAACCAAGGTAGTGTAAGATAAGGGGTCAGGTCAGAGGGGAAGCCCCTCTTCTCTGTAACCTGAGCAAGAGGGCGACCGCTCTTTTCTATTCCACTATCGAAACGAACATGGGTACCTTGGAACCAAGCGACAAAACACACAAAAGTGCATCCCATCTAGATCTGGATGGCCTTCTTTTATGTTTTTTTTTTCAGTCGACCCCATGCTCGTCATGGTTTGTGTTGCATCTAACACTGTCGTGCAGTGTAGTATCTATAATTTCTTAGAGGGCTAGGCTATGAGGTCTCGAGAGCTTCGAGCATCTGCTCGCTCTTCTATTAGAGTGAAGCTACAGAGACTATCACCCTCAAGCAAAGTATACACTGCTTTAGAGCAGCGTATCGCTGATATATTCAACCCCAAATTTCATGAATATCTTCTCGGGTTCGTCCGTCTTCAAAGATCGACTCGGATAATAGAAGTGGATTTATATCCACTCACCATTCGAGCCGCCTAGAACTGGCCGCTTTGGATCGATAGACATGGATGTCAGCCCAGCGCATCAAGCCAAGATTTATGCTTCCGTCCTCGTTGCATCCACCCCATCTTAGCTTCTCGTTACAGGGCTACAGACACTCGAAGAGCTGTATGCGAGATGTGGTAGTGCCCACCCCCGTCAACATGGCCCCTAGTTCGTCTAGGATGTGTATGCCAAGTATCATGATGTAGAAGATGCATTACCGTTATTATCTGCTTTTCGTCCCACTGACTCTTACTTCTGTTCTTCCGTTTTGTTCCCTCTTTACCATCGTGTAGGTTCGACAACTGTATCATTCACAACGTTGTTGCGTGCCTCCTTTCTTTTCTTTTCGCAGCTAGCGACCACTTTCTTTCATTGTCCAACTGGCTTGGCTGCTTACGCTCTTTTGAATAATATTATCTTCCTCGTCGGTGTTATTTTTGGGTTGCTCTACGACTATCTGCTTGATTCGTTTTCGTTTCTGGTTTATCCACCTCATCTCCAGTGCGGCGAGAACGAACCTGGCAGGTAACTCACTGGAGATACAAACAATCTAACATAACCAAATCGAAACATTCAGATAACCCTATCTTATTAACCCGACGATTTTGCAATCCCACTTCAATTCTTGAAGCAGCACGGTCTGCCTATTTACACATACCCGTTTTTAAACCTTCGATTCGTCAAAAATAACGCCATACTTTTTTCTACAATATCACGATACAAAGCAAGACATGATGTCCCCGCCGATGCAATTAATAGCTTCTTCCGGTGTTCCGTACACACCAACGAGCGATGCCCTTGATCGACATGAGTACGGGGTCACTAAGAATAGAAAACTCGTCGCCTCAACTGGTGGAGGAAGGGCCTGGAGTGAAGACGAGGTAAGAGTAGAGTTTAGTCTATGTTATATACTATGCTATTCCACCTCCCAAGCAGAATTAGCATAAACAGTGTACCTCGTGTATCAGCGACTAATAGAGAACTAATATAGGAAGTATATCTGCTTCAAACCCGTCTCCAAAAGATGCCATACAAGCATATTGCGGCTCACTTGAAGAAGACCGAATTAGCATGCCGTCTTCATTATCACCAACTTAGTCACGGAAGTAACCGTCGCAAGCGTACTACATCCGTATCCTCGGGCTCTTCTACCGGGCATTCCCCCATATTACCAGCTACCGTTCCGTCGCCCATCCAGGAGTCATCTTCCCGCGATACGTCTCCTATCACAAGTGCTGGTGGTCACGATGGCGATTCACCTAACTATACGACATCTGTGCAACTTCCTAGTATCATGACGAGCACCAATACTTCGCCTCGCCTCCCAGCCATCCTCCCGAAGCCCACATCTATTACGCTTCCGAGTGCCGCTCCCTCAGCATCATGTAGCTATCCTGTTCAAGTTCCGGAGGCGTCTCGGTCACTCGCACCATCCCCATTTCCTCAGCCGTCGCCCATCAACCAGGCGCCCGTCCTTCGACTCGACTGTTCGCTTCCGCCACCCGCCACGCACGTAGATATGCCTCGGCTTCAGTCAATATACGCTGCGCATCGGTCGTCATTCTGGGGTGCTATCGCGTCTGAATATGGCTCCGGAATTAGCCCAATCGTCCTAGAGCAGGCATGGAAGGCAAACATGCTTGCTACGGGTGGTCAAACTCCAATTACACCAGTTACTAGCCCCAACGATCGCGACAGTCTTTACGAAAAACATGACAAGACTCGTATTAGTGCCATTCTTGGCATTGACGCCAATCCGCGGAGTCCGAAAGAAAGAGAACTAGTCCGAAGATTAGAAGAGGAACGAAGCGTTAGCGTTACCGCCGGCGCTTAGGGAGGCGATCTTTAAGATTCCATGATTCAGACTCCTATTAGAGACCGAATGTGGTTGATGTCTATCAGTAGGGGCAATTCCGCTCTCGAAGCAGCTTATTGCTGTCTCCGTTCCCATTTTTTCTGCTTTACTCTTGTATACCTCTAGCTTTCCTTATGCGTCTCAAACTCATCCACATTTACATATCGACTTTATTTGAAATACGTGATGGTCGCAATGGCGGCCATCAATGAATAAACAACCACTTCATCATTTCTACTTTGGGTTTTTGACGGCGACGGCAAGGGAGGGTCGGATTGGCTTTGTAGTCAGAATAGTTCAGTTTGCCTACCTACGATGAGTAGGGTCTCTTTTCCTCACGGGCATGCAAGTCTATTACATCGGGTGGTATTCTGTTAACAAACAGGGAGGGTAGTTGACACTGGAGGTGGTACAGTGATGACATATGGATGGAGGATGTGGTGTATTGAACGGCCGCTAGCTATGACTTGACATGGCATGTACGTATGATTGGATGGGATGTTACATATTTTTCCTTGGTCTCTTTCACTTTGCATGATTTACGATCGCAAATACCATACCCCCATCATGCTTCTTGGGTGAGAGACTTTGTACATTATTTTTTTATTTTCTGCTCAGATTTGAGCTACATATCATTTCTGGAGGCTTTTTTTCTCTCTAAGGCGAATTGGAAAAGAATTATGATTAAATGAAATGAATCATTATCTTACTTGATTGTTAAATTTCATTTATTTGCCTCTATTTAACATTATAATTCCTTCATAAAATGACATTGCAAGATCGGAACATATAATAAATGTTGTTTGCTTTGGTGGGTATCTGATTTGGCAAACTTGGCGTCTTCAAAGTTGCCCATTTGTAAGCCCGAAAGCAAACGTTCCATCCAATGAGCGTGAATATGGGGGACCAAGAGATTGAACAGAACACACAAACAGAGGTTCCGGTGGGGGCCATTCAGACAGTAGATCCTGAGATTCTTACTAGTCAGGCACCCTTTTCTTTACCACTGTCGCGAAGAGAGGAAGCTGATATGTGCGCATAGAACTCCCTATCGGGACTCGGGTTCTGGGCATCACAGCTCATGGCGTTAGTTTATGGACTCGCACGGCTCGTATAGATGTTGAACGAGATGGGCGGCGGAAGGCGTATTTCTTGAAGGTGATCCTCCGGCTTCGGCTTCCGATCGGGTTCTCCCGAGCAATAACTAATAAATTCGGTAGACCTCATCCGGCGATCTCGGTAGAGAAATGACATCAAGCGAATTCCAATGCATGACTAAACTCCGCGCCGTAATGCCGGATCTTGTACCGGAGCCTATCGCATGGGGATCCTACGCCGCAATCCCGAATGTACATTTTCTGCTATGTGAGTTCCGTCGTATGTCGGGCAATGTTCCGCCTCCGGAGATACTCGCCAAGAAGATTGTGGAGTTGCATCGTACCAGTGATCACGATGGGGATAAGAAGGAGAGGTTTGGATCGAACGTCCCGACATTCCATGGGAACGCGCGCGTTGAGCATGGCTGGTCTGATACGTGGGAGGAGTATTTCGCGAGGACTACACGGGTGCTATTTGATTTGGAGCAGGATGCACAGGTAAGTACGATACCTGTCATTTTCGCTATTGCAGCTACGGAAAGTTTACATGCGTAGGGACCCAACGACGAGATTGAGCAAATGATTGCTCCCTTTTTCGAAAAGGTAATACCACGACTTCTAAGGCCATTAGAGACCGGTGGCAGGTCTATCCAGCCCTCTCTCATCCATGGAGATCTTTGGCACGGCAATGCAGAGACAGATGCGGAAACCGGTCTTCCGATTATTTTTGACGCGGCATCTTACTACGCGCATAATGAGTGTAAGATTCAGGCTTTCCCGAGATTCCTCTTTATGAAGGAGAGCTAACAAGGAAAATGAGAATAGACGAGCTTGGTGTTTGGCGACAGCCATGGAATAATATCGGTACAGCCTACCGAGAAGAATACCACAAGCATTTTCCCAAGTCGCCTCCTGAAGAAGACTGCGATGATCGGAATGCATTATATGCAGTGTGAGATTCCATCTTCCTATTGCTCACATACATGAAAAGAACCAATAATATGCATCATAGCCGAGTCAATATTCTTGACTCCATATTATACAAGGACGACCCGGGTTATCGACGGATGTAAGTAAAGCAGCTGAACGATTAGGAGCACAATACGTCTAACCTGTATTCTAGGCTGATATCCGGTATGCGAGAACTTATTGATAAGTTTCCGGGCGGTTTCGAGGAATGGGAAACTTCATAGCGCGATGGCGGTGCCTAGTATATAGGCATCCTTGAAACGTGGTTCGTTCGGCCCTGTTTGTTCTTATACTGTATCGTCTTAAGCACGCTAGAGACACCAAGCCCGTTTAGAGAATCGTTTATATGGTTTCTCGATGCTCTTATACTATTCGATGCGTCATGTATTATACCTGTGGGCTATATTCCGGAAGTAGTAAGTAGTAATCATTAGATGACCTCTGATTGGCTATTTATTCTAATAATAAATGTCACCATTGTAACATCTCATATTCGACCTACTGGATCTATATCTCCAATGTGCCCGTATACTGCATCAGTCTCATGACAAAATCGTAAGCATGATACCCAATAAGAAGCATGAGCCTCCTACCGGCCATCTCGGAATGGAGCTTCGAATCTAATTGGTGACCGTCGGTTCGTCCGCTTTACCTAGAACTCGACCGCTTAGTCCCTGCATGCAGAAACAACTCCACATTCCCCTCGTCTTAGTTACGCATTTCGGCCCCGACCCTCGGCTTAAGAGAAAAAGAAGAAAAAAATACGAAAAATAGAAAAAAACTTGAAACCTAGTCGCACTTAGGTCATGTACCGAGCTTAAGGACCTAGAAGGCGTTCAAGCTACGTCGTAATAGGTACGAAAAATTCTGGGCCAGACGCTGGTTTCTGCAATCTGCAAACATGGGATGAACCAGTCGTGTCCCATGCATTTGAAATTCTCCTCGTCATAGTATACTCCGCACCCCGGGTCCGGCTACTATGTATGCCCGCCCGCCTTTCCGAACCATCGTCGCTATGTTGAACCCCGAGATCGTCACCCCATTCGATTGATCTAGATAAATTTCTTATTTCCTGGTTCTTTACCCCGCAGTGGGTAGACGATTCGAAAATCTCCTTAAGGCGAATATATCCGCAAAACTTTTGACGTTGCTAGCTTGCGGTAGCTGTTGTTGTCTGTTTTGATTTCGTAAATTACTGGCATTCGAAGAGATCTCAACATGGCCGAAATTCCAGCAGTTGCCGTTGCGGACCCCAAAGCGGATCCACAATATATACAATTTGAATGCCTACCCCCGGGTGGCCCCTTAAATCGATGGTCTCATGTATTAACGAAGGGGCATGATTATCCCGGCGCTCAGGTGTGTTGGTCGCTAAGGGTGAAGAAGACCCATTCTTACATGTTCATATAGGCCATGCTCTATGGTGCTGGCGTGCCAAATGAGGAGATGATGAAGAATGCTCCTCATGTCGGCATTGCGACTGTGTGGTGGGAAGGGAATCCTGTACGTTATCTGCCACTTGCTCGTCTACGACGCCTGAGGAAGTACCCCGTGTGTCCGGCTCAGAAGCAATGGCCACGGTTTGGTGTTTCAACTCCCGCGCAATAGTCGCTAACCTTTGATCCATAGTGCAAGTAAGCCGTATATTTCTGTAATATAGTAGTGATGATTTACCACTTATAAATTGTTGACACTATTGACCGTTGTTTGAAATAGCACACATCGTAAGTGAACTCATAAAGCGCGAATATTTCTTTCGTTACGAGTGAAGCTGATCAGCATAGTCCTCGAATTCGGCAAGATCGTGAAGAAAGCTGTAGAGAAACAGAAGATGTTGGCGTGGCAGTATAATGCCGTCGGTGTATCAGATGCTATCACAATGGGAGGCGAAGGTTCGATTTGCAATCCCCCTTATCTCATTCGTAATACTTAGCATTACCTACTTAGGCATGAGATTTTCTCTTCAGACTCGCGACCTTATCGCCGATAGCATCGAAACTGTCACTTGCGCACAGCGCCACGATGCTAACATCGCGATTCCCGGCTGTGATAAGAACATGCCAGGTGTCATCATGGCGGCAGCAAGACATAACCGACCTTTCATCATGATAGTAAGTTGATAGTTTCCACAAGACGGCTTTTATAAGTGGCGGAGTCTTATTCGGCAAACCTACATTGAAGCCTTAGTTCGTGACCTACTAAGATGCAAGGCACATTTACTAATATATTCCGAACTTTTAGTATGGTGGGGCTATCAGAAAAGGGTACTCGAATCTTCTAGAGCGCGACGTGAACGTGTCTACGTGCTACGAAGCATCAGGCGCTTTCGCGTATGGCAGACTCCAAGCTAAGACGAATGCTGGTACTGAGGGTCGAACGCCAAGTGACGTTATGTCGGATATCGAACGCCATGCTTGCCCGGGGGCTGGTGCGTGCGGTGGTATGTATACGGCGAATACGATGGCGACAGCTATCGAAGCTATGGGACTAACTCTTCCCGGATCGTCGTCTTATCCCGCACTGTCTCCCGAGAAGGCTCGCGAATGCGAACGCGCGGCCGAAGTCATCAAAGTAACGATGCAAAAGGATATTCGCCCTAGGGATCTTTTAACGAAAGAGTCGTTCGAGAATGCTCTAGTCATTACAATGATACTCGGAGGCTCGACTAATGGTGTGTTGCATTTCTTGGCTATGGCGAACACAGCCGAGGTGCCGTTGGCTTTGGAGAACATTGACAGGGTCAGCAACAAGACCCCATTCCTAGCGGATTTGGCACCTAGCGGGAAGTATTTGATGGAAGATTTGTACAAGATTGGCGGTACTCCATCGGTATTGAAGATGCTGATAGCAGCCGGTCTAATCAATGGGAATATCCCAACAGTGACCGGTCGCACCCTCGCTGAAAATGTTGCTGACTGGCCCAGCTTGCCACCTGACCAAAAGATCATCCGCCCCCTCTCGGATCCGATTAAGGAAACAGGCCATCTCCGTGTCTTGCGCGGGAATTTTGCACCGGAAGGCGCAGTGGCCAAAATCACTGGAAAGGAAGGGTTGAGCTTCACAGGAAAGGCTAGGGTATTCAATAAGGAACATGAATTGGATGATGCTCTTTCTCGGGGCGAGATCCCACGAGACGAGAACCTGGTGCTTATAGTTCGTTATGAAGGTCCTAAAGGAGGACCGGGAATGCCTGAACAGCTAAAAGCTTCGGCTGCGATTATGGGAGCTAGACTTAAGAATATTGCCCTTGTCACAGATGGGAGGTATAGCGGTGCCAGTCATGGCTTTATTGTCGGCCACGTCACTCCAGAAGCAGCAGTAGGCGGCCCTATTGCGCTAGTAAAAGACGGAGATACGATCGTCATCGACGCTGTCAAGAATCGGATTGACATGGCGAATGTTAGCGAGGAAGAGTTTAAAGAGAGGAGAAAGGCGTGGAAAGCTCCTCCATTAAGGGTTAAGAGAGGTGTTCTGGCCAAGTACGCGAGATTGGTTGGAGATGCTAGCCATGGTGCTGTCACTGACCAGTGGGAGGCCTAAAGATTTCTAAAATGTAGCGGGTCTAAAGAAGATTGCGATATTATGTTATCTATGTAATAGTATATACGAGTATTTGCGTGGGAAACATGCAATGGATTTCTGTACGCCCGATGCGATGTCGATTGACGTGTCGTAGAACTCGTAGGTTTCCTGATTTATAGTCGAGGACTGCCTCTTTGCTGTCTGTACCAATTTAAATTGCTTTCTTAACTGACTTATTTGAAAGTTCGTTGACCAAGTTCGGGTTGATATAGGTGACATATGCATGCCAAGACAGAGCTGGAAGTAAGAAAAGAGAGCTGAGTACAAGCGAAGTTAGAGTAAAGCCGCTCTTGTCTGGTTGGGAGATATGCCAAAGTAAGATGGCTTCGATGAAAACCTCTCCAGCGAGAAGCGTGGTGAAGATTATGTGACGCTTCTCAGATGCGGCCTTGGAGTCTGGGGTGCACAAGATTAACGGCACTGTAAGCGCAAGAACAAGGACGCCGTAGACCTGCCATAGTAAGGCGGAACTTGGAGGGACGGTCGGGGTACCAGTCTCAGCGTTGGTAGCGACAGCGAATGATAAACACCATTCGGGATACAGAACGAACGGGATTGCCCCGACAATGTTGAGAATGGCCTCGATAACTAAGCCGAATTGGATAATGCTAGGCATAGTTGATTTGTATTTGAAGATCCTGCAATTATTGCGGTTTATAGATGGCCCCGAGCCTTGCGTCTTAAAGATCTTGACGAATCTAGGTACGTAACGTAAGGGCGTCGAAGATATAGTTCGTCGACGATATCCTAGGTGAAGTATTTGTGACGGATATATGATTGAGACCGAATCACCGGGTGAATATCAATGATCAACCGAAGATTTTCATTTGATTGTCTAAGAGAATAGTGTTAGTTCTAGGATGCGAAGGACACTCTTCATATTTTAAGGGAGCCTGCCGTCTTGTCAGATGTGGCGTTGTGGTGGCTGGCTGGCGTCACCGATGCGCGATTATTAGAAGTATTGCATTACATGTAGGTCTAATGGTTTAGTAAGTTTAAACACGAGAAATATGTTGAAGTTATGATGTATTTATTATATATGTAGATAAATATGAAAAAGGGTAAGAGCTGTCTGTCATTTGGTTACAGGAAAGAGTTACATGTGTCAATCTGGACAATTACTGTATGTACCTAGGTATTTATCGATAAGAGACCCATAGCAGGACAGATCGCGGGGTTACCTTAGAGGGGCACTCGAAAAAAAATATTCTTTTTACTTTGGACTTGTCCTTCGCATACCACCCAATTACGAAGAATCGCCTATTTAAAACCTATCTACCTCAATAATCGTTTCTAGACAAACCAACAACAACACATATTTCAGAATAGGAAGACATAATGTCAAAACGAACAGCGGAAGCTGGGGACGGAAACACTCCTCTCAAGGGAGGTGACCGTCCCGAACCTATGGACATAGACGATAAGGAAATGGGCGATTTCGAAGATGAATTCGAGGACGAGTTCGAAAGCGAAGACGAAATATTCGAAGCTGGTGTCGACGGTCGACCTGACGCCGAACGCGAAGCAGAAGAAAAAGCTGCTGGTGCTATGGATGTCGACAACGGAACCTTCATCGTTGGGCGCAATAAACTTGAGGCTGGTCAACATCTTGCGCCTGACGTGGGAACCTACGAAATGCTTCACAACCTTAGCACGCCTTGGCCCTGCCTATCCTTCGACATTATCCGCGATGGACTTGGTGATAAGCGAGAAAAGGCTTACCCTGCAACCATGTACACTGTCGCCGGTACTCAAGCCGAGAGTACTCGCGCGAAGGAGAACCAAATAATGGTCATGAAGTTCAGTGGTCTAAGTCGCATGCAAAAAGACGATGATGACTCCGAGTCCGACGACGACGACGAAGACGAAGACGCCGACCCTATCCTCGAGTCCAAAGCCATCCCGCTGACCTCGACTACAAATCGCATTCGAAGCCACCAAATTCCTTCCTCAGATCCCTCGAAACCTCCTACCACCCTCACTGCGACAATGACCGAGTCGACTAACGTCTTCATACATGATGTTACCCCCCACCTAGCATCATTCGACAGCCCCGGCACGATCATTACACCACAGCAGAACAAGCCACTCTCTACAATCCGTGCTCACAAATCCGAAGGCTACGCGCTCGACTGGTCGCCTTTGGTACCTGGTGGTAAACTTCTTACTGGTGATAACGACGGATTGATATACGTAACGACGCGAACAGACGGTGGGGGCTGGGTTACGGATACAAGGGCGTTCCAGGGTCACACGAACAGCGTAGAAGAGATACAGTGGAGTCCACAAGAGGCGTCAGTATTCGCATCGGCATCTAGTGATGGCACAGTCCGCGTCTGGGATGTGCGAAGTAAGAGCCGAAAACCCGCCATTACAGTCCAGGTCAGCTCTACCGATGTCAATGTCATGTCGTGGTCGAGACTTACGACACATTTACTCGCGACTGGTGCCGATGATGGTGTGTGGGGAGTATGGGATCTGCGACAGTGGAAGGGAGGGGCGCAGAAGCCTAGCCCGATTGCAAGTTTCAACTACCACAAGGAGCAGATCACCAGCGTAGAGTGGCATCCTACAGATGATAGCATGGTCGCTGTCGCCGCGGGAGACCACAAGGTTACGCTGTGGGATCTGTCAGTGGAGTTGGATGACGAGGAAAGTAAGGATACTGCGGGTGTTAAGGATATGCCGCCTCAGCTTCTCTTCGAACATATTTCCGAACACGCGAAGGAAGTGCATTGGCATCCTCAAATTCCTGGTACACTGGTTGCTACCGGACAGGAGTTTAGTGTCTTCATGCCTATACCCGTTGTTTACGGTATTCATGCAAAATAGGCAGTAATTCGGACTGGGCATTCGATTCATAATGAATGGCTATCTCCCCCCGATGCTTGATTTTCTTCAACAGTCGTTGAGTTTGAGGGATGCCATCCTTTTTTCCATCCCACCAGACTCGGTGTGGTATTGGCGGCGCCTGTCTGCTGGAAGAGATTAACGTCGTCCATGGTATCTACTCCCGTGGCGAATTTCGGCGCGGATACGCCTACCTCGGTATTTTCCGACGAGCCTCTTACCGTGAATGAGAGCGATAGCTGGCTTGGTATTGGTACATAGGGCGGGATATAGGACGTGACGCTGACAAAAAGGTGAGGATATGGGGTTACGCGACATTCAATATCGCCATTGGCCAAAACAAAGGAGAGGAATTTGCAGTATTGAAATGGTAGAGACGCCTATAAGGTTCTGCTATATTTTCTTCACGTTTAATGAAGTAGAATGAAATCTATTTTCCAATTCAAACCCCTACTAGGCTTTTGTGTCAATTATGTTTGTAAATCGGAATTCTATAAATTATAAATTTCGTGTATTCAAGCCAGAGCGTGTGTTTCATATATTTTATGCAAGTTTTGGTAAATGTTCATAAAGCTTTTGGGCTACTAGTTTACACAACAGCATTTTTGGTGCTCATAATTCCAGAGTTCTCGGCCATTCGACTTACAATCCCGCTCTCAGCTTCAAAACAATAGGAGAAATCAACAAAAATAATTTCCGGTTCCAATGGAACTGGAAAAAGGAAATGAATGACCCCAACCCGATTTGAACGGATAACCTTTCGATCTGGAGTCGAACGCGCTACCGTTGCGCCATAGGGCCGCTGATGAATGTATTGATCTAAGCATAGCCTATATATCTTACAAAGGACAGTTTGGCACGGACAATCCCCACTCAGCGGTCCGGTCCACACTACCTAATCTCGATTCGATCGACGAAGGTCATTCACACTCGATTGATTGAACAAATAAATATTGGGTTTGGGAAACATGTCTACTCAAGTATATACATACATATAAGAATTTGATAAAATAAAGATTTGGAAATATTATAATATCTAATTGAGTAGACATTATACGTTGAAGCTACCTGGGTACACACTTATAAGAATACAAAGTCCGTCTATATTGGCGTCGATAAACCACCCTGGTTTGGTTTCTTTCTTTAAAATTTGTCAAATTCCAAGCCAAGTTCGTCACCGAAAACCAAGCCAATGTGCCACAAGTACACCAAGTTTTTTATTGCCTTGGCGCTTGAAGTATCTAGACATTTTCGTTATAACAGTTGCATTCAACCCCTACCTCTACGAGCCTCATTAATAGACCAGAGTTAATCTTATTATAATAACGTGTGTCCCTTGCAAATGATGTAAGTGAAAAACACCTAGGTCTGCTAATAAATAAGAATAAAAATAGAATAGAACATTGCTCGGTGAGGATCCAACAAGTGTGCTTGAATTCCCGATTAGGAAGGTCAAGATAGAAACCAATCCCTTTCGGGTTAGTCCTCAAAGCTTTTGCTAAACACCATTCTCACGTGAAATGACGTGCTTCGTTAGATGCAAATCTCATTTATATCCAAATGCCTACAACCTTTTTCATAAGCCTCTATAACCTAATAACAGGCTATGTTGTTAGTCAGGGGAATGGTCGAGCAGATTCAAATATAGTTTGGCTAGATACAGCTAAAATTGTTACTGCATGATGGATGTCGACGCCGAAAAGAATGTGCACGCTTCCGCGTCTCCACCCACCTCGCATGGCGGAGAGCACGTGTATGTGGCGGAGGATAAGCTGCGGCGATCACTCTCACCTCGACAGGTCCAAATGATAGCCATCGGAGGTACCATCGGAACAGGTCTATTCTTGGGAACTGGAAAGGCATTGGCCACCGGTGGTCCGGCTTCACTATTACTATGTTACGCCATCGTGGGAGGGATCGTCTTCGTCACGATGTTATGCTTGGGTGAAATGGCTGCTTTCGTTCCGGGTAAGATAAGAATACCTAACTTGTATGGAGGCCTCCGCTAACCGAAATTAAAGTGGCTGGATCATTTTGCACTTTTTCGGCACGTTACGTGGATGACGCATGGGGCTTCGCATTGACGTGGAATTACTGGTTCAACGATGCCGTGTCTACCGCCGCTGATCTAGTTGCTCTGCAGCTAGTTTTGCAATATTGGACGGATACTTTCCCGTGGTACGCTCTCGGACTTATTGTATGGTTCTTGCTCATCTTGGCGAACATCATCAATGTGAAGGCGTATGGCGAGGTTGAGTATTGGCTATGCCTACTCAAGGTTATTACTATTGTGGTTTTCGTTATCCTGAGCATTGCGGTAAATGTAGGTGGAAACACGTCACACGAATATATCGGCGCGCGAAACTGGTACCTCCCCGATGCACCGTTTGTAGGCGGTATTGGTGGATTTGCCAGCGTGTTTGTGACGGCATCTTTTGCGTACGGTGGTACCGAGTCGATCGCCATCACAGCCGGTGAAACCAAGGATCCGGCACGTCAACTACCGCGAGTCGTCAAGAATGTCTTCTGGCGAATTATGTTCTTCTACATCCTGTCATCCCTTATGATCGGCTTGAACGTACCTTACAACTACCCGGGTCTGAACTCGAAGGACACGCATACTTCTCCATTCACCATCGCCTTCCAGTTAGCTGGGTCTAAAGTCGCGGGTTCTTTCGTCAACGCCGTAATCTTGACCAGTGTTCTATCGGCAGGAAATCACGCTCTTTTTGCTGGTTCCCGTCTATTATATACCTTGTCCATCAATGGCCACGCACCAAAAGTCTTCGGACGCCTTACGCGATTCCAGGTTCCCTGGGTTTCCGTTCTTTTCACATCCTTCATCTCGGGTCTACTCTTCGGCGCTTCTTTTATCGGCGCTGGTCAGCTCTGGACATGGTTACAGAACCTTGTCGGTGTTTCCAACCAACTGTCGTGGATCAGTATTGGTATCGCGTCGTTACGTTTCCGTGCTGGCCTAAAAGCCCAGGGAAAAGAACATCTGTTACCTTTTAAAAACTGGACCTATCCTGTAGGGCCGATTCTCGCCATTATCCTAAACATCTTCATCGTCCTCATTCAAGGATGGAGTTGTTTCAGCCCGAAATTTAGTGCTGTCGACTTTGTCAGTTACTATATCGAACTTCCCTTGTTCGGGGTTATGTTTCTGGGTTGGAAGTTAATTAAGAGGACGAAATTCAAGAGAGCGAGTGAGATGGATTTAGTCACTGATGTATATACGAAGGACGACATTGAACCTGAGGAAAAAGGATGGTCGTCAAGGGCGAAGAGAATCGGGGGTTGGTTTTGTTTCTAACCGAAACCCTTTTGTATATTTGTACAATTTTCAATACATATACCCCTAACATTTGACTTATGCAATTGGTTTTTTTCATCGATCGTCCATAGCGCCCTCTTCAAACAGCTATTGTGTCTAGGGTGGTCTTACAAGTGACGATGATCTCGTAACGTTAACAGGTCATGAGGCTTGTGGAATTGCGGAGCCGAAGCCGAAGCCGAGACCAGGGATAGAAAAATAAAAATCGAGACTAGTTCGAAGATATTACTAACATAAAATTCAATTTAAGATCTATTCTATTTCTTCATTTATACATTATTTTGATAATAAGCACCATGTCATATGGAACCGTAACTACACCGAACAACCGCACAAGAGGGGCCGACGATGTTGCCCAGACATCGCAAGTCGGAAACGATGGTGTTGGAATTGAAGATGCGACCCCACTTACTAGCGAACAGGCGGACAATCTTGAAGGATCCAAAGATGGACAACGGCGGACAGTTTGGCAAAGATTGAAGAGGTTTTATGAAAGGAATATTGGCCTCTTCTTCGTCTTCTTAGCTCAAGTATTTGCATCACTCGTACGTTTCGTGATCTCAATAAAAAATGCTTACGGTCGCCAATGCTAATGGATTACATAGATGACAATGACAACTCGGCTGCTCGAGACGGGCTTCGAGAAGAAGTTTCATGCGTTGCAAATTATCTTCGTACGCATGCTAGCTACTGCTGTACTGGGATCGTTGTATATGTGGTACAAGAAGGTCCCCGACTTTCCACTAGGACGTCGGGATGTTAGAGGACTCTTAGTCCTGCGAGGTCTATCCGGCTTCACTGGACTTTTCTGTTCTTACTGTGAGTTCTACTTGTTTCTTTTTATTAGACATGCTCATCATGTCCTCTACGTTTCGCTGACATTATAAAGATTCGCTCTCGTACTTGAACATCTCCGATGCTACCGTCATCTCTTTCCTCGTTCCAACCATGACTGCATTTATATGTTTCATAGCCTTAAGGGTAAGTGTTGATCATAACGAAATGGTGTTTTTTACAAAGTGTGCCATTCTCATCCGCACGGCGTAGGAACCATTCACAGTAAGGGAGGCAATAGCGGGTCTTATCGCGTTTGCTGGCGTACTCTTCATCGCCAGACCGACATTCCTCTTCCCTCAGCACGAAGCGGGACAAACAGAGCCAAACAGCACCAGCCTTTTTATGGTAGAACAACCTAAAGGCATAGTGCCCTCAGTGCCTGCAACACCAGCCCAACGCGCCATTGCTGTCCTTCTAGCAGTGATCGGCTCGTTTGCTGCGGCGTCCGCGTACTCCACTATTCGAGTTATTGGGAAACGTGCGCATTCCCTCGTGAGCGTCAACTATTTTGCCGTACTCGCGACGGTTGTTTCATTTATTGTTGTTCTGGTTGTTCCAGACCTGCATTTCGAGATCCCCGAGAATGCTACTCAATGGTAGGATATGGTATTTTTCCGTCACTCTGTTAATCTTTATTGACCTATCAATAGGTCATTATTGATAGCGATCGGTATCGCTGGATTCCTACTTCAATTTCTCCTGACGGAGGGGCTCCAGAGGGAGAAGGCAGGAAGAGCAACAAATCTCATAGTAAGTTATCATTAGACTGAATTATATATATACAATTGATGTATGGCTAACAAAAACTTAGTACACGCAAATGGTCTTTGCGCTGATCCTTGAGCGAGTAGTCTGGGGCACGACACCTCCAGCAGAAAGTCTCTTCGGCAGCGCCTTGATCATCGGATCCGCATTATGGGTTAGTCTACAGAAGAACAAGACACCCCCTACCCAAAAGCCTCCAGTTGTCGATGAAGAGCAAAGCCTCTTAGGAGCCGGTGCTCCTTCGGAGGGCCGTGACGACTGATCTTACGTGATTTACCTTTTCGGTTCCAGGGCCATTTTTTACCTGCTAGTTCAAGAGAGTACTAGTCATAGAAGTCCTGCGGCTGAAAATCATGGGTTGGATTGCTGACCCTACCAAAGCCGTCACTAAATTTTTGACAGGATAATTCTTGATAACATCCCTTTTTATTGTGGCACAGGAATTACATGATTGATATCCTCTCCAGCTTCTATCTTGGTCGGCACGTGGCTATCCTACTCATGTACATGACTTCATGACGCGTAAACCCCAATGCAAATTTTCTATGGAATAGTATATGTGCTATTAAAAAACCCCTTTTCTGGTATCACAAAAAAATCATGTATTCCATCACAATGTACCATACTAACCATTAGTCTAGGGGCGATAATTATTACCCGAGTAGTTGTCAGGCATCTCATATACGATGCGAGGCGTTTCCATTTCTACAGCCCGATCCGTGGCTGGTAGCTGCCACGCATTGCCGTGGTTCGTCGGTAGTTCCATTGCGGGCTGTTGTTGCTGTTGCCAATACTCGATTGGTGATTTAGTATTTGGTGACTCCGTCGTATTCGCGCCGTAGTAAGCAGCTGGTTTGTCATTGACCAAGGGAATACCACACAATGAAATGCCTTTGCCGTATTTCCGATACCTGAGTATGAGGAAGCTTGCAAAAGCGAGTAGCGAAAACCCAACTACTCCTCCTACGGATGCGCCCGCAATGGTGGCGGTGCTTGTACCACCACTTGAAGTTGGGCTGTCGGGTTCTGGTAGAGGCGTCCAATGCCCATCCCAGGACGTAGCCCAATCGTTAGCACTTGTCTGAAGCGTGCGACACTCATCGTCCATAATCGTTACGCTTTGACCATTGAGATTTGGTCCAGGAGCTTGCGACATAAAATAGATTGCCGTTTTGAGGTTCGCCCCGAAAAATGCATCTTGTAGAAAAGCACGCCCTAAAGCGTAGTATCCGTTTGATGCTGCGTTGCATGGGAAGTAAGGGGTTGGCTTATCGACGAGCGGCTGGTCGAGTGTTAGGTTAAGATGCATGAAAGGCACCGAAATATTAACACTTCGTGAATTGTCATTCGTGTCCGCGAACGTAAAAGAAAGGATGGAGGGCGATCGGACAATACGAGAATAGTCTGGGGATGTCGTGTTCCAAAGATATATACCTAGGCCTTCATCGTAATTAACTGGAATCTCGGCGGCGATGGCATCGCATGTACTTTTCGGAAGGTTGAGGTAGGGAGAGCATGGGTTGATATCGAGGTTGATCCGATTACCTATCGAAGAGTTCCCTGACGCAAGTAGTCCCCCCTTGGAATTCCAGGGGAAGGGCGAACCTCCCTTGACGACGTCTATGGAGATGTCTTGAAGAGGAGCCCCTGAGAATACGAGATAGGGGTCAGCTATAGGAATAGCTAGCATTTCGTTTACGGCTCGGTTTCGATCGTACCCCCCAAACCAGAGTGACCCTGGAATCTTCTCAGGGGCAGCAGATCCAATGTGCATCCCGAAAGTCTGAGAGTCGATAGAGTTCTGTGTATACAGTGTTCCGGCTAACAAGCTAGCGTTGATAGCACTTGATGCTTGCCCCGGTTTAACTTGGAATGTCTGGTTCATCACTAAAATCACCACTTAGTCATGGACCGTCACGTCAAAGAGAAGGGACAACAATAAATCACTTACCATTAGGTGCCGCTCCGAAACTAAGACAACCCGCGAATAATGGGTATTTATTGCCGTTGGGATATTGAAGTTCGGTATCATTCATGAGGACCATGTCGAAATTTTCGACTTTGTCGGTAGTAGCCCACGAGCTCGCATCGGTGCCCAGGTGAATAACATCGGCGTATCGCGTCCCATTACTTCCAACACCGGTCATATCAGACGTAAAATAGGGCCCTGATTGGATAGAGATGTTGGGTTTATACCCGGTGCCTTTTGATTCGTCATATATAGCGCCAACTTGCTGCGCATAGCATGGCTGGCCTTCGACTGAAGTATTTCCGCAATAAGCTTCACTGAGAAAGTACGACTCCCACATCTTTCCGGCGTATATCGTGACATCCTGACCGTTACCCAACGTTACCGCAACCGCATTCCAAGGTCCATCTGGGCCTAAGGTTTGATTCGACCACCTTGCTGCTTGAGGAGCTCCATCAACCAATCGCACTGATAATAGGGTTGCCACACTGGCGATCGTGGATAGGAAGGCCTTCATGAGTTCTGCTATTAACCAACCATTTGGGGTTAGGACTTATAGAAATATTCCAAGAAGTCGGAGATAACTATATGCCAGAAATCGAGAATGGAGAAAATTGATCGGCGAACAGAAAAAAAGAGGGTCGAGTATATCTATACGTTGTGTCAGTCTCTTGAGTCGTAAGACCATTTCAACCCAACTTGCTCCTCGAGGCTCAACTAGATGTGGCGGGAATGGCGTCAGCAAGACAAGAGTCAAAACAATAATACTCGCACGGCAATACTCAAGCCGGAGGAGTACTTATTCTTCTATTGACCCTCCGTCTAGAAAACCCCCCTCGAATATCCTTAGCAGGCATTTTTCACGTCTACTAACCCCGTCAACTTGGGCACGAGAGCACCATTACACCCTGTACCTATCGGACGGTCGGTTACCATGGTAAACAATTCAAGCATTGGCGCGGAAGTAGCATTCGGCCCTAGTTAACAGCATCAACCAGATTTTACTGCATCCAGGAATCGATACCGGCCAGTCCTCGTGTTGCGAGGTTTCTAGAAGGGGTTAAGCAACCCTTTCGGCCCCCAACACCCACCCTTGAAGCAATGATGATCGTCGGTACGCTAAGCTTTTCTGTATCTCTCGCGGTCGAATCCCAATCCTATCCACAATTACCGTAGCCGCAAGCTGCTTACGTGAAATCGGTCTTATTAATAGCAGCAGTTTTTGAAATAGACTTCTCACCTCCATCCACTTGAATCCCTGTCGCTTTTTATAATACCGAGGATGTGATAGAGCGGAATCACACAGAGCACCAATTCCGCCGCGCTGCATGTAAGTCGAACAGGGTCGGCATAATAATAAGATGTGACCTATCATTCATTGCATTGAGCCCAACTCGAGACCGACAAATCAAAAGACCCGAGCATTTGTTACCCGTAAGCGATCTGATCAGCGACTCGCACAGAAATGTCGTAGGCGAGGAGGCTGGAGGATCTATCTACAAGCCACCACGTGCTATATAACGTGTCAGTACCTGGTAATAATTAAGGAGGGTGGTAGATTTATGAGAGTCGTGGGGATAGTGACTCGATCCTCATCGGTACTGCATGCACTTACACGTGTCTTGGGTCAGTTAGGTGCAGAGGCTCCCGTCACTGCGGTAGATCTTACAGACAGTCGCTTCGATGACACCCAGTCCCCTTACTCCCTCAAGTGTTTCACCCCACCTAAATCAGCCCGGGGTGCGCTAATTCAGTGAGTGATACCATCAGATCTAAGCCCAGCCTTACCAGTATAGAAGCTGAAATCCATAGGTATTGAATACCTGCCGATTCTACTGTTGTACGTCATACGGAAATTCAGGAGTCGTCCATGGGTCTGGAACTTTTCCACGTGAGATTCGGGCCTTCTTGCTCATCCTAGAAGCCATGCGCTTTCAAATTAAGAAAGTAGTAGACATATCCTGAACTATTCATACTGATTCGCACACATAGCTTCAGCGCCCGCGGAAATACATATGTCTATCCAGGTACTTAGGTACTCAAGATGACGCATATATACCATGTTTCCAGTAGGTAATAAATAGTTCGATTTGCGTATTGATTAATGGTCAGATTTATAAACGATATAACGAATCCTTTGTTAATACTGCCAGGAAAGGGGGAACATACCTACATATGTATATAATATACCTAGGTACAATATGGTACGCAGCTGCTGCCAACCGTCAATGTATACCCATTTGTTCACCCAATAACCTTTATGCGGGTTGCTGTAGCGTAACGTAAATCTCAATATTGGATGCGACTCGACGTCACTCAGTGGACTCAACAAAGGGAGGGGGAAAGAAGCATCGGTGCCCAATTTAGAGCAAACGTAAGTTAAAGTATGTGCTACCTGCACTAGAAAGAAATAGTAGAAGCCTTCCATTGTGATTTAGGTTTCCAACTTCATTTTTAATCCGAAAATGGCTGCGACGGAGTCATCTTATTCGACACCCAAGTGGTGGAAGGAAGCTGGCATGTGGTACAAGCCCACGCGCTGTAAATCAGAACTAATTGTTTAATAGTGGTCTACCAGATCTACCCCGCAAGTTTTCAGTGTCAGGTAGGTAAAGACACCAGGAATCATTCATGCTGAACAATTATTGATTCCATATCATCCGAGGGAAAAAGCCTGGCGTAACTTCAGGATGGGGCACTATCAAGGGTATTACCTCTCGACTTGACTACTTGAAATCGTTGGGTGTAGATGTGGTCTGGTCTTCACCCATTCTCAAGTCCCCGCAGGCCGATATGGGGTACGACATTGCCGATTACAAGCAGATTGACTCGCGGTACGGGTCGCTTGAAGATGTCGATGAGCTTATCGCCGAGTTAAAGAAGCGGGATATGAAACTCATGATGGATTTGGTGGTAAACCATACGAGCAACGAGCATCCATGGTTTCTCGAGAGTCGTGCGGGTATCGAAAATCCCAAGCGCAGTTGGTACATCTGGAAAAGGCCGAAGAGCATTGGTCCCGATGGCGTACCAGAGCCACCTAACAACTGGGCGCAGATTCTTGGCGAAGCTAATTCGGCTTGGACTTACGATGAAAAGACTGGCGAATTTTATCTCAGTCTTTTCACACCAGAACAGCCTGATTTAAACTGGGAAAATCCGGAGGTCAGGGCGGCCATCTGGGATGTGATGCATTTCTGGAGTATGTGCCAATTTTCTTTGGTTCCACGACAGCCCCCTTCTACCCCGCGATTAGGTCGTGGGAAGCTTGAAAATGCGAAGAACTATTTACTCGTAATTGCGAGCATATATGTTGACGACTTATTTAGTGGCCCAAGGCGCGTCCGGTTTTCGAATGGACGTTATTAACCTAATCTCTAAGGTTCCTGGTTATCCGGATGCTGACATCGTCCTTGGTCCCGGCCACAAATACCAACCAGGGACGAAGTATTTCGTTAACGGACCAAAGCTACACGACTACCTACGAGAGATGTACCAAGAGGTACTGAGTAAGTACGATACGATCACGGTGGGTGAGATGCCCGGCGTCAGCGACGAGAAAGAGATTCTGCGAAGTGTTGGTTCCAATTCCGAAGAGCTGAGAATGATCTTCATATTCGACTTGGTGGACATCGATAAACCTAATGTTAGGATGGCCCTGAAGCCATGGGACGTCAAAGAGATGAAGTCAATTATTACGAGGTGGCAACGGGTGATGATAGATCACGATGGATGGAACTCGGTGTTTATTGAAAACCACGACAATCCGAGATCGATCTCGCGATACACAGACGACAGCGATGAATGGCGGGTGAAGGGTGCCAAGCTTCTCTCACTTATGCAGACCACCCTCGGGGGCACCCTTTTCGTCTACCAAGGCGAGGAGATAGGCATTCGCAATGCTCCCACCACGTGGGATATTTCCGAATTTAAGGATATCGAAACCATCAACTACTGGAAGAAGTGCGAGAAACTGTACGCGAACGATAAGGAGAAGCTTGCTTACGCCCGGAAAATTATTGACATGAAGGCACGCGACCACGCACGAACCCCAATGCAATGGAGCGCAGGGGAGAACGCGGGTTTCTGCGACCCGGGTACGAAGCCGTGGATGAGAGTCATGGATGATTATAAGTCCATAAATGTCGAGGCTCAATTGAAAGCAGATGACCCCAAAGAATCCTCCGTTTGGCAATTCTGGCAGGAGGCATTGAAAAGCAGAAAGGAGCATGCCAATGCTTTCGTATACGGAGACTTCCAGGAATTATCCCCAGAGCATTCAGAGATATATGCTTATGTTCGAAAAAGAGTGGAGGGCGTTCGTTGGCTTGTTATCCTCAACTTTTCTAAGAAGGAATTGGAATGGGAATTTCCTCAGGGGGTTGAGATCGAAGCCTGGGCCATTAGCAATTACGTGAAAGGTATTCCGGACAAGCCAAAGCAGTCATCCGTAACCCTGAAGCCATGGGAAGGAGTTCTGGGCAAGTTGAAGTAGAACATGAGGTCGACTTTTTGGGAGAGCCCGAAAGATACAGATTCAGAACTAGAGTGCTCACGAAAATATCCGTGAAATATCGATGCGCGTCAGCTTACGTATTCGAGTTCACTAATCTCTTCGTACCCCAACATTGAAGCCGAGGTCATCGCACCGCTAGAATATCATGCATAGGGTATTTTAATCGTATCTTCATAATTATATCAACAAAAACAACCGTCTAAGCAGTGCATTGTGTCGTTGCCATCCCAGTTCAAATAATTATGAATACCCGGATATCGCATATAAGGTAATCAAACACAGCGATCTTCAGAATATCTCACTGGCCTTAGTTGTCTAGTGGGCTGATAACGGGATCCCAACACACGGGTGCGTATACATCGAACTCTAGTTTGCCCATATCCTCTTTAGAGAGTTCAAAGTCGTATATCTGGGCATTCTCCTTGATTCGGGAGGGTGTGACGCTCTTGGGCAGTGGGATATAGCCCTTCTGCAGACTCCATCGGAGGAGGATCTGAGCCTCAGTCTTTCCGTATTTCTTGGCGAGGTCGACTAGGACTGGCTCGCCGAATCTCTGGCCGCGTATGACGGGAGCGTATGCCTCGACAGCGATATTGCGTTTGGTGGACCATTCAACAATGTCATTTCGAGGACACCAAGGGTGAATTTCCCATTGGCCGACTGAGATAACTCCGCCCTTGCCCTTACCACCTCGCTCAGCTTCTAGTTCCGCAATGTACTTTTCTAGCTCGTCTAGGTGGTGGACACCGTAGTTACTAATACCAATAGATCGGACTGCGCCTTGTTAGTGTGGAAAAAGAAGAACCGGGAGATTGAAACATACTCTTGCCCTCTTCGACAGCCTCGACGAGCGCCTTCCAAGCTCCTTTTCGCGCTTCTGAGCCACCATATGGCGAGTGGATAAGCATTAGATCAATGTAATCGAAACCCGACGTTTTCAAGCTCGTTTCCACTTGTTTCTTGGCACCCTCGTAGCTCATGCCACTGCTCGGAATCTTGGAGGTAAAGTAGATTTCAGATCGTGGCAGCTTGCTAAATCGAACGGCGGCACCACATCCAGCCTCATTGCGATAAGCAGCGGCTGAGTCGATATGGCGGTAGCCATTACCTAATGCTTCGAGGGATGCTTTCTCGGTTTCTTCGGGTGGACTAAGAGACGGCGGGTAAGGAGGGGTCAAGTCTATTAAGACATAGGTTAGACAATACTGGACTCACGTTTGGTATACCTATAAGGCATTAGCTTAGAGTGTCTATGGTAATATAGGTAAGTACTTACTCCGAAGCCCAACCGGGGAATCTCATAGCCACTGTTTAGCTTAAAAGTGGAATTAATGCTATATGTAGCCATGGTTCTGATTCTATTTAGAAGAGTGGCCAGTTAGCTTAGCATATTCGGGATATCCAATTGGGACATCGGAAAAGCATAGGTTGTATACCTAGGCACGGAATAACGAGAACCCAAGGCAAGTTTCACAGACGATAAGAGGGACATTTATCAAGTGTAGGTAAATTGAGATATATTAAGTGATGTTTGGTATGAAGTGAATGGTATACTTGCCTTAGCTGGTTCTCCTGGTTTAGAGATAGGAGGGGCTTCTTTTTTCGGTAGTGATATAATAAGTGATACCCACGGCTTCTCTTATTGTTGTATTTGTTTGAAGAGGGGAAGAAAAGAAGGCGTTGAGGGAAACATTGAACTCCGAGGAGGGATAGCTAGTATTTATACGTGTTTGTCTACACCTAAGTAGCCACCTACGTACAGTAGATGCATGAATAGATGATTATATATCAAAACTCTTGTCGGCGTTTGCTTAAGCTAAGTCCGCAACTCGCCCGTCCTTAAGTCCTATAGAAGTGGATTTACATTGTAGAGAGGGTGGGTAGGGAGGGTAGAAAGGAGAGAAGAAAGGATGAGTAATTGAGTAGATCAGGCCTTACTATGTACCGCCGGCGGGGGTTAATTAGTCTTGGTTACACTAGGTTTATTGGCGCTTTGTTAGTAAAAGCAATGATGCACTGATACATGTCCTTCTATAGACGTCACTGAAACTTAATAATTGCCTCGAATACTCACGGACGGATTTAGGTATCTACCTAGGTACCTGGGTACATGCACGGATACCCCTGTCCATTTTCTATAATGGATCTCAAGCGCTATGGCCACCCCTTTCGATCCACCTTACTAAATTCACTAAGTAATAGCTTAGTCCCGCGTACGAAACTTAACAATGGCGGGGTTGAGGGGCACTTCAGCTGTACTTAGATCCATTTCTTTTTTATTCTACAGCTAGCTTGAGCTTCATCATCTTTATTGTATTTACGTATAATTCACGGACTTATTGTATTTGTTGATCATCTACATTCAACTCATAATACTCTTTCTTTTAACTATAAATATAATTGGAATATACGCGCACTTTCCATACCATATCAACCTTTGCCTATACGCGACACATTCATCAACCATGCAGCTTGTCGGATCTAAGGCGTCGCAGCGCCTAGACGAAATGGGTGAAGGAAGCGTCACTTTGCTTCCCATCGAGCCAGAAGACATGGTAAGTTTGTATCTATCATATTGAATGCAGTTTGACGTTTTATGCATATCTAGGTATATTTAATCGATCATATTTAGCTAATTTATTTAGTGGCACGCAAATAATTTAATAGGGCCCGAAGATATCGTCAAGGCACATGCCATCCGCAAAGTGGTGACGGAATCGAAAACCGGCAGCACCATGTCCGAACGGGTACATACCGATCTTACAATACGCGTAACTTCTACCTTCTTTGACCCCGGCGCGTCGCAATTACATGTCTCGGGCACCGTCATCGTTGAGAATAGCATTGTCAGCCTCGGTCAATACCACACCCTCGATCTTGAACTAAACCGGCCTTTCACACTATGGAAAAAGTACGGGTGGGACTCAGTTGCGAAAGAGACGCTCTCGGATGCGCTGAAGCAAGACAAAGAGGGTGCCGTAGCTGCCGTTGTGATGCAGGAAGGTATCGCAAATATTTGCCTTATTACCGAGTACCGTACCATACTCAAGCAAAGAGTGGAGAGCACAATACCTAAAAAGCGATCGAGTAGTTCCGAACAAGACTCGGGCATGAAGCGCTTTTTCGAGAAGACTTTAAGTACATTGGTCCGCAGTATAGACTTTTCCATACCCCGGCCACTGTTACTAGCCAGCCCCGGATTTGTCGCTGGTGATTTCAAGAAATACATATCGGAGGAGGGGAGTCGAAGAACCGACAAGACGCTGATAGCCATGGCCAAGGAGGCGACGGTGGTACATTCGAGCTCGGGGCACTTACACAGCCTTAACGAGATTCTCAAGAGCACCGAAGTCACGGCTACTATGAAGGATATGAAGTTTTCCAAGGAAACAAGATTCATGGATGACTTCTTCGATAAATTACGAAAAGATGACGGCCGTGCATGGTACGGCACGGCGCCTGTTGAGAAGGCGATTCGAGAGGGTGCTGTTGGAAGAGGAGGGGGCGTATTATTAATCAACAATTCGCTATTCCGAAGTCAAGACATAGCGACTAGGAGAAGATATGTCGCCATGGTCGATAAAGTTAAAGAAGATGGGGGAGAAGCGAGGATACTAAGTAGCGATCATGAGAGCGGGCAGCGACTAGATGCTTTAGGCGGCATAGCTGCTATACTGACATACCCTATACTGGATCTAGACGAGGATGAAGATGAAGGGGATGCAGATGGGCAAGCTGATACCGAAGAGAATATGGTAATATAATTTCTAATACCTACGGCTTCAGTTATTGTTTTTGCAACTTTGCGATTTATGATTTGTTATCGTGATGATCGCCTGAACAACACCCCACTGGTGGTATACCCAACTTGAACCCACTTAGGTATCGATAGATATCAATGATATAGTATTAGCCCCAGTTACATGCACGTAATAAAGTGGAAAATATCTATATGGTTCGTTAATACTTTGCCTATCAATAGCTTGAAATAGGTTGGAACCTTGTGACAATGTAATGATGCAATGACGTACTGGAAGAACATTGAATGACCTGCATGAATCTTTAAAATGTGGACACTACGTCATTTATGCTCCGTTTCTTCGGAATTGTCAATTTCCAACGGTTTAATTATGCTTGGAACATGCCTAATTATGAAAGTATGAAGGGTCCGTTCGCATAACTAACTGGATACAGCGACTTCCATCAACAATTAACTGTCGGATTGCGGCTCGTCGTAACGGTTTAGTGCCGTCCCGTTGTTATCAAGAGTTGCCTAGGTACCGTACTGTAGAAGCTCCAAGCTACGAAATCTCGGTCGCGCCACCCGCGGCATTAAGTCTTTTAGTTTCTCGTCGACAATAATCAATCTTATAATCTTATATCTATAGCTCTTTTGATTTTATATTTTCTTTTTTTTTTTTTTCTATTCCAGTTCATTCAGTTTATAAATATTTTTATTCCCATTTGTCGCAACTTGCTAATTCCAGTAGTCGGAATGGCCAACTATTCTTATATGCTTGAATTTATATTTAATTCTGATTCATGAATGAGACATTTGACCACTTTAATTTGCTTAGGTACAATAACTCCTTTGAACGTCGCGGATGTGACGGAGCTTGCAAGAGACCACGCGCCGTAATATTTAGTAATAAAAACAATAAGATCAAAAATTAGGAAGTACAACTATCCGACGACGTAACTCCAAGCTCGATATACTTCACGATAGATACAATATACGCGACGATTATTACTATCATTCCCCACACGCGTGCGCGCGCAGCACCACACCCTGCCACTCTTCCTACAAAGTCGATCGAATCTTGGCCTCCGCTAGATAATGGAAAATGTCGGCCTCTCCACCTGCGACCGAGGTCGTCCGTTCTCACCAAGATGATCTGTCGTCCGTTATCCACCCAGCCCCAAAGACAAATCAAAATGGATTAGAGTCCCTTCGAGATCTAGGAAGGTCGCAAACTTCCTCTGACGATCCGAGTATGTCGCTGCCTGCTACCATTTTTCCCTTGTCATCTCGTATTTTTCGTAAATGATTCGCAGCGCTTTCATGTCCGAGCCCCTCCCTTTTCGCTGACGTGCCATCATATTTAGGCAGCAGCACTCAGCTCGCCGGTCACGGAAAGAAAGGGGTTGCAAGACTTTCGCGACGAGATACAGCGGGGAAAGATGCCAAAGACAAGAAGGAATCGGATACCGGCACAAGGGCTGGCCAAGTCACGCCTTCGCCAGCCCTTGACCCGTTGTCTCACGTACGTCTTGTCTGTTGCTATTCGCCAATCGTGAAGCTGACTTACATATCAATCGCAGCATATCTTCGTAAGAACCAATACCGACCGCTCCATCGCATCACGATTTCGCAGTTCCGGACGACCAGACAGCCCTGCCAATGAAGCCCTACCTCGACCTTCCTCCGACCTCTCTGCTAAGCAGGTCGTCCCCCAACCTGACCTACCTATTAGGAGGTGTGTTTCCAAGACTAGATCGATGGACTTATGATGCCATGCTAACGGGTTCGTTTATTAGGAAGGGTGGATTCCTTAGTCGTCTCAGTATGATTGGTGGGAGAAAGAAAGAAGGTGGCATTCAAGACGACGAATCAGAAATTAGCGAATTGAGAACTGAAGGCGCAAATGCTGTTGCTTTTTCCTCTGCCATTGGCGCCGGTGGTTATATTCCTCACCATAAGGAACCGCCGCGATATATCAAGGTCAGGGCGCAGAATAAGAAAATAAAAGAGTTCAATCGCATGTTCCTTGCGCAGGAGTTAGTGAGAACACAGCAGGTTGCTAAAGATGATCAAAAAAAGACAACAAATGGAAGTGGTGCGACTCAGGGGCCCGATAAAGATGAAACGGAATTGGGTGGTCCTATATGGGCTATCGAGTTCAGCAGGGACGGTAGATACCTAGCTACCGGAGGCCGAGACCGAGTTGTACGCATATGGGCAGTAATCGCAACAGAAGAGGACCGCAAGGCAGACGAAGAGGAAGAAAATGCTACAAGCGACAAAGAAGAGCGCCTGAGTGCACCCGTCTTTCGCGCGAAGCCAGTCAAGGAGTTCATTGGTCACACGGGTGACATTCTCGACCTCAGCTGGAGTAAGAACAATTTCCTTCTTTCTTCATCGATGGATAAGACTGTTCGTCTATGGCATATAAGTAGACAGGAATGCTTGTGCACGTTTAAACACAAGGATTTCGTCACTTCTATTGCCTTCCATCCTCGTGATGACCGATTTTTTTTAGCGGGCTCTCTTGATTCATATCTACGCCTATGGAGCATTCCAGATAAAGCTGTTGCCTATTCCAGTCAGCTATCCGACTTCATCACCGCTGTTGCCTTCTCTCCTGATGGGAGGACTGCAATAGCTGGATGCCTAAATGGCTTCTGTATGTTTTACGAGACCGAGGGTCTCAAATACCATACTCAGATCCATGTACGGTCGTCTCGAGGCAAGAACGCCAAGGGAAGCAAGATCACCGGGATTGAAACAATGATGTTCCCCCCAGATTCTCAAGATGGTGTGGTCAAGGTCCTCATCACCTCGAATGACTCACGTATTAGGATCTATAATCTAGGAGACAAGAACCTCGAATTGAAGCTTAAGGGCCATGAAAATGCATGCAGCCAAATAAGAGCCACATTTAGCGATGATGGCAATTACATCATATGTGGAAGCGAGGATAAGAGGGCATTCATATGGTCAACTAGTACGAGACTAGCTGAAAATAAGGAGAAGAGGCCTTGCGAATACTTCGAAGCTCATTCGAATATTGTCACCGGAGCTATTTTTGCCCCGACAACAGCGCGACAACTTCTACAATCATCCGGCGATCCCATATTCACACTTTGTAATCCTCCGCCTATAACATTGCTCAGCAAGGATGAATCCGCTGTAAATAAAACGGCTGAGACTCCAGATACACAATCGGAAACCTCAGCCAAGGTTAGAAGGCCCGATGAGTCTCCTGGATTTATTGCGCGTTCAACCCATTACGATGGTAATATCATCGTGACAGCCGACCACGCCGGCTTGATCAAGGTATTTCGCCAGGATTGCGCTTTTACCAAGCGTCGTCACGACAACTGGGAGACCGGGTCGACATTCTCTAGAAAACTTGGAAGAGACAGTTTACTGGGCCGAAGCGGCAGCATAGTCACGCGGATGAGCGGTGGCAGCCGAGATCCCCACTCTCGTCGGGGCTCACTCACTCAACCGCCACAGGGAATTTTCCAGGTGAACTCGGACCGAATTAATACATGGCGACATGGCGTAGAAGGCCACCCAGGCAGGCCGGTCTCGGTAACAATATCGACACCCGCCCGCAGCGAGCGATCTTTGTCTCCAAACAAGGCAGCTCGAACTCCTGTGAATTCTGCTTCAGAAGCTAGAAGACAACGTTACGCAAACACGCCAGTTACAAGCGTTCCAACGAGCCCGGTCCCCAGCACACAAACCACGCAATTGTCCCAAATGAGTAGAGCTAATCACCGATCAAGTATACAAGAAGCGCCAGTGCCACCAACTCCGAGTTTCTCTTTCCGGTCATTGGGTGAAGAAGATGAGGATGAGCTTCGCTTAGACCCCGCCGGCGCTAGTTATTCATTTTGGAATTTAAACAAATGGCGAAATATCGCACCGCTGCAAAATAGTAGAAATAGCGGGTCTGCGCTTGGGTCGAACTTGGTTCATCATCGCTCTGCCAGCACGGCAGCAACTTCAGACGCGACGGTAGCTAAGGATAATCGGCGGAAGAGCATGGTAGGTGACGCCGAAGAAGCTGGAGGTAACAGCCAAACAGAGAAGTCCAGCCGGCGGAAGAGCGTACCCGCCGGGGCGATACTAGCTCGAGAACAAGATGGAAATAACCACTTGGTATCCCCCAAACTTACAGCCCCTTCAGCTGATTCCGATGCTAGTCGCCTGAGCTCAGAACTCACTAGCGACGACGGTGAGGATATGCAATGCCCCTCGTGTGGCAGCCGAGATTTCAGGGCAAAGAAAATCAGTGGCAAGCAAAAGCTATTGTGTGGCAAATGTGGTCGCGCGGTTAATTGATGAGTCTACAGTTGATGGATGATGGAATTTTCTCTTCTTCGTGGATTCTGAAAAAGTTGGAGGATATACCATTTGAATTGGGCTAACACGGAAGGTCGTTAGGAGGAGTATACTTGGACTGGCTGCATATATGGATGGCATTGTGAACGGTATCTTTTCTCAGACGACTCGTCTTGGTATTGGGGTTGAAGGAGATTTTTCTTTTTTTGTGAACGTTGGTCATATAACCAGAGATACCACGATATATTTGAAGCAACCGGAACTTGTATTCTAGGCATTCCCATTTGATGGGTGGGAGTAACATATTCATTCGCATTTTGTCTCAACTCCGCTTCGAGGCATCAAGTTTCACTTGGATCCTAACTTCACTCCGCGAAATTAGGATATTATTCCATATCGACACAATCCTCTTTTAGGGCTATCAACCTAACCAACCCAAAAGGGTGACGAGAGGTTCGGTTGGGAAGGATGCATCGATCTTTTCTTAATAGAAGCATTATAGACAACCCATTCGCTGGATATTTCACTCTCGTAGTCAATAATACCCCTTTATCATGTTACGTTACTTAGCCTTTGAGAAAAAAAATCTCGACGATTGAGCCAGTGTTGGCTGGCTCGAGGTTGTGTGTGTGACTGAATCCTCGTATGAGCACGCCATCTAATCTTACATGCCTGGTTACACACATACCTACTCACATGAGATACTAGACTCCTCCCACCAACCAAGAGACTTTTGTCACTCTTTCACCGGGTGTACCTTATGCCTGTTAGGTAATTTCTACTTTGTGTGACATCGAGCCTAGCAGAACTACATAACAGAAGAATCGCGGTGCTACAGTATCATTTATATCAAGTGGCTTTCTACGGAGTATATCGTATGTGCTGATAATGATGTCATGGCACTTCTAGTTGGTTTCCTATTTAGTAATATGCTGTCTTGTTAGAGGGATTTCTCGGGCTCTAATTTCCCTTGTCGAGATAATGGTTCGGAACAGGATCATGAAATGAGTAAGTTGTGATGAGTCGCATGACATTGCTGGCCCCCAATCTGTACCTCTATAGGTATAAGACATAGTGGGGGAGCAGTATTGAGAAAATGTGATAGATCATACTCCGACCCCATAAAGGAGATTGGGTTGTGCGTATTGAACGCCACTACCGGACACATACGTAAGCAGTAGAACAGAAAGGGAAAAGAAATGCCACCCTAGATTCTCATCAGAGATAGCTCGGAGTATTAATAATCACACCCCTAGATAAGTCTGGTCCGCATCCCCGGAGCATAGAACTTGAGGGGTTGGGGTTGGCCTATCAACTTTTCCACAGGTAGGCTTCGCAGTCGTACCTCTCCGACTGCTCGAGAATCGGCGGAATCCGAGTCTCCAGATCTCGGAGTGATTATTATAGCCAACTCGGCTATCGTTCTATATCGCGATTAATATCTAGATCCAAATCGATATTTACCTGTATCAAGTTGATTACAACACGAGCTGGATTATAATGAGAGTCATAGCCGGGACGCAAATAATAAGGTACGTGTGGCGCCACCAGTATTGATCCCGCATTCCTGCAAAACCACAGACTCGCGGCTCTGCTTACATTTATCCCGCTTAAGCTGTAGTCATTTTATAGTGGAAAAGGTGCCCAAGCGAAGCTGCAATGCAACGTTCTATACCTCCTTACGCCCCAATCACGCATGTCAGGACGTTGGGCTAATGTTGCTATATCGATCTTAGTCCATAAGCACCAGTTTATACTCCGAAGTGGCGGGGTTATAACGGCTATGTAATCTTGGCATCTGCGCTCGCTTCGATTAAGGCCTATGTAGGATACTCCCGTAGGTACTCGGCCGACGATGCCGACCTAGCCCCTAACCGTGCCGGGTATGGAGCTGAAGAATTAGTCTCTGAAGTTTCGATCTTGGCAGGGCACCTAGCTCGATCCTAAACCACTTCGCGACTAATAATTTCGTTTACACGTCTGCCTGAATGTGGGACGAAAAACAGACCATCGCCGGTTATATTCGTTGGCAAATTTACTGGCTTTTAGTGTACCATATCTACCATAGTCATGTTGTCTAGCGCTATTCGAAAACCCATGACTACATACTTCTCAGCAAGTTTTTTTTTCTCTTGATTCTGACTTCGCTCCGCGAATCAGACGCGCGGTCATGACCCCAGGAACCGGGCAAGAAGCGTTGCATTTGTATCTTACGGTCCACGCATCCGGAAACCCGGCGATCCATGATTTTATCTCTCGTCTAGTTATTGGTCCGGCAACGCGGACACATCTTACGAGCCTAGTAACAACCACTTAGAGACATCTAGTAATTCTATTATTGGACTTGTCCTCGTTTTGTGGACTCCAATGTTACCAATGCCCCTAAACTTATGCACCTGGGGAAGACGTGGTAGAAGCGGATAAGCTAACGCAGGCGTGAGCAGTTCGACACGCCGATTTGAATGTTAAACGAGACCGATGTTGATGATTTTACATAACTCTACCCCGGGAAATTCGGCTGTGGCGCTTCGGTACCCTTGTTAGCGGATCCTCATGATGCAGTGAGTCTGGGGTGGGAATTTGTGATACAAGATGCTTAAACTCGATTGCCTATGGGCTGCTCTCGGCTATGCCTTAGGTTGACTGCTAAGTGACGTCCTAGGCCAATGGCGGAGAGTGTTTTCTATATTAAGGGGGTGAGGTACCTCATGAGCTTGGTCCCGACCGTGGTCTACTATTTCCTGAGATTAGGAAGACGGCACCGGAAGGGATAGACACACAGAACTCCTACTATCTACAGCGAGGAAAGATGATCTCTGCCTGGGGACTCGTCGCCTCGGCCATTGGGCTTTTAGGCCTAGCTCTTGCTGATACTTGCTCCACTATTAGGGACATTTCCAACATTGACGTTACCAGTCCTCTTGATCTATCATACCTCGATGAGCAAAGCGATTATTGGTCTACTTCTTGTGCTGCCTTAAAACCTTCCTGTATAATATTCCCCAAAGTTGCTGACGAAGTAGCTGCCATTGTGAAAGTTCTTAACAACAACACTGAGAACTTCGCTATCAAGTCAGGTGGCCACAACCCTAACAATGGGTGGTCAAGTGTCCAAGGCGGCCCTCTCATCTCTACTCAAAAGCTAAAGCAGGTTATCCTAGATCAAGAGACGGGTATAGCTAAGGTCGGGCCGGGCCAACGGCTAGACAGCATCTCGGCCGAACTACAAGGGACAGGCTGGACATTCGTCGGTGGCCGCATCGGCAACACTGGTGTCGGAGGCTTAGTACTTGGCGGTGGGCTCAGCTACATGTCAGCACAGTATGGTTGGGCTGCTTCATCCGTTTTGGAATATGAGATTGTGCTGGCCAATGGCACCATCGCAACAGCATCTGCCACTCAAAACGCCGACCTTTTCAGAGCTCTTAAGGGAGGCGGTAACAACTTCGGTATTATAACCACCTATACCCTCCAGTTATACCGACAAGGCGATATCTTTGGTGGAAACCTCGTCTTCCTTCGTACCCCTGAGACAGACTCCAAGATGCTTAAGGCCGTCAGGGACTTCACCGATTACAATGAGGACGATAAAGCGGCAGTTATCGTCACAGCAGAACGTGGCAACATTGATCTCATTGATACCTGGATCCTCTTCCTCTTTTACGATGGGATCGACGTCCCTGAAGGAACTTTCAAGAACTTTACAGACATTGGACCGCTACTAGACACTACTAAGGTCCAAACATATGCCGACCTTATCGGCGGAAGCAATTGGGTCATCGTTAAAGGCTCTGTCGTTCAGATTGGAACAGAGACTATTCCAATGCCATCGGCCGAAAACGGCGTGAAAGTCATGGAAGGCATACATTCGCATTGGCGGAACATAACAGATACAGTTTTGTTAGAACCTGGTGTCATTGCTTCGATCGCGTACCAGCCTTTCCCCAAGCGAATTGCCCAAGCTGCGAAGGAAAGAAGTGTAGACTTGATCGATGCTGAAGATGATGCCCAACGTCTTATCCTCGAGCTCAACTATAGCTTCTTGCCACAGGGTGACTACGACAAAATGGACCAGGTCCTCCAGAATACTGTAAGAATCCCTTTGAGATAATACTTCCTATAACTGAGAAGTAGCGCTTGCTAACTATATGGTGACATAGTACGGCGGTGTACGTGATCGCGTAGTTGGATGGCAGCAAGATGGGACGTTACCAGACATATACCTCCCCATTTTCATGAACTATGGATTCCATCAGCAAGATTATTTCTCTAGGCTCCTCCCGGAGAACAGAGCATTCGCCCATTCGGTATCAGAGAGTGTAGACCCGGATGGATTCTTCCGTACAAGGATAGGAGGGTGGAAGCCTTAATACCACCGATCTCCTTTTCATAATATGTACCTGGCATAAAACTTCTAATCCCACCACAGCTCCCTATCTGGTTACTATATAGTGTGTTCTGCCGAGAGTATGGATGTGTCTAAATAACTATAATATTAATATATAGTATTCATTCTTGAAGGCTATTTACCTACATTGTCAATGTAAATAGTATGTATCCGTACGTATCCTACAACAACTATGGTCGATTACGGAGCAATATACAACTCTATAGCATCCAAATCAGTCATTATCCCACCATGACTCAGTCATCGTGGTTTTCCGTACTAGTTTTTTTCAACCTAGGCCACTGAGGGCGAACCAGAAATTCCTCTGGATTGGATTATTTAATCATAATATTTCTGTTTTATTTGTACTCGTATCTATGATTGCGGAATTGGAATGATTAGACAAGAAAATATGTATGCTGTTTAATTGCTGCGTTTTTTATTTTTATTTTTTTCATTTTTTGGATAGTAGACTGCAACGATCACAGACTTGCCTGGTGTCTCTTAGATTTATCAACACAACTCAAATTTATTATTAGCAAAACTAACACTTTAGTAATACACTCTCTCATAATTCTACGAATCGTAAACGAAAGGTGGACGAGCGTATGGCTAGAAATGATGTTGTAAACATTAAGGATGGGAAACAATGCAGCGAGTTGATACTTGTAAATCAACGGCAATAGACACGTACTTTCAGGTAAGAAATTCCGGGAAAAAAATTTTTATATAGAAATAGAAGATCCACCAGCAATAGGAAAACGGGAACTAATAAAAAAAAGTTGGTTGTATGACGATGTTAGGTCCGATGCGGAGGATTAAGCAATATAGATCCTAATTAATCAAAAATTTTTCATTCAAGCGGGGTTAGCTCAGCTGGGAGAGCGTCAGACTGAAGTCCACTTCAATCATCGAGGTAAATCGGTATCTGAAGGCCGTGCGTTCGATCCGCACACACCGCAATGAATTTCATTTTTGCTTTTTTTTAATTGATTTTTCCTATTTTTAGCTAAATTCAATTGCTCAGTTTCGTCATGTATAAATTTTGTGCAAATATACCTGTGGGGTTAAATTCGCAGGTTAAAAATGGATACATATCCCGTCTCCTTTTTCAGGGCTCATTGTCTATTTTCCCACCATCATTTATTTCATACTCATAGACATAACATAATTGTTATTATTTTATCATAATATTTATCTCATTTCTTACCATTACATTCCACCGGACCTGACTTCAAGTCGACTTCAAAATATCCGTGAAACAAAAGGAGGCGGATGTGGTATGAGGATTATATACATTGTGGCCATATTCAAGATAAATACATTCGAATAACTCGGAATGGGTTAGGCTAGGATTCTATACGAATCTTATACGCCTTCATTATTATTCCTTTCGCACCATTCGTTAGTCGTCTTGTCCTCTGTTCCCTATATATTCTCTATGATTACACTCTCCCTCCCTACCTGCTTCCGACTGCGTCCCTCTTCATGTCGATGTACTGGGGGTACTTCAAGCTCACGACCTATCCATCCCGAGTCAAGTTCTCTGGGTTGGTGGCCGTCAAGTTCATATCGCTCGTTTATTTTATAGGAAGGAGTTCCACTTCCGTATATGCCGCTGCTCGAGTCATACGGGGACCGCGAGTTGTCGGTTTCGGGGGAAACTAGAATATCCTTGTTCCATTCTTGTCGGTATTCTTCTTGTATCTGGGGTTGTAGAGAGGGGGGTTGGTTTTTCTTCTGGCGATATCGACGTAGCAGGAATAAAAGAGCCATTAGAATAGCTATGAGGCCCACGACACTACCGACAACAATACCAGCTATTGCGCCACCAGAGAGCTTAGCTGAATGTGACTAGATTACCTTATTTTTAGTATTATAGCGATACCCGAACAGGTACTTGGTTGTGTCGTAGACTCACGTCATTGGTCGATGTTATTTGGAAGCCGTCTATGGGGTGCGCATAGGCTTGGTCGGTAGAAGCTGAGGCTGTCCACTATAGATAACAGGTTAGCACGTCTAGGTAACCCTCTGGCAGCCTCGGAAGATAAATCCTTGGTTGTGGATTTTGTCTTCGAAGAGAGAACACATACATCTAGCGCCCTCGTAACACTAGCGCTATCGTACGCCGTCACCTTAACGGTTTGTCCGGATTGAAAGTTGCTATAGCAGGTTCCTCCGTACGCCGGTCGGTCCCCATCTACGGTGGTGTCGGGGAGATGGAGCTGAAAGCCACTGCGCCTATTGTTAGATCGATTGTGGCAAATACTAACTTGCATGTTCACTTACGACGTGCAACATGCAATATATCCACTTGTCCAAGTCCCCGCGGTAGTCCAGCCCTCGGGGCAAACCAATGGCGAGAACACGGGAGCAATTGAACTCGAGGCGTTATACACCTAACGCTTGTCAACGAGGAACTTCAAACCCTCCATGTTCAAGAGTATGCGCATAACGTGGAATGACAGAGGCCTAATCGAGTTCCGTTACATACTACGTAGATGCTTATGTTAGCATATAGTACGACGACATAGAACACATTCGTCGTATCTCACCACTTGTATATCCAGCGATAAAGTCAGATGGGTAACAATCCCCAATTTTAGAGCCAGGTACCGGCTGGGGTTCATTCAACCATATCTGATATCCCGGCGAAGATAGCTGGGTGAGTTGCATCTCTCCACATGATGCCGGCGGGGTGAAGGTAGTTGTCAACGGCTTCACCGTAACTGTGAGGATCGAGACTGCCGACGCTATGGCTGAGCTCGCTGCCGCGGGCACTGAAGTAGCCGAGGCTGCCATGGTGGAGTAGAAAATCCAACGACCGCAGAAGAATAATAAAAATCGTGAAAGATTACCTACTCATGGTAAGAGGAGTAAAAGGTGATTACGTTACGGAGCGACGGAGAAACCTAGTCGTCGTGTGTTTAGAAGGATTGGGTCTAGCCATTGCGTGCTAAGATCATATACAGAGGTACTAGATGGTATTGAGGCGCAAACGTGCTATACAAGGTACTTTTGAGTTGAATAAGGCGATCCTGTCGGAGGTCTGGCCTGTGATCTAGCAAGGGCCTCGAAGCCAATAGAGGAAGCTCTGCCCGAGGCAGGGGATGCAACCCATCTGCGTAATGGGATCTCGGAGTACCTAGTCAGTGTAATGAATTCGACCTGGCCTCCCCTACGGAGTTGGGTATCGTGAGACCTTAGTGTTGTATTGGTGGCGTTCAGCACGGATTGAGGTGCAGATGGGAACCTGGCCCCTCATTTGCCAGGCCAGCCATCCGAATCCTTCAGCTATATTTTCGCGTAGAATACTACATCGATCCTGTTTTACCTAGCTCCTTTCAGCCACGTCGCGTTTCAGTTCTCGTATAGGAAGCTTTCCTTCACCGGTGTCGGGAATAGATGAATATCCTCCAAATCCGCACGACCAGAAATCATCTCGGTGGGATCGAGACGTAGGTGTATTTGTATATGTATATGCATACAACCATCAGAGCACGTGTGACCGACATATATTACAACCCCAAGAGTTCTCCAGTAACATCTAGAAGAAGACTCCGCGATTCACCTATATTATATTACGAGGCGCCAGCAAGTCCAATAAACACGCGGTGCTCGCGTGACACCATAAGCCACCTCGGACATTACCAGGCGGCAATGAATGGCGAGTGGCGACGTGTGAAAACGCACTCGTTGAGTGTTGAGATCCGTGAAATAAATACCATCAACTGATGAGCCGAAGGTAAGCTCCCAAGCGAAGTCAGGGTTTCAAGCCATACATATCTTATATCCGTCGATATTTCAGCCAAGCTTACACATATCGGTCGGTATAGGTTATGTTGTGATTACCATTCCATTATGGTTCCATGATTTCTTTAAATAAAAAATGCCATACCACAAGGGTCGTAGTATGATAGATATTCTTACAATAATAGTCGATATCTATACACATGGTATTCAAAAAAAATGCCTGCATTTCATAAAAGTTACCATCAAGCTCGCCAAACGGGTTACGAGTGCCAAAACAGTGAACTGCCATTGAAATTTGCTACTTAATATCCAAATCTGAGGCACCACCACGGTAGTTTGCGGAAACATCATATCATGATTCGTGAAATCATGCCAGGCAAGCCGCGAGGCTCTTGACCCGACGGCTTTTGTCCGCTAATCGTAGTCATTTTATCCCACAATTCCCATAAAGCAACCTCAACTAACCAAAGCGCTTGTTGTTAATTGACCTTAGGGAAACGAAGCACTCGAAGAAGCAAAAAGCAATCTCAGAGCAAGGCGTTCTGCGAAATCAATATAGCTCAAGCTTTCGAGGGTATCTTTCCTTCCAATTCCAGTCCATCACAGCCTTTCTCGCGTCCTTCCAAGACGGAGAATAAACAAAGGAAGAAATCATGTCGTGAGACGAGACTCATGTTCGAGTACATGTAAGTCTTACCCCAAGCCAGAGGGGCTTAACTCCGCCACCTAACAAATACGAGAAGGAAAAATAAAGAAAAGAGGTTGCATAAGGAAAGAAATGCGCAAAGCGGCTTTCAACGTACATACTACGCCATATTCGACAGTTTCTTCCAAAGAAATTGGTAACGGGGAAAGGATCCCATCTACTCCGCCTTCGTCCTCGTCTTCATTGATCGTCTTAGACGAATTACAAGCCGCTTCATCTAGCTAACAATCAGGCGGAATACATCTAGTACCCTTGCCCATCCATTGGATGATTGAATGTAGGGGGGTGGTCCATCGCCATAAACTCAAGCAAGTCAACGCCTCCAACGTTGACTCCTTGGTCCGTCATTGTTACGCTAGAATTCTCTCCCATATTCTGGAACAGGGCCGGGCCCGGCGGGAGGTACCACATTTGATCGTCGGCAGTCCAGTCAGCACCTGATTCAAATATGTTGTCGCCCATATTGGAGGTTTCTAGAACATTGCCGCTTAGGGCGGGTGTGGCAGGTCCAAATACTGAAGCCGAACCGGCTGGGTAAGGAAAGTTGCCCACTGTCAAGTCAAAAGGCGTCGCCGACACATTGCCTGATGGAGTAGAAGAACGCTCTATGGGGATTTGTTAGCTTCGCTTAAGGGTATGCAGCCAAGTGTATGGTTATGTGAAACTTACTAGGAACAACGAGTTCTTCCTTAACCTTAGTATGGCTTAGGTATCCATTTTCACCTCCGTTAGGTTGGAGATGTCCATTCGTGGTGACGACTTTACTTGTTTCGCCATTTGGACGAGGACTCTTGCCTTCACCAGAACTTGTAGCCGGGGCGTATTTGAAACGGTCTCGGAGTCTTGTCGTTAGAGACTCGAGCAAATCACCAAACCTCGTTCCTAAGTGAATATCATCGACGACACAGTTTCTAAGGGCATCTACCGTGCGATCTAGCAGGCTAATGCTTACTTCCACATCGGACTTCGGCGCGCCAAGAGCAAAGGTCTTAAGCAAGAACATGGCTCCGCTGATAATGCGGAAATATGTTCGCACAGGGGCGTGCTTAAGATAACCTTCTTTCAGCAAACCTTCGACAACTGTTCGTAAGAGATTTCTACAGCCATCCACTACTTCCTTAACATATTCTTGGTCTTCATGGCCGAAACCACCTAGATGGCCTAGAGGGAGGTTTCCTAGATAATTCTGCGTTTGGGGGGAGAGTTGCGGATTCCCGACAGCTACGCTTCCCCCATGTGCGGCAGTAGATGCTCCGGCGTTGGCCGTACAACGTTCAACAACTGCCTGCAAGGCGAGTGAGTTGACATATATTCGAACATACTCGTATTCGATGGTCAATATATGACGAATGTTCTCGGGCATATCGAAACGTTGGAATTCCCTCCACCAATTCTTGAGAATGGGATGGAATTCTTCCAGGGCCTTCGTATATTTACCGCTCTGGATCAACTCTGTTGTGTGTTTGCGCGATCGAAACAATCTCTCGTTGCCTAATTGCATGGCATCGCTTACACCTACCCAGCAATGTATGATTTGGTCATCCAGCTCGACATTGGGCACATAACAAAAAGTATTGGACAAGAGTGATTGCGTGGTCCCCGGTGTATTCCCTTCATTCGAAATCGGGCGCCTTCCTGAAAGTGCAGGGTCCGTTTTACGAATGCTGTCGGGAACCATATTCGTCCACCCAAGGCGGCCTGCTAGCTGCGTTAAGTAAACCAACAGTAAGCGTTTAATCCGTGTCGCACGGAGACGATATGCTTCATCTTCGTACTCTGGCCGCGTGATAGCACCGGCCGCAAGAAGTTCGTCGACATCATCGAAAACACCTAACTCATAAGCAAGTCCCAAAGCATTACTGAGCAGCATCCAGCACATGCGGTCGCTCCTCCAGGCGGGTTCGAGCCAGCTCTCGATTCTTCGGCCTCCAACATTTCCACCGGGACGTTGTGCACTTTCGTCATCACCAATACCGACATGAGACGTACCACGAAAAGGAAGCATGAGTTCATCGATAGCCTCGTCAGGAGGGAAGTGAAGTGCACGAGGATGCCACTCGGTCAAAATCATCAGCGACTCGATTGTACCTAACGTACGAAGACTCCCCTTCCTTAGCCCCCGCCACGGTGCAGTACTGGAAGTTTGAGATTCGTCTGCGCCTGGTCCACAGAAGCCACCACCGAAAGCCTCTTGTCCCCAGAGACATCTTTCGATCATCCTTCGAAGATACCTCCATAGTTCTTCGTGAATCGCGTGTGACCTGCAATGCCCCCCGGTAGATCGTATTCGGTAATATCTCGACGCAATGGTTAAAAGTGTGACAGTGAGTATAGGTTCTTCGGTCAGCAGAGTTGCGTGGGAGGATGGGCTGCGGAAGGTTGGTGGCGAGATAGGTGTCATGGGGGACAAGTACTCATAGTAACTGCAGAGGGACAAATTAGTGTTAGTTAAACATAGCATGAGGAATCACTTACTATACGATGTACGCTATTGCCTCCTCCTTCGTAAACCATCCAGCCCTAACGAATCTGAACCTCGACCAAGCTTCGAGAGCCTCCTGGTATCCAGCTTCATTTTCCACATTAAGCCGGCGTTCCATCTCTGCTGCCTCATCATTCTTGGCTGAAGGTTGTAGGAGGGGATCGATCAGATCCGCGGATTTAGATGTTGAGCGGCCATTTGGACGGCCGTTTAAGTTGGAATTGTGGTCTCGTGGTGTTTTGCGACCGGGCGCAGACACAGGCGAAGGGTGAACAACAGAGGGAATGCTTTCATGGCGCCTATTCAATTCATGCGGGCTGACGGCGTAATCAGCAACTCGCTCGTTTAGGATCATGCTAGAAATATGAGATGGACGGACGGACCTGTCGGTGGCAGCTTTGTACAGTAGATCGAGGGCATCGTGAGGTCCGTAGACCTCTTTCCTCATGACGCTCTGCGCCTCGAGATTTTCCAACTGCGCATTTGAATCCTCTCTAGTATCTGTGTAGCTGGTTCCTGTATTATCTTTTGTCCCGTCTTCACGTTCAGTCTTGGGCCGTCGCAAGGGTTGTGTTCTACCAGTCGAACCACCTGGGGTCAACGGCACACTACTGAACGGTTTTCTATCGACGTACGGAGGCGTGTCGTCGGTGTGGGGCCGCTTTCGTGCGTTGCGGGTAGTATAGTCATCCTCTTGATCGTCGACGTCGTCGTCTTCGTTTCTACGCTTACGTCGCGTAGCACTGAAGAAGCATTCCTTGCTTTCGCGGCGACAGCGTACACATGGGGGCTCATGAGGATCGTCTACGCTTCCTAGATCGCATCGGACTTTTCTCCTTCGACAAGGGATACAGGCTTGGTATACGCGCTTGTGTTGAGGGGGTTGAGGTAGTTGTTGGGATTGCGAGTGGGAGTGGGAATGCGCCGTGTTTGCGGGAAGGGATTGGCGAGGCTGCTGCTGAAGAGCGGATGACATGTTAGCAGCGGGTGCGGTGGCATTCTCATATTGAGACATGGTCTGATCCAGTGGTGCTATCGTTCTGGTCGGATCCAGCTCCAGCTCCAACACCAGCTCTAACTCGAGCTCCGGCTTGCCGCACACGCATGAACAAGACGCAGGACACCCGGCGCGCGCCGACTCGTGCTCGGCTTACGACGGGAATTCGAGGTCTTACACACGAAGACGCGCAGAAGCAATAAGCGCTCGGATGAAGTGGGACAAATGGTAGCTATCAAATTGAAAAACAGTCTATGATAAACCGATCCTAACTTTAGACAGATCTGTATAGGCGAGTGAAGTGGGTTTCTTCGGACTTGCGGGGTTTGGAGGCCGACACAGCTGAGATATGACAAGAAATCGAGGATGGTACAGTACGTGAATGATTATAAATACGGTACGGGCCAGGTCCTACTTAGGTACTGCGGAAGAGGAGATACGAGCAGGGGCTTATGTGATACAACTTTGCAACTATGGCGATTTCGATGGCCGTAGCTTTTAAGAATGGGGTAAAATCGGTAAATTTAATCCAGACACAGATGGGTAGATAGATAAGTAGATAGATGGGTGTATGAATGGGTGGATCAATAGATGATAATAATAATAATAATAACAACAATGATGGTGATGACGGCGATGGAAACGGAGACGGAGGCAAAGACGAAGGCGAAGACGGAACCACAAATAAGTGAGAAATAATTCGTACGCGCAAATCAACCAATTTAGATCGAGGCTTGATTCGACTTCTCCGTCCCGTCTTTGGTATTGCCTGCGTGTCTCGCCTGTCTGTCTCGGACGGACCTAGCTTTGATAAGCCGCAAGTCGTGGGTGGCTTTATGGGTGTGGTTTTTAGTTTGTAATTGGGGATCGGTGGAAGCCTGATTGGGGCGGTTGATAAGTACCGCGGCCTGGGATGTTGAGGCAATCAGATATCGGAATTGCTGCTGTGCCAATGAATAGACAGCACAGAGTGGGATAATGTGGGATTTTGTATGTAGGATAATGTAAATGGATAGATGTGTAAAAGTAAAATTGTGAACATTAAATTTAATTGAATCGAATTGAGTTGAATTGAATTGAATTGGGGGGGAACCTGACAACACTTTCCTTCTTTTTTTTTGCCTTTACCTTTGCCTTTGCTACTTCCTCTTTTTTGACGTTTCACCGATTGGAACTTACGCCAATGGGGGCCGCGCTACTCAGAAAAGCTGGCCACGAGAAGAGCAAGAAGGAAGGAGCTGAGATGCAATTCTATCCACAGATACCTAGGTAGGTACCTACAATCAATATCCGTGCCTCATTACGATAAATACTCACTCATATCAGGCAGGTAGGGACAAGTACATACATACGCGATTACACTGACACAACCTTTAGTCTACATCCGCTGAAGACCTCATGCAGTTTACAATGCAGCTAAGATGCAACTACCCATAAGTCGGTGAAGGATACATCTATTGCACTCTGATGTATGTACGTATATACCTATATGTATTAGGTTAATAAATACATACAATGTACATGCATATGTACCCGTTCATCAAGCACATATAAAAATATTAAATATTAAAAAATAATAAAATATTGAATTTGTATATACATAAGTAGGTAGCCCCGCGATGCTGGACCAACGACGCTTACATCTATGCAATTGATACCGAATGCGGCAATTGTATACTACATATGTACCAATGGAATCCCCGATGGGGGAAGGGATGTATGTGGCTGGGATCAAGCAGAATGATTTGGTCACGTTACCGTTCAGCATGACCCGATCCCGTCACATTCTTCACCTTGAATTTCTCTTCTCAGTTCACCTTGAACCTTGAAATGAGGAGAATTATCCCCGACGGCAATGACTCCCTCCCTTTACTCCTCACTCCCCATTTTCTCTCCGCAAGCCCCACTAAATAAGAACATTGAAACTCATCCGTAGCGTCGGTCAGATGATGATCAACCCCAGCCTCACTTGTGAATCCAGTGATGTCATTTTCAGCTCGACAGCCCACGAGGCTCAACATGCCTACGCGTAGAACTTACCACAAAGTAATTATCCCAGTAAATCAACCAATCGGTCTGTCTCCTGATGGCAGCTAAATAGGCACAGAATTGAATCCACAAAAATCCATGTACCTGACACCGTACCTTACATGTTAAATCCTTGACTTTGAGCTTGTTAGGTACCATCATACAGCACTGCAAATCGCCACCTTGCGACTCACCCTATCGTTCCCTGCATGCGTAACGCAGGGAACCACACAGTTTAACAGTCAAGATGCCAAAAATCACTTTATTAAACCTTTTACGCATTGTCGGGGGACTACTTGCAGGGTATCTATCGCGTTGGGTGAAGCGTGAAAACGCAGCCATACGCCAATGTCACCATTACCACCTGCCAACCAATGCCACATTCATGGAGGGCCATCCTAAAGACAGGAGCCAATGCCTAACCCTGTAACGCCAATGCCAATGCAAATGCAACCAAGTCCCTGCGAGAATAAAACCGGGAGACTAGGAATAGTCTGTATACACAATACTTCGTGAAGACTTCACGATCCAGACTCCTAAGATACGACCTTAATCTCAACCTATCTAGAATTAGCAATCTACCCGGTCCAAATTATGCACAATGCACATGATGTTTGTGTGTATACACTTACCAGGAAGTCCCATATCATCTTTGCCAGGAGGTCGGGCATCGTGTACAGGTCAACGGTGAATTCACCAGCATCGACGTCGTTCTTGATGTAAGTGTCCTCGTTCTTGTAGTCGTGAATCATCTGGATTACCTGGAGGAGATCCTCCTCGCCCAACTTGCCAAGAGCGTCTGCCATCTTCTCGAAGTCGCATACTGCTTTCTTCTTTTTAAGGTCGTTGGCCTTGCGGGCTTTGGCAGCAACCTTAGAATCGTCCTCGTTGGGGATCGGACCGGTCTCACGGAGGATAGCCAGCAGGGACTGGGAGGGGTTCTTGAAGGTAACCGACTGAATAACCTCGTAGCTTGGGGACTGGAAGTTCAAGTCGTGGTAGACCGTGGTTTTGCCTCCCTTCTCGGTGGTGAATAGGTCGATCGACATCTCGAACTCGCCCCAGCCTTCGTTGGCACAGGTGAAAGGAGGTTCGGTGAAAGCTACAGTCGCGTAAGCTCTTGCAGATCATGAAGGGCACGCGCCGCGACGCGCGATTGAGAGGCACTTACTCTGGTGGGTCTTTTCCTCGAAAGAGGGGTGAAGGTTGTAAATAACCTTAGTGAAGCAGGTGGCCGGATGCTCATTGTTGGCCTGATCCAGAACGTAAATCTTGACACTCCATTCCTTCATGGGAAACTCAGGCATAGGCGAAGGCTTCGGGCTAGTGGGTGCATTGGCTAGTCAGTGATGATAGCAATGAAGGGTAGCCAAAACCAATTGAGCCAAGGCGATCATAGTGATAATGGCAATGATGTAACCTACATGTTGTGTTGCTCGGTAACGAGCTTGATCTGGCGCTGTATTTTCACAGTCGCGTTAGCATTGGACTTTTTGGTAAAACCTCGAGATGCAGGTCCCAGGAAACATCGAGAAGAAATTTCTCAATGCTAGGAAGGGAGAGAAAATAATATTAAAAAAGCATTAGAACTCGAATAATACTCACTTCGACGTGCATCTTGGCGGATTGCGATTTCTAGAGAGTGGTAATTGAGATGGTTAGATCTAGCGCCGGGTATGAATAGAGGCTTGTGAGGATGAAGGTAGTGGAGCAAAACGGCGCGTTCCTTGTTGAGCTCAATTTACAATTGCTTGGAGTTAAGTGCAGCTTTGATTTGATGGGGAAACATTGAAGTAGGAGAAAAACGTACCTTGTGCTTCTTGCCTCCACACTGCTTCTTGTTCCGATAACGAGCCATGTCGGATAATCACCGGAAGTCTTCCGAGTAGTCACTGTGAGTAGATGGTCCGTGTGCGATAAGAGTTGTAATCAACACGTGAGCCTTATCTTTTTTTTTTGAGTCACGTGGTGTGGTGGAGAAGTTCAAGTGGAAACAGAACATTTGGTGTTGATTACTTAAGGTAGGTGTGATTACTAATAATACTTAAGTGGATTTTACAGTCAGACTGTAACTTTAAATTACAGTACTTTGGGAAGGTACTACCTACATAGGTAATTACTATGGACGATAAGGAAAAATCGACGGTGTACAACCATCAATCTTAAAAAAACACCACATTACCCAATTATACAAAGACGACTTAAGAATTCATAAAATTAACGAACCAAGAACTTGCTCGCTGACTTTGCTTGCAGAGCTAGATACACTGTCTGGCATATTGCACTAGAGCTGTATTTTTATTTCATAAAGCAATGAATCTCATTGCTTTCAGGATTAAATCACGAGCTTCTATATCTTTTGTGACAAATCCACGCCCCATTTACAATCACTCCCTCCTCCCCCCCTGACTCCCTATAAAAGCACTCGTAAATCACTATGATATATGGCACAATTCCATGGTAGAAAAAGCACATTTACATAATAAAAATATGTTGTAACAGCTTTGAATAGAGTTAGGAAGCATTTAATAATCCAAGATATCCATTCGGAAGCTATAGCTTGGTCTTTTTTTTAATTCTCGAGAATTCCATCGCTGAGACTAGCTCTAAGGCGCTGATTCAAGAAGAGCGTTGATAATCACTCGCTCCCCTTTCCTCCATGATGATAGATGAGAATGCTGGCCCGATAATTAATCGATAGAAAAATAGCAATACACGCACGCTATGCATTCATATCCTACTTTAATGTCAGTGCTCGTCCACCAGAGCAACAGCTATGGCATAGCTCCACCCATCTCGCTTCTCGTGGTAATTCGGAGATACGGCTTTTATATATCGGATAATTGGCCAGATCGACACGCCTGAAGATCATATGATCCCACCGGGTGGATCGTAACCAACTCCTCTTAGGTTCCCAGTATTCAGGCCAGCACTGCCAGGAGTTTCTGCATCCGCTTGCGCCGTATTCGTTTTTCGTAACATAAACATTGGCTTCTTTCCTTCTTTATCCAATTGCTTAAAAAGGATCAATGGCTTTTCTTCCAAACCCAGGCAACGTTCTTGGTCACCATAAACAATGTAAAGCGCGTATTGGTCCCATGGGGCATTGATCTGATATTTCTTCAGAGCAGCAGGTAGAACCTTGTAGCAAGGATCCTCCATGCTAACCCTAAACGACTTAAAGATCTCTACCGATGCTGAACTAGAACCTGGTGTCTCAGGGACAGGTGTTTGCATTCGACGTGGCGCGACGGGCTGTTTTGAGTTGTAGTTATGTTCGCTCTCGGAGAATGTCGTGCGGCTGGACGGCGTTTGACGGTCATCGGAGCGATAGGAGCGGGAGGCGAGGGTAGCACTGCCCAAAGTCGGGGGCGAAGTAGGTGACGGTATGTTTGGAGAATAGCCGGGCGATGTAGCTTGGCCAGAGCCATTCATGGCGGCTAAATGTGATGACGATAAAACGGCTCTCTCGGCGGCGTTCGCAGGGTCCAGGGTTTGTTCTACCGAGGGCCGCTCATGAGTAGTCTGTAAGTGAGTTGGGGAAGTGTTCTTAGGAATCGTACCCAGGACAATCTTCTTAGTAGAGTATTGTCGCTTTAAACCACCCGAGGATTGGTTTGATGGTGGTGTGGGAGCTGGAGGAGATATTGTTGAGGTCTCGTAGCCATAGGCGCCCTGGCTATTAGAAAGATGGGGAAGAGGCTGCTGCGCATCCTTAGCAAGGCGTAGAGCCGGCAACATATCCTCCCGTAGTCGTCTGAAGTCTTCGGTCATCCGTCGTAGGTCTTGTTCTAGGAAGTTCATGCGCTCGTCTCGAAGGCGTAGTTGTTCGACTAGGTGTTTAATGTCTTTCAAAGTCGCAGTAGCGTATTGGGCTTCAGCATCGGCAGCTATATGTAAAGTTCACTGGTTAATAGACAACGCAACGAAGTGCGCATAAAGCGAAAAAGCAGAATAAGACATACACAGTGGTACATAATGGTCACTTTCTATGGGAACATCTTGTGCCTTCTTAACGTCGTAAACGCTCTTGAGTATGGTTAAGCGGTGGCCGACACTAGTTACTCCCATAGCTTTGAGGTCATCATGCAGGAGGGCCACCAAAGCTTCGCCGACGATCTCGTTTTCTAAGAGGAGGGTGAAGGTTAGATTGATCATCATGGTGACGATGGTGGCCGGGCGCATAACACACCAATGAAACGATCCGAATACTGCTGCAGCCCTATACTCGTAATGAAATCGGCACACTCGTCGGCATCCCATTCGGATATTATCGTCTCGGGCAGTCTATCAGCGCTGCTTCGATGGCCATAGGTGGTAGGTGTGTGCTCAGTCGAAGAGCGACCCTCGGAATCGGTCGGGGAGATCTCAGAATCGGTAACGAGGACGGGGGAGCTGGTGTGGACGCTTCTCTCGTATTCATCGTCGGCGTCGGATTCCGCATAGGCGGTGCCCGAATCGAAATTCATCGTCGGTTCCCTAAGTCCAATGGATAGACCAAAAACCAAAGAAAAAAAAAAGTATCTTCAGATAAATTTGAGACTGTGGCGTATTTGAGATTTTAGATATCGTTCGCCCCTAGCGTTTCAAAACCCTCTTTGCTTCTTGCTATTCCCCCCACCTCCTTTTCTTTTCCTTCTCTTCTCTTTTAGACGGGGAGCCGCTCAAAGACGGAAGACCGAGAATGACGAAGCTACGGTCTGACCGATAAGGATCCGGAGCTCCTGAGTATTTTCTGTATGTCTCTCCCTTCCTAGGATACCCCGGGAAAAGGACAAGCCAAGTAAATACAATAAATGGTAGGTAAAATAATACGGAAATTGTCAAGATGACAACGTTGGCCTATATAGCGATGATAGTCTGAGATTGGTTGAATTGTTTTTCTTTCCAGTCCACGGAAAAGAAATCCGGTATACGACGAGGATGGTGGTTTGAGGAAGGGGAGGAAGAAACAAGAATAAGTTGGAGATTACATGTACATGTATGTATGCGTGTATGTATGTAGAGAGAACATTTGCGTTAATGAACTACCTAGGTACCTAATGGGTTAATGGCTACTAGGTGGAAACTAGAGAAACTGGAGACTGCGAGTCAAAAACAAAAAAGTATTTGTCGGGTTGTTGATGTTGCAAGCGCGGACTTGAAGGTTGCTACTGCTGCTAACAACTGATTTGATTTGATTTGAAGTTGCCCAGCGGTCCAGGTGCGTTGCAAAAAGAGCCACCCACCAGCACTCAGCGCTTTCCCTGGGTCCGCCCGCATTCATCAGTTTTGTCTGGTGGCAGGGTGGTGCCTCCCCCGGTCGATGCGTACCCATCCCATTACTCCAATTGGTTGGTTATAGTTGTACCGTACTGACCCAAAACTGCACAGCATAAAAAGGGGGTACACAGCCTCCATGGCCGCTGTACATAAACTCTCGGGCGTTTCTAATGCTCGGTTTATGTACCTGAGCAGGCCTAGCTGGGTATATGTAGCTGCTACCTACTTAGCGCTATCTTTTGTACATATCCACATACATGTATACATACATGTAGGTATTATTTCTTTGCTACTGTACCTTTATGTCCTCGTCCCTTACTTACATGTAGCCTCTGTAGATAACTTAAATAGATACATATATATATCGTGATTTTCTTGACTTTCTTTTTATATTACCATATAATATTTAATAAGTCATATATCATAAATTTTTAATTCTTTTATTATATTTTACATCTTTTTTATTTTTAAATTTTTAAATTTTCGTTTCTATATTTCATATTTATAAACAAGGATATCAATGATCTTCCACGGAAACGCCCGCCTAACAACAGCCGCTTAGGCCAAATTGCGATCAAATAATATATCTAGGTATTTCGTATTGCTAGAAATCAGTGGGAAATTGCAATTATCTGGGTAAGCCTTGCGTTACATTCGCTTCTACCGACTCAGCGGCACACACCTTTCGTGATCTATCATCTTTGATGCCTCATTACCACGGATGTGTGCCATAAACGTACCGTGGATAAATCATCATATCCTAGAAAGAGTCTTGCCCCGATAGGTAAGTCATAAAGCTTAGCAGTCTACTCAAGCAGGGCAATCGACGGAATTGTCTGCACTTAAGACAGGGGATTTGATGGCTCTTATTTAGGAGCAAAGACATACAAAGGCCAAAAGTGATTAGCCCACATATGTCTCTAATCACTTGGATAGCTACCTCATTCATAAGTACGGTAAGGGAAAGAAAACAAGTTAAGAGGACTCTTTTACAGTTGTCGTTAGGGACCTTAAGACGATAATTTCGGCGTAATTATAAGAATTCTCTCCTTGGCTAGATGTCCACTTTCTGAAATTGACACACCCCACAACCCTCAAGTGATAAATATTCGCTTATCTTGTGATAAAAACTGCAGGTTTCCTTATGTCTTGAATTGCTAGAAGTAGTAACCACGGGCATTTTTAAACATTAATCAACACTAAATCATAATAAATCGACATCCTTAGACTACGCACTTCAGGTATAGCTCAACATCATATGCGGTAGCGAACGAATTTGTATTTCCTATTGAACATGATTAAGGCCGAATCCACAAGGGATAGGCTAAAAGTCATTGTCGACCCAAGGTCAACAGACAAGGGCGGCAATACAATAAGTACAGCGTCGGGGTATCTTTGATTATAGGAGTAGGTGCGCCTCGCTCGTTCTTTTTTTAGACATACCAGCCGGCGCGAAGAAGTGAACCAAGGTGTTTCTGTATAGCGAGTGCGGGCCGAACCCCTCTAGATCCACTGCCAATTACCGGCTCACAGCCGTCTATTACCAACTCAACTCCGGGCGCCCTAGTTTGATAGATGATTGTATTCCCGTACCATAACAAAACGCCTCGATGCAATATACATACCCGCTCATCGCGTGGAGCATCATATTAGTCTATCTTAACCTAACCTTAGCATCCTCTGCGCCGCGAGCGATGACCTCCTCCAGCGACCATCGTGGCGGTTCGATAGCGCCTTCTAATCCATTAGCTTTACGCCACGCTTGCTCGTCCTTCGGAGTAACGCCCTCTGGTAGAGGCTTAAGGCCTCCTGCAATACCAGTCGAGAATTTCAGCTGCAGGATGTCGCCAATTTCATCGCAAGCAGCTAGGAGGCGGTCCATGTCATCCTTGTTGTGAGCAGCAGAGACACAGAATCGTGCGCGTGAACTGATCAATGGAGTGGCGGGATAACCCACAACAACCACCGAAATTTTACGTTTGAGCATTTCGTGGCTGAAGGCAGAGATTTTGGCAGGGTTGTACAAGGTAATAGGGATAATAGGAGAATCGTCGTGTCCGTAAACAATTAAACCAAGACGCTTGAGACCGAGACGAAGATAACGAGAGTTGAAGGCAATGCGTTGGAGACGTTCCTCGCCTTGACCAGGAACGATATCGCCGGTAATGATCTTCAACGAAGCAAGAATTTGCGTCAAAACAGCAGGAGTAGGCGATTCACCCAGCATAGTGGCAGCATTTGTACTTCTTAGCTTATCAATGATATGCTTTTCAGCTGCAACGTAACCTCCATTGGCACCAAAAGACTTGGTCAGAGTGCCCATCAAGATATCAACTCTGCTAGGATCAATGCCGAAGTAGTCGCATACACCGCGACCCCTGGGACCAAGGGCTCCGATACTGTGGGCTTCGTCGACATAGAGAGCAAACTTGTACCTATCCTTAAGAGCCAAAACACCAGGTAGATCACACATTGTACCCTCCATAGAGTATAAACCCTCAATAGCGACAAGTATCTTTTTCCAGGGGCGGTGAGTGCGGGGTTGGCCTTGAGCAATAGCTTCGCGCAGTCTCTTCTCCAGATCGCCCATATCATTATGTCTGAACGAGCGAATGACAGCACCAGAAAGACGGGCGCCAAGTCGGATTGAGGCGTGGTTCAACTCGTCAGACAGAATAAGACATCCTTTAGATACGATAGCAGGGAAGGAACTTGCGTTTGTGACGAATCCCATGGAGAAGACCATAGCAGCCGGCTTGCCAACAAACGAAGCAACTTCCTTCTCAACTTCAAGAACGAGATCAGAGGTACCAGAATCAGCGCGAGGGCTGCAAAAGCTAAGACCGTATTTCTTGACACATTCCTCAACGGCGGTAGCGCAAGGACCTTCGGACTGAGCAAACCCAAGGTAGTTATAAGAGCTCATATTGAGGGTCTCGGTTTGGCCGCCAATATACTTGTATGATTCATTGAAGTCATACGAAACACGATTCAGAAGGTTGATGTACCGGCCTGGTACCCCAGTGCTTGTCCTGGCGAAACAGTCATCTATGCGCATCTTCAATCTTCTTGTGTAGAAGCTATCGAAGTCGTCGTTCAGCGGCGCATAGCCATTGGAGGCACGAATAGTCTTGTATAATTGCTTTTGACTGAATCTCTTGCCAAAGAAATCTCTTATATGACCAAGAGCCAGAAGAAGTAGATAACTGATATAGGTGGTTAAGACGTAGTAATAGGGAGGCTCGTCAATGACGGGAGCTTCCAGCTGTTCTCCATGATGCTTGCTCACGTAACGATGGCTTGGGTGGACCAATGGGCCGAATTGAGCATCGAAACGCCTCTGGGCTGAGACTTCGGTGGAAGATGGAGGCTGGAAAAGAGTAGTTGGCGGCTCGTCGGTATTAGGTTCGCCGGCCGTTGCGGTAGATAAGGAAATGGAAGGTAATGACAGGCTCGCGGCAGTAATGGAGGGAGAGGAACCGTTCTGCATAGCCATGAGGGCTTGCTGAGCCGACGACTGTTGGCTGGCTTTAGGAGACGAAGAGAAGAATTGACTGAGGCGGTTCCCTCGGGATTGTGAGGGTCTTCTCTCGCCGATCCTCTCGGAGTGCGGCATGCTGCTAGAAGTGGTGAAGGGAATCGAGATACGTCGTGGCATTTCTATAGGTGAAGGAAATGGGCAATTGGCGTATATATTCGGGCGGTTGAAAAGATAAACGCACAAATAGAGCCTCTCGGTGACTGGCTACTAGTTGTGAATCTGAAATAAGTGTTAATTGAATCATGACAAGCTAGGTTTGTTAAATGGAGGTTTCAATTTGAGTAGGAAATAGTTTAAGGGTTAAAAAGGAACCAGTAACAGTAACATGTAGGATTCGTTTGAACCGATGTGACGCAAGGAGGCATGGCCACACCGTCTCTGGCATAAGCTAATGGCGGATTCAATAAGCATTGCAAGTCGCAATGTGCTTGCTTGATTGCTTGCTTACCACATCTGCCGATCGTAGCGCCAGCGCGGATTCACGAATGAACTAGGGGCGTTCGCAAAGAGGGATGATAATAAAAATGGCAATACCCAAAATATTGGGATAAATTGAACTCACTTTGTCCTTTCCTTAGCTTCCGTCCGTCGCACTCGCCGTTTAAGCTGTGGTCTCTTTTCCTGTGGTCCACGGATGAACCGGTCGGGGTAGCTTGAAGCTGGGTAACACCTCTAGTGGTTGAGCTCGAGTGAGGGAGAGAATGTCGATTGGCGAGTAGCTGATGTTGAAAATAAGAGCTTGGAGTCCAATAAAGGGGAAAGAATTCCCGTCGATGCAGCAATCACAACGACGACTACTTGCCCTTCAACATCAACACCTTTTAAGAAGTTGACGAAGAGGAAAGGTGCACGATGTTGAAAAGGAGACGAAATGGAAGAAAATCAAATTTAGGAGGCGCGAGAGAGCAAATAGAAGGGAAGAGTTTCGAAATGCGGGTCTAAATTAGCGTGTACCTAAGTACCAATACTGTAATTCACCTCGAGACATGAAGTTTCGCGTTAAACGCCACCCACCGTAAATCAAAACTCGGGGGTTCGGGTGATACAGCCCTGAATAACAAGCCTACAAGCCTGCAAGCCCAGCCCAACCCAGCCTTCGCAACCCTTGACCAACTTTGCAACAAAGACCCCCATTCCTTCCGTAATAAACGGCATCTCAGCCAACCTCGTTAAGCTCACTAGCAATGATCCTCGCGACTGCCACTCTTTTTGCTCCTTTCCGGACGATCCGCGACTCCACATCGTCGTCCTGTTCCCGCAGTGCCGACACATTACGGAGTCAGGTCATTACCCAAATAAGTCATCTTACTAACAGACAATTTGTACATCGAGATTCCTGTAGTGGAGTGGTATTAGACGACTAAGTCTACATCAAAAGTGAAGTCATTTAGGTGTAGCTCATAATTAATTCAATTCAAGATACACAAGGTAGAAGGCATCACATCAAATATGTTTTCTTTTTCTTTTTTGGGTTTTCATTAAAACCGGTCATTTACGTTAAGACGCGCGCATTACAAAGCAAATGGGAATAGTTCCAGTCGCGAAATTAACTCCTAAGCGCACCTTCATTTTAGGAACCACGCCATCCTCCTTGGCAAAGCTTCAAATTGGTTTTATGAGCACATGCGCAATAATGACGACCCGTAGGCTAGGTACAAGTGGGGAGATATTTACAAGAATAACCACAGAAAGGATCCAACTCCTCTGCTCCTTTCTTATAGGTACTTCCAACTGACATTACGACCTGGCTGCCTAGTCAATTAATTAATTATGTCCCTACAAATACGTGTATAAAGGCATGCACTCATACATTCATAATAAAATTGGTTAGTACATGTAGATGTAGGTATGGATCCCCATGCGAACTTATCCCCCATAAATAGTTCAAACCGGTTGCCTCAATCAACAACGGGATTCAGAAAAGGAATCGCGGCAAATTAAGCTCAAAATCTTTGGCCTTCCAATGTTCATTTCAACAATGAATCCCGCCCTTAGGTGCCTTAAACTACAGCAGCTAAGTACATGTAATTACACATAAGGGAAGGCGCAGGGTCCTAGCCTTACATGTATCCTAATTAAAGCTTATTTTTCTAGGTACAGTACAGTACAGTACAGCACATTGGTTGAATCTGCGACAGCGGCCTCCAAACAAAAATCAATTGGGTTGAAAGAAAGAAGCCGAGCCTTCGGTCAATAAGTTTAGAGCTACCGGCCAGCTACCTACAAGCTGTTTTACCTAGGCAATGCAATAGCGACGAGTCTAAACGCTTACCACTGAAAACTTACATACATCCACTAATAGACTATCGGAGTACTCCAGTAGTGAAAGTCCCCGTAGCTTTAAGCTTACTTAAATTTAAGATCCGATCTAAAATACTCTAGTACTTAAGTAAATTGACTCTATTCAGATACCTAAGCTACATGTAGATTCTATTAATTACATGTATTTATTAGCTTTATCAACCTCTTTCGAAATAAAGAACTAATTGTAATCTCAACAAACCCTCATGTGCTCTCGACAACATTGGCAACATTAAATTAATCGAGTCCTATCCGAAACGGTTCTTATATTCCCGTTTTCAAATTAGGAATATAGAGATCCGTAAACACCATGACTACCAACCGAAATCCCGTGCCCGTTGAGTTATGGCGACATCCAAACCCCTCCTCAACTCAGCTATACAAGTTCCTAGAGCATGTGAGATCTAAATATGATGATAATATCAAAGATTATCCATCTTTATATAAATGGTCTGTCGAAAACATTGCCGACTTCTGGGGTGAAGTGTGGCATTTCTGCGGCATAAAGGCATCTAAGCCATACTCATATGTAGGTGTGATAGGGTCCTTTATTATGAATAATGCAGCCACTTTAAGTATGCTGCTTCATATGTCTTAAACTCACCCAATCATAATTAACATACTACGCCATAGATCTTACCGGATAATGCACCTATGTTCCCTAGGCCCGACTTCTTCTCCGGATCACTCCTGAACTTCGCAGAAAACCTCTTGTTTCCAGCCAACGTAGACATTGCAGAGACCTCTATTGCTGTTATAACAACTACCGAAGCTGAAGGACACCTCGAGCCCACAACATGGGCCGAATTGCGGGAAGCAGTGCGGCGATGCTCCAATGCGTTGAGAGCTGCTGGCTTGAAACCCAAGGATGTAGTTGCAGGTTTCGTATCCAACCATACCGGAGCTCTCGTGGCGATGCTATCCGCGGCCGCCATCGGAGCGGTGTGGACAGGAATGAGCCCGGATACTGGCGTGAGTGCCGTTCTTGATAGATTAGTTCAGATTGGACCTAAGGTCCTGTTTGCGGATAACGGAACCGTGTACAACGGCAAGTCGTGGTCTAGCACGGGGAAGACGTCCCAAATAGTCGACGAGCTCAAGTCAAAGGGCTTAGAACTCGTCGTTGTCATAAACAATATCCAAGATTTCGATCTAGACTTATCAACTCTAAACTCGAAGGGGCTTGCGGCAGAGGAATACAAGAGCTTTTTGAAAAGGTATTCCTCGAATTACAACATTAAATCTCAATACTTTCGGATCTAACAGAATATAGTGGAAACGAAGGACCCTTGAGATTCGAACAACTTCCGCCATCACACCCCCTTTACGTCCTATATTCTAGCGGTACGACTGGCCTACCAAAAGCTATAGTCCATACCGCGTTAGGTACTCTTATCCAGCATAAAAAGGAGCACTACCTTCACTGTTCGATGAATTCAACTTCCAGGATGCTTTATTATACGACTACCTCTTGGATGATGTGGCATTGGAACATATCGGCACTTGCGTGCGGGACAACCTTGGTTCTATACTCCGGCTCGCCTTTCAAGCCACATGGACACCTTTCTCTACCCAGACTCCTGTCCTCGTTGAAGGTTACCCATTTCGGTACCTCAGCTGCTTATCTTACCACTTTGGAAACCCATGGTATCTATCCTGTACGATCGCATGATCTTTCCCACCTACAGGCAATCTACTCGACGGCGTCACCTTTACCGCCGTCAACCTTCTCCTTTGTCTACGAGGCATTCCCCGCTCACGTTAACTTGGCTTCCATCACTGGCGGTACTGATATTATATCCCTTTTCGGCGCCCCATGTCCGTTACTCCCTGTTTACGTAGGCGAGATCCAATGTGCAGGGCTTGGCATGGCCATTGGTGTGGTAGATTCTATCAGCGGCGCTCCAACACCCGGTGAGGACGGAGAGCTAGTATGTACGAAACCATTCCCCTGCCAGCCCCTAACATTTTGGGGCCCCGACGGCGAAGCCAAATATCGTGGCAGTTATTTCGAACGCTTCGATAACATATGGCACCATGGAGACTTCGTAAGAATTGACGTCAAAACTGGTGGCTTGACCATGTTGGGACGTAGTGATGGTGTTCTCAAACCGGCCGGTGTACGATTCGGTAGTGCAGAGATTTATAACGTATTAACAAGGTTCTTCGGTAGCGAGATTGAAGACGCGGTTTGTGTTGGCCGAAGGCGAGAGACGGACCGTGATGAAACGGTTTGCTTATTCGTCGTCATGGCCGAAGGAAATGAATTCTCTCCTGAATTGCATGAGAAAATCAAAAACATGATTCGGAAGGAATTAAGTCCACGACACGTCCCCGGCGTGATAGAGGAATGCGGAGCAGGAATTCCGAAGACCGGGAATGGGAAAAAGTAAGTTCGCGTCGTTTCTCAACTTATCATGAGATTTTATTTTAAGCGTTTGCTTACATTTCATCAGGATCGAGGTCGCAGTCAAACAGATTCTTTCAGGTATCAATATCAAGACGAATGCTAGCGTGGCAAACCCTGAGGCTCTGGCTTGGTTTAAGGAATGGGCAACCCGGAATGATTAAAGTGGTGTAGATAGAAAGCGACTATACTCAACAGAAGCCAATGGATTATGTTATTTAGAAAAAATAGATGAATGCGCACCTTAGAAGGCATGAGGGCATAGACATGGCAGCTAACCTAGTAAAGGGGCAAGTATACGTGCGTGCACATTCACCACATAAGCCCTATTAACCTTGACTTCTCGTCATCTCCCGCGAAGATGACATCGATACCCTTTCTCGCCAACCCCAGAATTTCTGCTCGTTGCAGCTTGAAATGTTCTTGAATAAGCCTCCATTCATTTGATAACGGACTACCAAAGACGCCCACATCATCGGTCTAAAATTTGCCAATCAGTCCAGGACCTACGAGAAAAATATTCATCGGACCTGCATGCTTTAACTTACACAGGGTACAACAACCGGTCCGTCGACACGCCACCACTCTCCGAAGTGATGAGCCTCAAAACTACCGACGATCATTTTCGCATGAACATTACAACTAAGGCAAAGTTCTAATCCGATACCCGTCCGCGCCGCGATCTGACGTTTAATGTCCTCAGGAACGTGGATGACGTGTCCGAGACGATCCGGCAACCAACTTAGGATCGTATTCAACTCCGCCTCGCTGGCACTGGCCTCCGCCTCGGCGAAGTGAATCGTCACTTTCAAGCCCGCCGCCTTAGCCTCTTCTATGGCTGGCGTGAATAGCGAGACGTCGCCTTTCGTTGGGTCACCGCAGATATCGATCGCTACGACGCCTTGCTCTTGAAACCCCTTAGCCAGAGCGATGACCCCGTGTGCTTCCTCGATTGAGTTACGTCGGTCGATAGATAGTATAAGACGGGCGTGTAGTGATGGGGCTTCGAGCTGCGCAGCCTTGATCGCCCGAAGCACAGCCTCGACGTAGCCTGACTTATCCAGACCAGCAACAGTCATTGCTCGCGGCGTCGTCCTTAACTCGACGTATACTACCCCATCTTCCGCAAAATTCTTGACTACAGATTTCGTAGAATACTCCAGGGACTTGAGGTCATTGACAAGGTTGTAGATGTAAGTTGAGAATAATGGGAAGAAACTATAAAAAACAAGAGAACGGCATTAGCTTTCTCCTTGCATCTATTTGTTTAAGGAGAGGTTTAAATCATTCCCGTTGGGGGATTAGATGCGCTCCTTACGTTTTGAGGTCGTAATCATGCCTTCCAGGAGGCATTACTATTAGGGGGTCTTCGAGATCAGTCTCACCAGCTGCCCTTTTCACTTCCCAGATCTCGTGAAGACATTTCCGGCTTATACTTCCAGTAAGATGGGCGTGGAGCTGTGGAGCGCGATAACGCGTTAGTACGCTCGAATGAGGGATCTTGGTAGAAGTCGAGAGTAGGGAGATAGCGATAAATAGTAAATGATATATATGTATTTGAGGAGTAGTGCGTTTGAATAAATGTATATAGAATTCCCAGTTTATACGGTGGGAATGATATGATTACCTCGATCTTTGGCATAGACTTGAAGTCCAGGTCAGGTTCCTCCGCCATGATGCTATTCGAGCTGAGGAGAGTTACCTAGGCTTATCGTACTTATTGCCCATGTATTTATTATACTGACTTGATAATCATTGGGGTGACAATTGCGAATGAATCGATCTAAATTGGGGCTACAAATAAGCCTAATGATATGATATCGATGATTTGAGATTGAAGCGATACGTTGTAAATTTGATTTTTATAATTAGTTGGTGAACTGATTATAAAAATCAAAGGTTTTATTTCTAAACTAGCTTATGGTATGTACTGTACTCTATTGGCCGTAATTATATACATCTATTAGTACCTACATATGTATTTTAAGAGTAGTAGTCTGTAGCGCCATTAAATCTACTATAAATGAGCTCGATTAATTAGAATACATTTGAAATCAACTATAGTATAAGGAAATGCTAGATATGGTCTGAGATTCGCGTTATTATTAATGAAGCCTCATCCCAGCTTATCTTAATTATCATTGATTAACGTTATCATAACCAAAAAAGGAGGTTAGAGTCTGTAAAATCTACATTGATAATCTTCTATAGTCCAGTTACGAGGACTAGGAGTCGCTTATAGATTGATGGTGTCACAATACCGAAGAGACACAACTAACTGGTATGAGGCGTCATCTGGTCCCTCGCCAAAATTGGCGCTTCTAGAAACACCATATGCATAGCGTCAGATCTTCCCGGCCGATCACGACGTACATTATGTAGCACAGTACGCTCTTAGGTTATCGATTGTCCTGCGAAAACAAGCCGTAAACCATTCATGGGGAGTGATGCTTGGCCCATATGGGTATCTTGCAAAGGATTTATGGAATTCATGTTGTATCTGGTTTCCTGTTTATAATCGTACTGTGCTCCCAAGGTCTTACCCTACTTAGTTCGTTAGAAGGCTCGGAAGAGGTAGCCGAGCCATTTCCATTCGATCTAACAAGATATCTAACTTTGGGATGATTGCTGTTCTTTTTGCTGCTGGGAAACTGGGTTGCAACGAGAGCTACGAAGCTGGGGAGGATCCAGCTCCGGACCCTACGTTTTCGAGCGCAGTACCTTGCATAGGCGAGGATTGAGAGCGTCTCATTAACAAGGACCGTCAAGGCTAACGCGGTTAGGGCACCACCTAGAGACAATTATGGTACTGTATCCGCGTCGTGGGACCATAATAAGTATGGTTCGTGTCCCGTAGCGGCGGAGACTTGTTTGTGGTCGATCCCCGTTTTTGCAGGGGGCACTTTAATTGTGCATAATAAATTTATGGCCCTTGATACATACGATACTATGAGACCATAATTAGTTTGACGGCGAGTTGTGTGTACCGTAATAAGAATTGATACTAGATCAGATTAATTAGTTTTTGGAGGGATTCGCGGAATGAAATCTTGACGCGAGGAATTCAGTACTTCCTTGGAGATCTATTTGCATGATTGCTCAATCCTGTTTCTGCTGTTTGTAGGGGAGGAGGATATATATTTGTTGACGGTGCCGCCCTGCACAGTTTTAAATGCAGACAAGAATACTGACGGATTGAACGATGGTTGGCTGTGGATTTCTCGGCTGTGCCGCCAACGTAGAATTGGATGCGAGGAGGCTAATTTAATCAGTTGGGGGGGAACAACAGCTCCTGTCGAAGAAAACGCAACCCAGATCGTTTGATTAATCCGTGCGTGCTTTCACCAAGCAGCTAGCGACAGCGCAGCCGCCTCTGGTTGGTAAGCCGTCGGGCGAACAGAGAAAGTCTCCGGTTGGGCTTACAATTAATTGCGAGTCTGTGTTCCTATACGCTGTAGAACGACGATGGTGTGCGGACTGTATTCTCTCATCTCTACCTCGTTATCCATAGAAGCTTCATCAGTAGCTTGGCACCCTTGAACGTACCCTGGTCAAGTGAAATAAAAAATTATATATGAGGACCTGGGGTGGATTGGCGGATTGGATGGGTTGGATTGGAGCCGGATTAGGATTGGTAAGATTGGTGGAAAGACGCGGCGGATGAGTGAGCCACTTGAAATGAAAATAAGATCTATCTATCTATCTCAAAAACGCAACCCAGATCTTTTCTAGGTCTAATGAGTAAGTAATTAAGTAATTGATTGTATTTTCGCTAAGTGATGTGGTGATGATGGTATTAGGAAGAAAGACGGATAGTCAATAATAGTAATAAGTAAGTTAGAAAGTTAGAATAGGATCGTTAATAACTTATTTATCTAGAATGGCACAAGGTTGAATTATTTATTATACGTATGTACATACATGTACATACGCTACTGACAGTTACAATTACATGTATTATTCCGTAGCGGTTATTCCAACCACCTTTAGGTACATGACCTAAGCGGGCCGTTATGTAAGTACCGCTCAAATAGGGAAAGTATACCTTACTCGCTAAGTATGTACCTAAGAACTAAGATATGTGCGACGTAGTACTTATAATAACGAAAAGAATACCTTATTAGTCCTATTATCCCCCTTTTGAACATTTTGAGTGTCCTATCCTGTCCTAGTATAGGACCTAAAGCTTACACGTACGCACCTAGCCTACATAGTATATACACTCGGATCAATTTATCTATATATATATATATATATGTGTATATGCGTCTGATGATTGCATGTCGCTTACCGCATCATAGATTATCTACGCATTGGATTGATTATATGTATTATCAAGTACATTACTACGTAGAGGGTTGTTTAACGTTGGGTGCGTCTTCTCCAGTTGATTGATCCACTAAACAAATCTAAGAAATTGAACTTTGGAAGCAGTGCTGTTCGTTTTGCGGTCTAAGGCTTATTCAGCGGTGGAGATCTGCCTATGTACCTAGCTAAAAAAGAGGTACGTTAACTTTCTTTTTTTTTTTTTTTTTTTTTATAACGCGGATAGCTAAACTGTACCTAGGTAGCTTTTCTTTAGCTATTAAGCTTAGGTTCACGTTCTAATGTACGGTTATGGATACAGGGCTGTTCGATGTTTGTTCGTGCGGGCGATCTGCATTAGTTTATATGAATTAGATTTGTATATGTGTGGATGTAGGTAGCGATAGCCTGCTAGAGTTGTTAGAAAGTAAAAGGAGTAGCGAAGTAGGTGTGTAGAGTGTACCTAGGTAATAATGTATGTAAGATTAGAATTACGGATGCGTACCTAAGTACCTAGTCTACTCGATTCATGTACACTACGTATGCATAATTCACATGTACACATCTAGCATTCACCACGCATATCTATTATGGAATATGATATTTAAGATACTTATACGCCTAGGCCACCTGACATCTTCTTCATTACTTGCATACATGTACCTATGTAGCCTTACATAGTACATACCTCCTTCTACAGAGTGCGCTGCGCTGCACATGTTGTTGTATGTACGGTCCTTCCAGATCGCTAAACGCCGCCAAACTCTTGCCCAGTCTCTCTGCTCTGCTGCCTTCCTCATCTCCCGTAATCGTTATTTCGATTTCCGAAATCTCACTCTATTTTTCAATCTTCTTACCTTAAACTTACTACTTCTCTCTACATAACACGCCAATTCATTCAACAGACGTACGACACCCAACTACGAAAGTAACCTTCATTGAAGTTTCCTCTACTATTGATTAATCTACCTTTCTATCTACAGTTTAATTCAGCGATATACTTATTTCCCCCCGGTAAACGATAACGGCTAACCGGTCTTACCTACCTGGTTACTGATTGATCTATTTTCTTGTCTCTCTCACTCTCACTCTCGCTCTCCAAGTCAAGCCTAGCCCGGGGGGGGTGGACTCTCTTATTTTAATAATCTTTTTTTTTTTTTTTTTCCCTTCCCCCTTCCCTCCCCTAAAAAAAAAAAAATACCCATCTTAATAACTAAAAGGATACTGGTCGCTGGTCAGAGCACACACACTCAACAAGGACCCCCCTGGAGCTAGTCTTCTCCATCTCCCTCCTCACCCTTACCCCGAGTTAATCCAACCTCACACCTTTTCTCTCTTTTTTACCCCTTCGGTATCCTCTCCGCTATTCGCGAGTCCTAAATTCAATCTATCCACACCGCTCGACATTCGTCGCCCGTCGCCCATCAACCCGTCGTCTCATCCCAATTCTCCTGTGCTGTGCTCCTCGGTCTTTCTCTTCGACACATATCCATCGCCGCCGTCATGGATTCGCAACGGCCGAATGATGTGTCGCCCGAGGCCATGCAGGCGCGCATCCAACAAGCGCGACGCGAGGCTGAGAATTTGAAGGATAGGATCAAGCGAAAGAAGGATGAGCTGGCCGACACTACTCGTGAGTATTGTCCATTTCCCAATTTATAATTGTTTTTATCCGACTCTTTGGTGTGGTCTATTGCGATCTGGTCTGACTTACCGTGTTCGTCGCTTCTAGTCCGCGCTGTTGCGCAGCAATCTCACGAGTCCATTCCCCGAAATCAGTTAATGAAGACGAAGCGAACGCTGAAGGGACATCTCGCCAAAATCTATGCTATGCACTGGTCGACTGATAGAAGACATTTGGTATCCGCCTCGCAGGATGGAAAGCTGATTATTTGGGATGCATACACGACGAACAAGGTCCACGCCATTCCGCTACGGTCATCATGGGTTATGACCTGCGCTTACGCACCAAGCGGTAATTATGTTGCCTGTGGTGGTCTCGACAACATCTGCTCCATTTACAACCTCAACCAAAACCGAGACGGTCCAACACGCGTCGCTCGTGAGCTCTCCGGTCACGCCGGCTACCTGTCTTGCTGTCGATTCATCAACGACCGGAGTATCCTTACCTCATCCGGTGACATGACCTGCATGAAATGGGATATTGAGACTGGAACTAAGGTCATGGAATTCGCTGACCATCTAGGCGACGTCATGAGTATCAGCCTAAATCCTACGAATCAAAATACCTTTATATCTGGTGCCTGCGACGCCTTCGCGAAGTTATGGGATATCCGTGCCGGTAAGGCTGTGCAGACGTTTGCTGGCCATGAATCCGATATCAATGCCATTCAATTCTTCCCGGATGGGCATTCATTTGTTACTGGTTCCGATGATGCAACATGTAGGCTGTTTGATATCCGAGCAGACAGGGAGCTCAACCTCTACGGCGTAAGTACATGTTATGTAAGCTTGTTCTTCGTCAGTACTAATCCTTCGGCGCAGTCTGAATCTATTCTATGCGGCATCACGTCCGTCGCTACTTCTGTTTCCGGTCGTTTACTATTTGCCGGTTACGACGATTTCGAGTGCAAGGTGCGTTTCATTTGCTTATGGTCGCGAATTAGGCCTCGGTAACTGACGGTTTATAGGTATGGGATGTTACAAGAGGAGAGAAGGTTGGATCTTTGGTGGGCCATGAGAACCGTGTCAGCTGTTTGGGCGTTAGCAACGATGGCATCAGCTTGTGCACAGGTTCTTGGGACTCGGTGGTACGTATTGATATTGTTGGAACCAACCTGACAGAAATGCGCTAATAGTTTGTAGCTCAAAATCTGGGCGTACTAAGACTGATGAAGCCCGCGACAATGCGCCGTCGAGATCGTTGCATGAAACGTCGTCATGCTTTCTCATCGAATGAATATTTCGAACTAATTTCAACCTGATGCCCATCTCTTGAGTAGTTGAGATTTAGTGTGATCAGGACGAAGTCACGACAGCCTTTCTCGGCACCTATTTTCCTTACTGGCCTACGTTATACTCGATTCCCCTCGACGACTCTTTGCTGCCGCCGACCGAGGAGCCAGAGGACTGTATAGTTTTTTTCCCCCGGTCTTGCCGCCTTGATACCTCCATAATTGTCATGTTTATCTCTGTCTTCGACCTGTCGACTATTCGGCTAATATACGGCCTTGGGGTTAACCAAACGTCGCCAAATGCCGTCCAGTCGAATTTCTGCTCTAATGCCGGGAAATTTTTGGGCTTCCGAGTCTGGTAGGGCAGAAATGCGATCTAATGGATAAAGCTTCTTTTTTCTTTCGATCCTCGGCCTTTGCTTCCATTGTGGTTTAGTTAAAAATTTACGGCAACTTGATACAGGGATGCAGTCTTCTGCCCTATCAGGAGATATGTTGATACGAAAAGGCTTTTTGACCCGGAAAAAAACTACTATTGCGCGTCTGCTTGATTCCTATTTATTGCCTTTACTTGCCATCCCTGATTCTCACAATGGCGGATGGAGTGGAGGTATTGATATCTTTTTTTTGTGGATAAAGGGCAAAATCACTTGAGCGTGGTGGCCTACTTTTTTTTCAGCCTGGTGGGAGGGAGAGAGGGAAGAGGAGAGTAGTGCAGTATTAAGGCTTTGGTGACAGCTGGCTATTCTGCAATTGTTCCCAAGAGATCGCCCCTCGCCGGCGTACCCTTTTGAACATGAAGGGGATAGAGTCGGCTGGGTGCAGTTGAAGTAGGGGCAGGAGGAACACATTCGCATCCGGCGTCACACCGGCCCTTCACTTTACTGTCTGTACCATAGTCATGTCATATTGAACGCTGAAATCATCCAAACTAATAGGGTATTTAAGAGGCTAACTTCTCGATCTCTGTTCCATACGTGATGAACTTCATTAGCAAATTGGTGTTAAGTGCCCCTAATAATATTTTCGATCGTATTGTTCTCCTTTCGTATTACGAACTAGATAGGGTGTACGAATTAGAATCTCCGTGGCGATAAGGCATGGGCACGCCTGCTCCCTTCTGAACGTTTACTAGTATGTTTACAGCATTTAAGAACATGCTTGATTTGACTTCCATCGACGTAGTGGCCCCTACACGACATGATTACCTAGGTAACTCTTTTCTATCCGATCAGAATACTCTTGAGCAGCATGTTTAGCTTGAATATATACTGTTTAAGATAGGTCGTAACTGGATCATCATAGGTGGCTCGGTTCAAGTGGTTCAAGTCTTTCTAGCACCTTCCGGTGTTGGGATACTCCGGGTGTTGAGTTCTACATTAACCAACACCACTACTCCCTTCGCAATTCTTAGGGTCAATACTGCTGCTCAAATTACTTCATACCGCCTTGATCGTCGAGACACTTATGGATAAACAGATTTCGAATTTCTCATAGCAAGGCCTCTAGATAGGGTAAGCGGAAAGGAGGACGATGAATGAACCCATTCATACCAGAATTGCATACGTATAGTGGAGGACGACGTATCGGAGACAGGAGAGCCCATACGCACCTAGGTGCTCAGGTACTTGAGTATATATCACTAGAGGTTAGCTGGAATTTCTCCTCGGCGGTTGGTATTTCCTATATTCCCCAATCATTGATACTTCTTAACAATAAAGGATATTGAATATATCGACGCCTAAATTGTTAAATGTCGAGATGGTGGGTACCACCTCACAATGTCCATGTGGTATGAGAAAAAGGCGAAGTAGCTCTAGAGAGGATGCTGTCATCTTTAGACGCATCGGCCATAGTAGTCATCAGGGTCAAAACCTGTAATCGAGATGAGCTATGGGCAGGTATTATAGGAGACAGAGAAACGATAATGTATATCAGCAGGTTCATCAACAGACCATATCTTGTATCTATCAGACCTATCCCGCGTGTACAATCAGAATATTCAGCACGCGTCTTTAATACTGCGGGTCCATCCAAATATGTGTGAAAGTAGCAAGTCGGTTGGGGAGTGTCGAATGTTGCACTAGGTTTTTAGTAAGATACAAACATCTATGTTTAGTATATAGGCATCCGGCTCTCTCTTGGCGCTGCCTCTTGTGTATGTCAAGCATTTCCAGACGAATAAGTACTCACTTGTCAGGTAAGATATAACCCAATGGGCTGGCTGTTAAGCTTCATTTTAACTACCTAACCAGCATGGGTATGGGTAGATATGCTATGGCTGCTAAAGCTATGGCATGTTGAGCGTGATTATATCAATGGCGTTTTCTTCCCATGCAGAAAGAAGGTCAGTCAGAACTTGAAACTGATATAACAAGGCCATTATAATATATCTGAGTTTACATATCGCTCACCGCTTTGATTAGTTCTTTACTAGTGAGAACTAATAACACATAAAGAAGTAGATTAAATTGACGGGGTTATATGCTGTGTCATAGTTGCATTGCTTTGTTATAATTAAAAGAGAGAAAAATAATTTCCATCGTGAAACAAAGAGAAAAGAAGCGGTGATATGATACTTGCAAGTTGTTTACACAGCCTACCTCGAGCTCAAGGTACATGAAGAAATTCCAGTTATTTTTAGAAAATGTGGCTACCCCCTTTTCCTTCGTTCACCCCGGTATTCGCCCCCAACTCGTTCTAGTCTTTTGTTATGCCTCATGCCTCGAGTCAATGCGCACATGTGTGCCATGTGCCATCGAAGTTCTAGAATTGTTTCGCAACTCTGTAAGGAAACATGCATTTTCTATGGTTCGTAATGGCGGTAAGGCTAGTGGCGTTGTCTTCCCTTCTTTTAATCTTCTCGAACTAACAGAACAATGCGATACAGCCCTTTTAGCTTGTTGACCATGTGGTCTAATGTCTAACCCCCTGCTTCGTTCTATGTTAGTGGATTGGATCCGTGATGATTTGACAAGGGCTGAGTTCTAGTTCCTCCAACGTCGACGTCGTATTTAGTTACCGTAAGCAGCGTTGTTTATGAATTCGCAACTCTTCATTACACTACGTATTCTATATTTCTGATTAGGCTGTTGAAAGGTTGGGTTGGTTGGTTAGCCTCGCCTCAGTTTCGTCGAGTGTAACTGTCTCCTATCTTCTCTGTGTATGCATTTTCCTAAAGTGGAAAACGAGATAGTACCTCCTTACATATATGTACCCTTTTTATTATTAGAACGAATTGGGCTTAGCATGACGTAGTCCGAATTGAAATGTAGTGCGCTATTAGTATCCGTATGTGATATTTTTCTATACCAATCAACAAGACAAAACGATATGACACCTCCTACTCCTTCTCCTGTCTGTGGCCAACATAAGAAATTCTCCGGTTCGCTAATCGCGTTTCGACGTTGGATGTTGAAACAAATATCGAAGCAGCGTGGGAATGGTTCGGTACCGTTGATGATCAACGCTTTCTATCTTTATTTACGTACCTAGGTATGGGGTTTATCATATCATGCATCTAAGATATAGTAATTTCCTCGTCGATAGGAGAAATTCGTGTTCTCGATCTCGGGACTTGAACTAGTATCGTCATCCCCCCGGATCCCCTTTTTTTTCTCTGTGGGTATGTATATACTAATGTACACAACATGTCGTACTATTAGACATACATTTGTTAATACTTGTCGAATATATGGTGATTCTATTCTTCTTTCAGACTTTACTTGAATTTTATCTATTAGTTATGTTACAATTATCTCCATAATGTAACATTATAATACTTGCTATAACGGCAAAATAAATTATCAACTCTTACCAAGGCAATAATAAGTGTAAATATAGGACATTGTAGGTATTGTACGAAGGGCGGTGTTTCGTAAAGAAATTAATTGGGAGTTGGTTCTCACCCATGTTTGCTTTCCACGTTTTAATCCTTGTCGGTGTATCGCATTGATGCCGCGCAACTTGACGAACGTGTCTGCGTGTGTACATCTCCATGCACTGTACGTATGTATACCCATCTAATCTAGTTGATGTACGTGGGCGACTTGGCGACTCCGATGCGATCTCTATTGTGTCCTCTTTTTTCTTTCGTCGCACGTGTAAATGACTTGCAGTTGAGGGAGCGTTTTTGTATATATGTCCGTGTCTAGCTGAATATATCTATTTTATTCTTTTATCTCGGTCTACTATTCTTGTTTCTAGTTGCTTTTACGACGGAGATCACCGAATAATAAATCCATTTACGAGGGGGCAACTTGCATGTACATATGTAAGTACAAATTATACAATTATATGTATACACGTACCTATGTATATCCTTGGAACATTAATGTTAGAAAAAAACACGTTATCAAAATCCGACATGGTTGGTGGAACCTGCATATTCTCTAACTTAGCGCGCTCGTTGATTAGCTACCAAGTACTGAGGCTAGTCCTAAAGCGGGCTCGCTTTGTGGCGTCTGAAACATCCTGACGCATACCAAAATACCGTTCCTCCGAACATTACTGCCTCCTTCGACTCTTCCTTTTCCTATTAGTCCATTAGGTCGCTTTAGGCATTATTCCAGAACCGTTCCTTTTTTTTTTTTTTTTTTTTTTTTTTTTCTTCTTACATTCCCGACGAAACCCAATCCTCGTCCCATCTCATCTCATCCCATCCCATCACCCATTCCCCTCTCCATTCCATTTCGTTCCCACCATCCATCCATCCCTTGCAAACATTGGACCGCCCGCCGCGTTGCATTATCAGCCTATCTTATTTCCTCCACTACCTAGTTAGAGCCTTACAGGCTCCCTTGTTCTTCCTTGTCTTCCTAGTTAAAACTAGTTAAGTTACCTTGTCTCGCCCACACCGACTAGACAAATCGCATATATCAACCCTCCCACCCCATCATCTGCTTCCTTCGTGTTGGCCCATCATGACTTCTACCTCCGCAAACGCAAACATCAACCCTACCCCTGCTCAGGAAGAGTTCCAAGATTTCCTCGAGAAGAACACAGACAAAGGTTCACGAGTACACCCAGAGGACCGAGACCACGCCAGGAGAGAGGCCGAAAACAGTGACGAAGACGAAGAGGACCGGTTCCGTAACGCCCAGATAGAAGCAGCCATGCGCGTCCCCACATTGAACGGCGACGTGAAGTTGCCTCCGGCCAGTTTCGACTCGGGCCGCAGCACGGGCGTAAAGGGCGTCATTGCCGACGCTCGCGCCTACGAGCAAGCCCGCCAGAGCAAGTGGCGGAATAGGGTCCGCGCTGCCCGTCAATCCGTATTCGGGAAGGGCGACCTATCTCGAACCTCTGAATCGCACAGCGGCGAAAGCGATGGAGACGAAGACGAAGACGCTTTCCTAAAGGAATGGCGAGAGGCGCGAAGACAGGAGCTTGAGAGGGAAGCGAGGAACGGCATCCGCAATCGCAGAACAAGCCCGAGCCTAAGGATGTTCGGGCGCTTAGACACTGTCGACGCACTAGGATATTTAGATGCTATTGAAAAAGTGGGGAGAGAAACTGTCGTTGTAGTATTCGTCTATGATCATGAGGTTAGTCGATACATCACGTCAGGATTGATGAGAACTATATATGCTAACTAGACAATAGTGCGAAGTATCTCGTCTCATTGAATCAACCTTGAGACCATTGGTCACGGAACATCCTGAAGTTCATTTCGTCAAAGTCCACTACGAAGATATCGAGTTCGACAATGCTGCTGTCCCTACCATCCTTGCATATCGAAACCAAGGCGACTTGTTCGCGAACTTAACGGGGATTATCGACATGATTCCCGACGACGAAGATTTCGACAGCGACTCATTGAAGAAGATCTTCATTAAGAACAGTATTATATAAAAGTTCACAAGGTCAATCCTCGCAAGCGTACGCTGGCGTTACTGCTTCGAATATACAACTACAATCTCTACTGTCGTGACAGCGCGCCTAGTATTTGGCACTACTTGAGCTGACGTCCGACACTTGAAAGACGCAACACCGCAATAATCAAGCCCACGCCAAGATAGCTTTGCGCTCCCTTAATAAGCGCGGTACATTGGCGAAGGTCAACTTAGCGAGAATCCTATTTTACATTTAGGAATGCTATAGTTCCGCCTTGATCGCCCGCGCGCGTCCCCTTTCCACTCGCACAGCTGCACAGCTAGTTGTCTGCACAGAGGACTACCTAACTAAATAGGGGTCAACCCATTTACGTTGGGCTCATGAACGGATGGTGGAAGCAGTAATGATAATGATGGGAGAGATGAAGAGAATAAGTACGACCGAAGCCGTGATTTAGGAGGATAAGCGGGAAGCAGGGACACGGAGCTATGGCTTCTACGATACCCCAATTGGTGTTTTTAACGGTTAAGGATTATTAAAAGGCATAGGCGGAGTTGATCCAGCTCATACAGTAGGCTATCTGCTAAAATCATAACCCTAGTCGTCATAATTGGCGATAGATATCCTGAGGGTTCTAATATCATTATTAATTTGCCTTTGAATTGTCCATATATTTTGTGAAGTAGTTTGGAAGGAGTGGTGCATTTTGATGTATGTATGTGTTGGATGCCTTTCTGAGCCTCATTTCTTACATCTTATTATGTTGCATTAGTCTGACATTATCCATTATCCATTTGGACCAGTAATATTATGTAATTGGTAGTAGCCTACCTATATGTAGATATTTTCGTAGCTACCTAACTTAGCCGAAATACTAAATTGACTGGTTTAACAGTTTATGTATAGGTAAGTTATTCGTTTGAGCATATTTGTTGGTAACGACAATGCGCAAGCGCGCCAACTCAATGATCGAAGTTAATTGCTAGGCGAGTACCTACATGTATATATAAGTATTTATATTTCCATTCATCTTTATTTTCCACGTTGGAACTGACGCTATAGTCGAAATATGTTGACATGGTCAAATTCGACCCGAATACGCAGGTATTTACCTATTTAGATGTGTATTAATGCCTGACATAATATCAATAAGAATGCCTAAACAAATCTGAAGCGGTTCCTACCGAGTGGTATAACGATACATATCAATTAGCGTGTCGTTGTAGCATTTGGCTCACATTGTACCTACATACATATATGTAGTACTATGTATATTTCTGTCACTTTGCTACTTCATGTACCTGCTGTATCCCGAAAGGTACCCCACCCCCACCGTCCCTCTACTTCTTATCAACAATTTCAACCAGCTAGCATCGACCAACAAATGCACTTTCCCATCTTCGTCATGTCCCCCCTCTATTCAAAGTTGATAAAAGCTCAAGCAACCGAAACCGCGGCTTGGATTGGATACGTTTTAATTTCCTGGCTCCCTTCATTTTCCCTTTTCGATTTTTAACTCGGAAATATTATGAAATGAAAGAAGAAGAAGAAAAAAAGAAGAAAGCCAGAATTACATATGCAACGATATGTGCTTAGGTCATATGACATATTAATATTGCTTTTTATCAGTATTTCACTTAAGTACGTGGGGAATTCAGGCGCTTTATTAGGTAACCTCGGAGCTAATAAGCAAGCGGGCAACGGGCAACGGGCAAGCGGGCAGCAGGCAAGCAAAGGAAGATAAATTGATGGATCCATTGCTGTAAATCGCCCCTAGTGCCGATCTCCACCTGACCACATGTACGCACTTAAACAACCTATGGAGATATGGAGATGCTTGTGTTTAGTTCTTATATTGAGCTTGTTCTGTTTTCGTATGGATCCATAGATCTTAGGATATCATCTGCTGACCGAGCTAGGCGTCAGACGTGAGCGGTCGGCCTTCTTATATTCGGGGAATCAGAGCATTCGATGATTTACCTAGATTCCTAGGTACCAACGACCACCAGCTGAACCCTGCCAGGTGATTGCCTGGTCTTAGCGTATACACCCGACCTTCTCCGTGTACATAGGTTAGTTGTACAAACATTCAAGGAAACACCTGAGGTATTCGGATGGGAAAAAATAAATAAAATAAAAAGTTACTTCGTTTCACAGTGGCATAAACCCCACACTTACCTCCACTTAGCGATTACATGTATGTACAGTGGAAAGTAGGTACGGTGCACGGTGAGGTTAGGCGCGATAGAGAGTCTGGTGTTCATAGTGCCTGAGGTGCCTACCCGTAGAACGGACCCTGCACGTACATGTAAGTACTTACTTTAGGTACATTGCGATACCCCGCCCCCTCCATGTCCATCCGCGCCCGCCGCCATACGTAAGATACTGGCTTAACCAAGAATGGGACATTGATGTTTAAGGCAGCTTCACGGTCTTGCCTACCTTCAACAACCTTTACCTATACTGCCCTCAACTTATCATAGCGCTACCTAACCTTACCCATTCAACTTTCGTCTTTCTATCTTCGTTTCTTCGTTTCTTCATTTCTTCATTTCCTCCTTTTCCCACCATAATACGAACAATTCCCGGCCTGTCACCAACAAAAACAACCATCTTGATGAGCCTTACAGTGTGCGTGCGTATCATTTCTTTCCGTGTCTCATCTCGTCTTACCCTGACTTGCCCTTCTCTGCCTACCTCATACATACCTACATACATACATGTACGTATGTAGTATCCATCTAAGGCATCTATCTACCTATACATTGTATCTCAACCTGATTTCTCAGGTAACATGGCCATAGGCAGGTATCGGATACTGGAACTTACCTGACTTGCCCCATCTGCATCTCCATCCATCCATCCATCCATCCAACCTACTACCTACTATCTTTTCCTCAGACACCTACCTGTTTGACCCAACACGAGGCTATAACTCAGTTTCCCTCGTCTTCGTCCCCGTCACAAAAATCGTTTCTCGAAATACGACTCATTTGTCGCTTCCGAGATATCTTAAGAAACATACGCGAGACAAGGCAACTAACCCTTCCCTTGTCTATTTATCTAGGCACCTAAGAAACTATAGCAGCAGCAGCCTTGGACCTCTCTAATCCATTATATGCAACTCGGGACTTCCGACTCATACTCCTACCTCCCCACAGTTGCCCCGTTTACCTGATACGAATATTCACGCCCACCTCTCTCACCAAAAAGCCCCGCATTGCACTTTGTTTGCCCACCTGCCTGTCTTCAGCCTACTTGCATTCAGTCGTCCTTCGTCCGGTTTACCACCCCTCCTTGGTAAACTCGAGGTATGACGTGATCTAGCAAAAAAGGCTTCTTATTCTACCACGTAATGGAACAGCCTGAACCCTCGACACCCACTATACCGACTGCTGTTCCGCATTCAACCACCGATCGTACTACTAATACTCCTGATACCGCCGCATCTGGGTCGAGTTCACCAAACACTCTCGACCAACTCTCCAACTCCGTCCCATCCCTCCGATTTCCCCGACCGCTGGGCAACCGACAACTTACCAACTGGGTTTCGTCCAGCTCGCCCGACATAATGCAGCCCGAAACCTTCCCCGACGATGACCCTAGCTTGGCCGAGCTGGGTTACGATGTCATCGGCACCGATGGAGAGAGCCAAGCCGAGTCTACTGCTAGCTCCCTCGATTATCAAAGACCCGATGACGTCCGAAGCTTGGCCGGCACCGATACCGGCACCGACGTCGATACCAACGAAGCCGATACCGATTCGTCCGATGATGAAGAGGAGGAAGCTATAACACTAGACAATGACAAGGCTGCAATGAGCACAATCAGCAGTACTATCGTCGATTATAACGGTGAAACAGACGACGATGATGCCGATGTGGAGACTCTTGCAAATCAAAGCCTCGAGCACCCTACTGATTTCTCTCAGCATGGGCTCCCAGGCTTACTCCGTCAAGCACAGATAGACCAGAGCCAAGCTCGGGAGGCCCTTCGAGGGATGCACAACCCATCCGTGGAAGATATGGAGTTGAGCGAAGATGCGAACGAGACATTATCCTCTTCAGAACAAACCTCGCTATCATCCCGCTGTTTAGAGGTATATCAGCTAGCGCTTAGATATATCCAAGAACATCGTCGTATCCTAGCAGTCCTGTCCGGACTTGCTGTCCTCTACAGCCTTGTCGTCACCGGCAAGCACCTATTTTCTAACTCACCGACCTCGAGAGTTCTATCTACGGTCCCGGTGGCTTCGGTATCTTCTGCGGTCGTCCCGTCTACTATTGGTGGTCCCGTATCTACTTCTCTGACGACATCACCTTTGATGAATACTCAAACGCAAAAGGCCTTGCAGACCGGTAGCTCGCCGAGTAGTCTTGTCCTGATAGCACTAGGAAAAGACAAGGCCCAGATAAGTGCCTCTAACCAGTCTCATCAAGAAACCATCTGCTCGGCGGAACTATATGACCGCAATGAAATTATTGTGAAAATCCCACAGAATGTGAAGTCTACCTGGCTATCAAGAGACGCTATTCTTATTGCCGTGAGTCGAGGTATCTACGACATTCCAACCAAGGTTTCGTCTGTAGAGGAGGGCTTCCTGATCGAGGTGCCCCTTGAAGAGGCTCACGATGTCTTGGCCGTTTCCATCGCAACGACCTGGAAGCCCAAGGTTAAGGAGACATTCCATGTCGACTTCGGCAGGAATAAATTCATAGGTGCTCTAGATGCTGGCAAGCAAATGGTTAAGGGGTTCGCGCAGAAATTCGTCGACACCGTCAACGAGACAACCGCGTGGGTTGAAGAGACTTATATTCCGGCTCTAGATGTAATGTCGAAACAAGTCTGCAGTCAAACATCGTCTGTCTCGGATTCCCTTCTACAAGGACTTAGAGATACTGGCAACGCTATTATCGGCCTCCCCTCTCATCTTACGTCCCAGGTTGTCGACCAAATCAGACTATCATTAAATAATGACGTACTCTCCCAACGCCGTCACCAACTCCAACTACAGTTGGTACGAGATGTACAGAATCTACGCGATGAACTTTCCTTGCGTTACCTCTCTGCGCAACTGAGATCTAAGCTCTGGTGGTTGCGAATACAGGGGAAACCAGAGGAATACCAACGCTACCTGACAAAGGCCGAGAGTTACCTGAAAGAAAGGGTTGCCGGTGCCAAAGTGGCAAGGCAAGATAGGGCCGAACGCGTCAAGAAACAGATCCGATCCCGACGAAAGGATGAGCGCCGCGAAACAAGAGGTTCCTTCTGGAACAAAGGCACGGGGTCCTCTCAAGCTTGACTTACTCCTTCTAAATATTTTATATCATACGGTCGGCTAGGGTCAACTCAGGGACGGCGTTAGGCTCTGGTGATGTATTGGTCTTTGCTAGTTATTTTGCTTTTGGTCATTTCATCCTAACACTACTGCAGAGCCATCCAGCGATTCCCCCTCCTAAATCTCCGCTTCTCTTCCATAGCTCTTCTATCTCGCTGGCAATGCATGTATGTATGTAAGGGTGGACGGCTAGGGATATGATAGGACATTCTATTTCCTTTACCTTTTCTCGTTTGAGTGTCCGGGGTTACTCAGGAATACCAAGGGTCATACGCAATACGTTTACCATGTTCTCACGGCCGAACGTTCGTATTCGCCGACGTCGTCGCGGGAGAGAGGAACATTTAACGAACTCGGATGGACCACTCTTTAGGGGGGGTTACCTTTTAATTGTGCTCTCTCCGAGTGCTCGAGGGTCGTCGCCTCGATTTAGTGATGGTTGGTCAACGGAACTAGGACTCGAAGAATCATTCTAGTTAGTAGTTGACAAGTAGACGTCGGGCAATGCATTGCTTTCGTGGCTGTACCTTTTTTTTTTCCTTCGTTCTTTTTTGATTGGACTATACGTGATTCAATGTTTACCACGCCTGGGTAGTATATGAGCTGTGTTGATATGTGTCTTGGGAAAACCACGACAACGTTGCTATTCAATCGACCCCCGTTGTTTTGTTCCTTTCTTTGCAGTAAACCCAATATTTCCGCGGGCCCTTAAATAACTTATTAATATGTCTAATCCTATTCTATTGTGCGTTTTACATATATCTATCATTACTCTTTTCCAATGTTGCTTCAATAGTCGGGGCCTAGCCATCAACAATGCGTCCCAATTTGTGATATACTCTCTTAAGTGCTTCTATGATTACTTCTCCTTGATCATGCACATACTTTATCTCTACTTAATATGAAGACGACACTAACTAAATAATTATTACATTTTCTCCCCTCTCGCGTTTATATACTGTATATACTTTAAATACCTAGGTATCGATTTAATATTCAAATAATTGCATATATGTGTAGGTTTTTGCAGCTATTACGAACTAAGGGATGTAATTTGTCTACTATTAAAAGGCAGAAAGGTTTCATACTGTCGATAATGTTGCGGTACGTACCGAGGTACATGAGGGGTACGTTGGTGAGCTGACTTCCTGTGACAGCTGCTTGTCAGGTGGGCTATTCCTAACATTGAACATGTAGATACTTCGATAGTACATATGTAGTGGGGGTTTGGTGCCCGATTTAGGGAACCTTGTCACTTGATTTGAAGGTTTAACTGCACTGTAAACAAATGGATATCTCCTAGCCTTAGGTACCTGCCTAGGCTTATAAGCTCTTGCCCATTGCCCAGGGGTAAATCTAGGCCCGCACTATTTGACGATTGGTACCTTTAGAACCTTAGATTATTATCATAATTAAGGAGAGAGGGGCGAGGGGCAACTCTTTAAAAGAGAAAAAAAAGAAAGAGACCCCACCCCCTCGTTCGGTTCTACAGGATTTGTTATTTGACTTGAGGGAACCTGGAACCATCACAAACCGCCAAAACCTCCAAACATTTCAACCTAATACCACATTATTTTCCTTACCCAATCTTCTTATTGCGTCTTTGTATACGACCCGAAAAAAACAAATACGGTACGTCTTGTTTACATATTAACTACTTGCATAACTTCCCTTTGGATCAAATCACCTGCATCAATTTTGAGATTTGGTTTACATAAGGGAGGTAAGTACCTACCTACCTATTGATTTGGTCGAGTCTGGATTGTAGCACACATTTGGAGTGAAAGAGAGAGAGAGAGAGAGGTGGTGTGTGTGTGTGTGTGTGGCGGTGGGGTAGCATATCCGACGGTGTCACTTTTTTTTTTTTTTTCCTCCTACACTTGTTTTCTTTTTACACTATATCTCCTTACTTTAACCTACCTTGCCTTACCTTACCTACTTTCTCCTCTTAGCTACCTAATCACTCATTTCTCTAACCTAACCAGCCTATTTCCCTCCTATTTCATTCAGAAAACTTCCCCGCCAAGGTAAATAAACACGATCAAGCTAGCGCTAGTGACCAACACCCCTCTTCTATCTATGTCGCATTTTCGCTACTTATATATCAACTTCTACTTCGTCGCATTCTTCTAATATTCCTATGTAGCAATATTCAACATGAGCTCTACTGAGAACACCGAGCCCAAGGTCGAGGAGACCAAGCCTCTCACCTCTTCGTCGGTCTTCTCCATGTTCGGCGGCGGCGCAAAGAAGGAGAAGAAGGATGAAGATGAGGACCGCGGCGATGTTTCCGGTAGCGCCAAGGCCCAGCGTGAGGCCGCTGCTGCCGCGAAGGGTGACGATGAAGTACGTACATACCCTCCACCCTCCACGAACCCCTCTTTCTTGTCGCTACGGCAGCGCTAACAATATTGGACCTATACAGGAAGAAGCCCCCGAGTCGGAAGATGTCCACTTCGAACCCATCCACAAGCTCACCGAAAAGGTCAAGACCGTGACACATGAGGAGTCTGAGGAAGAAATATTCAACATGCGCTGCAAGATGTTCAAGTTCACGCAGGATGCTGATGGGAAGGGCGAATGGAAGGAGCGTGGCACCGGCCCTCTTCGTCTTCTGAAGCACAAGGAGAACGGCAAGATTCGTCTAGTTATGCGACGAGACAAGACCCTCAAGGTCTGCGCCAACCACTATAGTATGTTATCTTGATCTCCTACTCACGACATACCGGCAACTAATCGCCGCGACCATCTAGTTACCCCCGACATGACGATCGCCCCCATGTCGACCAGCGACCGCGCTTGGCTCTGGAACGTAGGCGCTGACGTTAGCGAGGGCGAACCTGAGGCCATCACTGTCTCCGTCCGCGTAGCTAACGCCGAAAGTAAGTTACGAGCCCTACTGAGAGTTGCTACATTAACTAATGCATATCACCCCCACTAGACGCTCAGCAGTTTAAGGAAGCCTGGCTCAAGGCTCAGAAGGACAACGAGGTCCTATTCGGCGAGGCTAAGGCTGAGGAGACCAAGGGTGAGACCAAGACGGAGGAGAAGAAGGAGTCGTCTGCTGCCTCTTCGTAAAAGGCGGCTATATTAACGTTGAAGGCGGTCTAACCCCGAATGAATTTGGGTACTATGGAACCCTTACCTCACCCATACCCCGTCTCCCCCCCTAGCGCAGAGGGAGTGTTAAAGGGTTGCCCCGTGGAAGGCTTGGAAACACGGGCATGATTGGAGCGGTGTGTGGAGTAGTTACGGACGATAATGATAACGAGGACGAGAGGGAGAAAGATAATTAGATAGTCTAAAGGTGGCTGAGCACCGAAACCCCCCCCATATGTCACGACATTTTGTCCCCTGCAAATCACTTCACGATAAATAAAACGCTGATCCTCCCCAAAATACGATTTTTTGACGTTATCAATAATTGAAGAAGGTCGAAAATTGATACTTACTTAGGTAATGAAGAACTCTTAATTACTTATGATTGACTTGATGAATAAAATATAAGAATATTTATGAGGATGAGGACCTAGAATATATTATGTTCGCTATCGTGAATCGACATGATATGGTGCTTAGGTACTTCCAGATGTACTCCCCCCGAAGATATGATGTGGATTAGGTAATACAAATACATCCATGTACCTAATCTGCACACGGCAACTACAATCATATGTAGTGTACCTACCTACCTAGGTAGATTACGTACCTACTACGAAATAGATGCATGACAATGTGGTAGTAGCTCTTAGATATATAATTTTGAAAGTTGCACCTTCCATCAGGCAGCAAAGCTTTCAATAGGAACCACGTGACTTCGCGAAATTTATCGGCGGGCTTCGATTGTATTTCAACGCGTCCCCTCATCTCCACCAAATTACAACATCTGAATATTCAAACGTAAAAAAGTTAACGACTACGACTTATCATTACGACACCAATTCCCCAGTATTTTCGTTGATTATTGATATCTACTAGATATCACCTGTGGAAACGGTTTTAATTCCCCACGGTCGCATTTTCGTTGTCAGGCTTTACTTATCTGCACACTATTCCTTTCAGATAAGCAGGGATAGTGAAGATAACTTCTTCGGAATTCTCGAGGTTGCAAACAGCAGAACACCAATAAAACTCCTAGTCTTGATCCTAATAAATAAGCCATCGAAGCTCGTCTCTGTCCTTGCTCAATCACATATTACCTACCTACATAATTATTACCATGGCTCATAAAAAGCGTCAAACCCGGCTCACATTCGAGCCTGTGAATCCAACAAGTTCACCAAAACAGCCTTCGCCGAACCAAGTATCGCCGGCCAAGATCCGATATTCCAAAAAAGCAGACGCAAGCAGTAGTCCGAGCCACGCATCACCTAAACGGCCACCCACGGCTAGTTTTATGCCAAGGCTCTACAGCTCCAGGCCTGTTGCCGCAGGAGATGATTCTTCTGATGACCCTTTGACCGAAGTTGAGGATGAAATACCAACGAAGTCATCACAGTCTATTTCAACTAAGCTCAGGCGGACGGTCATTGATCTTGATGACGATGAAGATGAGGACGATGATGAGAATGAGGAGCCAATCGCTCCTCCATCTACCCTAAAGCGCCGACGTCCTATAGTTGTCTCGGATGACGACGATGATGACAATGACGATGACGATGATGGTCCTATCGTAGCGCCTAGTTCATCGAGGCGTTCACGGCCCCGCTTAGTCGAACTTGATGGATTGAGTGATCGAGAATCTTCGCCAGCGAAAAGGAGGAAGACGTCATTGGCAACTCCAGGCCGTCTTAGAAGACCAACGACCGTTACCTCATCCTCTCCTACCAAACGGAGCGTGCCTAAGGGCCATCGTTCCGAACGACAGAAGAAGATGGAGCTGCTCCGTCGTCGCCGTGCAGGCGAAAAAATTGATAATCTCACTTCCTCAGAAGAGGACTCTGAAATAGAGAAGCGAGGTATTTACGATACCGACTCTGATGAAGAATTTGCCGCCCTGAAGGAATTCGATGACGACGAACCCGAAGATGAGGCTGAATCCGAAGTGCCTATTCGTCAAGCTTCCCCGAAGAGCAAAAAGCTTAGTAGAAAGCACGAAGAATCGGACCACCGAGAAGATGAAGACGAGGGTGATGAGAATGGTCTGGATGACTTTGTCGTTGATGACGATGATGACGCTCCCATAGGCGCTCCAGCCAATCTCGATATCCCTCTCGAGTTCACGGCCCAGGCGCATAGACCCTTAAAGGATCAATTCCCATATGTCATTGAGTGGCTTGTGCATAACCGACTCAATCCCGCATTCGAGCGAAACGATCCCGTCTATTCCAACGCATGGCGTAAACTAGATGATGAGGTTCGCGCTCTCGCGTCATCTAAGTTCGCCTCGTCAGTCTGGAGATCGGAATTCTACCGTGCGCTGAAGGGCAGGCCTAAGATGGAAGCATACGAAATGGATAGAGGTGAGAGGAGCAGCGGCCTATACGACACATGTGACGCTTGTGGCCGAAGCAATCATCCCGCCACATTCAGGATTTATTTCGCCGGCCACCCCTATTACAAAAATACACTAGCTGAGGTCGAGTCGGATTTAGATTCGGAAGATGATGATGGCGATGAGAGTGGTCACGAATCTGTTGATACTCAGGGTATGGTCCTCCCAACCACGAAGAAAGAGTGGAACGTTGGTGTGGTGTGCTGTAGCAACGCCGAGACGGCGCATAGTTTGATCCATTGGAAACATGCCCTAAAGCAGTGGGTGGAAGAAAGACTAGAGGAGGATGGATGGATGAACGCGAAAAAGCTAAAGGAACGCGAACGAATGAAGGCCAGGAAACGACGCGACCTAGCTAACCATATCGTCGACGAGTGGCGCGAGAAGAATATTATCGCATCCCTTTATCGCGACTTTAAAAATACCCTCGAGGATGCTCGTAACAAGGCCACGACGGGGCGTAATAGAGGTCGTTTTCGTTAGTGGCTAGTATGTAGCCGGCGTACTTTGTCGCGGTGTGTTATTCTCTTTTCGGATTGATTTCGAAGTTGGGATCTTACGGCAATGGTCTATGGAGGGCAGATAACGACTGATGTTCGTGTGAAGTGGGAAAGGCTTAATACGATATGGAGCAAGTAAACTGTTGCTTTTGGTATTGCGATGGGTTTACGAATCGACGAGGTTACGCTTATGATTCCTAGTTCTCAAATGGTCACAATGATGACAATAAAAATAACAATGGTGATGCTTTATGAAATCCATCCATTACTCGTCCTTCTTTCTCGTCATCATTCATCATCATTGCGACGTGACATCTATAGCTTTTTTAAACCCACAACTTCTATCTAATTGATTTTGCCGTCTTGACGAAATCTCGTATCCTATCTAAACTCTGCTGGCTATCACTACCCTCGACACCACTGCTCACATCAACACCTAAGATCCTCGTACCGTCTTCACCCGCGGCCTTTACTACGTCTGCGACGTTCTCGGGGCCTAAGCCACCTGCGAGAATTATTCGCAATTCAGCATCGCGTGCTAGGGCAGCCTTGATATCAACTGCATCCAGCAACTGTCCGGAACCGGACCCGGAGTCGAACAGCGGAACGGCATGATAGCCACGAGCACCGATCCCGGGCTCACCAGGCGAGAACCGCCGTAGCACCGGCACCGGAATGGCACGGGCCCATTCGACCGGTTCGCGACCGTGAAGTTGTACAGCATCGAGACTGTACCGCTGCTGCAACTCGAGGATCTCGTCTAGCGACTGGTTTTGAAATACGCCGACTAGTAGCGGGCGGCTGCGAGATGATAGTTTACGTGACGCCGAAGCGAAGAAGTCACTGGCGATGTTGGTTGGGATGGTGGGGTTTGAAGATGGCGTGGGGGTAGGGCGGGAAAAGTCGTGGATGGCTTTGGAGATGGCCTTTGCGGCGTCGTCGGTTACGGTGCGCCTCCGTTCCGGTACGAGGATCATGCCGATTAGATCCGCGCCGGCCTCAGCAGCTGCCAGTGCGCCCTCGGGAGTACGTGTACCACATATCTTAACAAGGAGAGACTCAGGTTTGAGTTTTTGTTGTGCGGTAGTTTGGCCAGCGCATAACTGTTGAATAAATTGCGACGCGTCTGGGGCACGCATGATAGCTTCACCAACCAAGATGGCGTTGACCCCATCCTTATGGTTAGCTATGACATCCTCGTGAGTATTAATGCCGCTAAGTGCACATATAATAGTCTCCTTGGGCACCAAGCTGCGTAATCTGCTGGTGGTGCTAAGGTCGACTTCAAATGATTCGAGATTGCGATTGTTGACGCCGATGACCTTAGAGCCTAGCTTGACTGCTGTTGCCATCTCTTCTGCGTTTTGCACCTCCACGAGGGGCTCCATGCCGAGGGATAGCGAGTAGTTATGTAATCGCGTGAGGAGATCCACATCTAGCATTTTAACGATCAAAAGGACGGTATCAGCACCAGCAAGTCGTGCCTCGAGAATCTGGTATTTCTCAAAGATGAACTCCTTCCGAAGCACAGCTGGTCGGTTGGGCATGCTATCCAGCACTTGCCTTACGGCGCGTAGATCTTCGATACTGCCTTTGAACCAGTCTGGCTCTGTAAGAACGGAGATGACGCTAGCCCCTGCAAGAGCATACTTCTTTGCCTGCGACGGCGCATCAATTTCCAGGGCAAAAATGCCTTTAGAAGGTGACCCTCGCTTAATCTCAGCCATGAGAGAGATATCGAATGGGCTTTGGCGAAGGCGGTCGACAAATGAGATTTGAGGAGGAGCAGCGTTTAACTCATAGGCAGCTTCAAGATCCGATAGACGTTGAGACGGGATCTCTTTTTGGGCTGCTACGGCTTCCTTCCGACGGGCGTATATTTGCTGTAGGATGTTGTTTTTCTTTGGAGCGATTGGGATTGGGGAGGGCCTCTCGTCGATATTATTTTTAACAATGGCGGCTTGTGATTCTTTTTGAAGCTGTTCATTTTCCGCCCAGGTCCCGCCTTGCATGTGAAGGAAGTTCTTGATCATGACGCGGCCATCTGCTGAGAGAATACTTTCGGGATGGAATTGGACACCTTCTATGGTATATTCTTTGTGACGTATGCCCATTATAACGCCTTTCGAGCCATCGTCTTTGGGTATCCAGGAGGTAACCTCGAGTCTTTCGGGAAGAGTAACATGTGTACCCGCAAGCGAGTGGTATCTAGTGACCGGAAGACCTTGAGCCATGCCAGCATAGACACCCTTGGAATCGTGGGCCAATGGTGACGTCTTGCCATGGAGGATCTCCCCGGCAGAACTGACATCGCCTCCGTAGACGTCGAAGATGCATTGCCTGCGTATCGCCAAGTTAGGTAACAGATACAACCTGCTGGGCGCAAAGGGATGTTTCCAACTCACTGGCCCATACAAACACCAAATATAGGGATTTTGCCTGCGAAGTGTCTAATAGCGTCTCGACTTATGCCTGAGTCACTGATGGGATGCCCGGGACCCGGACTAACGACGAGTTGGGTAGGCTTCTTTGCGATCAACTCATCGAGGGTGATCCGATCGTTCCGGTATACGGTGACGGTGGCACCTTCGAGGACAAGATATTGGTATACATTCCAGGTGAAAGAGTCATAATTATCTATGAGGACCAGATTCGAGGCGGTCGGAATGGGAGGCGAGGGGTCGGGATGGTGAGGGGAATGATCGATGATGTCTAGAGTCGCTGCCATGTTGAACTAGCTATGAATGAATCCCTTTATATATTTCCGGTTTCCTATGTTCTAAATATCTGTCCGAGTGGAAATTGGTCTGCCGGCTAAGATAGAGATTTGTGAGGGTATCTCGATGGGTGTTTAGTATAGATTCGCTCTATATATCGTGGAGAACCCTGGTTAAAAAGAGGAGGTATAATATGGCTTTCACAAGGAAACAATGAAGAAAATACCAAATCTCACTCCGCCATTGAATCTACCCGCCTCCCAATTGACTTGTAGGATGTAAGGTAAGGAGTAGATTACGGGCAAACAAATTGTTGACTATTTCCGGGGATCGGAGGTATTGAAAAAGCGGCAGAGTGATAGAATTTTGGTATGTACCTACGTTGCCCCTCCATAGGTACCTTATGTACCTTCCTGGCCTAAGTACCATGCATGCGTACCTACCTAAGTATTCAATGTTTGGATAGATGTAAGGCTGAGCCTACATAAAAAGGTACATCTTCCCTATCGATAAAAAAATAACAAACGATAAGACCCATTCCGTGTGGCTTGCTCATTCCGGTGAATAGGATTTCCGTTTCTAAACTTCTATAATGTGCACTAACCGTAAATGGATAGTACGAGTATCTACGTGCATTGTACCTGGTAGGTACTAGGTATGTAGCACGAAATCTGGAGCTCTTGGAAGCTGCTAACATTCTTTATTTGATTGAGTTTAAACATTTACACTAATAAGCTCTTCCAATGGCGGATTGGAACCCGCGATTTTCAACTTTTTGTTAAGGCGCGTCGCAGCATAAAAAAAAGAGAGACCAACAAAAACCACAATTCTTTTTTTTTTTTTTCCTTCGCTTCACCACTTCTCCTCACATGCATCCCATGCACATTCAACTGCGCGTTGCCTGCTGATAGCTGCAGCAATGGCAGAACCATTGTCCGACAACATTTATCTGCCTCCATTGGAGCCTTGTCTAAAGGGAGAGACCGTCATATTGTAAGTTGCGACAATACCATACAATGACGACTCGACATCTTTCCTCGGCCGCTAACATTGTATTTCCCTTGATCTAGATCGTGGAAGCTCGTAGCTTCGGCATTGACAGACCCTTCCGGCCATCGACAGGATAGTCCTGCTCTCATCGACTATCTCACCGACCCTCTCGTCCAATCTTTCTTCACTAAACCTGGCTCTGCCTTCGATCCGCCGACTGATAAGAGCCCTCACCGTGCCAACTTCGAAAAGAAGACTGCTGCTATTCAAGTAACTCCCGCCCCGAATGACAAGTATGATATCGGCGTCATTAAGGAAGATGCTCTTTGGCTGAGCAAGAACGCTCGTATAAATGAGATTGCTGCTCTTCGAGCTGTCGTTATTGAATTCCAGTCGCGATCACGGAGTCAACTGTTAGGCCCCCTCTCCAACCAAGATGTTGCGAACTTGCGGGAAGCTGCCGGTGCTGCGAATACGCAAACCACCAATATACTTCCTGGTTTAAATATCACGAGCACCCTCGACGCTGCCGAAATACAGGTGAATTTCGAGAAGAATGAGAACAGGAGGTTGCGCATATTCCAGACCTACCTTGACGAAAGCCGCTATTATGCTGCTACGAACGACTACATATTCACGTTGATGCTACAGGAAACCTTGCCTGCTTCGCCAGTAAGCGATGCGTCGAGGACGATTCGGAAGTCATACCTTGAAGCATATGGCATGTCTCCCAAACAACCTCAAAAATCACCAAATGATACTCCTACGAAAACCTTCCATGCTCTCGCGACCCAATACTTGAACTTACTCCCGGATTCTATCTCCCGCTCCCAGGCTCCCATTGACTCAGTGGTAGAGGATAAAAGTTTGTTGACTGAAGAGAACAATGAGCGATGGATCCAGACGTGGCTTACCGAGGCGCTTCACCGAATGGTCATAGTATACCAGCTACTTGACTTATCAAGCGATGTTTTCGTTTCTACTCAACTGGCCCAACAATGGTTCTCCTTGGTCAACATATTCGGCTTTCTGGAACAGCTTCAAGGGGTAAGTTCTGACAAGTTAAACATCAAAATATTTTACGTCTTGCTAACATCATATCCAGTTCCCAGTAAGCGTAGCTGATCTAGCGGCTCCATTGCAATGTCTTGTTTGCGTAATCTCCTTGTCTGTTCTTAACCTGCCTAGAATGATGGCATTTTTTGAAGGAGAAATAGATTTAAACACTGATGACGAGTATCTCGCATCGTCTAGCGTCCTTGAACACATTCATGATGCTCTCGAGAATGCAATTGACCAGGGTTCAACTTATGCAGTGCCGGTTTTGTTCGCCTGGGTCCCTGTCGTCCATGCTATGTTCTCGTCGTACCAAGAACGTGCGGAGAGGCGGGATGCAATTCAGAATGAGAAGGCTGTCGAAAACTATGATTCGGCTACCCAGATGGTCCCAACTTCAGGCAGGAGAAACTCAGCAGGGAGTATCACTACCATTGACAAGCGGAGATACGACGACTTCCTTATAAACAAGAACTTGGACCGCGATTTTAGACGGGTCCAGCTGCTTGCGGTAGTGGTTACGGATAAGGCGCGTGTCTACGATATCATCGCTGCGATGTCGTCATGTCTTGGAACGTCTGATCGCGCCATATTCCCTGCTGCGATAGGTTCACGTATGAGAGTTGTCTTTTTAGACTTACTTAAAGTCACGTACCCTTTCGTGGGATACAAATCGGAGCCCGTCTACGCCCTACTAGCGGTACTATCCGGTGGTCAAGGTTATTGGGATCTTTCACAACCTAATAATACACGGGCGGAACAAGATGTCCTCAGCTTGGCTTTAAATGATGAGGCCATTGTCGAAAGCTACTTTCACCAAGCGCTAAATCGCTTTCCATACGAGTTCATCCCGTTTCTCACTTTGTGCCGAAGTCTATACTGTTCACAACATCTCACTGAAGAGAGCAACCATGAGCTCATCCTCCGATTACTACAAAGAACACCCACCCTTACGTTTACTCTCCCAGACCATTTCAACGACTATCAACTTGCCTACGAAGAAGATAACTCTAATAGTTTTCAATTTATGGAGGATTTTCCCCTTCTTTCCGCGTTGCCAAACTGGAAGCGAGCAACGGCAGAAGAGGAACCCTTCATAATACCAGCAGGCACTTATGGAAGGTTTATTGTAGACGATGGGAGAATCGTAAGAGTGGAATACGAACACTCTGCCCTGGCACTACTTGGGAAGAGGTTAGATGCTAATCTTGTTGCAAACAAATATCATATGGAACTCGGAGAACTCAGCACAGAGGAAACGGCGGAAGCAATCGCACTACTTGCAACGATTATACGCATGGAGTGTATTAGGACTGAAAACTCAGACCAGAACCCTGCTGAACTCTCGGAAAATGCGTTGGCTATCGTGGGCGAGGCTAGCCGAGCATTATCACGGACTAAGGATATCATTTCAGTCGTATGTGATACACTGGACGTCCTTCTAGATGGAGACCCAGATGTTCAAGGATTGACTGCTCTAGCGGCATGCTTGCAATTCCTCCATGCCGTCCTGCCGATATGTCCAGGCAGAGTTTGGTCGTATATGTCTCGATGTACTATTCTCAGCAACCAGGGTCAAGGTGGTCGACTGGCCAAGTTAGTTGGGAATCTGGATTTATCCGACGTTCGGTTCGAAGTCCTGATGTCTGCCGTACGCCTCTTCTCCAGCCTCATCGATAGTGCGATGAACAGCTCAGTGCGGCGGAAAACGAGCATGAAGACCAACCCCCGGCAGAAACAGAGCTACGACATCTGGCTGGGAGTGTCGGACAAAATAGTTACACAGATTTCTTCATCTATCGTACGGGCGGCGATGGATATTCTGGAAAGCTCTTCTACGTGGAGGTTCTCGTCGGATTTAGACCGCATGATCCTTGTACGTGATGTAGTACCAGTCATGGACAAAATCATCTTCTATACATTTAGCATTGATGATATAAACGCAAAATCGTTTTTATTGTCCGCCCTAGCGCCGGCTGCGAAATACGTTATTGACAGCTTTTTAGCACCGTCAGTTGGAAGTCTCCGTATTCAGCCCCTTCTCGTGACGTTGGTGGCTGCAACGCAACCGTTCGGTTCTACTATTTATGCCAACAGGACCAATGCTTTCCGGGCCCAGACCGAAGCTGTGCTTGGATTAGCGAGAAGTTTAGTGAGAATAGCAAACTACTCAGAGCAACCTTCGACAACTGTTGAGCACCGGCTATTCAAAGCGACGCCCTTTGTTGCTCGTGTCTGTGCCTGCCACGATGCCTTCAGGGGGCCAGCCATTGAGTTATTGGAAGCATTGGTGATCAGCGCCGGCAAAAGCACCGGAGAGCCCCCTTCTCTGCTCGGGTACCTTGGTCCGCAAACATCCCGTTCATTCCTTCAACTTTTGTCGACGTTGGATAGACCGTTTAACCAGGCTGACGAAGTTAACTCGATATGGCGCTTTTTTTCTACCATTGTCAGAAATAGACAGCAGTGGATGGCAAATTGTCTCCTCACGGGTAAGACTCCTCGTGATGCTAAAAATAGTAATAGTAAAGCAACGGAAACATCATCGAGTTCTGTCCTCGCTTCTGCCCTAGAGAGGCTCGCGTCGATATCTAAGATTGAGGAGTCTGAGGCCCTCTCAATCCTAGATTTCATCACATCCGCCCAAAACTTTTGGCCATGGACCATTTTCACGCTACAGAAAAATGCCAGCTTCTTGAGTGAACTCCGAAATTTTGTTCGCAACCTTGCTTCGTCTACCATAACATCTAAAACGAATGTGCTAAAAGCCTGCAACGAGGCTCGTATCGCTGCATACATTGCCGAAATATTTGCCATGCAACTGTTCCACCTGCGGCAGACCGGACAAGCGAATGCATTCGCCAATGAGTTGACTCGTGATCTGGACTATTATTTGCGAGACGGTGTGGCAGTCTCCGGCTACAATAGGGGTCTCCATGTCAATTTTGCCCGAAACTTCAGCAATCAATATTCTGCATGTACACTCGACAATTTCAAACGGACCCTACTTGAACCTCGAGCCTTGGGTGTTGGGTTTTATTACGCCATAGGATTTGCTGATAAGATGCTTGGATTCGATGCGGGTTGGGTCGGTCCTCGAAATAATGGATTCAGAAGTGAGATGGAGAAGGCAAATGCCAACCTATCATTGGTTGACGCTCAAATCGTAAGGTCCCCCAATTACTATTTTTATTCCGGGCTATAGCTAACATGCAAATAGTGTCTCTATCATGCTTGGGAATTCCTACTCCTAGAATTAAGCACTTGCTTACCGAGTAATGATACTCTGAAGAAGCATTCCTTGCAGGTCGCCCAGCAATGTTTAGAAGCCAACGAGGAGACTCAGAGCCACGATCAGGTCTTTGAACGGCTTGCTGAATCGCGAGTGAACCTAGCACTCATGCTAGTGCAGAGGGTTGTCGATAGCGCCCCATCCCCCGGCGATATTACCCAGCTCCTAACGGCATTATGGGGGACAGTTAGTAGTGTTCAGGAACCCTACGCACCTGAAAACATCTCGCTATATCGGACTCTTCTTAAGCTTTTATACGTAACGTTACGAGCCCAGGTCCGATCGTTGGCGAGTACACAGTCCGACAAACATGGAGGTGGCCTTGCTGCCGCTACAGTAGCTCAGACCATTTTGAGCATACTTGATATTACCGTCGCCAAAGGGTTCCGAACACTAGTTTCGTTAGTCCACGACTCTCAACCCTCTATTTCGCCCAACGATATTGCGCTACTCAATGCCATACTACAAGCGTGCCTCTGTGTTCCCGGGATGGATCAAAACCAGACACAGATTCTTAACATCCTAGCTGCTCACGATGCTGTGCAGGCTGCCGTATCGTTATACTCTTGGGCAGACAAGCTAGCCGACCAGGGCGACCCTGTGTATGGCGAATTATCACTTCTTTTCCTACTAGAGTTATCGACGTTGCCATTGGTAGCAGAACAGTTAGCTTGCGATGGTCTACTGAACCATATCACGTCGGCCAACCTAGCTACATACCTTCGGCGATCAAACGTCAAGCCTTTCGCAGACTCGGTTGGGTTACAACGTTGTTACAGCATATGGGCTAAGGGCATCGTTCCGCTACTCCTCAACATATTGACGGCACTGGGTACTACGATAGCTCCGGAGGTCGCATACGTGTTGAACCAATTCCCAAATTTGATGCAGTCAAGCGTTGACCGTTTCGAGCCTCCTAATGATAGCCGAAGACGAGATCGCAATGACCGGGATTACATCACACTTTTATCGGTATCTGAGATACACTCGTTGGCTCTTATGACGCGTGTATTGGGTTGCCTGCGGGCTAATAATGAAAGGGATGTGCCTGCAGTCGAATGGGATTCTGCGGGATTAATGGAAAGCGTGGAATTCTGGATAGACCGCCGCAAGCTCCTAAGGGAAAGAGTGGTGACGCTGGGTCCGCGGGAAGCGGAGTGGAGGAGCATGCCACCCTCGGAACGAGATAGATCAAGGGGTTTCGAAAGTAAGCTCGAGGAAAAGATCATCGAGCAGTTAGAGCTTGTACGAATTGTGCTTGGCGAAGGATTGGAATGAGCACCGTAACATTAGGATATAGGCAGGCGATGAGAATTGTCAGTACCATAGCGTACGACGGCGTTTGATCGATTTCGATAATCCCGACCTTATGAATAAGGCTAAGCGCAAGATGCTCCTAATATTGTAACAATTTCAGATCTTTTTGGTGCCTAGTACGCCGTCTACGGTCTCTTCAAGTATCGAGTGTCTATCTTCAACTATCACTAGCAAGGGGATCACGATGTAATTTTAAATCTTTATACAGAGTTGAATGATGACTCTTCATAGCCCAATCTAGACCCAGATTATATCCCTAGGTTCTTCGAAGGGACCAGGACCTATATATGTAGTTGCTACTGTTACAGTGAGGCTATCCCTTGGCCTTCAAATTCACGTCAACAGACGTAGATAACTCAAGCGTCTGCTATATAAATCGCCCGGTATAGCGATTGCATATTTAATCCCGTCCTAGACACATAGGCGCATGGTATATATCTACCGAAATTATAGCTAACCTCGTTGCTATCCTAGCCTTATAAGAAGCTCCAGGTCTATAATGTACAGTGGCCACTTTAGGAGAGGATAACTCGTTTTCCATGCACACGACGGATCTATCGGAAAGCCCCTTGTTGTTGTTGTTGCTGCTGGGTCATCTGGGCATTGTGTTCTTGGAAACGTTCGCTAAGGCGTTGCGATAGAGCCATATGTTTTTGGACACATCGTGTTACGCAGCCGGACTCGCGGGATGTTAGGGACTTGGTGGTGAAGTCATCGATGCAGGATATGAAGCAGTGGTCGACTAGGTTGCTGAAGAGCTATTCGCGTCTTTTGTTAGTAGTCTGGTAGGTATACTAGATATACTAGATATACATGACGTATGATATATGTGTATACGAGACCGAGGGCGTGGTCTTTAACATAAAGGGGAGGATTGTTATAGAAAATGGGTTTCGCATACGCCAAAGAATGCCTTCATCTGCTGCTTTTGCATGCGCTGCTCGAGCTCGCGTGTCTCGGTCGCCGTTAATCTACATGACCAAATGGGATTGGATTAGTATATATATATATGTACTGGAGAAATTCCATTATCAAAACTATTTTTTGTCCACACCAAATTTAACGTACCCATCCATACTGTGTATGATTTAATAATAAGGATCACAGATTAAAATAGTGAATCTCGTAAAGAATTATTTAATAGACCGAATTTCTTATCGCTGAACGTTTAAAAAGTTGTAGCTTTTAAGCTTCACGAGCTAAAGAACAAATCCAAAGTTCCTTAACAAAAAGGAACGATGCCCATTGTGATTATCGATAACAAACCGTCGGGTTTTTCTTAGATCCGTGTCCAAGGAATTTAATTCGATGTGATTGGTTGGATGTAGCGCCCCAGTTGTGAAAAAGGTCCCCCTCCAGGTATTATAAGCTTCAGCGGGGCACAGCTAGACCGCCCGCTAATCGATTAGGAATTTTCTAATCTTTTAGGGAATTTTTATCTGAAAAAAATAAAAAGACCAAAGAATTACAAGATCACATTCTACGAATATCAAGGAAACAAAAATAAAATAAAATAAAATAATAATCACAAATACCAATTCAACATGCCGAAATCTAAGCGATCCAAGGTCGTTCATATGACCCAAGTCAACAAGAAAACCCGCGATCACAAGGACCGTCTATTCGAGAATATCCGAGAATGCATTCCCCAATACCAACAATGTTTCGTCTTCGCCGTCGACAACATGCGCAATACTTACCTAAAAGAAATAAGACAAGAATTATCCGATAGCCGGTATGTAATTCCCATTCTCATAAATATACAAGTACAAGATCATTTCTAATAGTAAAAAAATTTAATAATAATTAGACTCTTCTTCGGCAAGACCAAACTCATGGCTCGCGCTCTTGGCCACAGCCCCGAAGATAGCTACGCCGACAATGTCTACCGTCTGACCCCTTACATACGAGGTACCGTCGGTCTACTCTTCACCAACCGCGCCCCCGAGCAATTACTCCCTTTCCTCGAGACTTTATCCCAAGACAAGGTCGACTTTGCCCGCGCCGGCGCCACAGCTCCGCGTGACTTCGTCGTTCCCTACGGCACCGTCTACGCCACTGGCGGCGAGGTACCCGCCGAACACGATGTCCCCATCGGTCACACCCTTGAGCCTGAGTTGCGCCGCCTCGGTGTCCCCGTTCGTATGATCAAGGGCCGTGTTGTGCTAGAAGAAGGGCCGGAGGGGCCCCAGCAGGATGGCGGATACGTTGTATGTCGTACGGGCGACGTACTCGATTCGCGCCAGACTAGGCTGCTCAAATTGTTCAGCGTCTGTCTGAGCGAATTCAAGATCAAGGTCCTCGCCTATTGGAGTGCTGCTACTACCGAAGTTACCCCCGTCGACCCGGAAGCTATGGATGGTGTTGAAGACGGCAATGATGAGGGAAGTGATTAAAGCCGTTCTGGTGATACAGCTCTATTTTTTTTTTTTCGTTTTCCCATGTATTCTCGGGTGCGTTTGCATTTAACGGCGATACCATGGTTTTGTTGGCGTTTGGTAGAGGCAAAAATCAGGGAACGGGGGTTACGATCGAGATTTTACGCGTACATATTTCATTAATGGTATATACTGAGATCAAGGCATGGCTCACTACAACAAGGCAAGCTAGAATAAGTCATCTAAGATGCTACTAGCATTCATTGTGTTTCGTGACTACTATCGGCTATGTTACAATATTCGGCAAATGATCAGGTCCTACACATAAGGCAAACAAGCTATGGTTATGTGGCACTCGAATGAACTCGTTGACTCGTTGCTTTTTCTTCACCCCCAACGCCTTTTTCCTCCCTTCCCCTTCCCCCCTTAGCAAGAAAGAATACCCCGGTCAGTAGGCTTGTCTTATATTCTCTTACCTCCGACCTTACCTGGGGGAAACTATTCGCGCCATTTATCATGTGCGACATGGCTAGACCTTGCAATTATTCCCTACGGTCATTATAGAGTACATGTGAGGGTGTAGAAAAAACGTATTACCTCTCCAATTCCGGTAGCAGTAAAGGATGTCGTGATGATTCCGAAGGCAAAAATGGACATTAAACGTCAACCACAACTGAATAAGAGTCGATCCGAATTTCAACCAAATGAGGGATTTGCTAACCTCCTGATTACCTTTTTGGTTTATCGCCGGGCTGTTGTTGTTATTGTTGAGGGCAGCTGTCGTCTATTTGGTAGTTGTCAAGAACATGATCTTACCCTTGCTTACCCTTGGTGTCGAAAGGCAGAAGGAAGAGTCGGGGTGGTAGTGATGACGATGATGGATAGAGACGCAGAAGTACGGGAAGACAGAAGATACCCACCAAGACAGACGGACTCTTACCTCGATAAGAAAGTCAGTCGGCTTAGTAGCGTCGTAGCTTACGCGGATCCTCATAGCTGCCTTCGTAACCCCGTTTTCGGCTGTCGTCCTCTCTCGACCGGTCGTAGTCTCGATATTCTCGTCCGCCACGAACCGGCTCGAAATTAGCGCCGCTTCGACGGTCGCGGTCGCCGCCGAATCTGCCTCCGTCACGATTTCCGCCTGATCTATCATCATATGAGCGACTGCCGTTGCGCGAGTCATACCCACCGCTTGATCCACCACGATCCCGGTCACCTCCACCAAATCCACGGCGCCCACCCCAGTTAGGGCCAGCTGGCGCATTAGGAGGCGGGTTGTAACCGTTCTGCGGACCAAATCCACGATCACGACCAGCACCGAAATCTCCTCCGCCACCACCGCCGCCGCCGCCTCCTCCTCCCCCTCCTCCTCCTCGGAAGCCGCGATCACGACCACCCATAAATCCCCCTCCACCTCTTCCACGGCCTTGGAAACCTCCACGGAAACCGTCGCGGCCACCAAAGCCACTTCCAAATCCAGGTCCTCGGGGTTGGGGAGGAGCAGCTTTGGAGTATCCCCGACCACCTAGGCCACCACCGAAACGACGAGGCTTCCAGCCCTTAACTGTTCGGCCTCTCTCAACGTCTACCTTAATTCGGCGGTCCCTAATACGGATGCCATCGCAACCATCTAGAGCAGCTAGTCGCACGTGCGCAGCAATGCGCATTTGTCAGTCAAACCCTACCAACGCATCATACCTTATCTGGGCGAAAAAAAGAGAAAGGGGGGAAGGGAAGGAGATAGGCAAGCTTGAGGGCCAGATCTCAGGTGAGAGACATGGGTTAAGCAGACCCGACGGATCGGAATGGATAATCTGGGAAAAATCAATGGTAATATTACCTCTCATGTCTTTCTCACGTTCAAAAACAACAAAAGCATATCCGCGATGAGGTTTCTTCTTCTTATTGGGTTTCTCATGGGCATGAGTATCGGTCACAATGCGAATCTAGAAACATGTTAGCAGTGAAATGTGGAAAAGGGGTTTGTCACATACGCGCTCAACAGGTCCAAAGCGCCCAAATTCCTTCTCCAGGTCGTGCTCGTTGGCGTCATAACTAAGTCGGGCGACAATCAAAGTCTTGAATGGGTCGCCGCGAATGTTAGGATCTTCGTTAGGTTTGTCTGCGATACACATGAACAGGTTAATATCTCGTTATTTTGAAACAAATAAATAAATGCGCAAGGTGGTGACCAACAATACAAAGGACCTTCTGTCAACATCCTCTCTTGTTTCGCCTTCTTCTCCAGCTTCTTTCTGTCGCGCATTTGTAACCAGCTCTCGGTAGGACGATATCCATCTTTATCCTTGTATGCAGCGAGAGCGGGAAGGTATTCGCCAAGGCCAGTGATGGGGTGTGTTTTGCGCTGCTCGGGCGGGAAGTCGGGCGCAGGCACCCATCGCAAAGGTGGTCGCGGCGCGAAGAGCGCGAGAAGGTTAGGGGGCAGCTTGTCGGTCATGTTGTTATGTTATCGAAACGATATGATGAGATGATAAATTACAGTGAATAATTAAATTCGGTGGAGACGGGAGGGTATTATGGCGAGACAAGGAGCGACTCGAAGAGAGAAGGAAATGATTTCATTGATGGATGAAAAAGAAAGAGAAGGAAGAAGAAAAAAAAAAAGAGAATGGGTGATGATGTTTCGCGTCGATGGGGAAAGAAGAATCAAAAGAATCGAGGAAATTGCATTAAGAGCTCCATCTCTCTTCCCTCTCCAATTGCTGGTCCATTCCAAGGAAAACTTAGGTACGTACCTTTATTTTCTAATCAGAGGTTCAAAAGTTCATTTATCAAGTACAACTACGCCAGTTTATCACTGTAAGCATATTTATATGCACCTATCGTATCATTGGCTTTAGCCGGTCTACACCCGACAAATACATAACTACGTGGGTCTGGATAGCACTGCTTAGTGTGCCACTGATATAAGCTTGTGATTGGCTAATAAAATGTACATTGTTCATATCTTTTTCTTCCATTAAAAAATATCACGACTAAATACACCCAGGCAAGTAGTAGGAACATATTTGTCGTCAACCCAATTCCACAGGCGCAACAATGACAATCAAAGCGTTAGAGAAGGTTTCATTCGGCCAGGTAAATCCTCTTCTATTTCGTCTGAATCTACAGTTAAAGAAATAAGCTGACAGAATATCAGAATGGCATTGGTGCCTTCATTTTACAATGCAGAAAAATAGATGTTCACTATTGTGATCATTCTGGGAGTTCAAGAGGAATGAAGTAAGAGAAATATTATTCATCGTACGAAAAGACTCGGCTTCGGTTCTAACAATATACCCCAAAAGCTCCTTTATTAAATCTCAGCTCTCCAAGTTCGCCGCCTCGCATCCTCAAATCGAATTCGCCCTGTCTCCTAGACCCCGAAAACACCCCCTACTCATCGGCCACTACATAAATGGCAAAGAAAAATCTATATGCGTAAAGAACATGGATTCCTTACAAATCTTAAAAAAGATTGAATTACTACGAGACGCGAGTGGAGAGAAGATCAAGAGAATCAACAAGCCAGTCACAAGTATCAACCAGAGTGTGAGAGGAGTATGGAGTCCCTACCATGGCAACGGTATGCCAGTATAAGGAGTCTGTACCAAGGGTTTATGGACTGGGATTGGGGTTATCTTCATTGTACCACTACCGTTGGTTTGGAGAATTCACGAAGCAAAATGTATAACACTGTTGACGGCGCATTATACCACGAGATCTAACATCCTAAATCGGAAGCGACATTTGTCAAACGAAATCTATGATCACGAAACATTTCTACTCGTCAATATCCCATAGTGACGAATCCTTTTTCAGTCCCAGATGTGATTCTATTCTCATTGTACTTTTTATATTACGATGGCAAACAAGGGAAACGCCGCTGCTTTTACGCATCGTGCTACGAGGAGCCCAAATTTCCATACTCTATCGCCCTCTAATTAAAACCGACATCTTGCTAGCCACGCGAAGCCCTTCTCGCTCACGATAAGTTGCTGTTGATGATGTCCACGACTATGGAATTTATTAGCCCCGCTCAATAGCACAGAGAGACTCGACAATAGGGAATAGGAAATACTCACAGGCCGGCTTAAGACTAGCCCCACCAACGAGGAAGCCGTCAATGTCCTTCTCCTTGCTGAGGTCTTTGCAGTTCTTTTCGCTAACACTGCCACCATATAGAATTCTCGTCTCGTCCGCGACAGTTTGGCTCACTTCCTTGGCCAACCAAGCGCGGATAGAAGCGTGCACCTCCTGGGCCTGTTGTGTAGTAGCTACCTTGCCGGTACCAATAGCCCAGATGGGCTCGTAGGCAACGACAATCTTGCTCCAATCCGAGACCTGGGCTTTGAGAGCTGCAAGCTGGGTAGCAATAACTTCGAGGGTCTTGCCGGCCTCTCGCTGCTCTAGGGACTCTCCACAGCACCAGATGACACTGACGCCGTTCTCGGTGGCGAATTTGGTCTTCGAAGCCACGGTCTCGTCGCTCTCAGCTAGAATAGTCCGTCGTTCGGAGTGACCAAGGATGACCCAATCAATGCCACTGTCCTTAAGCTGAGAGGCCGAGATCTCTCCGGTGAAAGCACCGTTGGGCTTGTCGAAGACATTTTGTGCAGCAACACCGATCTCCTTTTTGGCGTGCTCACGGACGAGGAGGAGGTAGAGGGCAGGTGGAGCTATGACGGTTTCTAGTAGTACAAGTAAAATGTGAGCAACGCCTTATTCTTCCTATAGTAGATACGAAGAATTAGAGAGAAAGCAACGAAGTCACTAACCGGTGTTGGGATCCAACTGGGCTTTGTTCAGGTTCTCGACAATCTCCTTGACGGACGAGATAGTCCCGTTCCTAAAAGACGAGGCAAATATTATGTTAGCTCCTATGATGCTAGTCTAATCGCATAGCTATATTGAGCAGTATATTCTATGTGATACTACCGAGGCCGATTTCAAAATAGAAATACAGGGAGGTAGGTAGGTATATGGGTCTTCCGTTCATATATGGAGGGGTCCGGCTTACATCTTGAAGTTGCCGCCAACGAAGAACTTGCGCGCCATGATGCTGGACAACGAGATAAATAGCTAATGATCAACTCGGTAATAGTGTAATATGTTCTCAAGCGGATATTCGAGGTGGTAGGTGGAAATATATTAGATATGGAATAGGAGGTATAGAAAATAACGCGGGAGGAAGAGAAGCTTTAACAATGTCAAACGGAACAAAAACGGACGACGGGGGGATCTCTCATAGGTACAAATCCAAACCCATGCACCCGCCCACCTGCCCACCTTAGGCGGGGTCCTACCGCAAAAAAAAAATACTCTAGAGAACACTTGCAGCTTAAAATATGCCCCTCCATCCACTCGGGTCTCTCGAAAAGCTTCTAAGAGCCCCGCAGTAGCGTCACCACGAAATCACTCATCCCTCATCCGCACCTGCACCTACATATAATATAATATACTTCGGAGTACTTTATACGTGTAACCAAGACGGCCACTGCACGTTTACGTCAGGTACCATATACTTCCCGCATCCGCATCCCCAACGCCGTAATCCAGCATCCTTAAACCCCAAATTCACATGCTTTAAGCTTCCCTTCCTAACAAAAACAACAATACTGATATATCCAACATTACTCCTTCATATAAGATAATAATACACACATTATAGCCTACCGGTGTTCACATACCTACAGAAACCTCCAGCAAATACAACCTAACATACCTATATCGACAAAAGACATATAACAGATGAATATCATACGAATCCACCTCAATCAAATCAAGCGACTCGTCAATAATAGAATCGCTTATAACCTCTTGGCGATAGACTAATATCGCTATCAGAGCCATCCGAGATGTAAGGTTCCCGATACCGTCTGCTTCTGTGTCGCGGGTGAGGATGCCCGTTGTGATCATCGAATGGATCATCATTCAAGACTGATCCACGCTGTTGGTGATATTCAAACTCTCTCCTTCGACGGGCGTCCGCTCTTCTCAGTACAGTATCATATCCATACTCCTCGTCGTCAAGCGATAGGCGATTAAACCGAGATATCTCATCGTCGAGCTCCCCCCAATGGTAAGGCCCGTCGTGCTCGGAGCTGGCCATACGCCTAGGATATGGGGACTGCGGCGACCTCGCCCCCATAACAATACGCGGGTTAAGTCGTGAGCGTTGCGCCTCGCGGAACGCACGTTGCTGAGCATGTTGCATGTCACCCCTCCCATGGCGCATCCCCGCTAGAAAGGCATCGTCTCTTACTCTGTTGATATCGAAAGAAGACGCAGTAGGTGGCGGCGGCGGAGGCATCCTAGAGCCGTCCTGAGCGTTGAAAGACTGGCGACCTTTAGAAGGACCCCGACCCGTTCCATTCTCGTCACGTCTTCTACTTATATTCCGAGTCGGTACCCGGCCATTACTTTGATCATGTTTACGGTTTTTATCGTAGTTAAATGATTCAGACGACCGCGAAGTGTCAGGAGTCATCGGGCTGCCGAAAGAGGATCCATCAGATGGCGAATAATCGGAGTAATCCGAATCGCTTTCGAAATCGCCATGCTTCCTGGTAAACCCTTGGCCATGTCCCCTATTGCCTACTGCACCATTGTTGGTGGGCTTATCACCCTGCATCCCAATATTATTGGGGCGTGTTGCCATGGACGGCGAGCCACGATTTCCGTTTATCCCAAGCGATACACCACCTCCCAAAGACGTAGCGCCTTGTGGTATTGTTGGTGGATCTGGGCCATGAGCTGGGTTTTGGTGGTGATGCGGCTGCTGCTGCTGTGAGTGGGCTGCTTGGTGGTTTTGAGGGAAGGATGTTGTTCTCTTCTTAGCTTCGTAAAGCGTGGTAATGTCGACATTCGGTTTAGGTATCCGCTTAAAATAAGCCGTGAGCGAAATCCGTTGATAAGATGTTCCCCTACTTCCACTTGTTTGGGAATGGGATCGCCTTCTGGCTAGACCATGGTGCCTATGACGCTGCGAAGGATTTACTCCTGCCGCAGCACCATAAGAATGAATCTCTCGAAGTTGGTGATCCAATTGGACAAGGACCCAAGAATAATTTATCGGGTCGGGATTATTGTGCATGCTGAGATACTCCTGTGCTGCATCAATCTGGCGCTGAAGTACCGGACTCACCGACTTCAACTTATCAGCAAGAGCACGCGTGTACCTATTCAGATGTTGTATCTGGCGAGCTGTCTCCGCCGGAGACATGCCGGGAACCCGAGTTCGAATGGCTCGATCCCAGGTAGACACCTGCGGGTTCCCCTCCTCGTCATATCTATTCTGCATGGGCATCTTCTCAAAGCGGAAAATGGCGTATTCCGTAAGCTCTTTCTTCATATCGTCTACCGTTAGTAGATCACGGCTTACATCCGATATTTCCACAGATGGCCTACCAGCCATACCAGCCGCAGGGCCAGTTCGTAAAGGAGCCAGCGGCGGACCCACTAGGCGAAGCCCAGCTTGAGGAACGGGTATTCCGGTTCTCTGAGGGTCATTGATCCGAAAGGCGCCACCCACATTTCCGGCCATCTTAACAATAAACGAAAGGGACGAGAGCGGATTGCCGACGTAGAAGAGAAAAGGGCAGATAACCCAATTTAATGCTTGACCAGTCGATCTGTTCCGAATATCGAGTCTCCCAGAATTGGGAAATTAGTATTTAGGATTAACAATGGAGGAATTTATCCTATATGCCTGGATGTCTATTTGGACCTTGTGACTTTCATTTTGAAATCATTATGAACAATGAGTCCCCTCGAGAAGGGGGATCAGAACGATGGAGAAGGAATTCTCAAGCTTATATCATCTAAGATAATACATAACTGACGACACCTCGTAGGGAATTTTTGCACTTCTTAGCGTGCCGATATAGCTTGGTGGGAAATGGTATAGATTTGGGCGTCACCGCCGTTCAATTAGAAAACATTCGATATCGCCAGCATAGTCCTAACATCGGCCACTCATGCCCACCACCATACATCTACATATTACGTAGATATCTCGGCGGTTGCCCAATTAGCATGCACCTGGGTTCGGTGTGCCAGTTCATATTGCCCAATAAGAATGTGTAGGGGGGAAGGAAGTCGCCCTACCACTGTTACCTAGGTCTGGGGTCGATCGGTGTGGGTTACACGGGTGGGCTGGACGACTATGCATATCGCCCTACATTGCCTAAGTAAGAGGCCGCGAACCATTAATCAAGGGCGAGGTTGGCATTGGTGGTTATAGTACGGGGCGGATGATCAATCGCCTGGCTTCAAACTAGGCAAAACCGCACCCCTTGGGCTGGGCGGACTCGATGGAAGTCAAGCCAGGAGGAACGAGGCTATTTCTCCAACAAGTATCTGCAACCATCCATCCTTCGGTCGCAGTTTGGTGCATTTCTCCTCTATCAGAACTGCACATGTAGCGTTAGGATTCCAATCCTACCCTAATTCAGATTTCTGCTTATTATCGTACGCAAGAAATTCTTCATTGTATCCCATTGATTAGCTTTCCAGTCGATTGATCAAAGGCTAATGATAAAACCTCTGGCTTCCCACCATAATAACGTCCTATCATGGAAATGTAGGACCTACCGCACGATACTGTCTTAACATTAATACATTACGTATCCATTTCAACCAGCGGAGGGAAGCGGCATAGCCGGGCGTTGCTAGTTAGTGGTGGCAGTGTAAGCATGCACAAGTCCCGATCTGGACTTAGACTGCGGGAATTTGATGTATTTCGAATATGATCCCCCCGACGCGGCTCTGTAATAGACGGGGCGAGACTTTACGTTGCCCATTTCAGTTGACCCTCATTAGTCGATACTGTTCCCTACCTCTAGGCGGGATACACTTGGTGCGAAGTTGGTAGGTGCAATAACTACACTCCTACGTGGAAAACTCCAGTTACACAAACTAATATCAGGATCTTACATTACGGTTTTTATTTACAAGCAATCAAATCCATACCTACACAGCCAAGGTTTCGTCACTATGTTGCTAGCCTCTAAGACAGCCTTCCGGGATGAGCTATCGTTCGCGAGCGACAACTATAATTCTTGACCTCTCTTTGAGTCTTTGGTACATAACGATGTGAATACAGAGGACTCGGGAATCTCTCGTATAGCGATGTTTGAAATTCCGTTATGATCGAATATGCCTTGGTTAGTTATGAGCATCGTCAAGAGCATCGTTATCACAAACATACACGCAACTCCAAAGTATACCACGCCACGCATGTGGACAACTTGAACTAATTATATACAATCATACAAGTAACTACCGCGTTTGATATTAAAGTATGCTCAAGGGAGTTCGTACTTTGAATAGATCATATTATTCTACTCCCATAGCCAAAGCCCACAGCATAACTCTGGATCCTCTTGTCTGTTATTCGGCTCAGAACTTCAATATTCTAATACACCTTAATACACTATTACGAAGCTAGAAGTATGGGAGCGAAGAAATGGTATTTATGCGCGGGGGTTCATAATTTGATACCCCGGGGACTCAGAGATACTCACACTACGACATTGTGATCTGACGAGATAACTACTTAAGCCTATAACTGACACTATAACCTTGGGTATGACTACTACGATGAACATTCACGGATACAGCTCTATGCTCCGAAGTTATCTTTTCTACACCTTTTCTACACCTAAGATCTAGCTATCGTTGCATATGCACTTTAGCCGGCGTGAATTTTTCCGTGCGGCTTCTGACCTGTTTTACCAATTCCACGAACGAGCTTCCGTCGCTTATTCTAGCTAGCGACGAGACTAGAGCGTACAGAAAGCTCCATGTTCTATTAATGGAAAACTTGGCGCTTCTTGTTTCCAGATATGAGCTTACCTAGGTAGGTACACCACCTACGCGCTCATGGAGCGGTTGGCGAGCCTCGTGGCATTTGTCCTCCCCGCTCAAGGCCACCGAATCAACGGCGTACTATTGATTAGGTTACTTTGGCAACTTCATAGTAATTTCTGGGGAAGTCTTGGCCCCTGGGAAAAGACGTGTGGGATGAGACCAAATTTAATTGTATCCAGCTACCTCGGTTATATAAAGGGCTAACCACAACCCCCCCGACTTAGGTTACCTACTTATTATGTGTTGAGCTGTTTCTTTATCGTACCGGCACAATGGCATCTCTCGTCACTTTCGCTATCCTTGCCGCGGGCTTAGGTCAAACATATGCCCAATCAACTGTGACGGTTAACGTCGCTTCCACGCTACAGCAGATAGATGGCTTCGGTGTGTCGCAAGCATTCGGGCGCGCAGCTGAGTTCCGAGATCTTCTATCTGGGGACCTTCAAAAGCAAGGCCTTGATTACTTATTCAACACTACCACTGGGGCAGGGTTGACCATAATTCGAAACCGGATTGGTTCTGGCACGACGAATGACGACAGCATCTTACCTAAAAGCCCCGGCGGGCCTACTGCGGCTGCCAACTACAGTTTCAATGACGATGACCGTGGCCAAGTTTGGTTCAGTCAACAGGCTATGAAATATGGTATCAAGACTATCTACGCCGATGCTTGGAGCGCACCGGGTTTCATGAAGACCAATAACAACGAAAACAACGGGGGTTATCTCTGTGGGACACCAGGCCACACTTGTTCGTCAGGGGACTGGCGTCAAGCCTACGCCGACTTCCTCGTCCAATACGTGAAATTCTACAGCGAACGTGGAATTCCTATCACCCAGCTCGGTTTCTTGAACGAACCAGATTACGTGTGGGTTCCTGCATTAATTCAAGATGAAGGCCGTCATGCTGAACTTACCTCTATAGGACAAGTTATTCGTCAATGCAATCCGGCGCCAACGAGGCCTCGTCCTTTATTCCCATCCTATACGATACTCTTGACAAGAATGGCCTTAACAACGTGTCCTTAACTTGTTGCGACGCGAGTAAGTAAGATTTTGCTAGGAGGCCTGCGACCCAGTCTCCCCATAAACCCTGTTTGCTGACACTTCACAACCCAAGTGGGCTGGAATTCCCAGAAGACAATCACCCAAGGCCTCGTTTCCTCTGGCATGGAGAAGTATTTAAAATACATAACGTCTCATATGTACACCGGCGACCCCAACTCGATAATTTCCACGAAATTGAAGACGTGGCAGACAGAGGCAGCCGATCTCCAATCACGCTGGTGTGCCACATGGTATAGTAATGGTGGTCAATGTGAAGGCTTCACGTGGGCGAACAAAATCCATAATGGGCTCGCAAATGCCAACCTATCTGCTTATATTTATTGGTGAGTATTTAGACGAATTGCCATCACTGTTCTTAATGCTTAACTTCCCTTTTACTCTCCAGTATATCCTTGGCACGCCCTTCTCCCCCGCCACCCCCTTTAATCCCCCGATTGAAAATAAGAATACCTGAATATCCCGAAATGTAAAGTGTTGGAATCACTAACATCTTTTAGGCAGGGTTTGGAAGTGAATCAAGGTCAAGCCAGTAGTTATCTTGTCGCAAGTGACGCAAAGACAATCACACCATCCGGACGTCTCTGGGCCTTTGCGATGTGGTCAAAATTTGTTCGACCCGGGGCTTATCGCGTCAGCACGTCAGGCAGCGTATCCAACACCGGTATCACGGCATTCAAGAACACAGATGGCTCCGTCGTCGTCGTGTTCCTCAACTCTGGGTCGCAGCAGAACGTCAAGGTTTCGTTCAAGGACTTCGTTCCAGCAACCGCGGAGGCTTTTGTCACGGATAACACGCGATCCGTAGCTTCGGTAGAGGCAACGCTGTCCGATAGCACCGTTTCTGCTTCGGTCCCCTCACGTGGGATGCTTACAATTAAACTAACAACAGCACCGTAACATATAAATGTAACATCCATCTTTGTCCTTATATATTTTATAGTGAATACTATATAGTCACCCTGTAAATAAAATATTTTCAGATTTGATAATTAGTATAGCTCTCGATCAACTGTCGGTCTATTAACATTGCCTCGTAAGCGAAGTATAATAGTTTGTGTTACCCGAGGGTGATTCAGCATTATTCAAACAAAATCATCTAACCATCCACCTAGACGTGGCGACTCGCTTCCTTGATAAGAGTTTCCGCAGTCCATTGGGGTTTGCTGTAGAAAGGAGAATGGCCGGCATCTATTTCTATATAATGTTGTCAATTTTTATGCGCTCCGCTCGCCTTTGCCGTATCAATTAGGTAGTGTTCCGTTGATACCGTAGTGGGCCTATCCTTCGTACATATAATATAAGTAGTACACCAGTAACTACCAAGACTGTGTGGGCGCAGATCTTTACTCAGTTCAGCGACGGTTGCATCATCCAAGTCCTGACAAAACATTTCCTTGGCGTCCTCAGGCAGAACGGTGACAATTCCAGCCTAGCATCAGTGAAGGAAGCGATATAGTTAGTATCAAAAACGGTCAGAAGACAAAAGTCAACAGGTAGGATAAGAGCGGGCAGCAAATGGGAATGGAATCATTATGACACACCTCGAAGTTGGTCTTCATCTCAGGAAGCATATTGTCACGAGTACCATATGCTGAGTGCTGGAATCCTTCGGGCACGAGGAAGGCAGTAATATAAATCAATCTCACAACGCCACCATTCAATCCCCTCGCAAGGCATGATTTTTTATCGAGGCCTTCAAGTGTCGTGCCACCAGTCATTCCACTAAAACTATGAGCGACAATAACGATATCATACTCGTGAACGAGGCTAGAGATTGTTTTCCGAATGAGGCCAACATCTTCCGACCAGTCATTAGAAGAAGGCAATGTAAGAGCAATGACTTAGCCTGGATATCCAACATCATTGAATGCAGTAATAACAAGATCCCAACAGCTTGAAGTATGTCATGCACCATAAAGTAACCGTGTGGATCCCCTTTCGCAACACCCCCCCATGTGCAACACATTTTACACTAAAAGTCAACTTTTTTAATTGCGAATAGCTTCGCGAAATCGTCTATTTTTAAAAGTAGAGTAAATATCAGAGTAGATAAATGAATAAGTTTCATGCTTATACGGTTGAAACAAATTTCTACCTTTTTATAACGATTATTATGAGGGCTCGTGGCCCAATAAAGCTGAAGCTTAAGACACAGCCTTGAGTGAGTTGGCATTGCGATGAAGTATATAACCTCAAGGAGTTCCCTAGGGACTTAGATTGATATTTATTCTTTAGTTCTTTTAATTTAAAGATTCATTACTATATAATGCCTATGACCTTCTGGTATATCATCATAATTATAATTACATTAATAAAAATGAAAAGTTTAAAATATATAACTTTATATATAAAATAAAAGTAAAAGTAAATATTTTATTTAAAAATTTTTAAATTATTATATTTTTTTTTAAAAAATTTTTTAATAAAAAATAAAAAAATAATAATTTATTAAATATATATTTTTAATATAATATTAATTAAAATGTAATAAATTTATGTTTTAAAAAGGTATAATCATTATTAAATTTATTTATAATATATTTTTATTATCATAAATTAGCTTATAAGGAACTTTTATTAAAATTATAAAATAAAACATTAATAACTTATTATAATTAAACTTTAAATTAATATATTATAATAACTTTAAAATAAGAGAAGGAAAAAGGAATAATTATATAATTATAAACATTTCTTATATATTTAATTATTTTTTTATAATTCTTTAATTATTAATTTAAGATTTTGATTTAAATATAATAAACGGATTTTAAACTTTTTTAATAAACAGAATGTACTTAATTAATTAATTTATTATTAATATTGTTACTTTTAAATTAAGATACTTTAAATTAATTAAATTTAATAATGATTATATCTCTTTAAGACATAAGTTTATCACATTTATTTATTTTTATTTATTTTTATTTATGTTATATATTATCTTTTTTATTTTATTTTTATTTTATTTTTTTAAAAATGAACAATATTTTAAAAGATTATATTTTTATAAAAGGATTTAATTTATAATATTAATTTGTTTTTTTTTTTAGATTTCTTTATTTTTAAAGATTTTTTCTTTGGTAAATTTTCTTTTATAATCTCCATTATATTTATTAATCTTTGTTTAAATATAAATATATTAATTAAGGATAGGAATATATAAAGTTTTTAAAATAAATCAATAAAATTGGTTTTAATATAAATATTATATTTTATTTATATTATTTTAATTATAATTTTAAAAATATAATAAATGTATATTATATTATTATTAGTATAATAGGATGGATATTACCATTAGTTTATTTTTTTTATTTTAAAAATAAAAAAAAATAATTATGTTTTTTAAAATGTTAAATTAAAGGATTTTTAATTAATTTTATATTTAAATAATTTAGGTATTAAAAATTTATTAAAAAAAAGAATTTAAAAATATTTTAATATAGTTTTTAAAATTTAAAAGAATTAAAAGAATAGGAATAATTAAAAAAAGAATATTAATAAATTATTAAAATATAAATCAATAATAAAGCTTTTATTAATATTATGAACTTAATAAAACATTTTTTTATTTAATATAATATTTTTTATTTATTGATTAATTTTAGATTAATTAGTTTTATTATATATCCTGAATTGACTAATATATTAAATATATTGTTTTATGTTTATTATTTAATAAAGTTTATAATTTTTTACTAATTTTTTTATTATATTCTATTATTTATTAATTATATTTATCATTTTTTATAATAGATTTATTAGATATTTTATTTCTTTTAAAAAAAATATTACTTTATTTTCTAAATATTATATTTATCTTTGAAAATAATTAATCTTTTTTTTATATTGTAATATTAATTGTTTATAACATTTATTTTAAATATTTTTGGATATATTTAATTAAGATAATTCTATTTCATTTTTTTATAAAATAATATATAAATAATTTGATTTATATTTTTATAATAATATTATATAAATTTTTAATTGTAAAAGAGAACATACTGTTTTACATTTTAAGTTTAGCGCCACCCCACTTTCCTTTTTATTCGATATAAAAAACTTTTTCCTTTTCGTACTTTTTATAATTCTTCATTTTCTTATTTTATTTTTTCAATACACATCTTCATATCTACATATTTATAAAGATCATGAAATTCCTTTTATTACTTATATCTTCTATCATCACTTAGTCTTGCTTATTCTTTCCTTATTATCCATTCTTCACTTACCTTACCTATTCTATAATATCTATTTTATCATACCCATTCCAATTTACAATAAATGTTAAATATTGTATTGTAAGACCTCCAGTTTCTCACTGTTAACATTACCTCGTTATGATGCCTCTTTTCTACCTTTGATCCAATTGATTATATAGCTTATATATTAGATATAAACCTGGCTTTCAAATCTTATTATGGTTTAGTATAGTGATAGCTATTTAATTTAATAGTTCACAAGGATATTTCCAATATATTGAATGACTGGTGTAATTTAATTTTGGGATTACAGGAATGCTGTGGCAAGCCAGGAGCCACTATTTCCTGCATATTGGCTGGTTTTAGGTGGCATTTTGGGATTTATACATTTATATATATAATTTATAACAATCCTATACAGCCCTTAATATTATGGACATAATTGATAGAATTACAAGAACTTAATAAATCATATGATAACCAGAACTTATTTATTTACATATTAAAATAAGAAAATAAGAAAATTCTATTTCCCTAGATTTCCCTATCTATAAAAACCTTAAAAATTTTAACTAAATCTTTATAATAACATTCTCTTTAAAATTTTAACTTTGGCCATTTTATTGAGCCTTTATTATCCTTTACCAACCTAATTATAATTTCTGATTATAATAAATCTATCCCTTCAATTTCCAAGTTTTATTAATAATTGGTAGATGATAATAATAAAAATCTATACTTATAATTTATATTTATATTATAAAGCTAACTCTTATAGATTTATCCCTTATCTTACTATTAAATAATGATTAGGCTTTCATACCTTCCTCTCCATACTAGGGCTCCCAATTCGAACCCAAACCTGCCATTAAAGAAAATAAAAATCAGAAAAAAACATATGAGAAGTCTACTAATAAATTCAAATATAAAAACAGCTCTTCACCTAATCAGAATACCGACAATGAATCATATTAAAATACCAAAGATAAACCACCTTATAAATACCATAAAGGCCTTATCCTCTTATGTTCTAATAAGGAAGAGAATTCTACCACCACCACCAAGTTTAAGAAATGACCTATTAATACTATTCTAAAACAGATAATGTTTTATGATATCACAACTTTTTAAATAGAGTTTACCTTAGACATATGCAAAAGCTACAAACATTATGTTCCAAGAGACCTCTATTCAAAACCGTCTATTAAAAAGCGACACTCAAGAAGTTACATTTCTGAAGAAGATAAATTTCTTGTTAAACTTAAAGAAGATGGACTGTCATGGAAGGAAATTAGCAACTAGTTTTCAACAAAATTTCCAGAAAAAAAACGGAATGTCAGAACCTTATAAATATAATATTATATTAAACTCAAGAGAACTCCAAATAAACCAACCTAAAAAAGTTATTAAGGTAATCCTATTACCTTATATTTAATTTATAAGGTTTAGGTAGCTTTCTTATTTAATATCCTATATGCTTATTATCTTGATAATTATTATCTGATTTGGAGGATATAAAAAAAAAATCATAATGTAAGGCCTTATAGAAAATACTATATCAATATTGTAATTCCTGATTAGGCTATTCATAATTTAAAGCCATATAAATATTATTATAACATTTTTTATGACATCCTTCTACTAACTTATGTGTTCACTATGAAATTCCCCCTTTATTTAACCAATAATGATATCTTATAATTTACTGAATTGGCTAAATCTTATGACCATTATTAACTACCCTTATTATTACATTTCAATTAGGTTATTAGCTTAATATTACTTTGCTTACATGGCCATATGGCCATTATTAACCAATCATAATATAATTGGCTTTATTTACATAGCCATATAACCATTATTAACCAATCGTAATATAGTTGGCTTCATTTATATAGCCATATAACTATTCTTGGCCAATCATAATATAGTTAACTTTGTTTATATGGTTATATGGCCATTATTAATCAATTGTAATGTAATTAGCTTTGCTTACATAGCCATATAACCATTATTAACTAATCATAATGGAATTGGCTTTATTTATATAGCTATATGATTATTCTTAGCCAATCATAATATAGTTGACTTTGTTTACATGGCTATATGGCCATTATTAATTAATCATAATGTAGTTGGCTTTGCTTACGTGGCTATATGGCTATTATTAATTAATCATAATGCAGTTGGCTTTGTTTACATGGCCATATGGCCATTATTAACCAATTATAATGGAGTTGGCTTTACTTATATAGCCATATGATTATTCTTAGTTAATCATAATGTAATTGGCTTTACTTACATGGTTATATAACCATTATTAACTAATTATAATGGAGTTAGCTTTATTTATATGGCCATATAATTATTCTTAGCTAATCATAATGCAGTTGGCTTTATTTACATAGCTATATAACCATTATTAACCAATTATAATAGAGTTAACTTCACTTGTATAACCATATGACTATTCTTAGCTGATTATAATATAATTAGCTTTGTTTATATAGCCATATGGCCATTATTAACCAATCATAATGCAGTTAGCTTTATTTATATGGCCATATGGCCATTATTAACTAATTATAATGTAGTTGGCTTTATTCATATGGCTATATGATTATTCTTAGTTAATCATAATATAATTAACTTTATTTATATAGCTATATGGCCATTATTAACTAATCATAATGGAGTTGGCTTCACTTATATAGCCATATGATTATTCTTAGCCAATCATAATACAGTTAGCTTTGTTTGCATGGCCATATGACTATTATTAACCAATTGTAATGGAGTTGGCTTCATTTGTATGGCCATATAATTATTCTTAGCCAATCATAATATAATTAACTTTATTTATATAGCCATATGGCTATTATTAACCAATCATAATGCAATTAGCTTTATTTACATGGCCATATGGCCATTATTAACTAATCATAATGTAGTTAACTTTACTCATATGGCCATATAACTA